TCCTACGCGCGAGGCACGACAAGGGCCCGGTACACATACAAACGGGTACCATCACTGAGGCATGACGTAAGCCCTCTCTACTACCACGACAAAGGCCCGGTACGCATACAAGCGGGCAGCATATACCTTCATCGCGTAGGACAGTACTCTTGGTGTCGGCCAGTGGCATAAACAGCATTGCCAGCCGCGATATTAGGACAGAGGTTCTTTGGATTGGATGTTCGTTTGGACCTTTCACTGCTATCTCTCTTCGCTAGGTACAGATCTCTCAGGATGGGGGGTGACTCAGGTTGCCACTACTAGCGTGTCAGTGGCGTTACATCCTTCCATATCCGTAACAAGGGGGAACAGGGGAGTACCCCCCCCCCCCTTTCATAGGCTATATATACGGGCCTTATGCCTCTTCAAATCAACACAGAACTGCTTCTTCACAACCTGAGAATTTTAGCGTAGCTATAGGGTTTCGAGTTGGAATGTTTCAAGCCGTCGATCTCATATCGCACCATTTTGAACGCCTCTGCAAGACTGTCATACAGCTGAACAAAAAATCCTTGATCGTTATTGGGGTCTAGTTGTCAAGAAACGGTTAGAATCGGTGTGCATAGTAATATGTCATTCCATACTACTTCATATTTTACAGGGAAGCCCTACTCGGACGCAGTCACGCAGCACTCCTCGCCTTCTCAACATCCGCCTCCTTAATCTCCCTCGAAACGCCAGTATCTGCGACCTTCCCAGTCGCCGCCGCAAGCCCAACTTCTTTGATAAACCCCAAAGCGCCCACCTGGTGGAGCCAGTAAGAGATGTAGTTTGTTTTCACCTCGATCTGAGCCATCCTTGGATCATCCGCGCTTCCGTCGTGCTTCCCATCACCAAGATCTCCGAACCAAGCCTTCGTGGCAGTGCTCCACAGCTCCTTGATGCGAGGATCGTCGTTGCTAGAGGTAACAACTTTTCCAGCGACGGACACCCAGTCTTGATTTTTAAAGTCTTGAAAGGTGATCTGGACCACGGCTGGAAAATTGTGTTAGTAGAGATATATATCTACAGGATTGTAGCCAGACGTACGGTTCTCTTTGATGTCGTTGAACTTGTTGCTGTGGAGATTGGCGAGGAAGAGGAAGTCAGGGCCCACGCGTTTGGCTACGGCCATGGAGCGGGCAACGGGACCTAGAATACAGTGTCAACGGGCGGATCTTTTGCGAGGGAGGAAAAAGATGATATACGTACCAACACCATTCCTGAATGTGCTAAGCAGCCCGATCTTCTTGCTGTCAACTAGGTCGTAGAACTCTTTCACTTGCTGGTCCTTGGGCGTTTCGTTATCATACTGCTTGGCCACCGACGGGTCGGTCTGAGAGGTGATCTCTTGCCTCGTGAGTGTATCTGGCATTCTGAAAGACGTTGATTGGGAGAATTGACGACCGGCAATGATACAAATTTGGTGGTTCTGAAAAGAAGTAAACGGTAGTCTGATAAGTGCTTGCTTTGGAATTGTACGAGAAGCTAATCTTGTGAGCGCAGGACGATGAAGTCTCACAGAATTCATCCTCTTATGTACGTAAACACAGCTATAGAAAATGACGTTTTTATCACGAATACATAGTCTCGTCGTCGAGATATGGAGTCAAAATGACGACGTCCTATGTACGCGTCATACACACCTCGGTCTTTGGGCGTGCTAAGCATGCGCCTTTTCGGGCTCTCGTATTGATTTGACCGTGAGTTCTTCTAGCTATTGCGGATACCGGAGATGCTAATTGCGGGGTAAACTTGTCATTATATCGCTCGAAGCGTGTTGACAGTGGACGTGATCTCGAAATCACGTGGGCCGGAAAGTGAAAGGCGGCTTCTCGCACGGCCCACCATTCAGCCACTACGAACATCACTTCTTTAATGCCAGGTAGCATCTTGGAGAACTGTAGTTGAAAGAGCTAACAGAAATGTTTAACAGCGCCGTCTGACGTCGTAGACAGATTGCCCTAAATTGCGAGCTCCTGCATCGCACGAGTTTTAGGAGTGTGTTGAAACATCCTCGACTATTTTGAGAAAGTATACGCCGCAGACCTGTGATAAGCTCACTCACATCCCTGGGAAAGATGCTGTCACAGATGTCGTTCTCCATGCAAGAAACTCCTCATCGGGCCCGTGATACGTTTCCGCCCATCTCCACGGCACCTAGTCTGCCGTGCCACACGGCGCGGCAAGCCACCCGCTGCGCGTCACTCTCAAACCCATAGCTTATGCAGCTCTGGTGTGTCCTTACCTCGACCACACCGGTTGGATAACCTGACACACTGCAGCAGAGCACCTTACCTATTCTAACACAATACTCTGTACGCAGCAGTTAGACGATCAATACTATGAACTAGGCATTTTGAGTAAGATAGCGAATCGAATTTCCGCAGTGATATCGCCGATTCACACTTCAGACATCCTATCCCTACCATCTTTAGAGCCAAAAAAGAAAAAAAGGCCATACCAGGCTCCCGCCACGCCCATTCCCAGCAGCCCAAGCTCCTCAGAATGCTACTGCAACCAACTTCGTGCTTCCTATCCCAATTTGATAACTCTCAGAAGCCCCCCTGTCGAAGAAATCGCTCCTACAAAACGCCTGGCTGTCGATCGAAAGAAGACATGGCCTGTCTTATATCTCGAAGGCATCGCTGGAAATAGAAGATTTAGAAGGTGAAGGACCACATCACGACTGCGCAATGCCCAATCCAACTCTCCCTTCTCCAGCATCAGCTCCCGCTGATCCGCTTGCACCGCCACCACTACCACCGCGGCCCATCTCCCTAATTCTCCTCCCCTCCATTAACCCTCTCAACCCCCTCTTTTGCAGTCCCACGACCGCGCTCAGCTCCCCAGCCCACACCTCCCTCTCGCTGCCAATACCACTAGCACTACCGATCTCGCTGGCAGAGGTACTAGTGCTAGTACTCGCACTACTAACCTCATCGTCTTGCTGTGTCCTCGCCCCGTTGCCACTAACATCGGTATTGATCCTCAGCGCACGGAGTCCAGCATCGAGCGAGCGCGCGGCGGCGGCGCTGGCTCCGTCGCCAGAACTACTTCCAACACCATTTCCAGCTGAATCTGGTGAAAGCGAGTTCGCTGACGCTGCAGATAGAGCGTCGAGGCCTAGACCGGCGCCGTTGGTAACGCCGACGAATGTGACGCCTGAGCCGCCTCCGGCAGCCATGGCCGCAGCATTAAAAATGGCGGCGGTGTTGCGGCCATCGAGGAGGACGTGTAGACGCTCAACTATGGCTTCGAGGAGGCCGTCAATGTGGTAGGGTCGGGCGAGCTGTAGGAGGGAGCAGAGGATCTGTGGACTGCAAAGTTGGGAGGACGGGGGTGGTAGTGAAGAGGTGTATAGATAGTGGATCAGGGCTTGGATTGTTAGATGAGTGTGCGGGAGGTAAAGAGTGCGGGGCCTGCTCGCGGGGAGGGGGGCGCGAGGTTCGGGTGGATCGAAGGATGAAGGTACACCGTTTTCTGTGCCGGTGTTGTTCGTGAGTGTTGTGGCATTCGAGTAGCTGGTCTTGACAGAGGGCGTAATGGTGATGCTGGAGTTGCGGGATGGGAGCGTTGCGTTCGATGGACGAAGGGTTGCAGTGTCAGCATTTTCATGCGTGTTGCTGCCTTCGCGAAGAAGGTGGTTGAAGTAAGGGCCCCATCGTCGTGCGACAAGGTGCGAGTTCACTGGGATGCGCTCACCGCCCATGGCTAGAAAGTCCATGTCCGCGAGTTCGCGGATGCCCAAGGCCAATTGGCCCATTTCTGCAGCAGCTGAAAAAAGCTGCCGACCACCCGCCTTCCCGTCCAGATACTGTGTAGGTATAGGCGAACTGATAGAGTGATACGCCGAATTAGGGGCGGATTTGCGGGGGTTATCGTAGAGACCAAACGCTTCTAATTCAACAACACAAATGTTGGAGAAGTTGATGCGACGGTGATTATAGTCCTCCACGAGATTACGTTTGCGATTTCCGAGAATGACAAAGCAATTGCGCCGGTTCCATAAGACGCCGCGATTCCAGCTCCCCTGGCTGAAGATGCTGCCGCCTGCATCTATTCTACTCCAAGTAAGAGACCGAAGGTCTAATGCCCATAGAGCATACTCTTGCTTGGAGGACGTCAGAAAGGTTCCACTGACAACAAAATGGTTGTCTATTATCCCACCATTCGGAAATCGTAAGCCTGGGGGCGAGAAATTCCCATGCATAGGTTTTTCGGATAGTGTGCCATCGGGTAGTCTGACTTGAAGTTCAAGCCTTACATCTAGGAAGTTGTAGTTGGAGTATATGAGCATGGAAGAGCCTCCTTCGGTTCCATCTTCTGAATTTGTCTCTTCGGCTTGAGCTTCACCGCTTTTCCTTGGTCCAGTGCCAATCTTCGACGGTTCCATGGTGCTCAAGGGCGCTATAACGCTCCTGTATGCTCCGCAGCTCCTTCCCAGGGTATTGGTAGCTGTCCACTTCAGACTCCTAAGGTTGAACACGCTAATTTGCTCGATATAGTGATTCGCGCTATCTTGGCCGCCGACGACAACCATCTCTGCGCCACCGTTTCCATCCAGCTGGACCCCAAGTGAGCCCTGGTTGGGATTTGTAGAGGGAGGATTATGCTGTATGGCCGCCATTGGAGCACTCGCGGATGCGAATACAGCCGACGATGGCAGGATAGTTGCGCAATGTGCGTACCGTCCTTGGGGTGAGTCAACAGTGGCAATATTCATCCATGTCCGGGTAGGCACATCGTAGATGTGTATATCTGACATTACAACAACCTCGGGCTGAGCATCTGCGGCACTTCCTTGTTGAGGTGGAGCTGGCTGAGCGGTTTGCGGAGCGGCTGGAGACATTCCTCCGTAGCAGACTAGTTTTGTGTCGCCCAAAGCACAGACGCTGTGGAAATATCGCGGCGGAGGTATATCGCCTTTAGTGTCAAGTTTGGTCCAATGCCTCCTGACGAGGTCAAGCTCGTACAGATCCGCGGTAAGCTGCGGCCGTGTCCGCGAGAGTCTCCTCCCGCCAAAAACATAGAGCTTGTCTCCTAATATAGTAGTCGTAGCCCCAACTAGAGGATGAGGTTCCCTGCCAGTAGTCCGATGCACATTGCACACCAGCCCAGATAGCCCTGATGTCGAGTTGGAAGGCGTAGAAAGACCGGCTGTTTGTAACATGGCCGGAGATGGGCCTCCAGAAGCGCCGCCAGATCCTGGCGTCCGAATTGAGGCACTCATGGGAGGCCGTTCGTTACCTGCTTCCGCACCATCTGGCCGGTTCAAGCTGGTTTGGCTGCTATTCACACTTGCAATATACGTGCCGGAAGCGTTTTGGAATTGGGCCGAATACAGCTGATTTGGCGAAGGGGCTGCGGTTTGAGAATCTATAGTATTCGTCCTGCTCGAATTTGGCGTCTGACGAGCCATGACGGCAGTAGCGTGTTTTGACGAAGCAAGAGGGGAAGAAAGAACTAGTGTTCCACCACTCTCGGAGGTGAGCGGCAAAGCTGATTGGTTTTGGATAGGTGCGGCCCAATTTGGTATCAAAATCTCAACATGCCTGGACTTGGCAGTGGTTGAGTTTGCAGACACGTTCCGGCTAGGCAAGGGGAGGTCTGCGATGCTGGGAGAATATCTAGTGAGACTTGAGCGGTAGGTGCTGGCGTCTGCTGAAGACTTCGACGGGTTGGAGTCGGTAGAATAGCACGCGCTATTGGGTGCTACGCTCGGGGCATAGTGTGGAACGACAATGGGAACGTGCTTTGGCCGGGATGACGAAGACGGAGGATTGACGTTAGAAGCTGGCGAGTAACCAAGAGAGACACGGCGACCGTCCGGTGAGTAGATGCGACGACAGACGCGGGCAAGGGAGATTGCAGCGAAACGGTGATGTTGCGCCCTGTCAGCACTGGGAAGACGCTGCTGCTCCTTCGCGGGCTGCTTCAAAGGTGGATTCTTAGCGGTTTTCTTGCGGCGATTCCAAATAGAGTCCTCGTCCCTCAGCGGGGTGGTGGCTCCCACAGGGGAGTATACGAAGACGCCTATCGGTATCATGGTCAGCACAGGCGTGATGAGCAGAGGTGATGAGACTCGAACAAGGCAAATCAAAAAGCAGACCGCACACAGCAAGGACCATCGCAGTGTTCAAATACCTCGTGACCGCAGGCGTTGGCGGAGCACTGGCGATCACCAATTCACCAGTTCAGCAGCAGCCGCATGGCTCCAAGAGACTCCAGCCGAGGGGCTGGGGCCTCCCACCTCCGTCACAGCGCAGCACCGGCAGCGAAAGCGGCTCTACGGCCTCCATCGCCGCCTGTAGCACTATATGACATGGTCGAGGAGCTGCGGTGACACTGCGAGGGTGGTACCGGGGGGTCCAGGACGCCGCTTCACAGTTTGCAGGCCGCGCTGCAGGCACATGGAGAGAGAGACGCGGCGCGGAGGGGGACAAGGAGAGAGCGGCACCTTACACTGGCAATCGTACGCTTCACACGCGGGCCGGAGACACGGTGTTGAGCTGGCGGCGACGCTGCTCGGGCGCACAGTAGGATGGAGGAGGCTGCCGTGAGGTTTCTCAGACCCAGCCTGGCGGAGGACGGTGCGGCGACTCCCTCGGCGGCGCGCGCTCAAAGAGGCTAGACGGCGCTGGAGAATGCAAGGGCTTCTTTCGACCGTCAACAAAGCTAGAGTCTGCTGCAACAGGTCTGAAAGAAGCTGCCAGCGCCGGCGGGACGAATCGCAGCCGTGAACAGACAATGGAGGACGTCGGTGGTGCGGGGCTCTGTCCGATGGAGGGGCGGACGGGGCTTCGTATAGGGCACTGGCGCTATGATTCGAGAGCGTTTTGCGCACCATTTCCAGGCGCTCAGCTGGCTTTTCAATTCAGTATGCCCCTTTTGGCGCGAATATTGACTCATAGGCAGCGGGCTGGGTGCTGGCCAGACTGGACGGGAGGCTGTTCAGCTGCAAAATCACTCAATAAAGGGTCCCAATGGTGTATTGACCGCACAAACACTGCTTTCTGCGCATGGTGCTGGCAGACGGGGTCGTCCCTGACAATGACTTCACTGATCATTTCTTCCCATGGTCCCGTTTCAGTCCTGCCCAAACGAGGGCTCAACTCTGAACGTACGGCACTTTTGTTCTAGAAGGAGGGGTGGATTCAGTCTAACGCAACCGCTAGTTCTACCGCCAGCCCGCATTTCGGTCCAAAATCCTCCTTCCAGGCTGGGGACACCCCGTACTTTCCAATAAACCGTCAGACTTCAGGGTATGTAGGCACTCCTATGAAAGCAATCAACCCGCATGAACGCCCCTCATGCCTATGAACAACTCGCCCGCAACTTCCGTCACCGAGTCGGCCTCTAGGCTGCGGACGTCTTCTCCTTGGGCAGCGGCGTGAATCGCAGGTACGGCTTGACGATCTTGAAGTCGGGGAACAACTCCTTCGCCAGCTCGTTGCTGACCGAGGGGTGGACGATGACGTCGTCACCAGGCAACCAGTTGATAGGGGTGGTGATGCGGTTCTTGTCGCCAGTCTGCAGCGAGTCGACCACGCGCAGGACCTCGGCGGTGTTGCGGCCAGTAGACGCGGGGTATGAGAGGATGAGGCGGATGGTCTTCTTGGGGTCGATGATGAAGACGGATCGGATGGTGAAGGCGATGCCCTTGGAGTCGACGTTGGTGGTGTCCTGGTGGTCCAGCCTGCGCAACTGTCAGTAATGCTTCTCGACACCGGAGCTTTCTGACTTACATGTCGTAGAGGTAGGCCACCTGCCTCTGCTTGTCGCCGATGATGGGGAAAGACACCTTGCCGCCGGAGACCTCAGCGATGTCCTTGATCCATCCGCCGTGGCTCTCGACGGTGTTCGCAGACAGGCCGATGAGCTTTACGCCGCGCTTGGTGAATTCGGGCTCGAGCTTGGCGAATGCGCCGAGCTCGGTGGTGCAGACGGGCGTGTAGTCCTCTGGGTGAGAGAACAAGACCACCCAGTTGTCGCCAATGAAGTCGTGGAAGTTGATGGGGCCATTGGTGGTCTCAGCATCGAAGTTAGGAGCAATGCTTCCGAGGCGGAGGGGCGTAGCGCGGTCGGCCATTGTGCAGCTGAGCAAACGTTACTAGGGCCAACACGGCAAAAGCAGTGGCGGAGTACGCACTCTTCGATTGGTCAAGATGTCGAGAATGTCTGAGAGGCGTCTACACGACTGGAGGCTGCTGATGTATTGTGAGAGACGAGGAATAGTGCTGGATAGAGGTTTGAGTGAGGAGGGGCAGACAGCGGGGTCGAGGGTTTTATATCGGGGGTGAATGGCCTCGTTTTCGACGGTTCGGGCTAGTCATCGATTGCGTGATGAGAGCGTGCAATTGCCCCAGGAAAAGAATTCTGCCATCGCACGTCGAGCATACTGGCCAATCTGCAGCGCGAGAAGGGGGCGGTCTGGCTGCTTCAAGACAAGCAGCGCTCGGCGTGAGCTCAAGGCCGGGGTGCTGGCATAGGAAAGTAATCTTCAACTGCGCGGGCGGCCTGCGATGTTGTGATGGCCACCCCACCCACAGCTTCTTGGAGCACAAAGCACGACATTTTGGAACCATACAAAGCGTGGCCTCGCCGACCTAGCGACGCCTCATTGAAGGCAGTATTTGGGATAGCTCGCTAGAGCACTCCACGCCGTACCTAGTCTCAGCATTCAACTTCTATGGAGGGAACTGGTTGCAGATTACTTTCAGAATGACATACAGCACCATTTCCTTCTGCTCGCACCGTGGCTGTTGCGCCTGGGATAGCTTAAGACTCGTTACAGCCTCACAATGCCTGCCTGAGGTGGGGAAAACTCGGACAATGCCCCTCCATGACCCCGCCAGCTCAGTCCGCGGACTTGGCACCACCACCCTCTCGACCTGCATCTTCTCCATACCATACCTAGACCTTCGCAGCCCGGCCCGGTTCTCGGAAATAACGCTTCGTAAGTCGAACCCTCGCAGCCACCGGGTTCCCAAGACAGCATTGATGCTCCCGACGATGACCAGGGCTCCCGCTGCTAGACAGCTTTGGCCCAATAAGCTCGCCGCTTCCCTTGAACGGTGCATAGTTCGCGATCCACTAGAGCTAAGTGCGTAGTGGGTAGGTGGAACCGTCGACTTCAGGATGCTAAGGTAAGTCACTTCTTCTCGGCCTACACGCCCCCTCCTTTTTCTTACAATTCTCCATCTTCATCTTTCTCTTGCTGTCTTGTCTTGTCCGTGTACTGCTACCACTGCGATCCCGCAATGGCCGACCCCGAAGTGGGACTACCCAAAATGTCATCCCAGCTCCAGGTATCCGGACATAACGCGGGAATAACCCGCTCGGCCCCTCCCATTTTGCCCATTGAGAAAGAGTTGGAAAAATATGATCCAGAGGACAGGAAGGCCATTGAGGATGTCGACGACGACAGCCAGGGCGACATCGTCTGGCACTATCTCACCTTTGAGACTGAACTGCCGTCTCCTACGTCTACATACATACTAGAAGGGCAACAATCTCCACCGAAGCCTCCCGATCTTGTGAAATACACGTCGCCTTTCGAGTGGTCGAAGCTGAGAAAGAAGCTGATCATATGGGGTGCATGCGCTGCGACTGCGATAACAGCTTTTTCCGCCGGCTCGTACAGTCCAGGTGTAGGACAAATGACAAAAGAATGGCATATCAGCGACGTTGCAGCTCTTGTTGGGATCACGACGTTCACGACAGGATTCGGAGTAGCTCCGATGGTCCTTGCTCCATTCTCTGAGATCCACGGTAGGAAGCCAGTCTTCCTCGTGACCGGCCTCCTCTTCGTTGTCTGCCAGCTTTGCTGTGCCCTTACGCGATCGTACGGGGGGATGCTCGTAGCTCGTTTCTTCCTCGGTGTTGGCGGCTCGACATTCTCCACGATGGTCGGAGGAGTCGTAAGTGACATATACCACACCGAGGACCGCAATACGCCTATGGCATTATTCTCTGGCGCAGCCCTTTTCGGAACAGGTCTGGGTCCTCTAGTGTGCGGATGGATCGCCCAGAACACAACTTGGCGCTGGATATTCTACCTTCAAACAATAACATGCGGTGTTCTCATCGGTGCCGTCTCCATTACTTTCAAAGAAACCCGAGGAAGCGTCCTGCTGAGTAGGAAGGCTAGAGCACTCAATAAGTGGTACGAAAATCGCGAAGAAGCCGGCTTTTATGGCTTCAACATGGCAGATGCATCCTCCAAAACCGGCTCCATGGCCTCTCAGCGCATTAGATGGAAAGTCAAGTCGGACGAAGAGCGTAGCAGTTTGTCCAAGTCGATCGGCATATCCCTCTATCGTCCCTTCCACCTGCTCGTCACTGAACCCGTAGTGTTCTGGTTCTCTCTCTGGATATCATTTAGCTGGGCCGTATTATACCTCACACTAGCCGCCATACCTCTTGTATTCCAGGATAGGTACAACTTCAGCCTCGAACACGCAAATGCAGTATTCGCGGCAACTTGCATCGGCGCCATCCTCGCCACCGTGCTTTCCATATACCAAGAAAAGATCGCAAAGCGGCACGGAAAGCTAGCCTCAACGCCAGAAGGCCGTCTTTATTTCGCTTGTGTCGAGAGCGCTCTCATGCCCATTGGTCTCTTCATGTTCGGCTGGACTGCCTCTGGTTCTATCCACTGGATTGTCCCTTCGATTGCCATTGCTATTGCGACAATGGGTATCTTCAGCATCTACCTCGCTGTCTTTAATTACTTGGCGGATACGTATCACCGCTATGCTTCCTCTGCGCTCGCGGCCCAGAGCTTTTGCAGAAATATTCTCGGTGGCATATTCCCGCTCATTACGACGAAGCTGTATCAGAATCTGACGTACGGCGGTGCGAGTAGCTTGCTGGGTGGGATTGGCACTGCGTTGACGCTAGTTCCTTGGATACTAGTTTTCTATGGTCCGCGAATAAGAGCACGGTCGAAATTTGCTTCAGAGCAGAGATAATGGAGTGAAAGCGGCGGAGTCTTGGTTGCAAACTGATATAACCGAAGGCCAAGTGCTGTTGTAGCACGAGAGGCCGGGTATGAAATCCGCGAACGTGCGGACTTTCCAGCCCTAATGAAAGGATCCCAGATGTACGGACCAGCCTCGTTCTGGTTGAGTTATTTCTGAATGGGAATTGAATAAGCTACGCATACCTGCTCAACACTTCTTTGCAACTTGACGACTCTGAGGTGGGCGATGAAGGTTGCAATTGCTCAAATATGTGAGGGACGAAGGGATGGAGAAGTTGCTGTGGCAGTGGAGCCATAACAGCTTGGTAGAATAGCTTTCGGTGGTACCCCGCCGAAGTAGAGAGAAACAGCCGTAGTTACCTTAGAGCTTTCTACACACTATAATACCTACAAGTCTCCGTATGCATATTATTCCCTTCCTCCCGAATCGGGCCATACGGCGCCAGGCAAATCCAGCAGAACTGATGCCTACATTTCGAACCTGCCACACTTATCAGCACGTTACCACAGTGAGCAAGAAACTAAACCCACAAGTCATATGATCACACCCAGACATCTTCTCCACATTCCCCTTACACCCAGGACACTTCTTCGCCGTCTCCTGAATCAGCCTCTCCGACGCCCGCTCCTCCTCCATCTTCTGCGTCCCATCCGTCCGGTAATCAAACTCCGCACACGTCTCCCCCTCATGCCATCGCCGATTGTGCACTACGCAGTACCGCCGCTGACAGGCGATGCACTCGAACTTCGGCGACTCGTACCCGGAGTCGTGGACTTGGCCCGAGGTGCAGTTTTTGCTGGGGCACCAGTGGAAGCCGGGGATAGCTTCGAGGGCCGCTTTGGTGGAGAGGCGGTCGTACCTAGGGGGAGCAGCTCGATTAGTACAGTGGAGAAGTAGGGGCGATGGGGGCATGTACTTGCGAAATATAGAGGAGGGCGCGAATTGCTTCATGTCCTCGTATTGCATTCGCTCGCGGCATTCTGGACAGTCGATCTGGTCCCAGACTTTGCCCTCGAACTCAGATGTGATCCATTGCCTCAAGCAACGCGTGCAGGTTTGGGCGTCGTGTGTGCAGGAGGAGGTTGGTGCGCAGGTGGGAAAGTGGCGCGCAGTTTTGGGTTCTGTGCAGACGAGGCATTCGATTCTTGGTTTATTGTCTTTAGGAGGTGTCTCTATATAATCGAACGAACTGTCATGACGGGATGATGGGCCTCGCCGAGAGGCAGCTATCTTCTTTGACGGCTTACTTCGAGGTACTCTTTTTGGATCGTTGCGTTTCTTCTGGCTTTTAGTCTTTCCAGGCAAACGGTCCCGGTAGGTGTCAGAAGATAGTATATCAGGGTCCCTACGCTTGCGCCGCGGTGCTACTTTGGTAGTTGTGTGATCGGAATACAGGCCACTGATCGAGGCTGAAGCTTTTTTGCTCTGCGCACGGCTTTTTTGATGTGATGTGTGCTGTGAGCTGATGGAGAAGCCGTGATCACGCCGCTTCTTTGGTTTTAGATGCGATGCTTCGGGCTTTGCTGCTGCTGTTCGAGTACGAGCGGGATTTGCTTTTGGTTCCGAAGCTTTACTACGTCTAGCTTCATCTGAAGATTGCTTTCTATGTGACGTAGGCTTTCTTTCTCTTGATGATTGTGTTCGTTCGGCGTCGTCCGGTATTAGCCTTGTGACTGCTTGACCCATCTTGAAGCTTTGAGAGGTGTGAAGAGAGGATATTACGACAAGGAAGTATAAATAGAAAATATCGATATCAATCTCGTTACTAGAGTTAAAACCCGGATGAGAACGGAGGTAGCAAGACGCCTATCAAGGCAACCTCAAAACAACAAGGCTGAGTCGACAATAACATTCATGCCTCTCGACGGTCGCGTGAACTTGATATATATGTACCAGATAACACAGCTTTCGGCTGATAGCAAGAAAAAGGCGAAACATGCGAACGATTGGTTACGAGTGCTGATGGATTGCGATGCAAGGCAGACGGATGATGAGTCTAGGTCCATGTATGGTCGAGCGGGGTTGTCGACACCCTGGACAGATGAGGTTCACCGGTCAACGCTCTACTAGCAAAGCGAACCTCAGGCCGCTATTGAAATAGAGCCTTCTTTTGCGAGCCGTTCCCACGACATGGAATACATGACAGAGCCTAATGTTGAAACCTAAGGTTGCTATGATTGAGGCTACGTATTGTCCACAGTGCCTTCTAAGCTTGGAAGAAGCTGTGCACATTCTACTGCTACTGCTGTTCCATGATAAGCTCTGGCTCTAAGAACATACATACTCGCCATGGACACGTAGTGACTTAACAAAGTTTACAAAAGTTTGAACTCGAAAACTCGTCCACGAGTACGGAGTAGTTCTTTCTGGTTCATACATTCTAAACAGGCCATGAACACCCCTAACAGTAGCATACAGAGCCGTAGCAAGTGTACCAATAGCACTAATGCACTTTATAATAAGCATTTGTGTATTGTAAAAGCGAGAAGATGGCGGGGCGTAGAATAGCTTCGGACCGCTCTTTTTCCGCGCGGACCGACGTCGCAAGCGGGCGGTGACTTCATCTTCAAAACTTTTCCCAGGTTGAGTAAATACACACAACCTCAACATCAATTGCTGCTATGGCAGACTATTCCCGACCCACGACGCCAGACAGCAGCAGCAATGGCATTGCCACTCCTCGCACGCCGCGTCCAACAGGCCTTGCGCTGACTGAGTACTCGGCGAACCCTTCCCCACCGTTAGGGTCACCAAAGCCAAAATCCGCGCCAGCAGTCCCAGAAGCCTTTCTGCTGCCCAATGGCTACCCAGATGTATCTACCTGGCTGTCCTCGCTGCTGTGCAGCTTCGTGGAGGTTGTCTGACTAGCGAGCAGTATTTGCGACTGATCCTTACCTCACGCGTCTACGAAGTCGTGAAAGAGACGCCGTTGACTCATGCCACGAACCTGAGCAATCGCCTGGAGTGCCAGGTCTTGCTGAAGAGGGAGGACCTACAACCGGTGTTTAGCTTCAAGCTGAGGGGGGCGTACAACAAGATGGCACATTTGGATTCGAAGGATCGGTGGAAGGGCGTTGTCGCGTGCTCTGCAGGTATACTTGATGTGTCAAGGCTCTTGAAGACCAACGAGCTAATTGATATCAGGAAATCATGCGCAAGGTGTAGCATACTCCGCCAGGAAACTCAAGATCCCAGCCACTATCGTCATGCCTTCCGGTACACCAGACATAAAGCATCGCAACGTTTCGCGACTGGGGGGGTCAGTCGTCCTTCATGGCGATGACTTTGACGCAGCAAAAGAGGAGTGTCACCGGCTCGAAAAGCTACATGGCCTAGTGAACATCCCACCCTTCGATGACCCCTATGTCATTGCAGGCCAGGGAACCATCGGCATGGAGCTTCTGCGTCAAACCAACCTCCAGGAATTAGAGGCAGTCTTCTGCTGCGTAGGAGGAGGCGGCCTTATTGCTGGCATTGGTGTTTATATTAAGCGTATAGCGCCGCACGTCAAGATCATCGGAGTTGAAACGTACGACGCAAATGCACTGGTACAATCTCTGCACGAAGGGCGGAGAGTGGTGTTGAAGGATGTTGGCCTTTTTGCTGATGGTGCAGCAGTCAAGACCGTCGGAGAAGAAACCTTCCGCATCTGCCAAGAGGTCGTTGACGAAGTCATTCAAGTCACTACGGATGAAACATGTGCTGCCATCAAAGATATCTTTGAAGACACCCGTTCCGTCGTCGAACCAGCCGGCGCACTCTCCCTTGCCGGCCTCAAGAAGTACGTCGCCCGGAACCCGTCACCCAACTCTTCCCGTGGCCTCATAGCTATCGCATCTGGCGCAAACATGAACTTCGATCGCCTACGATTCGTTGCTGAGCGTGCTGCGCTCGGTGAAAACAAAGAGGCTCTTCTTTCCGTGACCATCCCCGAACGTCCTGGCGCATTTGCCGCCCTGGTAAAAGCTATTCACCCAATGCAAGTCACCGAGTTCTCCTACCGCTATTCCTCTGCCGATGCCGCCAATATCCTCGTCGGTGTCTCGCTCAACGCTGCATCCCGCGCCGTCGACCTCGCAGACCTTATCCACCGCCTGGGTTCCGACAATATGACAGCAACCGACCTTTCCGGCGACGAACTCGCCAAATCGCACATCCGGTATCTCGTCGGCGGCCGCAGTGGGGTTTCCGATGAACGACTATATACGTTCGAATTCCCTGAGCGACAGGGCGCGCTTTACAAATTCCTTACGACGCTGCAACCTGGCATGAACATCAGTCTCTTCCACTACCGGAACTACGGTGGCGATGTGGCGAGAGTGTTGGCAGGGATCCAGTGTCCCGCTGCGGATGAGGAGCATCTCAGCAGATTCTTGAAGGAAATTAGGTATCCGTTCACCGAGGAGACGAATAGTGCGGCGTACAAGATGTTCCTGAGAAGTTAAATATAAACACGATAAATGTTGGGGGATGTTGGTTTGATTTCTGGAGTTCTTTAGATAGGTTGGTTTCGGGCGGCTTGGGGCTGAATGCTTTTGATATCCTGACTAAAAGTTGGTAAGACTTGGTCTCTCTTGAAATCTACCTTGATAGGAGGCCAAATTTGACTAGAGCCTCAATCAGAGGGCTCACTTAATCCTTTTCCAACACACCCAGTACCCATTCTAGTCTCAACTTTAGGCTTTCATCATGATCTGACTGTATGTTAACCAAGCACCTTTCAACCCAATACCGTTAACGGCATCGTCATCTCCCAGGAGGACGGCGAGGAGAGCAATTTCATATTTGCTCAGTACAACATGTGCAGATTCGGGTATAGATGACCCAAGTCGAGAGCAACAGGAAAGAGCGCTACTTGAATTATCGTCTAGACCTTGCCTAGATCTCTATCACGCGTGCTTAACGACGTGTCGTCGTTCACCCCTTTGATAGTTTCTCACCGCTTCAAATTCGGCTTATTTCCTTATGCCTTGCAATCGACGCCTTTATTTTTGAGCTAGTTCCCGCGCATGGAACCGGCCTTTCGTTCGCCCAGGCCTTATCGTCATGTGGCCGAAGCACTTGTCGTTGTCGAGTTAGCGGCTTCACCAGGAAGTAAGGCATAAAGACTGCGCCCTATGAGTTCCGAGGTGGAGCCCCCATTCATTGGGCTTTGTATAGGGAAGCTTTTTAGTTGTGGATATTCTCAGTGTATATGGTGTAGACATGTCCTGTCCTGAGTATCTGATGGAGCTACCTACGGCGTTCCTTACTGAATTCCGCAGCCGTCCACGAAGCATCGAACCACCACCACCTTGACGTGATCGTCTTCTTCATCAATGCGGCTATTGTGAAGGATTCATAAATCTGGCTATCGTGAAGGAATATTCTTCGAGAGTGAGCAGTTTGAAAATCCTGCGACACGTTTCGATTTCAGGTTATCACTCATGATTTACGCCCCGATCTCCCACTGAATACTTCACTTCTTCGAAGCTTTAGCACAGCACGTGAAACTAGATCTGTAACGGTTGTAAGGGGAGATAATAAATCACCACAAAGAGTCATATGCTCTGGTGGTTGCTCATCATTCATGCTTTGACCTCCCGTCGACCACTTCGCTCTCCCTTTGAGTCAACAACGCGGAGTATTATGAAACGGCGATGAAGAATATCCAACGCAATGATTCATTACTGTAAGAGCGAGAATCCTGCAATGTTTTTCGACACCGAAAAGTTGGTGATGAACCCCGCCTTGACCTCCCACCGACCATTTCGCACCCCTGAAGGCTCAACGCAATAAACAAAGGTAAAACTGCCATGATGACTGGCATAGAAGCAAACCCGTGGACACATCGAAAAGCCAAGAATTAGGGGGGCTGCAGATATATAAGGATTGGGTCTGAAGGGTGGGACTTCTTCTTCTTCTTCATCCATCTACAATCTTCAACCAGCAATCTGTCCGCTTCTAGCCACCTGTTATCACAGTGAGGTATCACATCCCACTGTTATCTTTACGTCCACCTTCTCTATATAAGCCCACCTTCTCCTCAGCAGCCCACCTTCTCTACAACAATCCATCTTCTCTACAGCAATCCACCTTCTCTAGAACAGTATCACTTTGGAGACAGTCAGTCTTCCACCTCATCCACCATGACGCAAGTCCTGTCTAGGTACAACAATATCCTCAAGATGGAAAAGATTGAGGAAGTCTATCCACTGGCCAGAGATGATATGGAGTCGAGGAGGTCTGCTACTTCATGTTTCCCACGTCTGAATCCAACTGACATTGCCAGACTGAATGCCCAACATCTGCTGACCGTCAAGGCTTGCGATGGCCACCTCCTAGATCCCTCCATTCCTCGTCATGGAATTCGCTCCGTGGCAGATGTCGCTACCGACACCGGGTGCGCCATCTCCAATACCACAAAGCTCTCGCCCACGTATACTGACATCATCCAGAATCTGGCTCACCGACTTCGCCAACGAGCTCACCACCTCCACATCTGACTCTACAAACTCCCCCTTCGAATTCACAGGCTTCAACATCTCCACCGCCCAATTCCCCAAGGAGGCCAAACCGGGTTTCGCCTTCGTAGCCCACGACATGACCACCCCATTCCCCGCTCAGTACCTCGCCCGCTACGACGTCGTGCACGTCCGCCTCGTCTTCAGCGTCATCGTCAAGGAGCAGTATCCCGCCGTCGCAGAGAACCTCCTCGCTTTGCTGAGTATGCCCACCAGATACAGATCCCCACTCTTAATTCTTTGAATAGTGACTGACACCAACCTTAGAGCCTGGCGGATACATCGCCTGGACCGAATACCAGCTCGACTCTATCCACGACATCTGCCCCTCCTCAATCCTCACTCAGTTCAAGTCGATCTTCTGCAAGTTCTTGGAATCGGCAAACCTGAGCCTGAAGCCTATGAAGGAGATCCGCGCCGCGCTCGAGGCGAACAAGGTCGAGAACATCGTCGAGCACGACTATGTCACTTTCCGCCAGCCGGATCTTGCGGTAGAGACGCAGGCGTGGCTCAAGGCTGCATTCAGCGCGCTGATTCCGACGGCATGGGTGCGGCTGGGCGAGGAGAAGACTATCGAGGCTGCTGCGGCGAAGTGGCCGAGCTATGAGAGGAAGATGGAGGAGGCGTTTGAGGAGGGCGTGGTGCCGGCGTGCCCGGTCAAGAGCATTGTGGCTAGGAAGGAGGGTTTGAAGGCTCTTGAGGAGCTGTCAGCTGAGGAGATGTGGCAGGTTCTGGCAGATGGTGGCTGGTGTTGTGCAGTGAAGCGAGATGGGGAGCTCGGACATAGATGGAGAGCTCGGACATAGATGGGGACGGTCCGGAAAAGGCTCAAATACATTTGCAAGTGATAGAAAGGACTCGGAATAGATTGGGAGATAGGGTCTAGATTGGAATAGAAAAGGATGCCTTCAATAGAATACATCAACCAGCTCGGCGATCTTGTGGTGCCCCATTTGACGTGCCACGCCTTCTGGAGTGCCTTTCGGACGTTAATCATGACGGCTCCACAGCTCCACGCTCCGCGACGCGCTCCGTTTCCAAGAATGCCTTCATGTTGACTAGAAGGTAGTTTCAAACGGCCCACGGCATAACTAACCCTATATGCGTAGCCTTTCACCTCCCCATAAGATAATCATAGAGCAAAAAAAGAACATCTGCGGAGCAAAACACCACCCTCTTTCGAGGGTGTAGCCACCCCGGAGGGGTTTCTCTCCGCCCGCCCGCGGTATTCTTCAATCCGTCATCTTAACCGGTCACTCTCAGCCTCACGCACCAACTGCATACCGTCTCTTTACCAGGCTTCCAAGCCTCTCTACGAACCAGGCCGCCCGAAGTCAACTCGACTTTTTAACACAAGGGCCGAATCGAGAATCGAACTCAAGACCCAGGTGAGATTATCGACGGTAGTGAAACGCTACCTCGGAAGGTATAATGCCTGCGATCCGGCCGCGGGCTTACACACGATGTGGCCGACCAACTGAGCTGCTGGGCAATTAGTAGATGAAGGGCTTTGCATTTTACTTGAAATATATAGACTGAATGACGACGCTGTAGGCAGATTTGTTGACCCCGGGGGAACTCTGGCCAAGGCCACAACAAACGCGCCCTCTCCCCAACGCAACCTTAAATACCATACTGTTTTATACCTCACGTACCAAAAGGTCCATTCCTTACCTAGACTCCGACCGCGGGCTTACACTCGAGGTGGCCGATTACTAGGCGAATAGGAAGTGCTTGAATAGTGTAGATTGGGTCACTACGCGAGCACCCTTCTCGAGACGGATAAGATCAATGTGGCCTTCTTAGGCAGCAATTCGAAGGGTTGAGGTTCTTTGGCAAGATGAAAGTTCCATGTTTGCCCCTCGCGATAGTGAAAATTCCACGATGTGTGTCTGCCCAATAGTGTTCTATCACCGAGACTAGAGATAGATGGAGAGATAGAATGATTGAGATGGGGAAGACTGCCAGGAAAGAGATATCTTGAAGCACGTTTCGGGCAACCAAAGCTGTGGAAAATTCCGGGCATCGTGCTAAGCCTTATGCCGGCAGCGTCTACCAAGATCTTGCACAGCCATTTATCTAGGGGGTATATCTTAGACCTTCTCTTAAAGTGTCACCTTGCCAGTCTTTATAGCCTGTGGACTGCCGGGGGGTGGGGGTAACATTTGCCAATATCAAAATTCACGAGCAGCTCTTGAAGTGCGCCGAAAGCTATCTTGGGGTGAAAGCACGTCACGATATAGAAGCGAAGAGAGTTGGGCTTAAGTTCATTTAAAGCACCAACGTGGCAACTTTCAGAGCCGGAGAAGGAGATGCAGGATCCTCTATTGTAATTCGTGAAGGTTAAGAAACGTTCCAATCCAACCTGAATAACCTCTTTGCAATTGCGGACTGAGTTGAGTGAAGGAGAAGTGCGAGTAGAGTTAGAGAAGCATTCCCAGGCGATGGCGACCCTCGAAAGAACGAAAACGCGAGGATGCTTTGATGGTGTTTGGTCGTGGTCAAACGCGTTGAGGCGCAGGGCGTCGCGATGAATTGTTCCGGAGCAGGCACCAGCCCCACCACCAAGCTCAAGCTCTCCCGATATCACCACTACGCCCTCAGTCCTCCTCCTTCTTCTCCACACCCTACACTCATCATGGCTACCACCATAGAGCAGGCCCCTTACTTTCTCGAGCGGAAGGAGAAGAATCTGCTCGTCGTCAAAGGTCGGCTTCCTGATCCTCATGATCTTAAACGTCATGCTCATCCTCTAGACCCACCAAAATTCGATTTGGAAAGCTACATTGCCAACTATGAGGGTATACGACCGCCCTTTTCATCCAGATTCCAGCTATCCTTTAACACGTCAATCCATAGGCCGGACACGTCTCAAGCGTCTAGAGCACATTGGCATGTACTCGAGCTACCTTGCCGTGGATGCCTTGCGAATGGCCATCGCAGAAGCCAAGCACGGCGCGGACGAAAACATCTACATCTCCCTCACCGAACTCCTACATTCGATCTCCCCGAAAGACACCATGGCCACACCGGATGTGGAGTGGGCCGAAAAAACCTTCAAAGCCAATAAGCTGAGGCAAGAACAGCTGGAATCTGAGCTCAAGGCCTACAAGAACAACCTCATTAAGGAGAGCATACGGGTAGGCTTCCACATGATGCTCAAGAAGATATCCTTTCGTCTTTATGACTTGTGCATTCATTGCTTGTCACTATGGATAAATTTAAGCTGACAATCTCGATTTTTAATAGATGGGCAACGAAGACCTCGGTCACTTCTACTACAACATCGGCGACCTGGGAAACGCATTCAAGTCTTATTTCCGCATGCGCGAACACTGCACCTCAGCGAAGCATCTGACCGACATGACGATGCGCCTCACATTCGTCGCCATTGCTCAGCGAAACTGGCTCGGCGCGCAATCACATGCTACCAAAGTCGACGCGCAGGTTGCTAAAAACGAAGAGAGGGGAAAGCTCGAACCTGTCATAAACGCTTGCATGGGATTGTCGCACATGTGCTGTAACAGCTTTCGCGACGCCGCTCGCGACTTTCTGAACGTTTCCCCCACGTTCATCACCGCGGACGCCGTTGCTGGGATTAAGTTCCAAAAGGAAGTTCTCACTGGCAATGATATCGCCGTCTATGGCGGTCTCTGTGCGCTTGCTTCCATGGACAGGACGGAGCTACAAGAACGTGTCCTCTCAGACACCGACTTCCGCCAATTTCTGGAACTGGAACCCCACATCCGACGTGCCATATCAGCATTCTGCAGCTCCAAGTACAGCACATGCCTTCAGATACTGGAGGAGTACCGCGCCGACTATCTCTTGGACATCTACCTGGGCCCCGCGGTGACTGATATCTACCACCGTATCCGTACCAAGAGTATCGTGCAATACTTCAAGCCTTTCAGCTGCGTGTCGCTCGACGAAATGTCCAAGAAATTCCAAATTACGGGTGAAGGATACGCCATCGAGGACGAATTGACATCTATGATAACGGCCGGGATTTTGGACGCTCGTATCGATCTTGTGGAACGGCTGCTCATCTCCCCGGCCACGAACGCGCGCCACGTCGTCCACTCTGACGCTCTTAAGATGGCCCAGAGCTATGACCACACCCTACGCCTTCGTTTGACGCGCTTGAACATGCAGAACGCTGGTATGGAAGTGCGCTCCCCTAAGGCCGACATGGAAAAGAACATAGATAGGGGCGAAGGCTTCGGTGGTACTCTGCGACGTTTAGGTCAAGGGTTGGGTGGCTTCTCGTGAAGGACTACGGCATACGAGTGTGCATTTTTCGGCGTTTGGCATATTCGGCGTGTGCAGGCGGGGAAGTATCTGGCGTCTCATGAAGACGATATGATGAGGTAGTGGGATAGAGAGGTCGGTTCGTCCGACCTACGATTAGTGCTAGAAGACGAATGATGATTGAATGGCGACAGCCTCGACTGCGCTGGGTACCTTCACTATGCTCTTCACTAACGTGCTTCCGAATAACACTGCTCCTACCTACCCTACAACCGCCACGGTGGCGGCAGAGGCAGGTGATAGAGCTGGGGTGAGCGCAGTGGTCTACCACGCCTGCTTCCAACAACTTACAAACCACACAGCCTTGTTGGTGATATAGGGGCAATGAAAGTGATTCGATTCCTCGGCTTTTCAGTCATCACCAAGGGCAGCCTCGGTTATGCTTACGTGGGCGGAATGCTATATTGACCTCGCACTTTGATTAGCAGGGCAGAATTGCCCCTGGATGAAGAACGGGGAAGTATTTGTCGTGGTCGTCTGACATGTTGCTCTCATGCTTGGTGTTTCTGATATCAAGTTGCCACGGGTCATGCATGGTGTTGCTTCCTAAAACAGGTAGTTCGACACCCCAATGTGCACACAAGCACTTTCCTTTCCCGTCTAGGGAACTGAGCTGCTCATGCTCCAGCCTGAGCTGTGGCTGTGCTGGGGTGAGCGGATCCTGAGTTGAGACTGAGGCCCAGTTCTAGGCCCTGTATTCGACAGGGATAGAGACAGGGATCCTCACCCTGCCTCGGAAGGCCCGTAGACCTGCCAGGTTCCAATTTCCAGGTCCCAAGCCTCGAGTAAACTTGCTCTGCAATATTCCGTATGTTACGGGCCATTCTGCAGACAGTCACGTTCCTAGGACAGCCACGTTCTTAAGACAACCATGGTCTCAAAACGGTAGCATCACAAGATGAGGACGTTCTCCAGACAGTCACGCTCTTAAGATAGACTCGTCTTGAGACGGCTATATTCTCAAGACGGACCTGCTCTTAAGACGGTGACGTATCAAGACAATCATGTTCTTAGAAAGTTGTCATCCAACGCGGGTGTTGCCTTTTTATGGACTAGATGCGGAGAGGTACAAGAAGGGCTTTAAGGATATGAAAAAACTTTATAAGTGGGTGACGGGTTGGCGGTTTTTCAGTCGAGACTTAAGAATGCGCTCCCCTTCTTTTCCATGCCCAATTATAGGCCGATGCTACGAACAAGCAGGAAGCAGAACCACAGGGCCAAGCAGAGGTAGGATGCGCGAGCAAAGAAGTGGGAGATGCGGCTGTGATATAGCTCAACGATACGTGTGGTAGTCACGTGACCATACCCCGTGTGCTCTTTCCGTGCCTGTGCGGTTATAGAAACTAAACGTTCAAGTCCAAACATGCGTTGAATAAAAAGAACGGGACAGACATAGGAAACCCTCTAGGTTATATATCCCTCCGTCCATATATAATTTAGTCCTGCTCTATTTACTCCGTTCCCTTGCACGGAGCACGCAGAGCACTGTTTGCACGTGCATTCTCGTCACGTGTTCTCTGGTCTCCTTCAAAACCTATCATTCAGAAGCCTAGCCTAGGCTTCTTTGTCATCCCGCCATATCCCCTTTCTGCCGGGTGTCGGGGTGTCCGTAACACGATCATTGGGCAAGCCATATGCTAGAGCCGATATTGATCGTGTTAAAGACTTTGGTTCTTGTCCAGGTAAAGTGGAATCGACGATGAAGTCGTTATCGTGAGTCGCAGTAATAATTTGATTGTGCACGGGCGCAGTATCCAACGCCATGGGTGGCCTTGAACTAGTCAGCACTACAGCATCGCCCAACAGGAACGTGTAGTATGAGAGGTACGCACCGATTCTTAGTCGGCATAATGGTCAAGTCTCGATCATTCGGGGTGGATGACACAATGTGTCTTATTGCAAGAACGTCTCTCTCCACGATAATGGGTAAGCGACGATCCGGGCTACCATTCATGGAGTAGTCGGACCGAGAATCCATGTTCACAGCTATGCGAATGGTGTCCCCTTCCTTTTCCGGTAACATGATTGTGGAATCAATTATCAAGGCAACATATCATTTCTCCTCCAGCCAATTCCACATCTTCGTTAAGGCGAATTCGTCGTGACGTCGCTGAGAAGTCTCGTAATCCTCATCAAGGTCAATCCATCCCCATGTGCCTCCGCTGATAAGGGCTTCGCCGAATCGCTTGCAAGAATCGAAGTCGATGATGATCGGGGAATCATCCTCGGCGATCATGACATTGTTTGGATTGAGATCATTGTGCGCATATCCAAGGGAGTGAAGATACTCCACTGCTGATACGATTGCATCCATGCATAATCTTTTGTTGAAGCCGTCGGCGCCTTCCTCTAGGCGAGCTTCCAGTGTTTTCGAATATCGATCTAGAACGATCCCGGTGATACGATTCCGCTTGACAATACAGCCGTGATACCGGACAATAATTTTATGACGGGGCTTCCGAAGCAGGTCTTCGAACGTTTCGGTTTCTCCTAAGAACAGCTTAGCCACTAGGCCTGAGTTTTTCTAGTCGTCGTAGATGATGACCTTGGGACGTTTGATGTAAACATCCTCCTCAGCTGGGCTTGATGCAACTGTGATTTGCGACGGCGCTTCAGGGAACACATCCTCGTCTGGAACTCGTTCCAACGCATTCTGGAGAACTTCGCAGGTCAAGTCCTGGCCGTAAACTGATGCTTCTCCAAAGTAGGCATAGTCGTGGTAGCCAAAGGCGCTGAAGACGGCCCGTTTGAAAGCACCAGTTTCCGCATCGTCTATTCGGCAGAGGGTATGTAAATCTCTGGAGCGATTGATTTGTGGCCCTTCGTAAGAGGTATTTGACGTCTGCAATGCCTCAGTTGTCCCCTCGTTGGTTGCTGAGGACATGTCTCCGGCAGCAAAGATGATAAAGGGAGCCCCAGGAGATGGTTAATAGACGATAGAAGTGCGACACGAGGAGTGAAGAATTAGCACAATGGAAAGCGGCGAAGGGCATGCGGCACGGCACAGCACAGCACAGACGTCCGAATGTGGCTTAGAGATGACCCAGCCTCATCCGAGGCGTGTGGCACAGGCGCCTATTCTACCCTAACTTAATCTTTAGATGGACATGCAGATCGTCGAATAGTGCCATAATGTTGTTAAAGGGATACGAGTGGCTTCAGATCGTGCCTTGTAGCTTAACTTGCCTGCGCGCCGCGATTGTAAATTCGATAATCGGGGATATTCTGTCTAAGCCTTTCATGGAACGTCTGCGAACCATGGGTGCGCCAACGCCTCATGAGCTGTCAGTCGCCGATTTGGATCCATATTCATCATTCGTCCAATGAGGTCCCTAGCTTCTGGCTCAACAATTGACCACTGCGCGAATGGCAAGCGAGAATTCTCTTCGTTGAATCCCTCGGCTATTACAGTAAATATCTGAACCCAGGGACTCTCGCCGAGATGCTTGAGCAAACCCCCGAACCCTTCGGGGTCACAGAAATAGGATATTTGGCGTTCGAGAACAATGGCCAATTTGTCCTCTCCCTCGTTGAGTTCATCGTCTCCCACTGCAAAGATTACTCGCTTGGTGAGGGCGTAGATACACTACCGGCTCAGTAATTAGTGAATCAGTGTAGGATGGAGCGAGACTCACCACAACGCCAAATGAGAATATATCCGATGGTTTATGTACTTGGCCGGACGCATGCGCCTCTGGACTTCGCCACATCCAGTTTCCGACTTGCCTTCCCTCGATAACACAGTCATCGGGTACGTAGGCAGCATCCTCAACATCGGCCACCTGTACCTGTTCAACTACCACTTCGCCACTCTTCTCATTCCACTCTACCATGATATTATTCGCCTTGATGTCAGTATGGACGATGCCCTTATCATGCGTCGCGGCGATCCCACGCAGGGCGTCGCGCAGTATTCGCTTTGTCACGGGTAGCGGGTTATCTTTCTGAACGAAGCCCAGAAGGTGATCCTTAAGGTATTTGTCTACGAACATGGATTTGTCGGGGATAGAGTCGTCTGAGACACGGACATAGTGAGAGTAAGGAGAGGTCCGGATATCGTCGAGCATGTTCTGGAAATACTGGAACGACTTCGGCTGCACGCTTTTCAAGACGTACTTTTGGTCCGCGGATCTACAATGGAATAATTAGTGCCTTTAGCTCATTGCTCAAGAGTTGTACGTACTCACGTAGCAAGATAAACGCGGCCAAGGTCAAGGGGCATGGGCTTTTCCTGGAGGATTCGCTCGACAACATAACGGCGACCGGACTGGCCTACTGCTCGCACAAGTGCGGACATGGTGGATTCAATCGCGGACGACACGGCAAGGAGGCCGTGGGCTCAGACGTAAGCAGGGTAATCTCTAGGGAAAGGAAAAGCGTGTTGGCGACGAGGAAAGCGCGAACTGCGATGGAACGCAGGTTCAAAGCGCTTGATCACGTCGGTCATATAGAAAAGAAGGGAATAATCACGTGAATATAAAAAAGGTACCCGGTCGCAAGGTGGACGGGCGTTGGACGATGACGGGGTAGCGAGGTAGGCGCGTAGAGGTGCTCAGTACGGTGGACGCGAAGGATGGACGTCAAATCGATCAGATCCAAGCTGCCTTCGACCAATAAGAGCCGAGACTCGCCGCAGTACTTCGTAAGCGCGTTTTCTGTGCCACCCGGCCCAAGCTTCTTCACACTCGCAAGCATCAACACCTCAGATCATTCCCATAAGTCTGACATCGCTCTTGACATTTGTTGCGAGGCACGCTTTCAATCCGAGCATCGACGCTATCTAGAAATCGTGGCTTCCCCACCCCGATCTGTGAAGGAGGTGCAGGCTAATCTAGCGATCACCCATTGACTTCTTTGTTACTATGTTGCTTACATATTGTTGTAGAGAATCTGAACATCCGTCTGATATGGACAAGAGAATGCATTACACTGCTTACGAACTCGACGCTGCTGGAGTTGTTATCGAAACGCAACACCTTGTCAAGAAGAAATGAGGGAGGTTGCAGACAGACCATCGTCACTCTGTACTTTCGATGTCTCTGTGGCTTTCCTTCTACTTGCTGCAAATATTCCGATGTACACATTTGTTGTCATGTGCTACATCAAGGCGCCCGCACTTTACAGCCTTGACTTTGGAGGAAGTGTTCGTCTCATACATGTGAGGTAGGCATGTGCCGGTTGTGGTCTATTTCATTGTTGTCGGATTTATCTCGAATGTCATCACATGCATCGCATCCAATTCTCGCTTGATTGAACGTGCTACACAACGAAAGCTCATCGCCTCCGCATAGATATGTTTCTATGACTCCACTTTTTATTTGTCCTCTAATTCCAAAACGTCAGCAACTTCAATTAATATCACACTTGTCGTACATCTTGATAGAAAATCACAATTACATTTCTTAATATACAGTATACAAGAATGCGCAATAAACCCCTCTTAGTATTTGTTTCGCACCTTCATTGCGCGAATATTAAGAAATCAAATGTTTATCTTCCAAAACTTTAAAGATGTAGTAGTGAAGTATTACCAGTGGTAAAGAAGGGAAGTGCTCCTCTTAATTAGTCCATTTTCGCTTATTGTAATACAAATCAACAGCTAAAATTCTCTAGATCCACATAGATTGGCCGCGGTCCACCGACCATATATGTGTAGCGTATATGCTCTAGATCACCACATTCACATCTATTCGGAAATCTGCCGTCAGTCAATATTTTTGTTCTCAGTCGTCGCATGCCTCCTAATCTTCTTCTCACTATTTCAACTCCTCAAGTTCTCAAGCAACGTATTGCCCAAATAGTACATCTAGCTATCTACACCACCCATATCACCACTCTTAAGAAAACGCCTCAGTACAGGCACGCTAGGTACATGGTTTGCGACACCCCTGATATGTTTTGATAGAATGGCTGTTCTGGGCGATGGTTTGCAGTTCCTATGTTATATAGCTGCCTCGAACGGGTCCTTCTTCTTTGCACCTTGTTTTTGACGCTGGGTACTTATAATGTATAGGATTCCGACTGTGTTAGATAAGGAAAAAGGTGTGAACAAACGGGAAAGTGAGAGGGAGGTCGGCCATTTTAGCAGAATGGCACACTCTACATGACAAGGGCGGAGAACGCTCCCTAGAAAGTAGCTTGAGCTTATAAGGCTTACAAAACTGTATGGGGCCCTGATTCGTGACCCGGGACAGATTTGAGGCCCCTCGCTAATACTTGACAGTTTCTAATGAGGTATATCTAAGACTGCGCCGCAGCCGGTGAGTAAGGGTGAGCAAGGGTGAGCAGACCTGAGGAGAGCTGAGCCGAAGCTGAGCCGGGCCTGAGCCGAACTCAGCTACTGCGGCATATGGTCACGTGAGCAGATGGGTTAGGCAGGGTGCAGATTGGGGTGTTGAAACAGGAAGTTCTCAAATTTCTCTAGGCGGACGAGAGACATCCAACACAGTAACGTAACGAGGCATTAGAGCCTGTCAAGGGTACATGGTCATCTTATCTGCTGAGTAAAGTGGCTTGCAATGCCTCGAACACACGACAAGGGAGTTCAGCTTGAATGAGTTTCTTTTGGTGGAGGCTTCATTGCAAGCATGCAGGACCAATGATTGAAGCTTTCCAGGGTAGTCTTCCCGAGAGTAGGTAAAACGTTCTCCATGGTAGCATTAAAGGTGGCTCCGCCGTAAGACTTCGAAATATACAGTCGCCGACTTGATCAAGACCCCTGAAGTACCTACCATGTCGCCTGCCGCCATGTAAGCTGCAGAGCCGCTAGGATCAAAGACGAAACGCGACCCTTTCTCTACCATATTGCCAAGGCCACTACCTGTATCCTGTACAGCGGATGTTGACCAAGATGTGGTGAGAAAATCCAGGGACAATGTAACCTAATCATGCTTCTGAACGAGCGGCGAGGTTTAAGCAATACGAGACCTGGGGGAAGACCCCAAAATAATGGCCCTGTGAGATAGGCGAAAGCCTAGGGTTTAGCGCAAGGGAGGATGACGGAGTGGAGTACGGAGTAGGAAGTCCTGTCACTCAACTTTTTGCTCGTGGACGCAGACAGGAGGAAAATCCTCCACAATGCCTCCACCGCAGCAACTACCAGCCGTCGTCTCACCGTCTCTGCTCGCATCCCTCCGGGACAATGCGCAGCTCCCTGCGCATGCCTGGTACGTAGTTGCCGGGGTCACGCTGTCGGCTATCAACCGACCAGAAGAGATTCCTAAAATTCTCACGTCTGCCATCGAGCATGGGGTAGGTCCTAAGGAGAGCGGCCCACCAGCGCACGCTGAGCAGTTGCGCATCGCGCGCAAGTTGCGGGAAGGATTGATCAAATCGTTAGCGGTCGTGGGAATGCCAAAGGTGCGCACGTAATGGCTACTCAAATTGCCACCCCCGCCCGATGTAAAGCTTTCCCTGAGTGAAGAGAAATCCACAGACTATCAATGCCCTCTATGCGCTGAAGGAAGCGACGCCGGCATCGCTTCTCGACGAGCCGTCTGTAGCAGCGCCCAGCGCGCGCCCGGCAGAGGTCTACTCCACGCCCACCGCGGAGATCCTACAGCGTGGCCAGACGTACTTTGAGCAAGTCTATGGCAAGGTAAGCGAGCGGGTAATGGGACAGATGGACAGTTCTGGGACGGAAGACCTGGGCGTGGTGGCGCGGCTGCTCTACGGCTATGTGCTCAGCAATGAGAGCGTCCTCACAGCAACCGAGACCAGCTTTGTGATGCTGGCAGGGCTGATCCCGCAAGATGTAGGTTGAGGCACATTCCGAGGGCCTAGAGCGCCGCTGATGGGCCGATGTGGGCAGGTCAATCCGCAGTTGAAAGGCCATCTCAGAGGAGCTCTCAACAGTGGAGCTACCATAGAGGAAGTGCGGGCGGCACGTGAGGTCGTGATCCGCATCTGTGAAGCCGCTGGGATGACGAGGCTGGATCCAGATGCCGGCCATGGCTGGGGTTGGCGAGAGGACGTTGAGAATGTCTAGATGTTTCCAACTGTTGCAGGTGATTGTCTCGTCGGTAAAGTAGTCGGCGATGTAGAAGAGCCGGATTTGGTCAACGGGCCCTGGCGTCGGTTAGGTATGTAGCGCTGTCGGAACCTTGGAAGTGCTCCAATGCACCAAGAGGAATATAGATAGGATGTAAGGTTTATTACATTGTGAATCAGACTGCATGTAGCTGCCATGTTTAGTACTAGTCCTCCACTACATTGGCGAGATTCGGGACATAATGTAACAACTTGTCACACCATGAAGGGTATAATCTTACAGCAATGCTTCTCTCAATGGGAAGAATGTCGTTACATAAGGTCAAAGGGTCAGTTCACACTTGCTGGACCCCGTCCGAGACCCTCCGGTCAATTCAGGTAAACTAAGGCGTAATGTAAAGTATAGTAGGCACTGCACTATAGGATGTCGTAATTTTCGAGCCGCCAAGGTCCGTGCCCCTCTAACGTTGCGAAGAGCCTCGAGCATGCTAAGCATAGTCAGAGTACGAATTGACACTGTGGGCAGCTGTCTCGCCATCAGAGAGGCCAGCAATCAATGCAATAAGAAATGCCGCGACGCGGTGCTCGGTAAACGTGGGGGGGAAAGCTGAGGAGCTAGATCCAGAAGGACCGGCTCCCTTGGAGGCAGAGTCCGGGAATGGAATGGGCATGCAGCAGTGGATTGAACATCTGTCACATGGCTATCGCTTTCGGTGTGTCCCGTGTCTATTGCGATCCTCTTTAGGCGAAGGCTCCACGGTTGACTTTCGGTGGCGTGCTGAAGCCGGGCCTCCCCTCACGGCATCTGCCATCCAGAACCCTACCAAGGTTGAGGAGCCGGGGGCCCATCGCGTTCCAAGTCCCGAGTGTCTCCATGTGTCAGGATGTCCATGCGTCAGGATACGCGATGCACCGATCGTGGTCTCATGGGGATTCTGGCCCGATCTCTGGGCGGGCGAGGGGACGCCCGTCGGCAAGCCGCACACGGGCCGGTAGAGACTGGACCCTAACTTTGCAAGCGTCTAGGTAGTCTCCTGTGCAGTGCCGGCGAAGCTTGTTTCCTGCCCTCACCGTGCCCCAGGAGCCATCTCGCACCGAGCTGGCGGCAGTCGCCCAGATGCTGGCGGTGAAACGTCTCACACCTCCAGTCCAGCCTAGTCAGATGCTCGATGCCCGATGCCCGATGCCCGAGGCGAGCAGTGCGAGAGGCCGGCCAGAGGCACAGAGACGAGCCGCTCGATCAGGTGGGCTGGTGATGCCGCAGTCGCCCGCGATCTTGATGCTGGCTGCATCCTTCAATAAGGCTCGCGACATCGCGGGAGCCGCATCGACGGCGCTTCATCCAGCGTCTCGCTCACCCTGGCGCGTGTCCACCACGGTCCCTGTGAGAGGGCGAGCCCAGAGCCAGTGGATAGCCCCTTGGCTGCGGGAAGGATTCAAGCCAATCCACGCCTTTGGACCACCCCGCCCACCACCCACACCTTTTGCGGGGGTAAGACGGTGTCACCGCCGAGCGAGTCTGCCTTTGCGGCCTCGCCGATCCAGACGGTCCCGTCGTCGCATGCTTCTTCACGCCGGCGACTTGAGCCAACGTCGCTTGCGATGCGATGCTATCATGCGTCAACCATGGTTCCGTCGTCACTCTGCTCTATCGCACCCGCTGGCGACGAGGATCAACCGTGGCACGGGAAATTTGGCCCAAGCCGCCCATCTGCAGTCCCCAGGAGCCAGTTGCACGGCGCGGGCTTGGGACCGCTGCCTTCTGCCGTGCTATCACCACCACCAAGACCATTGGCACCGCGACCCAGCAGCATTCTTGGCGTCCTGGGGCGTCCTGGTCCGCAATATTGGTACTCTCCCAAGAGGTGCCCTCTGCGGATCTCCCGTCCCCTGGCTGTCGGCGCGCCATGCCCTCACTGCTGCAATCCTGCCATTGTCGCACCTCTGCGAACTTCCAGAAGCGGCTCGCACCACGCAGCACGTCAATTCGGGGTCCCTGGTCTCACAGAACTCGACCAGTCGTGGGCACAAGTCGACATGGTGAAGCGAACAGCCAGGGCAGCAGAGGTCGCGACCGCAGTCTTCGGGCTTCAGCAGTCCGGCTCTGTCACTGACATGCCACGCATGCCTCCTGCGTCCATGTGGCAGCACATGCTCCAATGCGTACGTATCGTGTGTCTCAGACCGTGTCATTATCGCGATCGAACCCCTGAGAGCAGCAGAGGCTGGGTGGGGGAGCATTTTTGAAGTGTTCCAAGGTTGGCGGCGGGGCATTCCTCCGCGCTTACTGCTAAGATTGTCGCCAACGACTCGACCTTGCGCTCTGGGATATCTCTCGTCCAGGAGGCATCACCAATCAGCGCGGGCAGCAGCATGTGCTCGACTCACTGCGAGACATGCCGGCCTCCTGCATAACTTCAAATTTGCTGTTACTCAGGAGAGGTTCGTCAGGCCGCAACCGCGACTATATGCCCATCACTACCGGGTCTCATTTGCAGGGCAATCGCAGTAGCTATCATTGCAGCGCGGGACTTGCCGACCAGCAACAAAAAGCACAGTCAAGTGTGCTGGGGGTGCAGGCCAAGCAATTCAGGGATGACTGGGTCCATGTGGCCGTGCGAGCCATCTCAGATCACGCATGTCATTTGCTTGGGAAGCGGCCGCATGTTCCTGGGCGCCACAGCACGGCCCATTAGGTATATTTGCTGGCCCTACAGTATATTTAGGCCTCCACTGAGGCGGTGCCTGCAGCGCACCGCCACAGCCCTCCTATACTAAGAGCAATTCTACCCGCCACAGGCCCTGCCACCACTGCCACGGGAGTATTGATTCACACGAGATGCAGTCACTCCCGACGTATTCGGAGATCAATGTGACGGCCTCATTATGTACGCGAAACCGGCATCCCACGACGATAGCCCCCAACGCCGGCTCTGGTCCATCTGCGGCCAACGGGTTTGGAGGAGAGGGCAGCCGAGAGCTGTCTGTCTTTCGCAGGCGACCAGGTCATCAGGGCCAGGGCGGACGGAAGGTTTACTCGCAGCGCTACTCTGGAGAGTTCGCCGACCAAAGTGTCAGATGGCTTGAAACGCGTGGTCCCTGCACTCCACGGCCGGTGTGATAACGGTCCTACTGAGAGCTAGAGGCGTAGGGCGGCGTCCAGTCGATCCGTCCAGCGCTGGCGCCGCTCTAGAAGCGCTTGAGGGCGTTTTCTTCGCCTCGACTTGCGACGTGCGCGAAATGCCTACTTGCCAGATCGCTATATACCAATCGGTCAGAAACGACGACTTCACATGCCGCGCTGCTGGGTTGGAGAGGGGAGTTACATCTGCACAGCACGTCATGGCACCCAATTCTCATGCATCTGCGAGCGGGTTACACGACAGGAGCCCAAACCGGCGTGCAGCCATGTTCCGGCCTGGGGAGCACAATAGCAGTAGTCATCGAGCAGCCGGCGGCCACCAACCTTGTTGACACCCAACACTCCTAACAAAACGGCGCCGTGATGGCCAGTGAATGTATAGAGAGCGGTTCAAGCACATTTCACCAGACATGCAAGTCTACCGGAGCAGATCTATCGAGGCCTTAGCGAGGTCAGTTCACGGGCTCCCCAGGGGCACCGCTCCGCAGGATGACCTGTTCCCAGCGAACTGTGGCGGGACGAAATGGCCGAGTCTGACAGTCAACAACATGTCGCTGAGACTGAAATCTCGACTGCACGCTGCCAGGGCCAACGAGCGGGAGGGCCTCGAGATTGGATCGCGGCTGCCCCCACCTGCCGTCATCATCATGAAACGGCGAGATGGCGCCGTGAGGCTCGAGGAACTGCAGCCGGGACGGCCTGTGGTGTTCGAGACGCGCCGACGCCAACCCACTACGCTCTCGCGACGACACCGTGACGCTGTTATTCACACCTGTTCGCGGCCAGTGCGCGGGCGGTGAGACGCGCGCGCGATGACGGCTGGTGGGACATTCCCCACGATGGCCAGCGTCATGATGCGAAGCCGCTCGTGGTGGGCCACAGAAGCTTGAGCGGTGACTGCGCCTCTGCTCGGAAGCCGTGGCTGTGCCGGCCGCTTTCATTCGCGTGTGGGGGCCTAAAAATACACCACTCTCCCGAAGCATGCTGGAGACAGCCGGCTCAGCCACGGCATGCCGCACCATGATTCGGCGAGCACGCGAGGCCCTCGACTGCCTCCGCCCTGGGCCCGGCGTCAGCGACAGCGGCCACTCACAGCACAGGAGGCCTCCCGGCGACGTGGCTCGCAGGCCTTGGCTCCTGGGCGTTGCTCCCTACCCGAGCCTGGCGGGCCCGGCTCGTCGCTGGGATGGCAGGGCCCGTGGGACAATTCGGTCGACAGGGCGCCGTCCAGAACCAGTCGCGCGCCCGCTTGACATTTCCCAAAGCAGACGGCGTGTGGCAGGCATTCGGCGTGCATGGCGTCGCATTGGGCCCCAGCTGCAGGCGGGCCAGGGATGCGCCTGGGGATTCACCGCTCGGCTTGGGGGGCAGCACGGGCGCTGGGCCATCGGCGCGCGCGAAAGAGGCGGAGGGCCCGCCGCTGGGCGCGGTGAAGATTGTCTTTCTTATTTTCCTAGCGCGCCCTCTCTGCCACCGCTGCCACCTCACGCCGGGGCCTCCACGCCGGCCGTCCACAGGGTTTCGGCATGCCGGGGCGCTGCTGCGCATCCACCTCCACCTGGGCCATCGAGGGGGCTTGCACACCCGTCTTATATCTTCGCGACGCTCCCAGACTTCGCCCCCTCAGAAATTCCAGGCCCCGATCAGCATTAAGACCTCCGCTTCAGGCCTCCCTCGAGCTCCAGGTCCCTGATCCTCTGCGCACCCCATCGCCTCCCGCCGCGGCCCTTCGTCCCAACGGGATCCTGCCGCCCGCACCCCTGCCGACGCGACTCTGCTCCAGCACCAACCCGACGCCGATCGCATACCACGCTCTCGCGAATTGACTCGACCGCGGACGCAGTGTCCCTGTGCCCGGATAGCCGCGTGCTAGCCCTGCCCGTAAGCTTTGCTGATCCGCTACCCTCAGATGTATATCACCACCTCAGGCCCGATGCTAACCCGGCCCCAGGAGCACACTGCTTTTATCTCCGCCTGCGCCCACTGCTCTGCTCGACATGGTCTCGTACGCCCAGTATCCGCCCACCATGCAGCACGACTTCGAGCTCTATGCGACCCAGGAGCAGCAGTTCGACCTGCTTGCTACCTCACAGCCCGCCTACCTCCCCACCTCCCAATATCTTGACCCGTCTTTCAGCGCACCCTTCGACGCGGCCTCGCTGCATGCCTTCTCTGAGGCCCCGCGCTCACAGGACCTCCGCTTCCACTACGATGCCATTGCCCAAGGTGTGAAGCCCAACTACCAGCAGCAGCAGCAGTACAGCCCAGCCGGCTCGCCCAACTCCGGCGCGCACTCCTTCGACATCCAGCCTCCCCATCTCTCCACCTCATCCGAGTCGGGCGCCTCAGTCTCGTCCTCCGCCATGGGCTCCCCCTCGCTCAACCCGCAGTACCACGACCAGCCGTGGGGCAGCGTCAACGGCCTCGGTCTCGCGCCGGGTATTGTGCCGAGCACCTCTGGCTTCGACTACGACGGCTTGGTCGCCACTGACAAGTATGTTGGTGAGTCTTATGAACTTTCTTCGTCAAGGCCGCGTGTCTCTTCATTTCCGTTTTCTTGTGCGTCTTCTGCTGTTTCGTCCAACTCTTTCGTCGATCCCATGCGCCAGAACACATCCGGACAGCACACGCCTGCGCTTCAAACCCCTTCTCCCAGGTCGGAGAGCGGCTTCTTCCAGACTCCGACAACGCCGGCTTCGGCTATGCCTCCAGGGCCCCTCTCGATGCGGCGGTCTCCTTCGGGGAGGAGGAACTCTCTGCTGTCGACCGAGCTGCTCCGAACCGACATCCTGGATTCGTTGCCGGACACATCTTTTTCTTCTCCGGTCACTCTTCGCTCTCCTTATTCTCAAAACAATCTCAATTTCATTCCTCCTCTGGAGGCATCTTGTCGGTTTCCTTCCTGTCCACCTCTTCATTCGTTCTCGCGTCTTTTACCATCACTCGTGGAAATAAAAACTAACGTCTCTTCTCCAGACCCTACCTTGATCCAACCATACCCAACACAACTCAACTTCCCACAATCACCATATCCCGCCATCCACACCACTCCTTCACCGCGCTTCCCCTTCATTGAGCAGCCGCCATCACCCGCCCCTTCAATCGGCTCCAACCACAGCCACCACGCCGGATCTCGTCAGTTCAAGAAGGGTTCGCAGTCGCCTTACCTTCACACTCAAAGCTTCCAGCCCTATCACAACGGCTTCAACAGCTCGCGACGGCAATCGAACGCCTCGATGCACTCGCATCAATCAGTGGCAAGCCGAAAGAGCGGAAGCAGCTACGAGCTCGACGACGAGAGCAGGGAGAAGGGCCTCTGCCCGATCCCGGAGTGCGGCCGTGTCTTCAAGGACCTCAAAGCCCACATGCTCACTCACCAGAACGAGCGACCGGAGAAGTGCCCGATCGCGACGTGCGAATACCATTTGAAAGGATTCGCGCGAAAGTACGACAAGAACAGGCACACCCTGACCCATTACAAGGGCACCATGGTGTGTGGCTTCTGCCCAGGCTCCGGCTCCGCCGCCGAGAAGAGCTTCAATCGGGCCGACGTCTTCAAGCGCCATCTCACTTCCGTCCACGGCGTCGAACAGGCACCGCCAAACAGCCGCAAGAGGTCGCCATCAGGCAAGAAGGCCTATACCGCCACGCAAGAGAACCTTCGCGGTACTTGCTCTACCTGCAGCGTTACTTTCAACAACGCGCAAGACTTCTACGAGCATCTCGACGACTGCGTGCTGCGCGTTGTGCAGCAGGCAGACCCGAGCGAGGCCATCAACCAGAAGCTCCTGTCCTCGGTTGCCGACGACCAGGATGTGGTGGAGACGATGGACCGCAACGGTCTGCAGAGCGCGGGTGATTACGCCGTGCCTGCCTACGACGAGGACGAGGAAGAAGACGAGGAGATCGACGTGGATGATGAGAACGACGACACATACGGTGTGCGGCGGTCGCGGTCCGGCAAGGGTGGCATCAAGAACACCAAGAATTCGCAATGACAGCTAGCACATCCCCGGGGTGTCGTTCCATCGCACGCCGGGGGTGGTACCAACAACAAAGTGGCGAAGACCTCTGGTGGGAGGGGTCCTCGGGCCGGGCTGACCTTCTCGAAGGGCGGCGTGACCATGACGGCGTCCGGGCGCAAGAAGCGCAAGAACTACCCCGTTTCATGGGGTTGCGCCACGGACAAGATGAAGATGAAGAAGCGGGTGCTGTGTGTGTACGACGGCCCGCGGCGGCTGTGGAAGGACGACATGATGCTCGACCAGGAGTTTGAGGTCCGCATGAAGCTGCCCGATGGCAAGAGCTACATCACGGACCTGGATGTGCAGACGCTGAAGCGTGCCGAGGCGCTGCATGGCGCCACGGCCGAGGAGAAGGGACCCTGGGTTCCGGACAACATCCACGACCACCGTGGCAGCGATCTCGAGGAGTTCATGATCTGAGACGAGAATCCATGGTCTACCAACATGATCTGGGAAAAAAAGTTTTAACGCCTTCGACTCCATAATACACATACACTGAGACGATACTGTTATGGTTGCTGTACTTTTATGGATGGGCCCTTGCTGCCCTGCTTCTTCGATACCACCTTCTTGTCTTTTCTTTTTGCTTTCTTTAACTTCTTTCCTGCTTCTTCGTCTTTTTGTTGTTTAGTCTTGTTTTCGTCAAAGCGAGCGCGAGCTTCGATACCACCTTATTTTTTTTTGGGATACAACACTTGGATCTATGGATATGTTGGATGGGAGGCAAAGGCTGTGTTAAAACATGCCCATGGTTTTACGACCCTCATGGTTCCCTGGGGTTTTTGGTTCCTGTGCGCTGTCGCTTTTCTGCGAGAATGTAATGTTTATGATTCGAGATGCGGGAGATGCGCTCCATTGAAAGCCGTGCTGGGCACTGGTTGCTGGGTGGGCTGGTATAGCGTAGTTTCTAAACCTTATTGAACCGCTCTTCGAACAGGTTGACGACTTTTGATGCTTGATACTCGTGACTGGGTGAAATGGAGATTTCTGAAATGGCTTGTATTTGGAAAGATAATGTACAGGGAGAAGAGAGTAGATTCAGTTGAAATTGATGATGTTGGGATATGATCGTTAACTGTTAAAGAAAAGCCCGGCATACTGCCTCGTGACGATGGTCGAATTTGAGTGAATAGAATGCAGAGATGGAGCCTTGCACAGAGGCGGAGCCTTGCGCAGAGGATACAGCCTTGCCAATTGGCGTGGCTTTGATCAAGTTGAGATGAAAAAGAGAAAAAACCACTCAGCTGAGGATGTTGGTTGGCTTCGTCGGAGCTGGAAGATTAGCGGTGAAGTGTACTCCTTCTCTGGACGCCATTAGCAGTTACCAGGTCGAAGCCCGCAGGCCGCAAAGGACGAGGCTTGGCAAACACTGAAAAATGTGAGGTGGATGATAATAAACACTCAGCTGAGGACATGCGGCTGCCTTTATTGAACCCGTAAGACTAGCGGTGAAAGTGTGTCTGCACACCACCTACGTCAACTTGTGACAAACCCTCCGAACCGCCTTCATCCCCGTTTTTGTCCGGGACGGAAGCAAGCAGCCGCTGCTGATGTGGGAGCCCTTCTCGGACATAGGTAAGGTGGAAGGCCGGCATTGACAGTGCGGTCGGCTCGTGATGGCTTCTTGGCGCTCGAATTAAGCATCAAGTGACGAGTGTTGCAGCGGCTTGGCAGAGTTGCACTGCTGATGCCAGCGTTGCCCGTTTTCCGTATCGCGATGCTGCCCCGATGCGGGCGTGGGGCGAGGCAGCGGTTGGCTAGGTTGGGGTGGTTTAAGGATGGCGATGGGGTTGTGGCGTGGAGAGTTGAAGGTGGCGGGCCAATGGTGGATTGGGGAGGGCGCCACTGGATGCGGGTACGAGGTTGATGCTTACGGGATCTTGAAGAGCTGAGGTTTCGGTGGCTGGATGTTTGAAATTCTGCCTCCGTGTGGTGGACTTGGTGCGGAAACGGTATTGGATGTTGGAAATTGATAGGTTTTATATGAGATGCATGAAGCTAGGCCACAAATTTGGACACGCCGTAGCTGTGCTTAAGTACCACTGTTGGCTGAAGCTGCCCTGTCACGCAGCCGGCCTGTGAAGAGTCTTCGAGTGCCAACTGATGTTCAGCTGTGTCAAGCGTGTCATCCTGTTGCGGGTTTTGAAACCTCATGTAGGTGCCTCAAGCAGTGTCAAATGATTGTGCGGGCTTTCGACAACGCACTGTATCAATCTGGCTTAGCCAGACCACGTCGTGCTGTTTGTAGACCTAGACGTGGAGAGAATTTTGGAGCGATGCATACTCAACCCTTTTGGCTTCAATCGCTCGCTGTAGCTCTTCTTGAGTTTCTACTTGCTCAGCCGCCTTTGGCTCATTTCTTACGAGCAGATTTAGGGTATTCGTAAACACCACTTCCAGAACCCTACCGGTAAGTTCTGCAAGTCCGCATGGCCTTCAGGAAGTAGACAGTATAGGGCCAGAATACACCGAGACTAAACCCATTTTTTTGTTTTAGAGATCCTACCCACTCGTCGCTGACGAGATATCAAGGCAACACGCCTTGAGGACCGGAGAGCAGCCCAAACGGCTACATCATATCACGACTAGAAACTGTACCGATGGCGTGATTGGTATTTGACAATATTCCTAGCCAAAAAGGAGACATTGAGCAGATGCTGACGCAGATAGCTGTTGCTTCTGCCATTTGGAGGTACGCAAGCGAGGTCGTTGAAGAAACGGGTGGGATCCATCGCGAACTGAAAGAGTCGCTCTTCGCCCTTGACAGGGACGCAGAGGGAGACTGATTTTGCACGTAGGGTGATGGATTGTGTGCAGCTGATCGAGCGCCCGTGATGCGTGAGATGGTTTGTGGCTTGGATATGAGTTGAGCCGCGGGCCAGGAGGTCCAAGCGCCTCCTAGCCTCCCCAACCTGGCCGCGCAAGACTCACAATTCATGTCTACTCTCACAAAGCTCCCTAATTGCCGGACCTTCAACTCCATCATTGTGCTATCGCCGCCATGGAGGGCACCACGCCGCCGACCGTCACGCCGCCGAACGACACGCCCGATGGCGTCTGGATGCATGGCCCCGTCCAGCTTGCCCGGGGCAGGGCCGCCAAAGACCCTCACGCTCAAACTACCACGTACAACGTCGCGTCCATGGACGACTTCGAGACGTCGTTGCGCCAGTATCTGGCTAGCCCTCCCGAGCAGCCCGAACACGCCGAGTGCCAGCTGTCCTTCTGGATAGGGACCAGCTTCATGGTCTCGATGACTCCCAGTCAGCAACAACAGCAACAGCAATCGTCCCAAGCCCCCCCTCCTCCTCCACTGCCTCAACAGACACAACAAGCCCCCCAAGGTTACCAACCCGCCGCTGGTCTCGATGGCGCTTATGGACCTGCAAACAACGCGTTAATGCCTCCTCCGCAGCCGACGCAGCACATATCCAACCCTTCCACAGCCTTGGCCATACCACAAGCCTCAGGGCAGAAGACCAGCTTGAGCATACTCGAGGCGTTGAGTCCGACAAACGATCCCAAGGAGAAGATGAGAAAGCAGAGAGCTATTGCCAAGACGTGTGTCGAGTCCATACAAAGGACGGACGGATACAGGTACAGTTTTCACAACTGCTGGAACAGCAGAGAGGATGACAGCTTCCGCTTCTCATACTATTGCAACGACTCCTTGTTGAATAAAGATCGTGCTGCCAATGGAAAAGGCGCCAAGTTTGGTGAGAATTCCCCCACTAAACGCTATCAGCCAGCGTCCAGCTAACACGTGAATAGGTAAGAGGGCTACGAAACCCGTCTACGACTGCAGAGGCGTACTTTCCGTGAAATTCTCGGCCGTGAAACAGACGTTGGATGTTTTCTACAAGCATATCCCCATACACAAGACGTATGAAGAGAGAGCCCCCCCGCCACGCAAGGATTCCAAGCGGAGGAAATTTTTGGAGGTCCACAATCCTGAAGCGTATGTAGAGTATACGCCCCTATCATTTGTTGCAGTTATGTGTGGTCAGTCGAACTATGACGCTGTCGTGAACGTTAGTTTTGAGGCAATCAAAGGCCAGAAATGCTAACTGAGTATAGTCTGGCTAGAATCGAGCAAAACCGAAAAGAGAGGCCGCCGCCTGATCCCAACGCACCTCTGAAACCAAAGAGAAAGAGACCTAAGAAGAATGACGAGGCACAGAAGCAGACTGCGGCCAACTCCATCGAAAGTGACTTGAGAGCACAGAGTCTTCGGTCTCTCCTGGAATTGATTCGTCCTGATGACGCACCTGGTATCATTCCAGAAGAACCCCAGCCGAGCAATCAGCCACAGCCACAGCCTCAGCCCCAACCCCAGCCGCAGCAACATCAACAGCAACAGCCACAGAGGAGGGCAAGACAGGTTTGCGATATGTGCAAGGTCAAGAAAACAAAAGTAAGGAGTCTTCCATGCCACAATGCAGTGATCCGGTTACTGATATTTTGATAGTGCGACGGTCTCCATCCAGCTTGCAAGTCCTGCGAAGATAAGGGTCGCCCATGCAATTATTCAGACCGCACACCAGATGAGATTCGTCAACTACATCCAGAGCTCGTCAACAAAGCCCCCCGAAGGCAAAGCACCCAAGCACCTCGAGAAAGCGCAGGCCCTCAGTCTGGCATGTCAGAGCTAGAAAAACTCAAAGCAGAACTTGCGGCAGCCAAATCCCGGATTGGTCAGCTAGAAGCCGAGAAGAGTCGTCCTGGCAGTGAGACGAATACACCAGCGCGCACGACGCAGCCAGAGCATTCGAATGCCAACCAACCGGCCCCACCGCAGCAAATGCACACGCATTATCAACCCGCGCAGGTGTATCCCCCCCCTCATCACCCGTCTTACACGCCCATGAATCGTCCTGTGCAGGCCCAAGCTGTCCCGCAGCCAACTCAGTCACCAGTCAATCAGCAACTCCATACCCCGACTTCGGGTGAGTCTTTCTCTCTCCATCACTGGATCTTCCCGCACGAGACGCCACAATTCGCTTCAATATGGCAACGATGACGAGACTAACGTCTCTTCATAGCCATAACGGCTGGTACGGAAAGCGATCCATATGGACGAGCGGCAGACGTCCGCTGGGCTCCATTCTTTAGTTTTCAACCGCAGACCACTATGACAACACAGCCACAGCCACAGCCACAGCATGATCAATGGGGTCACGCAGCTAGAAATTCTGGCGTATATCGTGCTCCCATGAATTAGGTGTGGGCGTTGATGCCAGATCGGGTTTACCAGCAGATTCTATCAATAAGGCATTATGCAGGTGGTGTACTCTTTCTGTATTGTACATTCTCCGACTTGGAGATGTTCTAATGAGAGGTAAGGTATTGCTGGAGGGGTCTTTCTACTCGGTCTAGTAAAGTATCTACTTCGAAGTAATGGGAAGGAAGGGCTTGCGGTTATCTGGGAGGATATGGACTGTCATGTATACCCAATTTTCAAACTTATTCCTATTGTCCTTTCTTCAACGGCAATTCTGCTCTATTGCTGACATTAATGATGGTAGCAATGCTCAGAATGCGAAAGCCTCCTTGGGCCGTGAAATACTAGAAACTTAAAATGGGCAGCATAACGCGACGTCATCGAGCTAATTGTAATGCGATGTATTATAGCTCCCCTCCGTGATACATCAAACCACATCAACTGGGGTGCGATCGGGACTTCCCAGCCACCAGCACGACGTGGAGCGAGGATCGTTTCCGGCGAATCCTTCGTGCGAATGAGGCCCTTGTACCGCCGAAGGGCTCCCCTGTCAATCCTGTAACCCTTGTCATGTCGTCTGGTCACCCTTTTGCTCTGCTAGTAAAATTAGTAGAGTGTGTGACTACGTGAACGGGTCGTGATGTCTATGTGTGAAGAAAAAATAGCGACATATGTCAATTGGCTTTAAAATCAGAGGCGTGTCAGCACCACCCATCAGAACAGATACCATGGAGCATCAGCCTAGGAAACAGAGCTCGTGTACATAGTATTGATAGGCATGTCAAGCTTGCTCCTTGAAGTAGGTCAGTCATTGCTTCCAGGGAGGCGCTTGTCCGTGACGATTTGAGCGACGCGTGGCCTTCTGAGAGCAATCCAGAAGAAGCTCTGCCTATCTATTATAGTTATCCTAGATCTATACGAGAAAGTGCCCTTGTCGATGAAAACTGCAAGGCTCCATCACGTCAAAGACCAAGACCAAGCCTCCTTCTCCTGTGACGCCATTTCGTTATCGATAACACCCCCAGCGACTTTGTCTTAATCCAACCTTAACGTTACCCTTTTCCATCACAGCCATGGCAACCTCACAAACCGCCCTTCCTCGCATTGCAATAACGTTCTGCACGCAATGTCGCTGGATGCTGCGTGCCGCCTATGTCTGTCAGCCCTCAATGGCTTTCACTGCCGCCAACCCTCGAGCTCGAAGCTGATGTGTCTCCCTGGACCCATAGTTCGCGCAAGAGCTTCTTTCGACCTTCTCCACGACGATTGGCGAAGTTGCACTGATTCCGGCCACCGGGGGATTGTTCACTGTTGAACTGGTAGGGAACATACTGGGGAACGAAGTGCTACGGATGGCTAAGCGGGGATTATTAGACTTACATCCCGCTCTCTACCGCCCCTGAGGACTCGGAGGATGCACCGCCATCGGACGTAAAGGCTACAAAGGTTTTGCTGTGGGATAGAAAGGCTGAAGGCGGATTTCCGGGTACATGGGACATCTTGGCGGCGATGTGTGGGAACTTTGCAGTTGCTAACGCTGGTACAGAGACCAAAATACTCAAGCAGCTGGTCAGAGACCATCTAGACCCTAAGAGAGATCTCGGACATTCAGACAAGCACGGCAAGAAGAAAATAGAACAAGGAGAGACCCCAAACCCCACACCGGAAACTGCGACACAGAGTCAGGAAGCAAATGCGCTCACGACAGGAGTAGCAAAGGCCAAGTTGAATTCAGACGGGACAGTGTGCGAAGATTGTAAATGAGAGATTGCCTATACCCAACTCGACAAGATGAGATAAGAGTCAAATTAGAATACATGAAACCCAGATGGATACCGTCAAGCTGCTTACCACGTTGAAGTATTTAAGCTGTTCTACGACTAATTAGGGCCACAGAGCTAACCATGAACATAAACAGAAATTCAAACATCTGATCCACCTCCCCCCTTTGCTCTCTGGGCTAATGCGAAGACTTCTATTAACATAAAAATCGAGTATCTACAATCTAAGCATATATGTGACCACTGCCCACCAACCCAAATCAGTGTCCACTCTGAAGATGAGGCCCAAGAACGACGGACTGCAGACCGCGAAACGGTGGCCGCATCTCTCTCGTTGCTCCAAGGCTTCCTGAAAGCTTTCATGGTTACACTTCCTGCAGTACGCAGGGATGCGTTCATTTACTCGGCCACGCGACGGCGCCCTCGTCCAGAACCCGACACCTGTGGGATCATTCGTCGAGCCCTGCTCATTAGGTAGAGCATTAGGTTGGCTGGAGTAGTAGAGCCCGAGCCCAGCGAGGCATGCCATGGCTAGTATCCAACGACAATTCTTGGGGATCTTGGGGCATCTTGCGGAGCTTCCCATGCGCGGATATGTCGGGCTCTCTCCCCCCCGAGTCGTGTGCGATGGTGCCGGTGTGTCTCCCAAGAGGAAGGCTCTCACGATCGCTTCGGTATCGAGTTGTACTTCTTCCTCATTCTGGAGCGTATCCGGTTGGGCTACTTCTTGAGCAGTAGCCGCTGCTTCTGGGATATCTCCGAGACTAGTAGTTAATTCCAAGGTATGAGGCTGTCCAGTTGACACCGGTGTCTCTTCCTGCACTATCTCGTTGCCAGTCTGCGCACCTGTCTCCGACCTAGCTTCCCTGGGACTGCCTCCATTGCTACTGGTTGGGGCCAGGACTGTCTGTTCGGGATTCAATTCGCCCTCGGACAAAGGTGCCTCCTCTTGGGTTTGGCCGCCTTCATGCGTATCCGTCTGCTTCCCGTCTTCCTCGGGGATATCTTCAAGTGTATTTGTAGGCTTGATTTCATCCTGCGGAAGCTCAACTTGTCCTGGCAACACCAGTGCTTGTCTCCCTACGTTGTTTTCTTCTTCCAGGTCTATATCTGGCTCTTCCGTGTGAAACAGCCGACGGGTATTTCGTGAGCGCGCCTGAAATGAATACCTCGACCCACTAAGTATAGGCTCATCATCACTACTACGATCCGAGTCCGTGCCATCATCGAGTTCGTCTTCATAAGGATGATTTCTTTGCGATTCATGCGGAAATGCGAGTCCTTCAGCAGGCCCTATCAAAGCTTCAGGCTCAAGAGATTCACCGGGTTCGCTCGGTGAAACCAAGTTTCCTTGCATCTGACGACGTTCTTCAGAGACAGAGTCTGGGACCACAGCCTGGAGGGGTACGTTGCCGGCCGCACGATCTCTCAGCTCAACCTTCAAGGAAGAATGTATGGGGGCTTTCGGTACATATCCAGGGCGCCCTGGCAAACCTTCGTCGCTGTCCGACAAGAAAGTTTCATTCTCTATCCCTGGAGATAGGTCCGAGTCTTCTTTCCAAAAATCTGAGGAAGTCTCTGGCTCCGGTTGTGCCTCGATGGGAGAGTTGACTTGCCGCTTGATGTTTTGCAGGAACTCCAGCGCCTCGTTTACCCGGTCACATACTTTCCTAAGGAGGACTATTGTCTTCTCAATCTCCACCCTTGTCGACTTATCATTTTTCTGGCCGAGGCGAGTTTCGAACAGGTTTAAGACCTCCGTGATATTCTCCAAGGTCTTTGTGGTGCAAGTCCGGATAGAACCTCGATGCCTGGCAACGACCTTGCTTGACACCGATGAAAACTACGAGTGTTAGAAAGGAAGGATTTGGGGCTCGTGAGTAGACTTCTTACTTTATTCTTTTGCTGCCTGGCAGCTTCCCGGACAAGCTCCAGAGCCTGTAGCAGCTTCGCGGACTGATTCTGGAGATGGGCCATGCCGTTGCTACTGTGCATAGAGAGCTGATCATTGACTACCGCGAAATCGTGGAAGTCCGCCTCCGAGCTTTCGAACAAATCTTCGCGCCGGGACAGGATATATTGGCGGGCTTCTGAAACCTGGTGGCTCGTCTTCACCAGCCGATCCACGAGAATGCTCATCAGGTTCGCGGCTGTTGTGTCCTGCTCTTGTTAGCGACATCATCAGCAAAGGGTCTTGTCAACATACCTTCAGATGTAAAAGAGCAACACCGCCCGCAGAGAAATCCTCCTCATCGATATGATCGTAGGAGGAGCTGCCAGAACTCCGCTTAGACTTGAGAGAGTTAGTCTCCTCGTCATTGTTTTCTCCGGTCCCGTTGTCCCCCTTCTCGCTCCCCCGTTGAGAGGGAAGAGGTATCCATTCCGATTCCAGGGAACCGTGTTCCGAGTCAAGGTCTTTCTCATCGACTTGGTCGTGCTCTATGGGAACGCTTGGTCCAAAACCGATGTTGTCCATTATATAGTCATCCACATTGTTGTTGTCAACTGCGGCCGCGTCCATGGACAGGGTGGGGAATATGAATTGAGGGACATTGTTGGCTGTCATCTCATGCGGAATGATGGGGCCGGAAGAAAAAGAAGAGGTTGCGTTGCGACAAGCCTTTCCGGTGGTGGAGGGGAGCTGTTGAGCTCCTGGAGAAAGAGGTGGGCGTTGCGGGCGTAGGAGGTGGATACTGGGTGGCGGTGGATGGTGTGGGTGTTGAGAGCGATGTCGTAAGAAAGCAGGGCAGAAATGAGAGACGCTGGCGTAAACACGGGGAGCTTGCTCGAGTCCGCATTCAAGTGCGAGCAGCCCTGCCAGTGCTGCTGGAGAAGCCGCTCGCCTGTGAATTCATACGGACGAGTAGTGCCGCCTGTACGCAGGCCGGCATTGGTGATTCATCTAGCTACTGCCACTTGTGGTGTAGTGGCAACTCCCGGAGAAGGTCTCAACGAGAGAAACTCCCAACTATCCATTTCTTCCCTCCTTTTCTATCCCAACGTGGTGGTGGAGGTGGTCGAGAGGATGGCACATCTTAGCCCATTCCATGTCCACGCTAAGCTCATGAACGAGCCTAGGATCTGGCCATAGCATTTGATGTCTCTCTCTCAGCTTATTACTTTGTCTCCTCTCTGAAGGAATACTCTCGTCCAGGCGAGAATGATAAAGTCACGTGGAACGGGGTGAATTATCGGTGAATTCATCGACCAATGACTAAGCACGGTGGCATTTTGTCGCTAACAACATGAATACCAGGGACGCAGGGAATCACCCCAACCAGATGTCCATGAAGGTCATTCAATACTACTTCTTTCATGCTACTACATGAGCTCCATACGATATCAATCGAAATTGCCACATAGAGGCTCAAGACTTGACCGGTTTCGTGGGAAGAGAGATCCGAGTCTGCTAAGAAAGAGAGCTATTTATTCGCCTTTGGAATGTTCTTATAAGCTTGCTCATACCGTTTGTCGAGTCAATTGCCACCTTCTTAGGGTAAAACAGTGGCATTCGCACGAGCTACAGTACTAGGTCATCCGTTCGAGTAAACGGAATAGCACTGCCCAGACACCATTCTTCTTCTCACGATACCGAAATGAGGACTATCTCAACTGGTAGGTGGCTGCGCGGTCAACAAAGGACTCAATTACCATTGTAGGAGCCTATACAATATGTCTGGAGCTTCAAAAGCCCATAGGGGTACTCTAAGCAGTAACGGACGTATGTACCCAGACTGCTAGCAAGATACTGTGGAAAGTCAAACATAAGATAGAAGCAATCAACTTAGCTAAGGGAAGACCTATCCAAAACTCCCAAAACTTCCTCCGAACTCGGCTAAGGCGTTCATGGTCATGAGATTGCTTGTCGCACAGTAGCTTGAATAGCAGTATTCGACCTCGTCGGGTGTTGACGGAATAAATGACATGTGAGCAGCTAAGTATGGCGCGGTTTGCAGAGGTTACATAGTATGAGAATACAGCAGTGAAGCTTCTGAAATTGAATCTATCAAAACTCATTCATCGGACAAACCTATTTTATACCAAACGCTCACCTCCACTATACCTTGATGAGGCCATAAGGCTGAAGCCTTATCGATAAAGCTTCCCCAGCTTCAAGCTTGAGCATTGTCCCATCTCCCCAACCACCAACACCACCAAAATGTCAAGTCCAAATCCAAACCCAACCCTCCTCCCCTCCCCCTTCCCCGACGAACCCTCTTCAAAATCCCGCTCCTCCTCTCCCCGCCCACCCCACGACGCCGCCGCCGCCCCAGAACCCGCCGCCGACGAGCCGCCCTACCCTGAGACAGACGACCCCCCCTACATCGAACCCACGTCGACAACCCTCCTGCCGCCGCCCTCCTTCTCCCCCTTCTTCACCCTCATCGAAGACGCGGCCACGGGCGAGCACTACCACCCCTCGCTGCACTACCTCTTCGCCGACGACGACCCCATCCTGCTGACGGCGGCCTCGATGCGCGCGCTCGGCGTCGACGAGGCCGCGCTGCTCGTCGACGAGGCCGCGCTGCTCGCCGACGACCCCCACCAACACCAACACCAGCGCCACGAACCCGTCGAAGACGCCGACGACGAGATGCGCGAATCGCCGCTCCCGCCGCCGCTGCCGGGCGTCACGGAGCGCTACCTCGTGGTCGATGTGGGCGCGGACGGGCAGGCCGTGGCGGATGCGCAGAGCCTGAGCGCCGAGTGGCAGGTGACGCAGACGGCGGTGCGGGCGGCGCCGAGCTGGGACGAGGAGGCGGGCGGGGAGGGGCTGATGCTGGTGGTGGGTGGGGTGGAGGTGAAGCAGGCGGGGAAGCGGGCTGGGGGGCCTGGGGAGGCGAGGCTGGCGGAGGCGAGGGGGGCGACGGGGGGGGATGTGGTGGCGGGGTTGGAGCGGATTGTGGGGCTGTTTGATGGGGAGCTGGGGGTGTTGCGGAGGGTGGTTGGGGAGACGGGGGTGGAGCGGCCGGGGGCGGAGAGGAGGGAGAGTTGAGAGGGGCGAGGATGGAGGGTTGGGTAAGGAGTTTTGGGAAAAGGATGGGTGGATGGGCATAAGCATCGGATCGGTGGAGGCTGGCGTTTGATATGGGTTGTTTGGATTTCGTTCGTTCTCCTATGTTCGTCTCACTACACCGGATACACTTAACCCATCTCGCGATGCAATCGTCTAGTCGCTCTAAGTATCTCCCTCCACAATCAAATGTGCGCCTCTAAGCACCTTTCATCCATCAAAATCACAGCTCTCACCACCCGATATCCACCCCCCACCGATCCACAAACCTCCCACTCTCCACCTCGTTTCCCTTCTCAAGCAACTTCACCATATCCCCCACACTCTCCTCCGCACTAATCGCCCCCTCCTCCTTCCACTCCACCAACCTCGTCTCCACCCGCCCTGGATGCACTAACAGAAAATGTATCTCCGGCACATCAACACTAAAGCTCTTCACCACCGCATTCAGCGCCGCTTTCGACGCCCTGTACGCATACCCGCCGCCAGTCGTGTTGTACGACAACGAGCCCATGCGGGAGCTCATCACAACGACGCGCGGTGCTGCGGCGAGCCGGAGGTTGGGTAGGAGGGTCCGGATCACCAGAAACGTGCCCAGCGCGTTACTCTCAAACGTCCGCAGCATGGTCGCGACATCCATGGCTTCTAGCGACTCGGTGGCTGGTGCGTCGCCGGGGTGTGCGGCGACGGCGGAGGGCACGAGGCCGCGGATGCCGGCGCTGTGGATGACGAGGTCGATTGGTGTGTGCTTCAATTCTTTTGCAAGGTCTTGCAGGGACTGCTCCGAAGAGACGTTGAGGATGTGTTTTGTATAATGGGCCCTGTTTACCGGAGCAAGTTCGTGGCGGTCTACTGCTATTATGGTGGGAGGGGTTGGGAGGGAGAGGTAGTGTTGTAGGAATGCGAGGCCGAGGCCGGAGGCGGCGCCTGTGATCAGCACTGTAGGCATTGGGGAATATAAGACCACGTAGGGCCAGTTCTTTGGCTCCAAAAGGAAGAGGTGACGTTGAGGGTGATTGTTGATGTTTATCGTGAACGTGGGGTAAAAGCGGATGGAGAGAAGCGGGCCGATAGAAGCATTCTAGCGAATCAGAGAGCAGGGAGGTTTAAGGTTGCATCAAACGCGGGGCATCAGACACCCAACCTTATTGCGGCCTTCTTTCTACGTAGGTATGTGCCAGAGGAAGGATAGTCTTGAATCGAATTGCGGCAATTGAGAAAGCTAACTAATTAATAAGAGTGTGGCGAACTAAATCTAGAGAATGCTATAACTCAGGAATGGCCCCCAGTGCAGTGCTGATACTGATGTCGCCGCTCGATGACCTCACGCTGTCGACGAGTACGGCAGGGAATACGGCATTTGCAAAGGAACCATGCAAACACCCCTTCCGTCGCCCTATCTGCTTTTCCTGCCACGTAGCATGCTCCTCAATCTCACTATAAACACTCTTTCCCGTCCAAACACAGTGCCAATACCCTTTCAATACATCCCCAAAAGAACCCCCCCCCCCCCAGCCCAACCCAACCAACCATGTTCTACATGCCCGGCAGCACCCCGCACAACCTCCCCCACGACCCCTTCAAAGCCTGCGTCCTGCCGCGCCCCATCGGCTGGCTCAGCACCCTCTCCCCCGCCGGCCACGCCAACCTAGCGCCCTACTCGCAATTCAACAACCTGACCTTCGACCCGCCCTACGTCATGTTCAGCGCGAACCAAACCGCCGCCGCGACGCAGAAGGACACGGTGCGCAACGTCGAAGCCACGCGCGTCTTCTGCTGGAACCTCGCCACCTACGCGCTGCGCGAGGCCGTCAACGCGACGGCGGCGGAGCTGCCGCACGGCGCGGACGAGTTCGCCCACGCCGGCTTGGCGCGCGAGCCGAGCAGGACCGTGTTTGTGATGGTCAAGACGGCGGCGGCGGGGGGCTACGAGGAGGAGCAGCGCGTGCCCGTGCCCATGGTGCAGGCGTCGCCCGTGCGGTTTGAGTGCGAGTACTACACCACACTACGGCTGCCGGGGCGGGCGCCGGTGGGAAGTGCGGATGTGGTGATTGGGCGCGTGGTGGGGGTTCATATTAAGGAGGAGGTGTTGACGGATGGGAAGATAGATGTCCGCAAGACGCTGCCGATTGCGCGGTGTGGGTATTTTGAGTATGCGGTTGTGAGGGAGGTGTTTGAGATGGTGGTACCCGGGGGTGAGGGGGCTAGGGCGGCGATGGAGGGGAGTGGGAAGGCGATTCAGGAGATGGGGGAGAGAGTGGGTGATGAGGAGGAGGGTGGAGAGGGGGATGTGGTTGCTGGTGCTGAGGTGGTTTGAGGTAGGAAGAAGGTGGCTTAGTCGTTGCTTTATGGGACTGCAGTTGTTTTTTGAGGAGTATGACACTAGCAGAAAATGTCGAAAATATAGCTTGCTTTTCTGAGGTTTGTGGGTGGAGAAGTCCCTCAGGACGGTACAGATGCTATATTGATGTCTAGTATTCTGAGAACCATATGATAAGAGCAGATGCAATACTTTAGTACGGAATATAGCGCACTAAAAAAGGAGCCTACGCCATCAACTCAGCCTCCATTGGCTCCTGGTTTCCAGAAACAGTGTACGATGCGAGTGGATCTGACTCTCGAAGAAGGATTCGGAGACAAGTTTTGTGACCAGAAACGTAAGTATACACTCGAGTACAGAATTCGCACATGTCTCTTAACCCCTTGCGCGATCCCTCACAAATAAAGCGACCAGGGCTTCAACATCCTCATATTTTCTGACAGATCAAAATCTTCGGGATAAGTTGACGCACAGGCCATCGATGCCAGAGGATGCCGAGCGAGCAGAATGACACACTTCTAAGCTTCTTTTCATCTTATTGTTTTGAAACCGTATTTTCGGAGACGTTCCCCCACCTCACGGTAAGAGGCGTTATCACGTGACAGCGTCTCACCCAGTAGCAAGGGAGACCGGGTCACAAATTCCACTACGTAGGATTGGAATGTGCTCTTTAGAGACACGCATTCGGAAGTTTCCTTCGTGTACGTCGCGCTTACTTGAGGCCCTGGAGTGCCCGCATGAGTGACTTTTCGAGTTTGATTTCTTTTGCGATAGTTTGAATGGAAGACTCATTATTGCCAACGCTGGGCTCACCACGTGACATGGCGGCTGGTTTCCGAGGCCGCGGAAGATTTGGGAATGGGTGTTTGCCGCCGCTACTATTAGCAGCCATATGCGTGGTTATGGTATACATGGCATCCACGATGCTAGAAAGCCCTAGTCCGAGGAGGATACAACAAGAAGCTTTGCCAGATCCAAGCCGGGGACGATTCGAAGACATGCCGAAGGCCCATACGACGAGCGAGAAGCCGACGAATGCAACCGGGACGCCGAAAGCGCAGGAGAAGACCTGGAAGGAGAAGATCGAAGAAATAAACCCATGGGCGAAACACGAAGACAGCGAACCAAGTCCGAACGCCACAACGCTAGAATCCGAATTGCTCATATATCCCGACGAGCCTTCCCTAGGCGCGAGGGTGCGGATTGGAAAAGTGATGATGCAGTTCGGCCACCGGTCGCCGGTATACGATCGCGCTCTTCGGTCACACGAGCGGCACAACAAGATCCACAACTACCCACTACACATCCTGCGATATCCGATCCTCGACGGCATATGGGCGAAAGCGGCGTACATCCAGTATGTGCTGCTTCGTGAAATGAGCAAACCGGAAGCGGATCGACTACAGTGGCTGTTCTGGGTGGATTCCGATACCATCATCATGGACCCATTGATGCCGATCGAAGCACTACTTCCGCCGGATGACCCGGAGTGGGATGACGTGAATCTGCTGGTCGCTCATGACTGGAACGGGTTGAATGCTGGGGTGTTCCCAGTGCGTGTTTGCGACTGGAGTGTCGAGCTCTTCTCTGCGGTCCTCGCCCTGCGCTTCTACAAACCGGACATTGACCTTCCTTATGCGGAGCAGAGCGCCATTGATTACCTGATCCAAGACGAGAGGCTAAGTCCAAATGTAATCAAAACGCCCCAACGATAGTTCAACGCATACCAGCCTAAGTTCGGAAGCGACAACGTGGAATTCTAGCAAGCGAGGAAGGGAGACATGCTTGTTCATTTCCCTGGAAATGACCATCGGGACGAGCGGATGCGGCAATGGCTCGATATGGCGGAGAGACATAAGTGGGATATTGAGCTTCAGAATACTCTGTATCCCGAGGAGACGGCCGAATTCTGGGGTGAAGAGAAGAAAAAGCGAGTGGAGTGGAGGAAGAAAGCAGAAGCTTTCAAGAAGGACGTGTCGATATACCTTGAGGAGCTGAACGAACGGGTATCCGAATTCGGCAGGAAGCTGACAGACGACGAGCACCACTCTTTGGAAGATCAGATCTCCAAGACCAAAGAGGTCATGACTGACAAGAAGACGATGAACAACATCCACAAGTTGGAGACCGAGTTCCAGAATCTGAAAGAGGTGCGTGCTATCGTCCATGCGGGATGTTCTGGTATGAAATGTGTGAGGGGCTAACGTAACGTAACGTACGATAGGAGTCTACAACATTGCGAGAACTCATCGAGGCGCTCGGAACGCTGAAGCAGGAAGAAAAGTTCAAGAAGGAGAAGGAGGAAGAAGCGCGTAAGAAGGAAAATGAAGAGGAGCTCAGGAGAAAGAAGGAAGACGCGTTAAAGAAGGAGCAGCATACGCCACCTCTTCCCCCGCATCCCCCAAGGCTCCCAAAGCCGCCACATCTCCTGAAAGTGAGACTGCGGAGGAACCCGACGCAGAAAGTACGTCTTCTATGAAGGAATCGTAAGGCAAGAGAGGCATTGCGTGAACATGTTGCTAGTAGCAGGATCGTCAAGCTGGGAGCTGTGATACATAGGCAAAGCGGGAAAGGGAAGAAGGGAAGAAGGTTTTGGAAATCTCGTGTCTCATGGAAGTACGAATGCAGGATGTCCCAGAAGGGCCATCATAGACGAGGAGGAGGCAGACGCCAGAACTAGGTAGAAAGAAGACACGACAGGGAAGGCCCCAGCAAATGAAATGGCATTGATAGGGGAACACTGCAGGATGGAAAGGCTAGTCCCATGACGGTTTCTGGTGGAGGCGGCCTAAGGTCTGGCTACTGAAATATATAGACTATTGCAAGCATGATAGCGACGTGTTCAACATGAAGGTCGGCAAAGCTAATGTCGGGGTCGAAGCCGTCGGTGATGGCAGATGGCGACATCTGCCATGTGCTTCCCAAGGCCACCTTTGAGTTGGTGATGGGCGGGCGGGGTTGTGAGGGGGTGGTTACGCGGCGTCTGTTGAGGCCTAGGCCCAACATTATGGTGTTGATGGCGGTGTACGGGTGGTGTTGGGGTACGCTGTGAGGCCAGATGGTAAGAGGCGCAAACAATTGCAGACGCGGATATGGAGAATAGCTCCTCGAAACATGGGGCATGAGGCTAGGTAATGAAGCTGGCGGTATACAATCCCGATTAGCGAGAGACTGGCCGGGAACCGATCGGGGGGCGTGGGCGGGCTCGTAACACATGTGAAACACTCGATTCCCATGACGTTGGGAGCAGCTTTCAGTGAAGTGGAAAGAGGGGTAAGCATGGAATTTCGCAACATTGCTCGATCGGCTGTCGTCAGGCTCGGGGCGTTGTTGGGCTGGAGAGGCGTCGTGGGGCGGCCGGAGAGATTCGAGCAGGGTAGCAGGGTGCTCTCAACACCATGGCGCGGCTCCAAGATGTAGCGCGTGAAGAAATGCAGAGCTTCAAGCTTGTGCCGCCGTGGACGAATGAGGCGCGAGGCGTGTATGATTGTGGGCGGCGATGATGCAAGGCAAGCTGGCGTCCGTGGGAGAGCCGAACGTCGCTCGGTCTCCCCACCGGGAAGATCTCTCCAGGCGAATTGCAGCTGGCCATTGGCTGCACAAACGAGAAGCTGCAGACGGCGGGGTCATGGAAGAGAGCAGGACACAACTCCGACTCCACATTCGTCCTGAGAGCAGGTGGCTGACTGAGAGATGCAGATCGAAGTCCAGATAATGTCGCGAACTAGAGGCAGACAGGGCGATCTGGAGAGGCAATCGCGGCCTTCACCACACCACGGCCAGAAGTCGACGCGCTGGGAGCAGCAGGGCTCCAGGATAGCTCGGCGGGAGATGCACGGCCTAACGGGCAGGGTGCAGTTGGTGCATCGCCATTCGCGGACTTGTGCAACGTAGGTGGTAAAATCCGAGGGCGGGACATCGTGAAGCGTGCTGGGCTGGAGGCTGCGCGTGGAAAGCACATCGCCCGACGCGGTGCTCGTGGCCGGGTTTTAGAAGAAACAGAGGCGCTGTGCTCATGGCCGTCCTTGCGCACAGAAGGAGGCTCGCTGGGAACTCTGGCGGCTTCGTGGCGTGCTCCAGCATCATGATCGCCTGAAGCCTGGCTTGGCGTGCAGTCGGCAGCTCCAGATGCCAGCCTGGATGCCAACCTGGAGGCCAACCTGGATGCCACAATGTCGCCGACGATCGACACGCGCTAAGCCGCCACGGCCCTCGCGCTCGCTTCTTCGGGACATTACGACGGCTGCGTGGCCGCTCATTGGCCACGAGCATCGTGATTTCCTCCGATTGTGATTGTTGGCCGTGCTTGTGCTTCTGCATTCCGCGCTGCTGCACTCGCACCGTGCACAAGCGTTTCCCGACGTTTGCAGTGCATCGTCCACGCAAGCCACGCAATGATGCCCTCCCCTCTGCCCTCCGCCGCGGCTGGCAGGAGCTGCCGACCAAGGCTCACGACAGCTGCTGGACGATGCCAATCCGCTTTCGTTGCCCGTGCCGTGCCGCTTGACTGCGATCAGCCTCGCCTGATGCCAATCCTGCTCGAATTCGGCCTCGAACCCAACCCCAGCTGCGCCACCGACCTGCACGCCAACGCGTCCGGCACGCCCACCTCCCGCCGCATCCAAGCCGAAAGGCCTCTTGATCCATGATGCTGTGGCCCGCCGCCTGGGAGAACCGCACCAGGGGACTCCTGTCCGTGTTCCAAATACTGCCTGCCCGCAGCTTCGGCAGACCAAGACAGTCGGCGCCCATCTCAAACATCCATCTCCACTGCCTGTGAGCGAGCATCTTGAATTATGGTCGAGCGGCCGCCAGTTCCCAGCCGCTGCTCCTCCCTGCGCTCACGCTGTGCTTCCAGCAACAGTTTCCACAGCTGTCACAATTCCCACGACGGCTCCAACGACAGCACCGTTTCCAGCTCCCGGGAACAGGCCAAGCCGAGCACGCAGGGCCAGATCCCAGCCGTGTCCCGCGTCAATCTCGACGGGCCGTCTGGCGACCTGGCTGATATCCCAGCTGACGCGACGTCGACCCAGACTCTTAAGCTCGACTCCGTCCCAAACTTCTCCCGCGTGAGGACAGCTGCCGGTGTCGACCTCCCAGAAGACGTTCCAGAGGACCCAATGGCACCAATACGGGTATCCAGGAGAGCTCCAACCGGCCCTAGTGCCATGAGGAATCCTACGCGCCAGGAAAAGGTCAAACGATGGGACGGCGAGACGAGGACGGTTGAAGAATGGGATGGGCTACGGAGGGTAAGCTACCCTGTCTCAATACGTCAAGACTACACTAATCATTTGCAACTTTTAGGACCAGGAATTGTGGTACGAACAGGGTGACTGCAATGTGCATCTCTATGCTAGAGGCGCCTCGCGACGCGGCCCTTCATTTCGTGTCCCTTTCAAAGCTTTGCGGGAAAGCAATTGCGGTGCCATGTTCAGTCTCTGCTTTGCACAGATGGCCTCGGGTGCGCCAGGCCGCCGCTCCTCGCGCATCTCCACTACAGGGCCTTGTGAACTATACATACCAGCTCCAGACGAATCTTCTAGGGAGGCGTCTTTCCAATGGCACCTTACAACACGCAACTTCTTCGCCTTTGTCCTTGGAAAGCCGCTTGTGGGAACTTATCTTGGCAAAACCCTCGTTGATTTGCAGGAAAGAATGCACCTCTTCCGGTCTGGGCAGATCAACAACCATGAGGACTTCATGGCCTACATCGACGACATGGGATACCGCAACTTTGTCGACACCCCAGACTACGCTCTCTCAATGCTGTACTACGCCGAGCACTACCAGCTCCGCGATCTTTGGGTAGACGCTTTCGTCCATTGCGTCGGAATGAACGACCGACTGTGTTTGAGTCCAGAGTTTGATGTTCGTACTACCAGCCCCTAATCGCATTTGCATAGCTGACACACTCCTAGCAAATACGCCGTGTCACCAAAGCACTCATCACAAGAGCTTATCTTGAAATGGACCTCCATTTGGGACGAGTGGCTGCGGCTCTGAGCCACTTCCTCGAGGATGACTTATCAACTTCGAATCTTGGCCTCAGTCAGGGAGCTCGAGCTCATCTAGACCGCTTCCGATCTTTCCTCCAGAGCTTCTACGTCGAAAAGTTCGGATACTGGCCACCCCCTGAAGGCGCTTCATACTCAAAGTCGCTCTATAGATCCATGTACTTCGACTTCCGGAGCCTCTATGACTACTTGGTAGATGTGGAGTCAGCCGACACCATTCAGACCCAGAAGCCGGCAAGCGGAGGAATCTGTGTTCTGCAAAATGTCCACGCGTTTGACAGGCGACATAAATTTACTCCGCTGCCCCACCCACTGCCAAAATTGCCGTATGTCTCTAGTCAAGCTAACCGGACACAATCGCAACGTGCGTTGGTAGCGTTCAAGCTCGGCTCGAAGAATGCCAAAATGGATGTATACCTGACCACGCGAGCGGCGCTGATTGCCGCTACGAACACGAATGATATCTCAGTTACTACCTCTCCCCTGGTTGTGTCATACATGCGCTTCGAGCGGGAGTGCGCGGTGAAGCAACGGGAAGAAAAGGTCTCGATAGCAGACGCGAGGAAAGTTCGGTGGCTACTGATATACGGCGCACTCCAGATTCTTATCTCAGCTATCCGAGCGCCAAAAGAGGTGCGCGATACCGAGGAGGCCAACTACCCACTATGCTGTCTTGTTGCTGGAACCCCACCATGGAAGATTGGTGCACAGGCGTTGAAGACACCCGCAGTACCATCGGCCAATGCGACTGAAGCTTTTACCACTTATCTTTCGGAAGTTGTGAAGCCGGATGACGATTCTTTCTTAACCGACGACATGACTCCTCCAACCAACATTCAGCCGGACTGCGAGATGGGGGACTACTTCACTCATACCAATAACGACGTCGGGTCAACCTCTTCTTTACAGCATCAGCTCCCCGTGGAAGTTCCGGCACCCCTTCGCGTTTCCTCGCCTATCCTTCGCAATACATCGATCAAATCCATGAAACAGTTTGCAGTGTCACGCTTTTCTCGCCGCAATAGCGTGTTAGTTAAAACGCACTCTCAGCCGTTCTGTGAGATCATCGTGCATGGTTACGGCAATGGATTGAATGAAACTATTGTCGACCCTCCGTCTGTAACCGCATCTCCCCGATCAGACTCTCCTCAGCGACCATCCAGCATCATTCCCACGATTTCTATGGCTCCTGTACCAGATTCTGAGGCCTTGGATCGGCCAGTCCCAAAAAAGCTGGGCCACGGGCGTGTTCAACGACCCATGCACCTCGAACTCAACTGCGATTCGCTTCCTGATATGGAGCGTACTCCTACCTTGGATACTTTCCAGATCCATGGCGTTCAGGAACTCAACGCATCAGGCTCAACTAGCACCAGCTCGGATACCAGTTCACCCATGACGCCAGTCTTTAGCCGCGCCAGCTCAACTTCGTCAGCGTCTAGTTATGGGCAATCCAATAAAGAAAATGACAACAGAGATGTAAGCGAATGCAGTAATGTTCTTGGTGGACTGGTTTCGATGGACAGCCCGACCTCGAAATATAGCTCGGCGCCCAACTCCCCTGTATCCCCTACGGCACGCGGGCGAAAACTTCGATTCAGCTTCGGCAGCGCGTCTAGCGAAGCCGCGCCGATAGATCTCCAGCAAGTCAATAGAGCACCATCGCTCGCCGGTTTTGACTTCGGACTCGATAGTACCTTCGAGACTGCTCCTTCGATCAAACATTGCCCTTCCTTTGACTCCTACAAAATTCCTACCGAAGCTATGCCACAGCTTCTCCGCCGCAGCATCTCACTCGAATCGTCCGACACTATGCGTAAAGCGGCGCCGGCTGTAGACATATATGCCGCGCTGCAGATGCTCCCACGTAGTGCTACGCCTCAAAAGGAACGGATTGAGGAGTATGCGGAAGATTCCGCACCCTCACCGTCCGTTTCCATGCCTCTTCAGCTAGCGAGCAAATTTCAAAAACCCAATCTCAAAAAGAGATTGAGCCTCAGGATGTGGGGCTAAACCTTGTACAGCGTCATATTTCCTTACGTTTGTGAGCGTTCTTGCGGTCAGCGATACTTCAATATTGTTTCGTTCAAGCGTTTTCGCCTTGCTGCTCGCCTCGGCCTCCATCTGCTACCGCAATATTTTGATACCCACACACTCGCTCGAGTTTCTTTATATCTCTGGTTTTGGTGCTTGGTCTAGATTGGTGCCATTTCGAAACATGGTTGACATGGATCGAAGTAACTTGTAATGTCTCGCTTAATCGAAGGGTCGTTGGGATTGAGTAAGGGAAGAAAGCGTTGAGAATGAGGCAATCGGATACTTAAAGGGGTGAGGCTTGACTCAACCGAAATCTATATCACACATATATCATACCCTCTACTTTCGATCATGCTAGCTTGCAGCTCATTCTAACAGCCCGCTGCCCTATCAGTGTGCCTAACAATCGCGCGACGTTTGGAGTGCGTGGCCTTGGCGGGACCTCTAACTAGCTCTGGTCTAGAGACTATCGGTAGCACTCAAGGACCAATTGACAACTAGGACATGGCACCAGCCAATCCGACTAATATCAGCATTTGGAGAAAGATATCTCGGAACGGCTCCGATGCGGTATCATTGACAGGCCCGCTCACTTTTCGAGAATCATTCGACACATGACTCGGAGACGATAGACGATTACGTATGTTACTTCTGAGCAAACATGGATCAGGGCCTGATCTTCCCTGAATAGCACGCTATTTACATCTCCATGCGTACTTGGTCACAAGGCGGATTATAGCTATCTAGTGCCAAATGCAGCTTCCCCTCCAAGTTCCACCACATGCCTCGTTAATGACAATAGGGCTGCTCTTGTTCTCTCACGAAGCGGCAAATAGGTCAGACGTACACTCAACATCTGTACCATTCACCCATGTTCTCGAATATGTAGGTGCTAAAAAGCATTGGGAGACGAAACAACAGATCCACGAAACCGAGTGAGGCGAGACGTGGTGCACGGACTTCTTTCATCTTAAATGAGACGGCTCACAAAAAGGTTAGCGTTAGCCGCCCAACCCTTTTCTTCCTGACGCTGCATTTTCCTCTTCTTTCTTCAAAAGCTACTTCTGTCAAGTTCTTGCGGAGCTTTGAGCTCCTTTCCGGTCTTTTAAACGCTGATTTGGTGGTGACGCAGAGCGACGAGAGCGGCATTCACTCCACACGGGGCTACGCGCTGCCCCGTGACTTTGTCAGGGGGGCGCCTGTTTTGGACCCCAAACATGGCCATCCGAGTCCCAATCAGGTCAAGCTGGTTTGAACAACACCTGGCGTCGATATTTGACAACTGCAAAAAGCACCACTTAAGAAGTTTCTTCGACAGATCATGAAAGCGTCAATACTGTTGCTTCCACATGGAAGCACCAGGTCATCACATCGAACATTCTCAAGAAGGATAAGATCAGCATATTGCTTTGGCGATCATCGATACCCTTTCTAAACCTTCTGCCAACTTCACCTCAACAAAGGTATGTTAGAGGTAAAGGATAGAAATAGCGAGCATCGCCCATCACGCAACCCAAGGTGCTCCAGTCAAAACGTATCCATCAATTACTTTTCCAGTATACTCAACAGGCCATGCCATGGTGCGGCTTTTGTTGCACAACCATCCTTTATGAACTCCTTTCGTCTCAGACCACTATGCCCATTCTCAAGATCAGCAAACCTAGCCAGCAAACAGCTGCCAGTCCCCCCTTCATGGCACGTCAATACTCCAAGAAGACCCATCTTCCACGGCACAGGCTCAACAAACCCCAATTCCCCGGCCAGTTGTCGTCATTGGCCCAAGTCGTTCCAAGCCGGCCCTCAGCGCTCTCGAAGCAGGAATCCCGCCAACGCCGTAAAATCGGGTTATGACGCATCGACCTTATCAACAATGCTCTCAATAGCCATGCTGCGCGTCGACGGCGTCGTCGGCGTCGGCGGTGCCCTGGCCTCGACCTTCTTCGCCGCCGCCGCCGGCTCGGGCCTCTCCACCGCAACAGGCGTCGGCGGCTCCGCGTCCGCCATCTCCTCATCCTCCCCGCCCACGACCTCATCCACCTCCTTCAGCCAGCTCGTCTTCAGCACCTCCATCGGCGGGTCCAGATCGCCGGGCTTGCCGCCGCGCCGCGCCTCGGCCGCCGACATCTTGCGCTCGCCGCGCTTGTGCGGGTGGAAGTGCATGCGGCGCAGGTGGCTGGCGGCGTTGTAGCACTCGTTGTACTTCTTGCCCGACTGGCAGGCCTTGCAATTGGCCAGGAAGGACTGGTCGGGCGACGTGTCGACCGTCATCCACACCTTGCGCGTCTTGCGGTGCACGCGGTTCGTGTGCCGGCGCAGCTCGTGCTCGCTGCGGAAGCCGTCCGGGTAGTCGTTGCAGGAGGGGCATTTCAGGCGCAGGACTTTCCGCGGCGGCGTCTTGGGCGGCGCGAAGCCTGTCCCGGGCGAGGGAGGGCTGCTCGCGCTGCTGGCGGGGAGCTCGACCTTGCTGGGCGGTGGTGCGGCGGCGGTGGTGGCAGCCGTGAGGGTGGGCGCCGGTGACTGGGGTTCTGGAGCAGCAGCTGCTGATGTTGCTGCTGCCGGCGTAGGCGGCGGTGGTGGTGGAGCGGGACCTTGAATTGGAGCGGTAGGTGGGACTGGAGCTGGGGCTGGAGCGGGAGGTTGCTGGGACAGGACGGGGGCCGTCGAGGCGGCCGCTGAGGCTTTTGCCAATGCCTCTTGCTTCGCCTTTGCCCTCGACTTCGCGGCAGCCATTGGGTCTCGCGACGCTCACAGGCAGGCGGCAGATTCGAACGTCCGGCACGCACGGGGTGGCGCGAGGCTTCACGGGCAGATCGACGGGCAGGTTCCGGGGCAGAGCAGCAAGCAGCAGCAGCCAGCAGCAGCAGCAGCAGCAGACGTCAGACGGCGGCGATATGTATCGCAGCGGGAGCGGCGGAGGGGCGGAGCGGTGTCGTAGCTAGTGAATCTGGGGAGGATCATACATGGCCCTGGCACAGTAGTAGGGAGTAGGGTGCGGGGGAGGGGACTCTGTCGGGGGGGGGGTAAGTGGGCGGCCTGCCTTCTGCCTGATATTCGTGAGCTCGCACTGCACTCTGCACTCGCTGGGCTGGCAGCAGCAGCAGGGCGGGCGGATCAGTCGTCGGCGGGCGCGCGAGGCTGAGTTCAGCCCTCTTGTAAGCCTCGCTTTGGCCCGTTCCCCCAGCGGGTGCGGCCTTGTCTCTTTCGACGCAGCCACGTCCGAGAGCGGATGGCCCAGCTGACGGCCGATTCGCTGGGCCCGCAACTCTCTCAGCCTGGAGAGCGAGCCGGCCCTGCGAGCCCTGGCGTGGGCCAGACCGGGCACGGCGTTGATACGGCAGCCCAAAAAGAAAATGGGCTGCGCACACGCCACGGGTGCCCACCACTGGCCTCGGCTCTTTCCGGTGACGACTGCGCGATCCCGGGAAGGATTCGCACGCCCGTCAAAGCCCGGCCTAGCGCCTGTGCTGCGTCACGGCATCCCGAGCGCACGCCAGCCTCGCGGCCTTCCTCTTCCCGACTCCTCTCGCTCTCCTCCACAACGACGCACCGCTACTCTTGCATGCACGGCGGCGGCTACAAGCGATGACGCTCGCGCTGGTCGACGAGGGCTGCGTGCGGACGGGCATCGTGCCATCGACACCCCAGCCCTGCCTGCTCCCTCGCCATCTTTTGCTCTCACGGCGACCAGCCAGTGGGCAGTCAGCTGCCATCAGCCTTAGGCCCAGCTGCCAACGGGCCTGCTCCAGCCAGCCTCGCGCCGTTCAGGTCAGCTGGTGCTTACCTATGGCACTGTCTTGAGAGCGAGCTTTTTTTTTTTCTTCTCCGATGTTGCAATGCAACAGGATGAGCACGTTTCTTGCAGCAGCGTTGGAAAAGCTAGGTTTCTAAATTCGAGAGCTGGAGGAGCTGGATGGAGCGTTAAGGAGGCGTTACTGGATACAGCAGGTTCTGTTATACGAGGCACTGCTACGGTGGAGCGACGAGAGTAGGCGTGTCTCATAAAAAGGGACCCCTGTCGATCGTTGCGTGTTGGGTGCTGTGATGGTGAGTGGGAAGAGGGAGGTGACGGTGCGTACTGGGCCTGTGAAGCCGTGGTGGATAGGTATCCTGTGGGGAATGCGAGCCTCAGCCCCAGGTAAGATCGGACAGAGTATCTCCGAGGCGTCCTGTTCAAGTCTCCTACAGCATTTCTCATGCACCGACTAGGAAGACGGTATGGTGCTACTTTCTCACTGAGGGGCACTCTGTAAGAACTACGCAGGAGCTGTTGGAGCTCTTGTTCTGGATTTCCATCTTGGTCAAAGGAACTAACACGACCCGTCGGGTCGTATGTGTGCGGTTAGTGTGTGGTTATCACTGATTCAGTGTGATGCAGTACTAGCATCGTTGACAGAAAGCATTACAAAGTCCTATTCATAGAACCTTCTATCCGATTAACATCCGAGGACCCATCTCTCATTCTGTCACCTGTTTGGTATAGCTCTTTCAATTGATAATGTCTATTTGTTAATTTCAAAGTACATCTAAAGCCAACTAACTACCAACAAGACGTTTCGGAGTAAGCTAATGCACAATAACCTCCGCCGGCTTCGCAACCAACCAGTGACTCCTAAACATGTTCTCCGGATCATACTTCTGTTTCAACTCCAACAATCTCGCCGTGTTCTTCCCAAACATCTCCGCTGCATCGTTGTCCAACTCAGCGTAATTCGCATATTGCCCCACTCCCTGGCCCTGCTTCCTCTTCTTCCACACCCCCGCATCCTCGCTCGCCTTCTTCAACAGCGCCTTGCTAAATGCCCTCACCTCCCCGTCCAACGCCTCGTCATACCACTTAAAGCACGTCGCGACGTTGTAGTACTCCCCCCGATTCGCAAACGAGGTGGCGTCGTTCGCCACCTCAATGATCTTCTTGAACGGCACCCCCTCGAAGAGCATTATACTCTCCCCCATATCCTCATGAGCACTAATAAACGCCATAAAGTCGTCCCTAATCTTCTCAACCAACCCGGGCTCAAGCGGCAGCGTGAAATTCCCACCCCCAAACAACTTCCTCCCACCAAACCCCTGCCCCTCGTTCAAAACCCCATTAAGCTCCTCATACGGCATACTCCTCGTCATGTCCGCCACCGGGCCTAGTTCAAACAACGGCTTAAAGAACTCCCTCCCCGCCTCTTCCGTCCCATTATAGAACACCGCCACCACCACCACCACCACCACCGGCACGCCCCGCGGCGGCGGCGCCGAAAACCCAAACAACAGCGTGCTGATCCCCATCATTGCCCTCGTGGAACCAATTCGCAAACTGCACCACCCCGCCCAGCTTCTCCCCGGGGAAAACGAAGCATACCGCCAAACACAGGCGCCCGGCTGCGGATGCGCGCGAAATACAAACTGCGTCACGACGCCGAAGTTCTGCCCCGCGCCCCGCACCGCCCAGAACAGGTCCGCGTTCTCGCGCGCCGACGCCGTCGCGTAGGACCCGTCGGCGAGCACCATCTGCACGGCGAGCAGGTTGTCGATGGTGAGGCCGTGCCGGCCTGAGAGGTGCCCGTAGCCGCCGACGCCCGTGTGGTTGAAGGTGCCGCCGACGGTCGCGAGCCCGTAGGCGGCGGCGGCGCCGTCGACGTCGGCCCAGGTGGTGCCGCCGCCGGCGGTGATGGTACGGGCGGCGGGGTCGACGGTGACGGCGCGTAGTTGGGAGAGGTCGAGGACGAAGCCCGAGGAGGTCGCGGAGGCGCCTGAGGTGGAGTGGCCGCCGCCGCGGATGACGAAGGGGGTGGAGTGGGTGCGGGCGAAGGCGAGGATGGTTTGGATGTCTGGGATGGAGACGGGGTGGATGGTTGCATCCTGTGCGGGGGGTGTGAGTATCGTGGGGAAGGGAGGGGGCGGGGAGGTATGTTTGAGAGTGGGATTGTGGTAGAGGGCTTGAGTTGAATTGTGAGAAATAGGATAGATTAGGTGGATGGAGTAGCTTACAGCCCTCTTCTCGCACGTGTCGCTCCATCGTTTGATACTTTCTTCGTAGCCTAGCGTTCCAGGCGTCAGAATCTCAGCTTTCGAGCCAGCGGCTTGGAGCTCTGCGGCCAGTTCGGCGTAGATGTCTCAGGTTGTGCTGCCCATGGTTGAGGTAGATAGTCCACGGTTGGGTTGACTGTATTTTTGCAATGAAACCTCGGATATCAACGGGGGGGAATTGAACAGACAATAGGAACCCAATTGATCTAAAGCCAAGTCTCAGCTTTTTCCAGGCACACCACGGATTTGGAAGTACTTATTATTTGCGATAGTTAGGACTGAGAGGCGTTGGCGTGGAACTTCTGGCGGTGTTGTTTTTGGAAAGCTTCCAAGAGCTGCTTTGTGGTTGCGTTGGTTGAAGGTCTAAGTAAAGATGGAAGATGCCCTTTATCTATATGATACGAACAGAAGATCCGCAATGTCCGTTTCTCGCCCGATAAATCAAGCAAGGGCGTTGTGCTGGGATTAGTCTGTTTAGTAATATAACTGGTTGACAGTGGTTGGTAACTGCTCGGACTTAGTTTCAGCGGTGCCAGCAGAAAGCACGAAAGTAGAGGCATACCAACGTATATGGGAGGATATGGGGTTGAAAGGCGAGTATTGGGGAGGCCTGGGAGGGCTAACGATTTCAAGTTCGGACGACGTGTGTACTAGCCTGCGTGACTAGGACTTCATTGATATTGACGTCGATGGTTCCAAATATGTGTATATTTGCAATGGCACCTGCTCGTCAGACGGGGGTATTACGAACACGGAGTATTTTAGGTTAAAAAGTTATTTGCAACTGTTGTTGGTAATTGGGAGCGATTACTAGGTTTGGTGGAGATTCTTCGAGCTTCGTTTATTAGCGTGGACTGATAGTAGTGCTGACGGCCACGTAAAAACTGTCTCATAGCCTCAAATTGTAGCACAGCCGTTTACTATGTAGGAAGAACTACTAGGATTAGACTGTGGCGGTGCAAGTAGCTATCAGCCACTTTGAAGCATCGCGAGCATGCGATCACTTGGATCAACCTTCTTTCCCCCAGCGTCGGTTCTGCCGTATAATCTGTCTTCTCGGTGTCTCTGTAGAGTTTTTGAGGTATTCCGAAAGTGCACATAAAGGTACCGTAGGTCACCTTCTCCTGCAAGTTCGGTAGTATTTGTTGGGAGGATTGCGAGATTCGTCCACAATAGGAGCCTCTTTGGCTGTGCCATCGCCCCTCCACTTCGTCGTTGGTAGAGTGTAAACTGTGCTTGAAGTGAAATTTGAGGTATCAGGTTGGTAGAGCCGAGTCGTCGTCAAGTTGAGGCGCTTCTCCCGTCGCATCTTGGGCCTTGCTCTTGAACGCTACGTAGCAATCTTGTCAGTCAAAATACTACGAAAACCAGAAGAACGCCTTACGCTGCCGGCACATAGGGCACTTCTCCTGTGAGCTCTCCTGCCGAAGCCATGAAAATATACAGTGCTGCCAAATGTGTAAGCAGTGCACCACAGAAGCAGGCGTAAGTCGACTGACCATGTGGAAAGAGTGGTTGCATTCCCCGAGAACTAAGATCGGTTAGTAGATAGCTTTAGATCATATGGGACAGACGTACGCAGTGGACATTCGTCGCCAGGAAACTTGCACTTGGAACAGGTGCTGTCGTATGGATTTCGGCAGATTCCACAGACATCGTCGTCGGGCATGTCCCAGCGCCACGCAGCCACTGCGTTCCACTGCTTGATGACGACTTTCATGATTTTGGGTGTTGTAGAAGGAGTGAGGGGCAGAAGAGTGAGAAAAAAGACTGGACGACTTGGAGTTGATATTGGTGAAAGCGCGCAAGGAACGCGACTGTGACCGCGTCAAGCTTTGCCGGAGATGTCGGCAAAAGTTGCCCCGTTGTAGCGACTACCAGAACTTCATTTAGACGTCGCTCTGCCATCATCCATCTTGAATTCACTCAGCTGTCATTTCCTCTACACAGTACATGATACACACAAATCAGTCATCAGTCATCAAGTTATCAGAAGATAGTGAAGAAGTTCCTAACCTAGCTAGGATGAGTACTAAAAACCCAAAATAAGCAAAGAGAACGAGCTTGCTTAAGCCCATGAAAATCCAAAGCTCCGTCGCTCCAAGCGTTCATGCCCAATTTAGACGCTCGACCGTATATCCAAAGCAGATGTGTTATGCCTTGCAAGATTCATCCCAGCAAGAAGACCGCATAGCGTTCATTGCCCGTGATTGCCAACCCTCCAGCCATGAGTCCAATCGCATAAGCACCTCAACCTTCAATCTCTCCTATCACTCACTCTGAGTCGGCGGATCATCGATCTCAAGAAGTTCACGCTTAAGCCTCTTGATCGCACGACCCGCATTACCGAAGTCATCCCCAGTCATTCCTCCAAACATTTGGCCGACATCAGCCACTGCTGCTCGAAGCTTGCCGTACTTCCGGTTGACCTTGATGTAGGTATCGGATATGTTCTTGCACTTCGTCTGAGTAGCATCGAGCTGTTTTGCGGTCTCCACCGATGAGGTCTGCATCTCGTCGTACTTCCTCTTCAAGCTGCTCCCCTCCACCGTTTCCTCCATGAGGACCTTGTATTTGGCGAAGAGGTCTTCGTACTTCTGCTTAAAATCTGGCTTGACCAAAGAGTCTTCGGGGTCGCTCTCAGAGCTGGAGTCATCGGCATCTCCACGTCTCTCCCTGAGCTTCTTGATCTGTGCTTTCAAGTCGACCACTTCGTTGCGGTGGGTCCGTTTGTCGGCATTTTGTTGGTCCCTCAAAGCATCCAGCATCGTCTTCGCAGCATCCCGCTCAATCTTCATGCTGTCGCGTTCTTTCTTGACAGCCTCTCGTTCCTCGCGGATAGCGTCTCGTTCCTGCTGGAGCTGCTTCTGCGCGTCTCCCGGTTCACTATCGCAGGGTGGAGTCGGCAACTTGGCGCTCTTTAGCTCTTCCATCTTGGACTCGAGCTCTTCCAATTGCCCATTCAGCTTTGCAATGGTGGAGTTGGCTCTCTCGAGATGATTCGAGATTCGTTCTCGAGCTTGCTTTTCCTTCTCGGCACGTTCCTGGGCAATGTCGTGGGCCTTGTACATCTTATTCAGATCGGTCCTCGCAATATCGCGTTCCACCTCGAGGATCACGCGTTTAGCCTCCGCTTGCTTTACTTCCTCCTTCGCTTCCTCCTTCAGCGCATCTCGTTCTTTGCAGACTGAGTCATAGTCGTCCTTCCACACCTGGCTCTGCTGTTTCCAGGCCTCCTCTTGATCGAGATGCCCTCGAACGAGGCCCTTCAACTCTTGCTCTTTCGCAACCAACACCCGCTCAAGGGTAGCTTTCTCTTCTCGAGTTTTGGCTTGCTTCGCATCGTGTTGGGCATCGTTCTTCGTTCTTTCTGACAGGAGCTTGGAGATTGCTCTCTCTTGGTCCGCAAGGTTCCTGTTAAGAGTCTCGTTCTGCTTCTTGAGATCTTTGATTTCCGCTTTAAGCACCTTGTAGACACTATCAGATGCCCTGGACATAGCCGTGCGGCTGGAAGGACCCTCGTCGCCATTGAGGGTAGCCTGACGTTTAGTGTTGGGCTCGGTGACAAGGTCCCTCTGTTGTGACGCAGAGCTCGAGGGGTTGACCACTGAGCCCGCATCCACGTCATAGACTTCAGGTCCGTTGGAGGGGATCCTAGAGAAGGACCAACCTGGATCTGGAATCGTCATGTTTTCGGTTGATGCTGGCGAACTGGCTCGCGAGATGGCTGAGGATGATGCTGGAGCAATTTGCTTGCCCTTCGTGTTTTCTTTCTCCTTCTCCGCTTCTGCTGCTAGTCGTGCAGCTGTCTCCCTTTCCAGTTCGGCAGCAAGTTCGGCAGCTTTTTCTCTCTCTTCTTCAGCAGCTAGCTGCGCAGCCTTCTCCCTCTCTGCCTTCGCAGCAGCTTCTGCAGCCTTCCTCTCCTCTTTCTCAATCAACCGCTGAGCCTCCCTATACTCCTTATCAAGCCTTGCCAGGCGTGCCCTCTCCCTCGCTTGCTTCGCCTTCTCAGCCCTGGCAGCCTCTTCCTCTTTCGCCTTCTTCAGCAGCTCGGCCTCTTTCGCCTTGGCCTTCTTGATCAGTTCAGCTTCTTTTTGTTTGGCTCTCTTCTCCCGCTCGCGCTCTTTCTCTCGCTCCTTTTGCGCGCGCTCGCGGTAAGTCAGCTTTTTCCAAGGCTTCGGCTTTGCGTCACTTGGCTTTGATGACGACGGCGGAATCTGACCCTTCCTCGTGTTAGCCGACGGGGGCTTATCGTAGTCCGGCTTCGCCATCTGGGATTAATATTAATACATGGGAAGGAAGAAAGCGTACAAGTAAGGTGGGCCCACCTTCGATGCAAGTGCAAGACTGCGCGAAGATGGAAAAGGACGATGCTGGACTAGCGCAAGCAAGCAAGCGGAAGAAGTGACTGGGGCTGGCTTGAGAGGGTAGCTTGGTTAGCAGCACGTGGGCAAAGATTGCCTGATTTGTGGAGTGAGGGAGTGGGGGAGTGAGAGTCGTAGAAGTAGAGGTTCTGAGAGGTGTTAGATGAGTCTTGGAGACCTTCGATGTGAAGTGAGATGGAGCAGTTTCGCAGCTCGTCCAGCTTGGTTGAGCAAATGATAAGGGTGATAGTGCAGGAAGAGCCGGACTGGGAATGGGTAAAGAAAGGAAGATGTCTGTGATAGCGCTTCAGGTGAGGTTATGAGGAAGAGTTGGCAAGAAGCGTACTAGCCGACGGAGATGTTTACGTGAAGGGGCCAACAAATGGAAGGAGAGCTTACGAGGGAAATCAGTAGCAAGGTATTGCTGCTCGATGGGCGTGAGAGAGCAGGATATGGAGGGTTGTTGGAAGAAGGGCCTTGAAGAGATTGGTGGAGTAGTAGGATGGTGGTGGAAGGGTGGAGGAAGGATGAAGGAAGAGTCGAGGTGAGTAGACGAGGTTAAATAGAGGCGCAAGCGTCGCTGAGAGAGCGGTATTGGGGGCAGTAGGCCATTCAAGGTTCTTTGAGAGGTGGCAGTGGGGAGCGTAAACTAGTACGATATGGAGCCGCGTAGGTATATATACAAAAAACTTGACTGTGACAGCAGTGCATATATGCTATACCTATGCAACGGAAATCTCGTAGTACGATCTAAGCTTCTGCATGCTCTTTCGCAGCTGCGAGGCTTCTCTGCTATAGCAAAATGGTCAGAGTAGGCATCAAGAGCGTGTTTGATATGCAGTTCGAAGTATACGACATGACCCTAATATCTAATGCACACAGCCCTTACCGCCCACACATTTGTGAACAACTCTGTCGACTCTACTCCAGATATCTCCATGCTTTTCAGACATCGTACCGATACGCTTCAGAGTCTCCCATAACGTAGTGATGCTTCAATACTCATGCGATAGATTTTCGTCGCTTCCATAAACACTGACGAATGGCCTCAGTTTGACGTTGATTGGAATCTTTGACTTTCGATCTACGGACCTGGGATTGGACCTAGAAGTAGGCTCTGTAGTACCTAAGCTGGTTTACAAGCATGAAGGGGCTTATAAATGGCTGTGGGGTTGAAATGTGCGGATACTTGAAGTCGTTTGGTAGCTATCACGTGATCACGAGGCTGGAACGGACTTCTAAGTTTAAGAACGTTATTTGGGCTGAATTCGGAACACTTCTGATGAAATAGCTACGCCGTGGACTGTCGACAGCAGTATATCGGGGCTCTCATACCAGTATTGCATGCGTTGCGATTTGTAGGTAGGTATGTATGTATGTATGTATGTACAGTACAAACACGATCAACTAGACACAGAAACCATCACTTATTAGGAAATCTGCAAAGGCCATATTGAGTACCTCAAACGTAGGATATGATATCTTCTACCACCTAAGCAATACCAAAATCTCTTTTGCGAGCCCTCGAACGCCCTGCTCTCCCTTGCGAACGAAGAAACGCCAGCCAACCCAATCTGTACCCAGACACCAACGAACATTCTGATACAAAGAAAAACGCCTGTACGACCGACTCCTACGCTAGATAAACCCTGTAGTAGTACAAGTTGCGCACTAGGCTATCGTCAGTTACTCAACTGGTCCCCGTTAAGATCGTCCACACTGCCGCGGCGATCCTTCTCTCGCTCAAGCTGTAGCCGTAACTCTTCTTTCTCTGCACTGCTTTCCTCTAGCCTTTTCCTTGCCCCGCTGCGATCTAATAGCCGTGCTTCCCGCTCAGCCTTCAGCCGCCTTTCGAGTTCCTTCAGTCGGTGGATCCATCGCTGCTCACTTGGCTGTAGAGGCGCGCTCACGGGTGGGTACTGAGGCTCCTGCTGCTGGAGAACTTCGACCGCGCTCGTGGAGTGGTGTCGGAGAAGAGATGCCGCCACGCTCGCGCGGGCAGAGCTGCGTCCGCTGCCTGACGGCGAACGCTGAGACTGAGAATCGCCCTGTGGTTGCGCCTGTCGATTGAGTTGCAGCTCAGCCTTCAACATCTTGTTTTCGTTTTTTAGTTTCGTCACCTCGATGCCATTTGTCTCGAGCAGCCCGCCTCTTACCGTGGATGGACGGCCAATACTTTGCCGTTGTGCGATGGCGATCTTGTCGAGCTGGTCCATCCGCTTCATGCGAATGTCGAGCGTGTGCTCGAGTGTCTGGTAGTCCTTCCACAAGTCCTTCTCGATCCCGCGGATACGCTGACGGAAGTTGCCGACAATGCTCTCCACAGTCTTGACAGCTAGGATGATATTCTTGCTGAAGCCAGGGAGGTTGCGCGCGATGATCTCAAGCGACGGTAGTTCACCGGCAACAAGGCTGTTGCTGCGAGCCCATTCCACCCCGCAAAGAGTCGAGAGGCGATTCCAGAGCGCAAGCAGCAGGTTGTTGCGCTCAAGAAGCTGGTCTTTATATTGACGTTCCATGGTCGAATTCTTGTGGCGCTCTTGATTCCGCGCGGTTTCGAGCTCAAGCACTCGGGTTTCATGCTGCTGAATCGTACGTGAGACGGTTTGATGGCCTCTTTTCGCATTGTCGAATTGCGTTTGGTCTTGTCGTCGCGCTTGGCGCTCCTGGTTGAGTAGTTCGGATAGCCTCAGACTTTCCAACCCAGTGCTCTCCAATAACGCGTCACGATTCCGCAGAAGCCTGTCCTTTTCTGCGAGATCATTCTTCGTGCTTTCAAGCTCCTGGATTGTAGAGTCAAGGTCCCGCTGCAGTTTAGTAATGTCCTGAACGATGGTGATTAATATATATCGGGGTGAGAGTGCAATTATGTTGGGTACCTTTAGGAGGCTGGACCTGGTGCCGTCAAGGTTACCGAGGGCTTCACGAAGGTTACTCTCAAGCTCGTCTAGCCGTTGCTTCCAGGTGGTTGCTTCAACTTCCTTGAGAGAGAGGTTCTTTCGCAGTCTCCTCACCTCGTCCTTTGCCTTTGAAGTTTGCAGATTCAAGTCTGTGAGCACCTTCTGCAATTCCTCCTTCTCTTGGCTATCTAGAATTTCGCGTTGCCGCCTCTCTTCCGCCAGACGTTCTTCGAGGTCCCGGAATCTCTCCTTCTCGTCTTGAATGGTCGTGGTTGCGGTGTTGAGTGCAGATTCAAGTTCACCAATCTTAATCTTATCGCCTTCTTGTTCTTCTCGGAGGAACGAGATCTCGCCTTGGCACGACTCGAGTTGGATCTCAAGTCTCTCAATCTTTGAGTTGGCATCGCGAAGCCGCTTGTCAAGACTTTCGAGTTCAGAATTCGCGTCGTCAAGCTCTTGCTCGAGATGCTGGATTTTCCGTAAGTTTGCCTCGCGGTCATCCTCGAGCTGAACCAAACTCTCGCTGACGTTCTTCATCTCTTGCTGTAGAGCGGTGAAGTCTTCATTCTGGTTTTCTATTTCAGTGATGAGTCGGTTCCGTTCTTGTTCTTTTTGCTCAATCTCATCCTCGAGTCTCTCGATAGTGCTGATCGCTTCCTCCCTCAATCTCTCACACTCCTGCTCTTTGTCTTGGAAGGCCTCTAGAGCTTCGTCACGTTCTGCTTGCAAAGCTTGCAGATCCTCCGTTTGCAATTCGATATCTTTCTTCAGCTCATCCATCTCTTTCTCCGCTTCTTCAAGTATGTTGAGATGTTGATTTAGCTCCCTCTCAAGATCTTGATTGACTAGTTTTGTTTGCGAGACTTCATCTCGAAGTGCTGCACATTTACTCTCGTAGTCGTCCCGCTCAGCATCACTCAATTGCGTTACTCGAGTGTCCCTGCTAGCTCTTGAAGTTGATCGCTGATGAGCGCGAGATATCGATCTTTCGAAAATGCTGTCCCCGGCAACAGATCTGACACCATCACCACGACGTGCAGTGAGCTTCAAGTCCTCAATCTCTTGCTGTAGTCGTTCACGCTCACGATTTCGAGATGTGAGCATTGAGGTCTGGGCTCCGAGATCTCGTCGTAGTTCTGAATTCTCGTTGCGAAGCTGGTCAACAAGGGTGCTACTTGTGCCACTGGTCCCCCCTGGCTGATCATTGGTACCGTCTGATCCTGAGTGTGAGCGAGTAGTATAGGACGTAAGGTTGCGTTTGCTGACGCTGTAGATGTTTTTGACGTTATGATGGGTCGCGGCTGGCTGGTATTGCTCTTTGAGTCGCCGAACTTCTTCCCGCAGCTTGTCTGCTTCGGTCTCAGCCTGTTCGCGACGGGCTTTCTCGTCCTCAAGGTCTTCTTTCCAGATTCCCATCGCTTCATTAATGCCCGCTGATGGCTCCGACACGTTTCTTTCACCCATAGATTTGATGTATTCTGCCATGCGCCTCTTTTCGACCTCCTTGGCCAAGTTATCTTCGCGTAGTTGCTCTACTACGGTCTCCGTGGTCTCGAGTCGCTCTCTCAGCCAAGAGATCTCTTCCTCTAAATCCGCCTGCCTCGAATCTTGGTCACTCTTGTCTTCTTCGGAGCCGCTGGTCGTCTCTCGCGCCGCTGCCAATCCATCCTCTTGAGCTTTCAGCTTCCGTTCTAATTCTCGAATTTTACGTCGCATAGACTGGCTCTCTTTCTTTTCATTGGCAAGATCTGTTTGCAGCTGTACGTTCTTGGAGATCATTTCTTTGACCCCTTCATCGGATCGATTCTGGAGCGCCTGGTCAAGAAAGTGAATTTTCAGTTTGAGGTCAAAATTCTCCTTGCTAAGCTTGTCGATTTTGCTGTTTTGCTCCTTGAGAGTAAGGTTGTGCTTGCTTCGGCTGTGGAACTGCATGGCTGAACTCTGCCTCTTATCGAGAGAGCGGAGATGTTTCTCTCGGTATTCCCTGGCAATAGTGTCCGGCACACGTATATCCTGAACGTGCCTGGCAATGACGGTATCGCTTGGTGCACTCGGCTTGACGCTGGGGGCTCTTGGTGTAGCCGGAGGCGTTGTTGACGTCGGTCTTTCTTCGTCAAGTCGTCCAAGATTTTTATCTGTCTGTAAGCCTGCTAGAACCGAAGTGCTGCTGATGCTTCGTGTGCGATCCCAGGAGGGGTTGGAGTCGCTGTAGCCTGACACCGACGAAGCAATGCTCCCTAAGCTAGGAAGTCGCGACAAGCCAAAGCTAGGGCGATTTTGACTTGAAGTTGGCACTGCTCCTCCACTCTGCAGCGCATAGTCTGCGCCTAAAGTGACTTCGCTGTTCCCTTCCCCAGACAAGTCTGACCGATTCGTAAATGAGGAAAGGGAGGACCTCTGGCTAGCCTGTCGATTCTGGAGAAAGCTTGGGCGTTTGTTTACACGATCACCATTTGAGGACGCTGTGGACATAGGCACAGTAATGTTTTCAATGCTCATATCCTGAAGCTCCGCTGGCAGAGATGAGCCGTCCTCATACGGTGAGAAGTCGGGCGCCTTGACGGTCGATGCGCTGGAGGTCGGTCGCTGTGATTCAAGAGAGTCTTGATCCCCGGGCTCTTTATTGTGTGCCGCTAAATCTGCGCCGCTTTCCCCCTCGACAAATTCCTTGGTGAATGTAGGATTCGACGCTACGCGGGACATGCTGCGCTGTGCTGCTGCCGCAGCCGGGGACGACGGCAGAGGCTCCGAAGTTGTTGTCTCTTCATCCACTTCATGGCCGGCTTGCGGATCAGCGTCCTCTCTTCTGGGACCGGGTGTTTTGTATGCGTCTGCGGGTGTGGGAGGAGAATTAGATAGCAGGGATGAATCGTGAGTCGCGTGGTCGTCCGGAACGTCTCTAATGCTAGCCACTGCACTCTTGTGGTGGAGGGAAACTTGCGACTGCGGCCTGGTATTTCCTGGTGATCCTCCAAACAAGTATGTGTCGTCGACGCCTCCTGGCGGCGGCGCCTCCACATGTATCGACGGCTCTGGTATAAAACTCGACTCGATATCCATCAATTGGCGCTTCATTTCTGGGTCCATTAATGCGCTTCCTTCGCTGGCTACGTGGCTGCCCCCAGAGTCACTCGGAGCCTGGAGAAGAGAGCTGTCGTCATCGTCGACGGGCAGCGGCGGGAGTTCCGAGTCGGACTGGTCGAATAACCTCACACCCTCTCCTTCCTGGGTGTCGCGAGACATGCTGGGTCCATCGGCAGGGCTATCTGGCTGCGGGTGGTGGAGAGGATCGTTTCGCTGGGGATTGAGGGCGCCGTCGGGGGTGGTAGGTCGGGGAGGTGTTGACTGCATGTGCTTCAAACAGAGCTTTCAGCAGCGTAGACGCGTTACTCTGAGATGAAAGGAGCCCGGGTCTATGAGGAGTCAGAACTAGTGACTGCGTGGCAGAGATGCGAGCGGGCGTTGCGCCGACAACTGGTCGCGTCGACACTGGACAGCAGGGATGCGTGTGTGCGGTGAACAGTGTTGTTTACCTGCCAGTGGAGAAGCTGCGGGCAGCGGGCCGAAAGCAGGGAGGATGGGCGTCACGAGAGCAGCGGAGCATCTACCTGCGAGCCATAGTGGGTTGGGAAGCTTGGGAGCAGAGGGAGTGCATGATATGGAGCTCTTGGTTCTTGTGTCCAGCATCGCGAAAGCGCGACGATCCCCTTCTCCTGCGTCGAGCCGGGCGTTGCCAAGAACAACACCATCAAACGCCTATCGCATCTCTATCTAAAATAGCCCCGGCACACCGGGGGCTGTCAACTGTCGCGCTTAGTCGGAAAGAGCCCACTTTGTCTGATCTATTGCTTGCGCCCTCAACATGATGATATAATGGTTAACATTTCACTTTTGATTGTCTAGCTACGTAGCATGTATGGCCTGGTCCGTGCTAGTTCTATCCTACTTCTCATCTTCACATGGCACTAGTTCCTTGATCTTGCCTCGCAGTCCGTCTGCGCTTTGCCCTGGAGAGTCTCACACCTTGAGGCCATCCTCGAGCAGAGACCAGACCACCGCCGGCGCTTCAGTGAAGATCAGCTGTCGACTGTCCAGTGATGACATATTGTGCCCGCCAACGATTCCCACTGTGCTGAGGACCACGACCTGGCTAGATATCCGTGTTGCATATTGCATCGGAGGCTCTTGTGCTTCGTGCCTCTGCCGCCGCCATGAACGCCATACCACCATACCTGGTGACAGCTAGTTCACTTAACAAGCTGTCGTCTTCCTTGAAGACTAGGCTGTGCTCGAGTTGGTGTATCTTTAATACCAGAGCCACTTTCTTCATGCGCCCACCCTGGCTTCTTCTCTTTTTCTTTTCCGAGCCTTCTTCTCCGCTTTCCGTTTCTCGTGTTCTGGGTCCTTGGACTTCTTAGCCTTCTTCGGTCTCTCATGTCGGTCTCCATTCGTATCTTCGTGTTTTCGTTTCTCGGGCCGATGGAGGCCATTGGCACTGTTCGGTTTCCTCGCCTCAGCCTCACTGTCTGATGAGCCGATTATCCCTGGTTCCACATCACCAAACCCAGACGGAAGAAATCGCATTCGAAGCCCCTTTGGCTGTGCCCTTGGAGCTATAGTAGAGGGAGTCTTGGAGCCCTTTCTTTGATTCACTTGCGCCGAGCTGAGTTTTGGCAACTGAACGATTTGCTGGAGATTGAGGGAGCGTGCTATTGGTGCAGGGACTGGGCTAGTTAGAGACCTAATTCGTGTCTTGAGAGGCAAAATTTACACCGACCTGCTTTATAACCTTCATGGCCTGGCAACATGACTCTAGTGTTGCCTTCCTCTCCCTTCCTTTGGGTCTTAAACCCGTATTCAGTACCCTTGTGGGTTATGACCGCGTCGCCATTTGCGATTTTGCTGTACGAAACCTCCTTCAGGGAGTCAATCGAAACTCCTGCGGGGACTGTAACGTGCCATATTTGCTTCTCGGACACGCTGCCTTGATTGAAGAGTTTCATCACATTCGACGACGGTGCTAGACGTGCTGACACAGCATTGAAGCTTTTCGGAGGTTCAAAGGGACGAGCGGCCTGAAGCTGGACTGTGTGGCTTCGAGCGGGTGCAGATCGACTATACTGTTCATCAGTGTTGCGACAACAGATGACAGCGGTGCTTCTCATACCCATTTGCTACCTGGGCAATCGGCCTCTCCTCTGCAACGTCACTCTCGTCCACCCCGCTCTCGCTGTCTCCGTCGCTATCGCTTCCACTGTCTTTCGCACCGGCACCGTCGCTTTCCGACCGACTCTTTTCTGTTCCGTTATTGCTATCGCTGTCACTGTCCACTAAAGGAGCTTCCGAGCTCTTGGGCTTTGTTGTACCATTCACCGGCTTTTTTTGGTTCGAAGTCTTCTCGATGTGTCCATTGAGCTTCGACTTCGGCTTCGGCGGCTCAACCCTCGTTGTCGATACGATCGGTTTCTTGATAGTAGGTGTTTCAAGCTTGTTTGTCTCAGCTCCAGTTTCGGCGTCGCTGCTGTCGCTGTCGTCAATGGTCTCCGCACTCAGGTGCGATTTCTTTCCTGGCGGCGGTTGGACCTTCGTATCCTTCTTTGAGCCTTTCCCGCTCTTCGGCGGAAGCGCTTTCTTCTTTGTGGCCTCCTTCATCTCGTAAATGGTGTCATCATGCGGCAGTGGTGTTCCCCACTCAGCTGCAAAAAAGTTTAGAGCAAAAAATTGAATAGCACATGCACAATCCCTGCCTCTGCCAAGCCGCTACTCTTCCTGCTTAGTCACCTTCGCGGCGCGTCAACCTGCCTCAAAGCTTCACATCTGGACGAAAAAATATCTGCACCCGCTCAGCTCAATAGCGCACGGAGCGGCACCATGTCGTCTCTGAAGAGGAGAGCTGAAGGGAGTCCTCACCGCGGTGATGATGCTAACAGTAAGTCTCTTCTCCGCCCTTACGCTTTCATTACCTGACAGTACTTATAGCAGAATTGGCAGAAGCCCGACCGGTCAGCGCTTTTGCGGCAGCACGCCAGCGCGCTCTAGAGATTTCGTCTGGTTACGTGGGTGTCGCATTCAAAGCTGTGGAATTAGAGCTTAGCAGCGAGCAACCGTTCCCTAGTAGCTCGAACTCTAATCCGGCTGAGGATGCTAACCCTAAACACGATTTGGATGAAGAAAACGACAGCCCTGAAGAGATTTCTCGAGTCGATTCACCCCTAACGACATGGAAAGGAAACCAAACCGACATACTAACTGACGCCCACAAGGAGCTGATTGTCCAACTTCGGCACCGCGAGACTATTGTAAACATCGGAGTCTACGATATTGTCGTCGAATCAGGGGCTGTCATTCTAAATGGTGCCGTTTTAAAGGCAAAGAACTCGCCGCAGCGCGTCTTCGCTCTATGTACGCACTCTTTGCCAGTTGTTGAAGCAATTGGAGCATCTGTTGTTTGCTTCAAAACGTGCCCTAGTATGGAGCTATTGGAACAACTCTCCGATTTATTCTCGAAAATCGGGGCCATTAAAAAGGAAGGAGAATATCATCGCTCCTTTGTAATGGCCTATCGGAATATAGGTGATGAGTTGAAGCGCTCGCTGATTCCAGTGGCTGCTCTGTCGCCAAGTCTCATATTGAAGTTATGCATTACTAAATACCCAAGAATAATGATTGCGGGTACAAAACTCAGCGGGAAAAACACGTACGCGAATTGTTCGATCAACCATATGTTGACTTCACTGGGGGACGATCCTGTGGTCTCTGTCTTCTATTTGGACCTGGACACTACCAAGCCAGAATATACACCGCAAGGCCAGGTTGCTTTGGTCCAGGTAAGGAAGCTCAATTTCGGTCCTCCATATACCCATCCAGCCCCAATGCCCGATGACGGAAAGGACAATCACATTATTTGGTCACACTGCATGCCATTGAATGCTGTTACAGAGTACCCTGAGTACTTCTTCCTTTGCGTGAGCAATCTTATAGACCGCTATGAGGCGCTTCGCTCCTATCATTCTAAGGCTATACTTGTAATCAACACTCCAGCCTGGGCACTCGGTAACGACCTCGACCCGTTCCTTCGCACCATCAGTCACATACGCCCCACGAGCATTTCTTACTTCTTTTCTGGAAAACGCGACGGACGGCCCGATGAGCAGTTTCTCGGCCCAGTACGAGCCGCCTGCGAGAAGGATGGCATAGACTTTAGCCCCATCGAGGCTCATCCAAATGCGATACCACTTCGAACAGACTCCAGGCTGGCAAATATGCACATGTTGTCGTACTTCCACTGCGAAGACCTTGACGAGGTTAACGGACAGCGGATATATAACGCCACCACGCTATCCCAGACGAACCCCTGGGAAGTCCGCTATGGGGCTGACCCATTAGAGTCTCTCGACTTTATCGGGGTCCTAATGCTAAGCGAATGGACCGACGCCAGCTGCATTGCCACCATCCTCAATGGCTCACTTATTACCATTGTTGAGACTTCCGATCCTGCCATCCAAGCCCAGTACGGCAGGCTCCCTCGCACCCCCGAAGACGTGACTATCCGAGCCCATTACGGCCCAAGCTCTCCCATCCCTGCACGATTAGCTGGCATTCCGTACTTCCCACCAGACCAGAACAACGTGGTGACCCCCCTGGACCCCGGGAAGACTAAAGTGGTCTGCACAGCACTCATCCGGGGCTTTGATGCCCAGAACCAGTCACTCGAAGTCCTCGTTCCATCGACGCATAGTACCCTTCTTGCGGATTTAGACCCGAAAAAGACAGTTCTTGTTTTCGGCTGCTGTGAGCACCCTACGTGGGCATATCTAGAGGATACGCACTTTGACCAGATGACAAGGAAGAATGGCGTTATGGGACTGAATCCTGACAAGGAGGCGGCGTGGCGTGTAGGAAAGAGTGGTATTATCATGGGCCCATGGGTGGCAGACGCGGAGGAGGTGGAGGGGTGGGGAAAGTTGCACATGTTGCGGAAGTTGAGACGGTTCAAGTAGTAGGAGAAGGGGGGTGGTGATGAAGTCCGAATTCTGGAGACTCGTGATGGTATTATGAACATAACTATACCCCGTTGGAGCCACCCATAACGGGGTGATGGATGCAGCTTGTAAGATAATAGAGTCTGTGTGTGAATTGTGCTATGATCTGTGACATTCTGGCAACATTGATATATTATGGAGACACCCCTGGATATCGGAAAAGAATCGTGATACAATATGAAGAATCAAACCCTTCAATTCGGGCTACCTCCAACACTACCACACTTACAACCACTTGCCACTGTCAGAAGTCCTTCACTACCTCATAAGAGTTCCGGGTACGATGTAACAAATCAAATGTCACATATCAAGAAGTACTCATAAATGTAAATAGTTGGGATACATCTTTCCGTTATTGTATTCAGTTATTACATGATGCTACCCGATGAAGATGAAACAACACATCCCAAGAGAGTTTTGATACCTATTATATCACCATATGTTCGAGGCTTTGAACTCCTGCCTACCCAGAGTAAGGAACGTAAGGTTCGCCTAAATGGCAGCATCCGCGACAGATATTATAAGACTCAAACCGCAGCAGCCAACAGCCCCAGAGCGCCCATGATGAAGGCTCCAATGGCACTGTCCTTCTTGACCGCGGCACCAGTGAACTGAGCAGGGCTAGTGGTAGCCAATGTAGCAGTGGAGAACGATGCGTTGCCGGTGAATGTGGTTGGTGCCAAGCTAGGCGCAGAGGTCAAAGGCACAAAGACAGAAGAGGACTCGATCGAAGAGGACTCGATCGAAGAGGACTCGGCCACAGGGACTGAGGTCGAGACGGCGCTTGGAGCTTCGACGGAGGAGAAGACTGTTACGGAGACAGCAGGGAAGGTCAGGGTCTGTCGGACGGCACATTGCTCGGGCGTCTCTCCCTGCGGACTGTTAGTACTTGAGACCGATCTATCGGTGAAATAGTGTACTCACGTCGAAGCAGCAGTATCCATCGATCGGCGCACAGTACTTTCCGGCAGCACAGTAGTATCCAGAGTCTCCGCAGCAAGTCTACCCATTTGGAACGTGTTAGCTTTGAAGGCAAAGGGGCCGTATACTCCCTACCTCTCCAAGTGTGGGGTCATAGCAGTAGTTTCCACTCGAGCCACACTCAGTCGCTCCTCCACCACAGGCCTCCCGGCACGTAGCGCCTCGGCCACACGATACTCTCTTGTCGAACATGCCGCCCTGGGCGAATCTGAAGAAATCTTCGGCAAGGGTGCCGCACGCAAAGATGGTTGGGATCAGGATGGTAGATAGCTTCATGATGAAAGACTTGGGACTGGTTATTTGAACGAAAGTTGTAGTGTTCCGTAGATATTATGACATTAAAGATGAAAAGAATGTGCAAAAGCAATGTGTTGGTAGGAAAGGTACAGCCTTATATGTAGACCATTTCCAGGCCCCTCCCCACCATTTTCAACAGGAACGCCACGGCTGAGCCGCCCCAGACTGTGACACCTGCATGAAAGGCGCATTTAAGAGTTGGCAGAAAGAAGGTTTGGAGAAATATAGAAAGCCAAGTCCGGCTATGGACAGGTAAACGAGAAACCAGGAGTTATACGAGGGTGGCATCCAGTGAAAGCTGGGGATGGTATCGTGCATGGCAAGTTCCGACGAGCTGAAGTAAAAACACATCGTCTCAGCCCCATCGCCAAGTGAAAGGCATCAGTACTAGAGCGGGAAGCAAAGCCATGTTTCTAGAGGGAGCAAATCAGGGCCAACAAGGCTGGGCGAGACCTCCTGGGCAACATGAGCCACTCAACGGTGACACCTGTTCGAATTAGCGCCGCAGTAGCAGACTCCCTCGCTACGAAGTGATTGACGCCTAAATCGAGGCGTCATTCTGGTTGATGGAGAAGCGATGGGGAAATGGAGTTGTCAGAAAGTCACGGCTCGGGGGAACCTTGCTCTCTCAAGGGCTGAGAAACCCACCTTGGCGTTCTCGTTGGTGGAGCTGTGGGCACACGATCCACCTGAGCCTTGCACAGCGATCACATAATGAACCGACCGCGGAGGCTCCGCTTTGTGCTGACAATCTTAATCATATCACTTTTGTACTACCTCTTTGGCCTGCCTTCACTACCAGGCCGTCGCGGCTTTGATACGTGGGACGATGCCGACTACCTACTATCCAAGAACCACTCGGCGCTTGATGCGTGCAAGGCGCTGCCGAAGCATGCCTTCGATAAAATCCAGGTAGTTCTCAAGATTGGTGCAGGAGAGGTCGAATCGAAGCTTCCAATCCACCTTCGCACTGTCACGTCCTGCGTCCCAGACCTTCTCATCTTCTCCGACTTCGAGGAGTCCTCCCATGGCCACCACATCATCGATGCGCTCGAGAACTTCTCCGAGCGATACGAGCACGATAACCCCGACTTCAAGATCTATGACACCATCAAGCAGCAGAAGGCGTCGGGCCAGCGCGTTGGCAGGAGCGGGGATGGCTGGAAGCTGGACAAATACAAGTTCTTCCCTATGATGGAAATGACCTGGAAAATGCCGAGGCAGAAGGACTGGTATATGTTCATTGAGCTGGATACATACGTGGTCTGGGACAATCTGCTGCGCTTCCTCTCGCATCTGGATCCCGAGCAACCCTTGTACATGGGATCCCCGGTTTGGCCTCCGAAGAAGCCTGTCTTCGGTCATGGTGGCAGTGGGTTGATCCTCTCCAAGAAGGCGCTAGGAGAATTGGCATATTATGGAAGGTACTTCAGAGACGAATACTCTGTGGGCAACCATCAATTTGGACAGGACATGAAGGAGGAATGCTGCGGCGATGAAGTTCTAGCCAGAGTATTCAAGAATATCGGCATCACCTTGAAGGGTTACTGGCCACTGATAAACGGAGAGAAGGTCTCTACTCTTCGTTTTGGGCCGGAGCAATGGTGCGAACCCATCGTCACACTTCACCACTTGAGCGGTAAGGACGTGGGCGACCTGTGGGATTGGGAGATGAAGAGAAATTCAACTGTAAGTTCTTCCAAACGAGTCTCAATCCTCCTCCTGAGAGAGCAGGTGCTCACACTGCCAGACACCACTTCTCTTTGAAGAGCTGTATGGTGCAATAGTAGAGCCCCTGATCACCCCAATAGCCTACAACTGGACGAACATGTCGGAAGACGACGGTGTGAACCCTAAACCACTGTCTGACAAGTCTTTCGATCAATGTAAAGACGCATGCAATCTCGACCGCCACTGTTTCCAATATCTTCACCACAACACAACATGCCAACTTGCTCACCACTTCCGTCTGGGCCACAGCCAATCGCCGGACAGGGACACTCAATGGACCTGGGACTCAGGATGGAACACGGAGAGAATAGACGAATTCAAGAAAGCTTCACTATGTGGTGGCGAAGCTCGATGGTCTCACTCAAATCCTTGAGAGTACCAACTTGCTATACGCGTGTCCTTGGGACTCTGACAATTTGGCGTGCCTTGCGGCTTGTACTATTCTGCTTCGGTACGGCGTCCCGATTCTCTCTACAATTTCGATCTCCTATCCCCTCTATCTAGAGAGCTTAGACCCGACTTGTGGTCTTGGAGTTGTTTCCTCAGGATTTTGCCCGTTGGATTTTTCGGCAACAGGTTCACCTCCCATACACCGCCTCTCAGTTTTTTATAGCCACTCACCCGGTCGTCCACCGTCGCTTGAATCTCCTTCAGAGCCGTCCTTCTATCCTTTTCATGGACTAAATGATCCTTCAGGATTACATACGCTGTCGGTAGCTCCGTGAGCTGGCTCTCGTCAAAGACAGGTCCCACACCTGCTTCCACAACATGGGGATGAGAGTTGAGATACGACTCCAGCTCCGCAGGGCTCACTTGGAAGCCCTTGTACTTGATCAGCTCCTTCGTCCGCCCTACTACCGCAATGACCCCGTCTTTCGAAACCGTACAAACATCTCCTGTATTATACCATCCCTCCTGAGGGAACGCCGATTGATTTGCTTCAGTGTTGAAAGCATATCCCCTCGTAATATTGGGGCCCCTCACCCATAGCTCGCCTGGGCCGCTTTCAGGCGCATCATCTTTGCCGTCGTTGATACGCAACGCTACCTCTATGTTTGGTACTAGAGGCCCTACCACCCCTTCCAGTTGTTTGTCAGTAGATCTTTGGTACGCGACGTAGCCAGCGCCTTCCGTCATTCCGTAGACTTGGTTCAACCTCCATGGCGCTTTATCCAATAACCTGTCAAGCATGTCCCGTTTGAAAGGCGGTCCGCCGATGTTTATCGCTTCCGCTTTTGAGAAATCAAACCTCTCGGCAATGTCCGTATTCGCAAACGAAAGGACGACAGAAGGCACACCCTGAAAGATCGTAGCTTTATTTGAATCTACAAGCTGTCCGAATGTTTCAAGATCGTACGCGGGCATAGCTTGTCGAGCCACAATCAGCAAAGAATTAGACATGACGTTACGTTGAACTCACCATGATGCATCATGCCCATGAACGGCCCGAGAAATAAGGGTATTGTTGTATTTCCGATATGTGCGAATGGAGTAAAGGCGACAACACGGCTGCCACGATGGAACTGCGCCGGGTCGTGAGCACGAAGTTGATATACGTTGGATACGAAATTGAAACTTAGATTCATGTCAGCTTCCGCACCAATGACTACATGGACTAACTTACTGTGTTAGTTTGACGCCTTTTGGTTTGCCTGTAGTTCCAGAGGAGAGATGTATTGTTGCGAGACGGCTAATACCCAGATCAGCTTGGACGCAGTCTGACTATCTCTCAACATCACAGCTCACCTTTTCGTATCGTTGAAGTGCGGTATAGCTAACTTCTCCCGGGGAAGAAAATCATCAGGAAAATGCTTGTACCCATCGACACTCTCAATCACAGTCACAATCTTAGGCGCACCCCAGGCTACTCCTTCGGCCGTCAAATCTCTCCTCGCAACCTCCACTGCCTCGAGCACTTTTGGTAGCACAGGCCCGTATACGACGACAAAATCTGGCCTTGTAACCGAGAACGCATGGCCAATCTCTTCCGCCTTGATAGCATGGTTTATAGGACACGCCACTCCGCCAACCCAGAGCACCGTATGGAAGACCTCGAGATACTCGACGCTGTTTGGCAGAATCACCGCCCACCTGCTCTGATCGTGGGGTTTGAAAGTGGAGTTCAGTCCATTTGCTATTCTCCCTGCACGCTGGCGAAGCTCTCCAATTGTAATGCTTCGGTTTGTGAGGCTATCTTTAGCGATGAGGTGGGAGGGAGGAAGAGGCGGGTCGTTGCTCGTGTGGAGGAGCTCGGTGAGGTTGAGGTCTTGGGGGATATCGACCGTTTGGGGGGCTTTGTAGATACGCATTTTGACTTGGGTGTTCAACGATGACTTGAACAGATCGCGAGGCCCAAAATGCACGATCACGACGCAACAACGAGCTTTCCGACTAGAAAAACCAGCTCCAACGAGAAAACGAGAAGCTTCGTCCACCTCGAAGCCTCGTCCACCCCGAAGCCGTCTCTTCCGCAGCCTACCTACCCCATGGAGAAATACTACACCAACACGCGGTCGTACATAGCTACGTCCGGCCAAGCACCTTACTCGCATTACTTCTCCTCCACCTCTTCACCTCCGCGTTCTGATATCCGCTGTCCAAGCGTGCCCCACAACAGCTACCCCGCATGCACCCAGCTACCCCTGTACGCACCCTGCACGCCACTAATGAATCAGTTCCGAGAGCCGACGTCACCGTGGGAAAAGCATACCCTTGGCACACCGCTGCAGCGCCTCGCCATGGGGAATGATTCAAGCACGCGCCGAGTTATGAATTAGCGATGGAGCGGTGCAGGAAGCGTGCGTCGATGACCCGTGGAGTGGGAAGCGGGACAAAATTAGTCTTCGAAGGTTTGGCGCATTGACTAGTCGTGGATTTCTGTTCTTCTTGTTGATTGTCGCATTTCTTCATATCTTTCCCTTTCAATTGAGGAGTATACAGCCAGATTCTGTTCAGTGTATTCGGCCTTATCTTTTTATCCTCCACAATGACGACCCCACGCACCAAAAACCCCGTCCCCGCGTGGCTCGAGAACCCATACCCCCGCGTCGAGCACTCGCTCATCTCCTTCCCCGCGAAACATATCCTCCAGGTCACCATAAATCGCGAGCAGTACATGAACTGCCTCCCCGTCGAAGCAACTATCGAGCTGGGTGCGCTGTGGAAATGGTATGATGCGGAGCCGGAGCTAAGATGTGCGGTGTTCACGGGCGTAAGTGTTGCATACGAACCACGTTAAATGGTATGAAATAGATGCTAATCTTGCGTGGCAATAGGCTGGCAAAAAGGCCTTCTGCGCAGGCATGGACCTCAAGCAACGCCTCGACCTCATCAAGACCAACGACGTCGCCCATGACTACCCGCATGGTGGATTCGCGGGCATGAGCAATCGGACGGGGAAGAAGCCGATTGTGGTGGCTTGTAATGGACATGCACACGGTAGGCCTCAAATGTCCACAGAATCTTCATAGCAGCCCCGGTGGGTGCTGATTAAAGGAACAGGCGGCGGCTTCGAAGCAATCCTGAACGCAGACGTAATATTCGCGTCGCCAAACGCCACGTTCGCTCTACCAGAGGTCCTACGCGGTGTTTCTGCACTCGCTGGTGCTCTGCCCCGGGCGATGCTGCTCTTCGGAAATCACAGGACTATGGATCTGATCTTGACTGGGCGGCGGATGTCGGTAGAGGAAGCTGTGAGCTGGGGGTTGGTAAAGGAAATTGTGCCGCAGGAGCAGCTGCTAGAAAGGGCCATTGCGTATGCGGTTGAGATTGCGGAGAAGAGCCCCGACAGCGTTATCATCTCGAGGCTGGCGGCACGAGAAGCGTGGGAAACGGGTGTCAGTCGCGCGACGATGCGAGGGCAGGAGATCTACAGCGAGGCTATGTTGAGAAGTAGGAATGCTGCGGAGGGGTTGGCGGCGTATAGAGAGAAGAGGGATCCAAAGTGGTTGCCTTCGTATTTGTAGATGTTCTATATCCTAGATTATTTGATAGACTTTTCAAGATGATGTGCTCAGGTAGTTTGAATGTGAAAACAAGATATGATTTAGAGATTTGACGCTATAGATTGCTCTTCAGAGGACTTGGTTGGTTGATGGTAGCAAAACCATTAGATCTGGGATCGTCGTTAGCATTTTTGAAAACGCCGTGTTCTATGATCTCAACTTACAGGGCAATACGTCCGTCTGATTGGACTATTGTTTGGAAAACGAACTCATCCACACCATCTTTTGTCCCTACCTTCCAAATACGCGTCTCCAAAGCGTCACCTAGACACTATTAGCATATATAGTAGAAGTTACGGTGGAACATACCAGGATACACGATGTTCGCGAACCTGGCCTTAAAGCTGCGAAATCGGGCGGGATCACTACCACTAACCTCCCTCAGGATCCCGTGGGCGGCAATATTCCAAGTACCCAAGCCCTGCATGAAAGCCTCCTTGAATCCTCCAGCTTTCGCAAACTCGTCATCTGCATGTATTGGGTTATAGTCCCCACACAGCCGATACAGGAGTGTCTGCTCCGGCGACGTCTTGAAGACATGCACCGCATCTGGCGCACGCTCCGGAGGCGGATAAGACTTCGTAGCAGGCCCGCGAGGGCCCCCGTATCCGCCTTGTCCAATCCCGAAAGCTGTGCTGGTCATTTTCGCGTATAAAGTGTCGGTCTTCGCGTCTCGCAGTAGGTGCTCCGCCTCCAATATCATGTTCCCTCCCTTGTCATACACGCCAACGATTGAGCCATTGATCTCCAAGTCAAGGCCCTTTGACGACGTAGGTATCTGCCTAATGATCTCGATGCCACGCTCGCCGTCCACGGATCGTTTGGGGTCGAATGGGGGGACGCCGGGTACATCCGCTGACACGGTTCGCTGGATGAAGTCGAACACATCTTGGTCGTCCTGTTTGAATGCTAGGTTTATAGGGAACGTGGGAAACGCCGCAAACTTAGGGTGCAGTTCGTAGAGGAAGTGTAGTTCGTCTTTGGTCACTCCAATTGCGTTGGCCTGCTTGACTATTAGTGCCAGTATAGTGAAGGTTCAGGGAGAAGTAACGTACGAAAAGGAGAATATCGCGTCGAAGGTAGGCAGCTTTTATGGGAGCGTATTTGTACCCTATGGCCTTTTTGAAATCAACGTTGTCATAGCGGCCGGAAGCGTTTTTGACGATCTTGTCACTAGAGGAAGTCATTGGGAATCTTCGAGAAGTTTGGGGTAGCAAATGCGGGCAACGACGTGGGCAAAGGGTAGGACAAGCAGGTAGCTATGAACCCATGCCGTCTCAGCGCGGGAAAGACGTCGAGAGAGTCCATGCCGTTTTCGGAGTACCTAGGCAATATCGACAGTCGGGGCATGGGTGGGTGTGGAAGAAGGATGTGGGGTCGGTGTAGCATTTCCGGGCCTTCACTCAGCAGAACTGTTTGTCCCAATTCCACCAACAGACCAACCGAGACCGGACTGGTGATCACCCAATTCAACTTCGTCACTTCTTCTATCTATGCGTTATGGTAATTGTGATGGTGTTAAGTGGTAGTTTTCATTCATCTACCTCCTATGTCTGGGGTTGACCTCAGAGCTGTGCTTGAGGTTGCCTCCTCCTCTGCTCAACCTCTAGAAGAACCTTCGGGATATCTACATGTCGCGCCCTAATGAACTCCCCAAAACTCTTCCCAAAGCCGTCCAAGATGCTGCTGCTAGAGACACCGTCTTGAAGGATTCCGCGAACTACGAAATGAACAGCCATAAGATGCTCAAATTCGCATCGTTCGACCGAGTACTTCTCACTCCAATCATCGCCCAGGAGCTCCTTCAACCTCTTTGAGGTCAAGAAACTTTGAAGCCAAGGCCAAGCCTTGGTATCTCTTACCCAGATGCCAACATTTGCGTTTCCACCCTTGTCACCCGAGCGCCCAAAGACCAGATCGCCGAGAGGACGACGTACTGTTTCCCCGAAGGTGGCCAGGTTCACGGCTTGATGCCTTCCTTCGTAGTCTGGCTGTACGGGAACCTCTTCCGCACAGTCCTCGATCCTCTTTGCGGGTACCTCCAAGACATTGCCAGGCTCGCCTACGAAATGAACGGCCAGCGGAGTACCATCTTGAGGGACAAGAGTTGGAAAGTATTTGATATACATCCGCGGCTCCATCGTCCTCCAGTCCATATGCAGATGCAATCCGCAATATCCCTGTATACCATTGTAAAGGATTGCTCTTTTGAATTCTGTGATAGCTTCCTTCTCCGCTGCCTGAGCAAAAATCCGAAGCTGCACTGTGCATTCCTTTTGGGACTTCGGATCTTGGGGCACTGACCCGTATGTCTCCGTGCTGAAAGTCGTAAACTCAGCCGGGTTGATATATCGGCGCACTTGATCTTTCATCATGCCAAATTTCTCTTCGGTGTCCAGCCCTGCAGCGTATGCTGATAGCTCGGCCTGCCAGCCACCAAAGAGGCTGATTGCTAGTTTCGATGTCGGAGGCGGTGCAGATCCTTTGATTCCAGACAGTCTGACCCTATTCTTACCCACTTGTTCCAATACAGCACCGTCTATGCGTGCTATAACGTCGGCGTTGAGATAGAAGGACCCCTGAATCTCGTAGAGCAGCTGTGCCTTGGTGGTGTCCACGGTCACGGCTCCGTTGCTGTTGTCTGGCATGGTGATAACCACGGATCCATTTGCAGATATCTCGGCGATGGGGTATCCGAAACTGAAGCGGTTGGGGATCTCCTTGAACCCGCAGTAGTTCCCTCCCGTCACATACGCCCCGCATTCGATGAGATGTCCAGCGATCAGACTTCCTGCCATGGCATCGTAGTCCGTGGACTTCCAATTATGCCACCAGTACGCTAGACCCATGACCGGAGAGGCATCACAACACCTCCCGCAGATGACAATGTCAGCCCCAGCTTCGAGGGCCCGCACGACACCTGCTTGTCCAGTATACACATTGGCGGCTAAAACCTCTTCTTTCTTAGTATCCAATTCCACCCCTCGCAAATCCAAGTGTTTTAGTGCTCCAAAGTTGTTCCCTCTGACCAACGCTGTCACATCATCACCACTGACCCACGCAACCCTCATGTCTTCGATGCCCAAGCTCAAGAAGTAGGCATGAACTTTTTCAGCAAGCCCTTTGGGGTTCAATGCTCCACCATCATGCGCAACCTTGATTCTCTTCCTCCGCAGCAGCTTTGCAGCGGCGCCATCTTGCCATGCTAGCTGGTCGAGGAAGTTGGGCTCGTATCCTAGGTCCGGCTGCGTAGTCAACTCAATGGCCTTCCAGGCAATATTGAATTCCGCGAGGTAGTCGGCCGTGATTGCGTCCACGTTGCCGTCGCGTGCGAGGCGGTAGACCTGGTCAATGCCGTCCCCGATTGCGCCGGAGGCATTGCCTATGCGGATGGGCCGTCGTGTCGCTGTGGTGTTTTGGGAGCTCATTTCGGCCACGTGGAGACAGGGCGATAAGAGAGGTGTTTCTGGTATGACTTCGAGATATTTTGCAAGGACGAGGTGTGCATTGCCTGCGGAGTATTGCCTTGAAGGAACACCGTCGCCGTTCTACCCGTTATACCCTCCGCCCGGCCTGAATGAGGGGACCGCAGGAGTCATATTGACGCCGCCAAGCAAGAGCAATGGCATGAATTGATGCAGGTTTGCGTTGCCGGATTCCGGCGCAGGTGGTTTTGAGGCTTCTTCCCCGCAATTGAAAAAGACGCTAATGATTCATTAGTGAACGGGGTTAAGGGGCGACCCGCTTGGGATTAGGACGACCCCTGGCCGCCGTGGGGTACTCCACCACCCCTCCACGTGGTCTCCATCTTTTCCTCACCGCATGCCGCCACCCACGGAGTCTTTCACCCGTCGAGACGGCCACGGTAGGGGCGCCCGCCACGTTGCCTACCAGGGACTCCCGAGGTCTGCACACGAATCGTGAAGCTGATTGTTGTATCTTTCCAATCATTCTCCTGACTCGCGGTACCTTTCGATCTCAACACCAAACTTCTGTCTTTCTTCATGCCTTCGCATTGCTTGGTGTTTAAAGAAGTCACAGCGTTGAATTGCATCGAAGTTCCCTGGTTCAGATTTGGAACTCTTTCTTCTCTTTCCATTAGAACATCCATCACTCACTCTGCGTGAACTCTCCCCCCGAAGCACCCCACAATGGCCTCCCTACCAACCACAACACCCCCACCACCAACACCCACCTTCCTCCTCCTCTCCTATCCAGCCCCCCGCGTCCTCCTCATCACCATGAACCGCCCCAAAGACCTCAACTGCATGAACACGACCGCGCAATGGGAAATGGACGCCGTCTGGAAATGGCTCGACGCCGAGCCCAACCTCTCCGTCGCCATCATCACGGGCACCGGGCGCGCCTTCAGCGCCGGCGCCGACCTCAAAGAGTGGAACTCCTCCATGGACACCGGCGCCGACCCCAACAGCCGCATGGGCAACGCGCCCGCTTTCACACCGCTTTCACGACGGCTCGGTAAGAAGCCCGTTATCGCAGCCGTCAACGGCCTCACCATGGGCGGCGGGACGGAGTTCATCGTCAACTGCGACCTCGTTGTCGCGGCCGAGGAGGCGTACTTTGGGCTGCCGGAGGTCAAGCGCGGCATCTCGCCTATAGGAGGCGCTCTGCCGCGGCTCATTCGCACGATTGGGCTGCAGCGGGCGAGCGAATTCGCGCTGACCGGGCGGAACGTCACGGCCCAGGAGGCTCTAGCCTGGGGGCTTGTGAATAAGGTTGTGCCGAAGGGGGAGCTGATTAAGGAGGCGGTCGAGTACGCGACGGCGATTGCGGTAAATAGTCCTGATGCTATCATATGCACGAGGGCGGGGATAAGGCAGGGGTGGGAGACGGCGGCTGTGGAGGAGGCAGTGGGGATTACGATGGATAGGGAGTTTGCGGAGTTGCAGAAGGGGGAGAATATACTGGAGGGGCTGAAGGCGTTTAGTGAGAAGCGCGCGCCGGTGTGGAAGGCGAGCAGGTTATAGGGGTGTGATGTTGAACTTGTGAATGTATATATTTAAAGCTTTGATGATCGTTCTTTTGCTAGCCTTGCGGGCAGCAGACGTCGCAGTACCTTGCCTGTGCCTGTTTTTGGTATCTCGTCTAGCGCTACAACACCTCCTCTGAGTTTCTTGTAGGGCGAGACTTTGCTGTCGACATGTTTCTGGATGTCAGCCAGCGTAACTTCAATGTTCTCCCTCGCTGCTCTTCCTTCATCAGTCAGGACAACGTATGCGATGGGGACTTCAGTGCCCTGGTCTTCATCCCAAAGTGCACAAACAGCACACTCTCTGACATAAGGGTGGCCGCCAAGGTACGCTTCTAGCTCTGCGGGTGCAACTTGGTTACTGAAGTCGAATTAGTCGGATGTTTCCTCAATTATAACAAGAGCTCATACCCTTTGTACTTGATCAATTCCTAGAAGACATCCAGCATTAGCGAAAGGTCCACCATCCATTTCCGAGCAACGTACCTTCTTGCGTTCAGTCAAATAGAAGAACCCATTCTCATCAGACCGTAAAATATCCCCTGTCTTCATCCAGCCATTATGGAAAGCCTCATCTGTCGCTGCTTGGTTTTTCATATACCTGCGAAAGACTGTTGGCCCGCGTACGAGCATCTCTCCTTCGTCGCCAAACTTCACATCATTCATATCATCATCGACCAACCTAGCTTCAAGGTTAGCAAATAGCTTTCCCACACTGCCTATCATGTGAGCCTGCTCAGCTCTAAGAGTGGTGATATTCGTCTCAGTCATCCCGTAGCCTTGGAAGATAGGGGCGCCGGGAAATCGGTGGTTGAAGAACTCGATGATCTTTGGGGGCAATGTAGCTCCGGCGCACATGATCAACTTGATACTCCGTAACTGTGCGAGGTCGAACCCATGATCCTTAGTGATCGCAACCGCAATGGTAGGAAGGATGCGTAAGGTGTTAGCGTTCACCTTTGCTGAGAGCTCAAGGAGGCCGCCAAGCGTGTACTTCCTCATCAACATGGTGTAATAGCCAATCGATGCTCCCATCAGAGCGGCGCTCACGAGTCCTACGCCTTGATTAAGACCAGGTTAGTCTGATCAGACCGCCCGGGCACGCACCATAGATATGACACAGAGGGGCAAAGAAAACTTGACTGATAGTCTCGTTCCAGAGAGTGGTATCCGACGGCCGGATCCCTGCCATGGTCGCGACGAGATTGTAGTGGGACAGCTCCACTCCCTTCGCTTTGCCACTGGTTCCAGAGCTAAAACAGACACATGCCGTGTGCTCGCGGCTGTCTCGCTCCGATAAGTCCATTGGCGGTAAAGCATTGTTCGTTTGGAAAATATTGGGTAGGCGAATGGCCTGGAAGCTATCAATTTCGATCCGGGGTAATGGGAGGTGAGACGGGAAGACTATACCGACGGAAAGGGACATGGTGCCGCATCTAGAGACAACGTGGCGAATTTCCCGGCCGCTGGAACTGTCTGGCTTGCAGCAAACAGGGTTGGCCATGTGCTTGAGTCGGCGACTAGGATTTTTGGCTCAGATATTCCGAGGCAGTGGGCTACCTCGTACGAGGTGCTGAGCGGGTTGACGAGTCTAAAAGCGGAGGATCAGAATCTGGGGCGTTCTAGACGTCTTTCAAGCTCACATAGCAGTCCCACCACACCACAAGACTGCATGAATCAATAGTACGACATCCACCTGGTAGCTTCATCAGCCTGGAGTGCTCGAATGCCGTGCCGAAGGTTCATTTACTGAGTTTGGGGCGCATATGAGCACTAGAATAAATCAGACCGCGTGAAAGGCACAAAGTTGCAGAAGCATAATGACAAACGCACCGGCTCCTCCCTCCTCTAGATTGAGTAACTGTCTTAGACTAAAAGCGCCTCTAGCGCTTTGAGCTCTCAACCCGGAATAGGTTAGAGTCTTTCCTGTCCAATCGTCTTCGAAGATAACTTTGTCGGCGGCTGTATCGTCTGGGTTGTATAGCTGAAGATATTGGGATATGCTGAGATTCGTTGGAACATGAGGACGGGGGTAGTTCGAACGATATATTCTTGAAGTTGACATCGTGGCCGAAGGAAATCGAATCGAATACAGTCAGTGTGATACAGGCGCAAAGATCCTCCAGAAAGGCTGTAAATACTACCTACCTAAAGATACGAGTAAGTGGAGCTCTGTAAGCGTTAAGGCACGTGATCGGGAGACATTTTCCAGCTTTGGACGCGGGGTTTGAACCAAGTGCCGAACATTGCTCCATAAAGCTGACAAGTGCAACTGTGAGTACTTGACAGTGTAGCATTTCAAACTCAGCAATACTTTCCCTTCTCCACAATATATCACCGGTAGTAGTGCTCGATTATCGACCTTCTCCGCAAGCTGCAGGGGTCCTATCATTCTACCCAACCCATAGGCTCTACCATTATTTAATCCAATATTATGTCTTCTTTAAAGGACAAAGTGATTGTTGTGTCTGGTGGGGCATCTGGAATTGGCCTCGTTACCGCGAAACTACTAGCTTCGAGAGGCGCTAGGGTGTCCATTGGGGATGTACAGGAAGGGCCATTAGACGAAGCGGCGAAGGAGATACGGTCTGCCGGCGGAGAGGTCATGACGTTCAAGATGGACGTCAGGGACCGGAAGCAGGTAGATGCGTGGATCGATGCCACCGTCTCGAAATTTGGGAAATTAAACGGTGCTGCCAATTTGGCTGGAGTGACTGGGAACGCTATTGGAATCAAGACCGCTGCGGATATTGAAGATTCTGATTGGGATTTTGTAATAGGTGTTAACCTTACTGGTTTAATGTTAGTGCCACATCTATCTGTTCCTGATTTGGTCTTAATTTGGCGAATCGACAGGTACTGCCAAAGAGCTCAGCTTCAGAACATGGAGAATGGTGGCTCCATTGTCAATGCTGCTTCGGTTGCGGGCATATCAGGCCGAGCAAAGAATGCCTCGTATTCAGCCAGTAAGCATGGCGTGGTCGGTCTTACACGAAGTGCCGCAAAAGATATGGGATCTAGAGGCATCAGGGTGAATGCCATTGCTCCGTAAGTGATACAGCCATGCTTGAACTAAGGCTGTGAAAGCTAAAACGGGATATAGCGGCACGATAGAGACCCCAATGGTCGCTAAGGCACGAGAAATCGCGGGCGCTGGCAATCCAAACGTCACTTTTAACAATTATGCCCATACGGCGCTAAACAGGCCAGGGAAGCCATCGGAGGTAGCAACTTTGGTAGCCTTCCTTCTGGGGGATGAGTCCACTTTCATAACGGGAGCGATTCATTCGGTTGACGGGGGATGGATATGCTGATGATTGTCTCCGGGGTTCACCTGGCGGGAAGACTGGCTGGATGTTGGAGAGTCTAAGATGATAGTCAGAATAGTGTATATCTCATCGAACAACGAGACCAATCCATGAAACACGTGATGATGGAACCTGGGTTTATGCATCGCAAGAAGTGGCACAAAGAGTAGAGCTTTCCGATGCAATGCGTTGTGCTGAGTGGACGGGTGATGTTGCGGACGCGCTATTTCGGGGTCCATTGACTCGTCGTCGTCTCCTCTAGCGCACTACCTGAGTCAAATTCTTCACCCGAATCACTAGTGCCTGCAGGACATGAATCGGCATGTGCAGTTTCGAGACGCGCTACGATCTGCAAATCGTTTTCCGGGTGATCAACCCCAAGGTTTCCCCGGTCCCCACAGATTACTCCCCAGACCCCAGACATCGCTTAGATGGTGCGGAGGCCCCGGAGGCTGCGGAGACCAGATGGGTGCCAGGATGTTTTGGATGCCCCTAGGCCCTGAAATTACGAGGGTGAGGTAATAAGGATGACGCCTTGGTATATGTAGGGAGCTCCCTTCCTGGGCAGTGGACTATTTCCCTGGTCATTGTGAGAGAGATCACTTACAACACGACTCTCTGTCGTCCTTTGATACTCGCACAACATCTTTCCGAGATTGAGTACTTGGGTTTTCCTCTCGTCTCCAACGTGTCAAGGCCGAACAATACCTCCCTCACCGTACGCCGTCCACATGGATCCGCTATCCCACAAGGACAACATGGCCGAAAAGCACGAAATCTTCGAGGAGGAGACCTCTTCGCAAGAGGAGACTCTCTCTATTAACGAAGTCGCGCGGGGCGATACAATCCCAGATAATTACTTTTACAGTCTACCATTCCTAGGAACGATGGCTGTGAGGACTTCTCGTACACCCCCATCCCAGATCTCGCCCTAACAACATACAGGGACTCTGTCTTGCGCAAATGTCGGCGTATATCTTCCTCATCCTACCTACCAATGTTCTGACCTATATAAATGAGGATATAGGTAAGCTCCACCTCCCTAGTTATCGCCATGCAGTAACTAACGTAAAGCAGGTCCAGATAAAAACATCGCATGGGTCAATATCGGGAGAACTCTTGCTGAAAGTGCCATGTTTTTGGTGTCGGGCAGATTGTCTGACTTGTTCGGTAAGCTCCACCTCCCTAGTTATCGCCATGCAGTGACTAACGTAAAGCAGGGAGGCGCTATTTCTTCATCGGTGGCAATGTCGTTTGCTTCATCGGAGTCATCGTAGGCTGCACTGCTCAGAATATCACAGCTTTGATTCTCGCGAGCGTGGTCTATGGCCTCGGAGAATGCATTCAGCTCAGCTTCGGTGTCGCAGTCGGAGAGTTGGTTCCAAACAAATACCGCCCGGCTGTTATGAGTTTCATATTTGCGACATCAGCCCCAATTGCCACGTTTGGACCAAAGATTGCACGAGCATTCATTCAGAACCCTTCCTTGGGGTGGAGGTGGACATATTACCTCAACCTCATCACAACCGGCTTGGCTGCCGTTCTTCTGTTCTTCTTCTACCATCCACCAACCTTTGAGATGTTACACGAACATAAGAGCAAGCTTTCGCAGGCCAAAGAATTGGATTATCTCGGCATGTTCTTGTGGATCTCTGGCCTCACTTTGTTCTTGATGGGTCTTTCTTGGGTAAGTCTGTCTTCTGAACCAGCAGTGCAAATTGTACCTTTAATCTCCTGTCATCCTAACGGTGAAAACTTAGGGAGGCGGATTGTTCCCGTGGAAATCTGCTGCCGTGATCAGTACAATGGTAATCGGTGTAATTCTGCTGATCTCGTTTGGATTCTGGGAGGCATTCGGGGGCTCCAAGTACCCTCTCATGCCCATGAAAATGTTTCGAAATCGAGGCTTTATCAGCTTGGTAACTTGCGCAACTGTTGCTAGCATGTTCTACTATTCAGCCGTTCTTCTGTGTAAGTATGGCGATCCTGGTTTATGGAAAAAGCTGACCCAAGCGACAGGGCCACAACAGGTCTCAACAATGTACACCTCTGATGTGAATTATGCTGGCTGGCTTTCTGTAAGTAGTACAGCAGTACTCAGGCTCTTCGGAAGCTCTACTAACTCTCAGTTTTCAGTGCACTGTTAGCGCCGCCACGGCACTCGGTCAGGTATGCGCTGGAGGCATGATCCGCTACTTTGGTAATGCTCGATATTGGACAATCATATCAGCCTGTGGGATGGTCTCGTTCGTATCGGCTCTCGCGTCCCTGACACCGAGTACGAAAAGTATGGGTATTGCCTTCACCATTCTTGGACCATTCTTCGTTGGCTTTATCGAGCTCGCTGCTTTGTCTATGGCCCCACTGTTCTGCCACGCAGAAGACATTGGCCTTTCGTCTGGTATGCTGGCATCGATCCGAGCAGCTGGTGGATCAATCGCCGTCGCTGTGTATTCTACCATTTTGACAAACAGGTTGTCTGAAACCATACCTTCTATGGTAGGCGGTGCAGCCGTCGCAGCTGGGCTGCCCTCATCAGAGGTCCCCGCGGTACTAGCAGCGGTAAGCACAGGAAATTTAGCGGAAGTCCCAGGCATAACAACTGCCGTCATCACCGCAGTAGCGGGGTCTGTTCCGTTCGCATATGCAGCTGCGTTCAAGACAGTCTACTTAGCGTCCCTGGGGTTCGGAGGTATCGCCATTATTGGGTCTCTGTTTACTAAGAATCCTAAGAAGCATCTTACCAACAAGATCGAGAGGAGGATGCACGGCAAAACCATCGGGGGGAATTTGGAACATGATCATGTTGCTCAGGAGAAAGACGTCGTTTGAGAGTTCCCGTTTTGCTATAAACAAAGAGTTTCGAGCATCTTGAAGCATCGTATAACTATGTCTTTATGAAACGTTGTTCAAGCAAGAACTTGGTCCTCTGGGAATTTTCATGGCGCTTTTTCGAACGTGTTCTGTTCCCACGTGCTGCTGACGAACTGATCATAAAAAGAGTGAGCTAGAAAGCATAAGCAAACGGTTACGGTTGGAATTTATCGAGATTGTGATGAGAAAGTGAAAGTGAGGTTCGGTAACAAGGCACGCAAGGGTCATGCATTATTTCGTAAGCTGGGTGAGCACGTGATCTTCGGTAACCTACTTCCTTGACCTCCACCTGGACACACAGTGCCTATCTCAGCCCTCTCAACTCCCGCATTCCGACCGGCTGTGATGCCGTGCTCTAGCAACTCGTTCCCGCTAGCTTGTCCGCATGTGCGGTCTAGTGGAGGGGACAAAACGAATCGCTGGACACCTTGATGGCGGTCTTCTCCTGGAACACATACTCAATCCCCAAAAATGCCTTCTATCGTCGTGATCGGACATCTCGCTGCGGCTTCAAAAGAGGCTAAGCAAAAGGCATGTTTCTCTAGCAATATCTATTCCGTAGTCGACTGGCTAACATGCCGCGTACAGCTCATCGATGCACTCACCAAAGTCGGCCACTACTCGCAAGCCCAGGAGCCTGGAGTTGTCAGATACGCCGTGACAGTTTCTATTGATCCCCAGGATGAATTATCCGTCTACGCTATCGAAGAGTTAGTCCAACACAGCAACCACATGGCGACACCCTGTTGACCATCCTAGATATGCCGACCAGGCCACAGTCGATGCTCACCTGGCTTCTGATGCGGTCCAGGATTTGATAAAGACCTTCACCACGGACACTTCGCTGTTCGCTGCCCCTACGAGAGTCTACACAACGGAAACTGCCTTTTCCTTCACCAGACCAGAAAGCAACAAGGCGAGCAATCCTTTTATTGTATTCGCGACACTCGATTATAAGGAGGGGACCAGAGAGGGCGCATTCGACGGCTGGAAAGCCGTCACGTCGGAGAGCCAGAACAACGAGCCAGGCACATTGGCATACGCAATCCTAAAAGACAAGGAGCAGGAGAACACCATTAGGACCATCGAGGTGTACGAGAGCGAGAAATATCTCTGGGATGTCCATGCGAAGAGTGCAGCTGTGACCAACAATAAGGCAAAGTATGGCGATATCAGGACAAATCTAAAGTTTGCATTCCTTAAAGTTGTAGCAGGCTATCTCCACAAAGAGAGGCCGTCTTCCAACCTATAAGAATCCCGTGTACATCATAGAAGTCTATACAAAGCTATACGAAATCTCTGCGCATTATGCTTGAATTGAACGACTTCGTTATGGTAAGACTTCGCGCTCACAGAATAGAAATTGGCCCGACGTTCCGCGGCGCCTAACTGTATGTATGGCCTTTCATCGATCACCCAGCGTGTCTCAGCGCATCCAACTTGTCAGAAAATCGCGGGGCACGCTCAAAATTGTGGGCTAATGAATCATTAGCGTCTCGGATTATGGTGATTAGCGGGATGAATCAGTAGCTCTGTCCTACCAGTTGCCACTCCACAAATTCTCGACCCCGCGACCTCTCCACCTATAAATCCTTGTCCAATCAACCCCAGTAAGAATCCCTTCTTGCTGGGCCTGGATTGGTATGGCTATTGTCTACCGTACAGAAGACGTTCCCCCACCCAGTCCTGCATGAGAACCCAGCCTCTTCCTACCGGACTTCTTACCCCGGCGTCTTCTGTTTGCATACGCCCCGCAAGGTCTCTCAAGCATAGCGGAGTGTCATGTGCCGTGACCCTCTAGGATGGATAAGTCGGCAAAGGGGACTGAGAACGTTGAGGAGATATAAAGCTCTTTTCAAGCCCAGGCCCAAGCCCAAGCCTTTACTGTATTCTGTCCTGACTTTCGACCCGGAACTTTTACGATACCCTGCCCCTAAGTTCATTCTTTTTCACAAATCGCCATTCTCTTAGTTCAACATGGCTGCCAACGGTACTCACAAGAGGCCCATCAATGTGGCAGGATGCTCTGGAGGTGAGAGAGTTCCCACTTTCGTCTGGAACACTCACTAACATGATTTGCTGTTTAGGTGTTTACGATCGCAAAAGAGCCATCCATGACATGGCCAAGAATGAGCCGCAAGTCGATGTCATTACTGGAGATTGGATGAGCGAGTGCAACATGACCCTCCGTGGCTCTGATAAGCGGGATAAACTCAACAAGAAGCAGCTATCCGCAGTTGGCGCTGCCTACGAACCATACTTCCTCGAGGAGCTCGACCCTGCCATCCCGTGGTTAGCGAAGAACAAGACCAAGATTTGCGTCAATGCCGGTGCAAGTGATGTCCAAGGTCTTGCGGAGGCAGTCAAGAAGTTGATCATCAAGCACGGTGTTGATCTGAAGGTTGGATATGTCGATGGTGACGATGTTACCGATGCTATGCTGGAGTTGTACAACAAGGGTAAGCTATACCGACGTGTTTGGCGGACAATAGCTTAACTTGATACAGGCGAAAACTTCCCCAACCTTCCCGCCGGCAAGAATATTCAAGACTGGGGTTTCGACCCAATCTGCGCCCAATGCTACCTTGGAGGTACTGGTATCGCTGCCTGCTTTGAAGGAGGAGCAGATATCGTCGTATGCGGTCGTGTCGCTGATGCGTCGCCTATTGTTGGTGCCGCAATGTGGTGGCACGGCTGGAAGCGTGAGGACGTCCAGGAGCTCGCAGGTGCTTTGATGGTTGGACACATCATCGAGTGCAGCACATACGCCACTGGTGGCTACTACAGTGGTTTCAAGGACCTTGGCGTCAATGATACCGACATGGGCTACCCCATTGCTGCTCTTGACCACCTCGGTGAAGCCGTTATCACAATGGAGAAGGGCAAGCACGGCCTTGTCAACGTCGCCACCGTTGCCAGCCAGCTTCTATACGAGATCCAGGGCCCTTACTACTACAATTCGGACGTCACCGCGTATCTCGAGGATGTCAAGCTAGAACAAGTTGGAGAGAACGCTGTCAAGGTTTCTGGTGTTAAGGGCATGCCTGCCCCATCTACCACCAAAGGTACGCTCCATTCGTTATATTCTGCTTCTCAACAAACCACTAACAAAGTGTTTCAGTCGGTATCACCGCTAAGGGTGGCTACCAGGCCGAGTTCCACTTCTACCTTACCGGTCTCGATATCGAGGAGAAGGCAAAGATGATCGAACGCCAAACATTAGCTGCTCTCGGTGACCACGCAAAGAAATTCACATGCCTCAAATTCCAAATCGCAGGCTCAGTGCCAGTAGATCCGCAATCTCAGGATGAGGCTACTGTGGACCTGAGGATTTTCGCCCAGACCCAAGATCCTGATCTTTTATCCGCTGGCGCTATGATCGATTCTGATCGGGGTTCTTTCGCCCGCTTTTGTATTGAGAACTTGCTCCAAGGATATCCGGGATCTACCATGGCTCCAGACATGCGCCAGGCTATTGGACGGCCATTCTTCGAGTACTGGGTCAGCTTGATGCCTCAGTCGTTCGTCAAAGAAACTGCTCATCTTCCAGATGGCACCGTCATCGACATCCCAACCCCCACACAAATGAAGACGTACGACTTCAACCAACCCACATACAACACCCGCAACCCTGTTGACCTATCACAATTCGGCCCAACTACTCGTGCTCCTCTGGGCTACGTAGTGATGGGTCGATCCGGTGACAAGTCCTCCAATGCCAACTTGGGTCTCTTCGTGCGCAATGCCGATGAGTACGACTGGTTCCGAACGATGCTCAGCGTCGAGAAGCTCCGTGAGTTACTAGGCAAAGATGACAAGGGCAAGAACATCGACCGGTCTGAGATGCCCAACATCCTCGCCGTACACTTCCTTCTCCGCGATCATCTAGACCGTGGTTTCAACGCTACTAGTGGCTACGACAGCTTGGGCAAGAACCTGTGCGAGTACATCCGGTCGAAATATGTTGATATCCCCAACAAGTTCCTGGAGCGTGGCAGGATTTAAAAGAGCGACGTTGTTACTTGTTCCATACCTCAGATAGCATTTTTGTTGCATGCATGATTTTAGCGTGCTCTTTCAACACATATATATCCCTTAACCCGCTGCTTCGCGTCTTACGTTATCGATAAGGCTGCAGGCAATAGAAAACTCTGATTCTTGCCTCCGTGATGAGAATTACAACGACCTGAGGCTATTCGAATTGCTTGTAGATAGCTATATAGACTCATTCTATGGAGGTTAGCTTTGCTAGGCACATAGTCAATGTCATTCGAGGTTCGAGGCATTGTATATCATTGATTTGGGCTCAGGGAACTAGCTAATTCGACTGTTTACATGTGTTGTTGTGCCTCCTGTACAGCTGAGCACGATGTTCCTGCACGGCCCTGAAAACTGGCCCGAGCGTTGCACCTCAGCGGGTTAAGGGATACTACTATGCTCTTATATGGCAATGATACTTGCGTGGTGATCCTCTTCTGGAATTGCTACAGGCTCGAATGACGCTGCATGGTTAGGAGCGCTTTGCAGCGTTAACAATCAGCGTAACTAGACCGTTTGAGGCTGGTCAAGTATACACATGAAACGCTCTGTTCTGTCCGGAACACTCTGGAAGGTCACGTGAACATTCCGATAGTGAAGACTAATTGACTGTCAAGCTAAATTAGGGCTTTCTGAAGGCCGACGAAGACGCACAGCCCAAGTCTATTGATATAGTTGTATAAGATGAAGGAAAGCGTGGATGGTGCGGAATATTCCCTTCGGAACAACGATTCGCCGAGGCGCGTCTCTCCGCAAAGTGATCGACGAAAGTCGCACGTCGTCACCGCCAGCACCCCACACACACCACTACTACCAGGCTCCTCATCTCCATATCTGGCTATAACTGCAAGGCGAAGGCGGCAGCCATTATAGCAATATGGCTGAGACGCGCACAACAAGGGCCAGAGCGGCGCAAGCAGCGGCCGTGGTTGAAACGCCTCCCCCGAAGTCCAACCCTTTGAAGCGACGGAGGAAAGATCTGGAAGTCACACCAATCGTATCAACACCAGTCGATGGTCTGAAGCCAGCCCAGGAATCTCTACCGATAAAATTGGTTGACGGGCAGCCTCTGCCAACGCTCAGTCAACCTCAGCCCGCCGATCTGCCTTCCGACGAGTACCAGTCTATCATCCAAAGGTATAATAAAACAGAATCGCAATTGTCTGTGTTATGCTAATCTACTACATAATAGTGGTGTCCTTAATGCATCCCTCAAACGATCGCGAGAAGTCTGGCTCAGCGGCTGCCACTTCAAGAAATACTATACCAAGCCTACGGCGGTCAAGAAACTGAAGGAGCGTAGCAAAGAGGACAAGGATGCAATAGCGAGGGATAAATTGCTTCTCAGGTCCATGATAAAGATTGGAGATGCCAACTTCACCGTGGACCCACACATCTTCACTGTATCAGTCTACACCATCAAGGACATCGCCCCACCAGCTCCGAGATACACTCCGCAATACGGCTCTATGTTCACCTACCAGTCACCGCACCCTCCTGCCACGCCCCAGTACAAGCCTCCCGTTAGCCAACAGCCGAGACCAACTCCAATACCACAGAAGCAATCCGTTGCGCCTAGTACACCCACTCCAACCCCAGGTGCTCCTACGTCTGCAGCCGCGGGAGTGCAGGCTGCTCCAGACCCCGTCATCCACATGCTGGCACAGCGAGCAGGCACGGATCCAGAACTGAAGTCTGTTATGAAGATTGTAGCACGCGGCGAAGCTTCTCCGGAACAACTCGAATTCTTTCAAGGTCACATCAACGGATTAACCAAGATTCTTGAAGCGCAGAAAGCTGCGCAGGCAAAGCAAGCAGCAGCAGCTCCTCCCGCACCTGCCCCTCCTCCGCCACGTCCAACTCCGGCACCAGTCCCAGTTGCACAGGCAACGCCAACACGGCCAAGTCCAGCCACGCCAGCGATTTCTTCGCCTGCAGCCGTCCCATCCGCATACACACCTCAAACTCCGTATAACGCCTATGGCACACCTCAAGCACCCCACAATAGCCCATATGGCCCCCCAGCCCAACCCCAAAAACCTACCTTGCGTCCGATCGTCTTCGAGTTCCACGAGAACAACGCAGACAAGCTATACTTCCCTGAGCACAGCATACTCGAGTTCCTCCCGGGCGGTCGTCAGCTACGAGCATCGTTCCTGGTCACCAAAACCCAGGAGCAGCTCGACGCAGCTAAGAAAGGCAGCGCTGAGCCAACGCCGACCCCCAAGCCAACCAAAGCAGCACCAAAAGGCGCTCTTGCGGCCGCTAATGGCGCGAATTCAACTTCTCCCAATAACACAGCCAACGCGATCAAGGATCAAGAGAAGGTCGAGAAGGAGGAGCCGAAGGTGGTCCTCTACCAGCCCGTCACCGCCCTCGTCGCGGCCAACGACCCCCGCGTGATCGAATGGTTCGCTCGCGCCGTGCACACGCCCGAAGTTGTCGAGAAGTACATGAACGAGGTCTTCGATACCGCAAAGCCCGCCGAGGAGTCATATCTAGCACTCCGGCTTCCCCGCGACGCGGCAGTAGGCGAGCGAGGACGGGACCGGACGGCGTCGCCGCAAACACCGGTAGTAGAGGCGCGGCCGGAGCGCAAGAAGATGCCAGTGGGGAGGCCGAGGAAAGTGAGTCTGCCTCAATGAAGATGGGAGTAGTGATGGGGATTAGGCGTTTCTAGCATTGCATGGTTAATTATAGTCACGATATCAAGATAGTGGAGTTACCAAGTTTGAATTTCAAGATTCTGAATTTTTGAAGACATTCCCGCGACAGCTTCTTGCGCTGTGCGAGCGTATGTATGCACATTGTAGTTCCCAAACTCCAACCCCAGAAATGCCCAAGAGAACGCCAGATATGCGATGCGACGTGAAAGAATCACCAAACCATAACCCCCAAACAGAAAGAAAAACGCTATTCCGATGATGGAATCCTGCCCCTCATACCATCACGCTTGACTTGCCGTCCCAATCACACGCAGACCGAAGCATCGAGTATCCTACAAAGTCTCCGGCTTCAGCGGCACACGGCCCCTCAGCTCCCGTCGCCATTGTCGCTTGGTGATCTGCCCGTTGCTGCAGGTCGTGCCCGCCGCAACAGCCTGCCAGACCACCTTCCCGTTGTCGCAGAGACCGAACTGCGTCGCTCCGTTGCACACAACTGCGCCGTTGGTAGAGCAAGTGGCACCGCCTCCACCGCCGCTCGGGGTGGTAGGGACTGGTGCTGCTGCTGCTGAGGTACCGGCCGCGGGTGCTTCGGTACCAGATGCGGGCGCTTCGGTACCAGCTGCGGGCGCGGAGGTAGCGGCTGCTGGGACGGAGGGCGAGGCGGTGAGGGTGACGAGGGTCGTAAGGGTGGAAGTGCTTTCGGCGGGGGCAGCGGACGAGGCGCCGGGTGCGAAGACGCCGCCGGTGTTGCTGGGGGCCTCTGCGGCAGAGGTTGCGGCCACGGAGGTCGGGGCGCCGCCGGCTGCTGAGGAGGCGTCTCCTCCTCCGCTGACAGCCTTGCCACAACCTGCGCCAGTTGGGGGGTTTGCGGCAGCAGCAGAGTCGTCAGTCAAGACGTTCTGGCCCGGGTTGGGGAACTTGGTGTTGAAGTTCGCGGGAGTGGTGCACTGAGCTGTGGCGATGTTGGCAACGAACATGTCGGGCAGAGCATCGAAAGCCTTGGTGTCGCTAGCACCTCCAGTGACCATTAGGGGTGCGCAGTTCATGTACAGCTCGGGCTGGCCGCTGAGACGGGAAAACCAGGTCCATGCAAGGGTGACCTGGCCATTGGGGACGCTGTCGGGGATTTTGTACTTGAAGGTCAGGGGACCATCGATGCCAGGGCAGCCACCCTCCATGGACATGATGACTTTGAATTTCGAGTTCGCGGTGGGCGTCTTGTCGGTCGTAACACTCAGCTGGCAGCTGCCACCTCCATGGACAGCGGAGCCTTTGAAGGACAAAGTCTGTTCTTCGCCAACTTTCATGTTGTTCATGGTTGAGACGGTAAATCCAAGGTTGATTTTGCATGGGTACTGCGCAGCTGTGATGGGAGCGTTGTCGAGCTTGTCGACGCTGAATGGGACAGGGCTTGCCATGATCATGTGGGCGTTGGCGGATGAGGCGAAAAGAAGGGCTGCCACAGCCATCAATGCAGTTCGTAGAGACATGTTGAAGATCGTAAAAGCGTTGTGGTAAATGACTTGAAGGAATGTGGTCGTTTAAATGCAAAAAGATACTAGACCAGCTAGAAAGAGAAGAAAATGCTCGAAAGCGGGAGTATCTACAGAAAGAATGCGAAAGTGCAAGACAAAGCTGAGAGAATGAAGTTACTAGAAAGCCAAGGAAAGACACTTATATAGAAATCTCAGGTTACATCGTGAAAGCGCTGATCGTCTCTTCCCCTGAATCTACGTTACGTTAATTCTGGACAAAGTTTCGAACCCGTTGAAGGGAAACCAAACAACGGTAAGGATGCAGTCCCGCTGTGAATCGTTTTATGGGGTTGAAACGCGGGAGCTAGGATGGAGGCAAACATGTCAACCAAACAACGCTGATCGACGACTCTAGGGTGACGCAGGTACATTAACGCGCGAGGATAGCCGTCAATGCCCTCGGTGCAGCCGCTGACTTGACGATGGTGGCCAGCTAGGAGGGTGATGTTTCAAGCTCAGGGGTGGCCGCTTTGGTGGTGGCCGCCGATTCGCTGGCCCGGAAAATCTGGCGGGCCGAGCAGCTTGTTTCGCATTAGCCGCACCATCTGGCTCCACCCACAGCGAGCAGGGGTCGATTGGTGAAGGATGCCCGTCCGTCGTCGCTGCGAGAGACACCGCTCTCCACGTCGTCGTCGCCCACAGCCAGTTTCAACCTCTCGGACTCCACCGCGTTCGGTAGGTTACATCCCATCATCGGCGGCGCAAGAGGACTGGCCGCCGGGAAGCGCCTTTCCGTGCTGCACCTCAAGTGTGCTCCGCGCGAGGAGAAGAGCGAGTCCTACTGGTGATACAGCAGTCCGTCGAGTCAGACTTCTTCCTCTGGTGAGTACCTGGATGGACCCCTCAGCCGCAACATTCGTAAGCTTTTTGCGCCACACCTAAAGTCGCTATCCCAACCGACTGTCTCATAATGGGGCTGGTGCCTAAAGAAACAACGAGGTAACCATCTTGCTCAAGCTCCTCTTCATTTAGTTGTTGTAGAGTGCTTTATGCGTTGTAGATGATTGTGAGACATGCCGCGGTCGACCTCCAGATTTGGGCATTGGATCTTAATTGAGATGGCTTGAGTTACATCGGTCGTAGCTCATCTCAACTAATTCGAAACAATCGTCGAGTGGTCGGGCTCATTTGTAAAGTCTGCCTCTCTCCAAGGTCCGAACCTTGACTCCGGCGGAAAATGCAATATGGCCCACATCAGCTTCGCCACGTACATCGCCAACGCGAACTTTCACATCTTTCAACAGCCTGGCTCGTTCCATTGCGTCGAGGACGTTGCCACCGGGAGGTATTTTGACATGAGTGTTTTCATATGTCATGCTGGTCACGAACCCAAACATCTCGGGGGCAATGGTCTTCCGTCTTAGCAGAAGGGCCGCTGCGCCGGTCACGAGGATGATAGTCGACGCAGCCAGGAGAAGCGAGAGCCACGCAAAGCTGCAAAAAAATACTTGTTCGTGGGTAGTGATTGTTGCATTCGTAGTCGCACCGATGAATGGCGTCCCAATAGCATTGTCATCCACAGCATCCTGGAACGTTGGCCACCAGTCCACGTACGTGTGGCTTGTTGCTGACAGATTCTTCAGCAAATACGCATCTATGTCTTTGACAGGGATTGTGTCAGGTCCATAAAGCGACAAATTCTGTGGGAGACTGCCGAAGTATCCAGTAGGGCCAACACTCAGCTGATAATATGTGTTGAGCAGAAGGCTGAGTCGTCGGGAGAAAGCATCGCTTGGTATCTTGGATAGGTCTATAAACACTTCCTTGCTCTCCAAGTTGCCGGCTGTTTGTATGAATGGAAATTCAGTGGAGTTGGACAGGAATCTCTCAGTCGGCGATGATCCGCGGCCTTGATTTTGACTCTTCGCAAAGCTAGTAACGAATTGACTAGTTATAAGATTGTGGTCGAACCCAGTAAGCTCCGATGCACGTTTATCCGTGAGAGATTTCCTAATCTTGTTCACACTGCACTGATCCTTAACGCACTCGGCCGCGGATTCAATGTGGGTTTGCATAACTGAGCAGTTTGCCATATTGATGCTCCAGTCCTGTTTCTCCGCGTCAGAGAGAAATACAGATCCGAAGATCAAATTTCTTTGGGCGGTTGAGGATGCGGTTCTTGTTGCAGATGAGTTCAGGAACCCGATAAATCCATCAAATCGAGATGTCGCAACAACATCCTCTGTAGTCATAGCTATGGAGCCGTCGAACAGTGGTAGATCGGTATCCATAAAGAATGTCGTTCCATTCAGGGGATTATAGCCTGAGTTGAGATCCGTCCAAACGCGCCCCGATATTATACGAGAAAGCTGAGCGAAGTCCGGAGGTGAAGCGATATTGTGAAAAAAGTTCGGGTAAAGCGTTTGTGTAAATTTGCTGCACTGCACAGAGAGATATGTGGACTCCATGCTGAAGTTCGCATTTGCGTTCAAAGGTCGCCCCACAACCGGTAGTCCCATTAGGGAAGAGTAGTCTTCGGCGGCTGCCATGGTAGTCGGCGTACTGATCCACCCATGGGCGTCAGCGGTCGACTCGTTCAGTGAAACCATTGACGGGATCTTGACGTTGCCCCAGGTGTCCTGTGGCCCTAGTTTGATTGAGTTTGGAGCAAGAAGAGCTGCGTTGTACAGAGCATCCACATCAGCGAATTCTCCGTTTCCGATGTACACAGTCTCTAGCCCCCACATCGTCCCGCCAGGACCGGTGGTCAAGTATCGAATCTTCTGCGGCGTGTTGTTAGCCTGGTCGGCTGTCCCCAGCAATCGCAACGATGCCTGACCACCTAAAGGGGAAAGGGAACAAAGGATAAGTAAGTGAGCCCCGACGACAGTAAGGCGCCTCATTAAAAATTGACTCTCGAATGTTCCCCAGACAGACTGGCTCGCCATTAACAGTTCCAAGGTCTGCAACACCAAGTCAATATATTTCTGCTCCAATGGGGTGGATGACATGAGCATACGCTAAGCTTTGCTCCCTTTTCAGCGAGGTATCGAGCAATCATCTTCATACTCCGGCCAATGATTGCGGCAAACAGTATCGGAAAGATGGTAGGTCCCTAGTACAATTTAGCAAATGTCACCGCAGCAATTGAGGGTACCCACAAGCTGAGTCGCAAACTCCACCTTGGTACCGAACGAACTCCCTTTCGTCGGCTTCCGATGAAGAGTAATAACAGCAATACCCAACACTTTGGTAGGTTAGACACGCTTCTTCAGTGACCGAGTATTTTGGACACCTACAAATGAAAAACATGGGCAGCAACACCAATAAAATGTCTACCACGAGATACAAATAGGAAACCCAATTGCGTTGCTTCAATTGGCTGGCCTCTTTCGGCCAGCTCTCCATTCGAGGGAGGTCCTGCCAAAACTTCTCGCCGTCATTTTCGTGGCCAGTCGAAGACCGCGAAGGCGGCAATGAGGCATTCGAATAGGAAATATCAAGAGGCTCGCTTCGTAACGTGCGATTCTGCCATATTCTCACTACGACATTACCCATTGCAGCTTTTATGGACGAATACGTGGAAAAGAACGAGAGGATAACTGCTGGCGAAGAAGAGAACGACAGTTCGCCAGCGTCGGTGCTGCAGCCATGTCTGGGGCGGACTGTCTATTAGATAAAAAGCCTGAGGGAAAAGAGGCACAGCAGCGCCAGATCAATTGTTCCTATTTCCATCGCGAGAACCAATGTATCGGGGCGGCTGGGTAGTACGAGGGTGCGCAGCGAATCATTTGCGGCGCTGAAATGGTAGCCGCCGGGAGGGTTGTTGGAGATCGGGTCTGGAGTTTGAGCCGCTTCTGTTGTGGGACATGAGGCAGACTTTTGGGCGGTTTCTAGAAGATCGTTCAGATTTGGGGAGCTTTGAAAGAGATGGCGCCGAACGGAGATGTTGCAGGTGAAGGTTGGAGGGCGAACTACGCTCAATTGGGACAACGCGTAAACACATTCGTGGAAAGTGTTCAACTTCGAGCTGAGCCGACTAATTCGAAGCTCTATTGATGATGTCTTAAGAGGAAGGAGTGCGTTAAATCACGATCTAAAACTTGTGCAATAAATTCCACAATTCAAAAAGGTGGTGGCCGTCCGCTATTTACAATAGTATTCACAATGATCTACATATTTAGTACAGTTTAAGTCTCTCATATTGTGACGCAAAGTCAAGTACGAGCTGGTCGTCTCCATATTGCCCAATTACTTGAATTCCCACCGTCGCCGCAGCACCATCAACCACGTACCCCACCGGAATGCTCACGGCTGGAAGTCCTGCGAGACTTGCTGGCACGGTGAAGACATCGTTCATGTATGCGTCAACGGGCGATTGACCCTCCAGCGATTTCAGGGTAGGCGGGAGCGTGGGCGCAGTAGGACAAACAAGAATGTCAACTTGGTTGTTCTCTCCATTGGCCGGCTGTTCATCCAAGAGCGGGTTGGGAAGAGCGAACACACGATCGAAATCGTGTTGGACCAATCTTCGTACCTTCTGTGCTTGTATGAAGTAGTTGTCAATGGCCTCTGCGCTCAACGTGTAGGCGCCAAGAAGAATTCTCCTCTTGACTTCATCCCCGAAGCCTTCGCCGCGGGACTTTGCAAACAGAACGCTCTTCGTTTCTGATGAAGCATCAGATCCAGGCGCTCGGCTGCCATATCGGACACCATCGTACTTCGCAAGGTTAGAGGAGGCTTCCGCGGGAGCGAGCACATAATAGGCGGAGAGCGCGTGACAGGTGGTTGGAAGTGACACCGGGTGGATTGTATGCCCTTTGTTGGCAAACATTCGAAGCGTCTGCATCCACACAGCTCGCACCTCGGGGTTTAACTCTGCTATGTTGTACTCGATGGGCACTCCGATTCGGAGAGGGCGTTTCCGGGAAGCTTTAGACACCACGGAAGAAATGCGAGATCGAGTGGAGGCAGGGAGACTCGTGGGGTCTTTGGGATCGTGGGCATTCAATGCGTCTAGTCATATATTAGCAGTGTACTATCAACGCTGATTGACTAGATAGACCCACTAAAAACAGTCCCAGCATCCTGTGAGCTTCTGGCAAAAACCCCAACTGTATCCAGAGAGTTGGCATATGCAATTACACCCCAACGCGAAATGAGGCCGTACGAAGGCTTGAAGCCTATTGTCCCGGTATATGCTGCGGGTAGCCTCACACTGCCGCCTGTATCTGTACCCAGAGCCCTACTCTACGTGAGCTGGTGTTTTAGCTATTGGGGCGAAGCGTCACATACGCCCAAGCATTATTGCTTGCAACCGCTACAGCGCTTCCTCCAGAGCTTCCGCCCGCAGATACGCGTTTGTTATTTCTTGTTCCTTGGGCTACTTCTCCGAAGAAGGACCGAGTAGAGTGTGATCCCATTCCAAATTCATCCATGTTCGTCTTGCCGGCAATAAGGCCGCCGGCAGCGCGGAGTTGCTTAATGACAGTCGCATCGTAGGGACTCGTGAAGGATTTGAGGATACTGGAAGCGGCGGTGGTAGGAAGGTCGGAGGTACAGATATTGTCCTTGATGGCTATAAGTTTGCCATTGAGTGGTCCTGGGATACGTCAACAATGCTGTTCTCGAAGTCATATCAAGCAATGAGTCCACTTACCCCTACCATTTGTCTCTGCGTCTTGGACCTGTCGCAAAAGCGCAGACTCCTCAGGCAAGCTGATGAAGGCATTGAGGTGCTTCGTTCTAGCAATGGCAGCTACACATCTTTCTGCTCCTCGCAAGAGAGACATAGGTGCGCAAGGAGCGCATTGGAGTGTGATCGAGAGAGAAGGGTGGAAATTCTTGGTCGGAAATTCTTGGTCCAACCGAATCGCGTGCCCGCCGCGTTCCCAAGTCCACCCCACTTCAACCCATGATGTCGAGTCAACCTTGGATACAAATGTCCCTGAACAACTGCATAGATCATAGAACGTACCTCAATAGCCTATTTGAAGATGAATAAACTCCCAAAATACTCCGAGCTCCCCCTGAACAAAGACGACCCCTTCAGGTCAGCTTGGGGGCTGTATGTCTTCTTCTCGTCATAGACCACCTTTGTACATCCAAACTGATTGCTATAGATATGGTAAAGATGATCAATTAGGCTTTCTGAATCGACTTACAGATGAGGTGGTGCTCGAGGCAGCTAAGGAAATAAAGACAGGGAAGAGGTAGGTCGTGTTCTACTCCGTGATAAACCATTCCTAGCTACGAGTCCATTCATGTCCACTTGGTTTTCTTTCCTCTATTTACAGTCGTTACATTTCGAATCTAAGCAGAACTTGCAAAGAATCTCCCTCAACTGGCCCTTAGACGCCCAGAAAGACATCCCTTTCTTCGGCCGCCAAACCTTCCACAAACACGTCTACGCAAAGCCCCCAAGAACCGTGAACGACGACACATGGTCTTTCAACACCCAAAGCAGCAGCCAATGTCAGTCTACCCCCTAACCCACTCAGTCAACCCTCTAAACTGGCCCCCAGGGGACGGCCTCCGACACTTCGCGTACCAAAAGGAAGCCGAATTTTACAATGGCGTCACCATGTCTGACATCCACGAGCATTCAGCCTCAAATATCAACGGCATCCACGGTGGGTCCACCACCCCTAGCGTTCCCTGATCTTTCATCTTTTACGCCGATAGCCTGGTCCGAACATGGCATCGTAGGCCGCGGCGTCCTCCTCGACTACCATGCCTGGCGCACCGCAAACAACATCCCCTACGAGCCCTTCCAAGCCGGCACGATTCCTCTCGCACATCTCAAAGCCGTCGCCGAAGCTCAACGTGTCTCGTTCAAGTTCGGCGACATCTTGATTATCCGTTCAGGGTACATGGTCGCGCACGACGCGAAGCGGCGCGTAGAGCTGCAGAGCTTGGCGAAGATAGTGCCGCCGACCTTCTCGGGGGTGGAACAGAGCGAGGAGGTGCTCGAATGGATTTGGGAGAATTTTGCGGCGGTGGCAGGGGATCAGCCTAGTTTTGAGTGTTGGCGTGAGTGTTCCTTTTGTGCTCTGGGCCTCTGTTGCTCATATTGGTGGCTCCTGTAGAATATGGCTAACATATTGGGCTCATCAGCATCACAAACCCATTTCTTGCTCCATGAGGTCCTACTTGCAGGATGGGGCTGTCCGATCGGCGAAATGTTTGACTTGGAGGCATTGGCTGAGCATTGTCAGAAGACTGGGCGATATACTTTCTTTGTCACGAGTGAAGTCTGTAATGTGAGCTTTCTCCACTCATTCATCCACCTGTAAGATGACTGCGAGCCTTGACTGACATAATATAGGTACCTGGAGGGGTGGCTTCCCCACCAAACATACTAGCAATATTCTAATTAATTGCACAATATCTATCCATCAATGAACCATCTTCGATTATCATGTAGTTATATCTACAGTACCCTCTTTCTCATCTCTCTCATCCCCATACCTCTTCAGCCCCTCCTCCAAACCTTTCACGAACCCCCCAGCCCGGCCCAACTCCGCAAAGCTAACTCTCTTATCGCACCACCTAACCCACTCCTCTGCCCTCGCCCCCTCCGGTGCATCCAGCAATCCCACCGCTATATCCACAATAGTCGGCCTCTCGTCCCCATCCCAAAACACCGTACTTCCGCAGACCCTACAGAACGTGCGCACACAATGGTTCGCACTGCGATAAGCCGTCTGCGTGCCGAAGTACCGCTCAAATGGGCTACTGTCAGACAGCGAAATGTTAGCGGCTGGGACAAACGCCCACCACGTGATCTCGAAGCCAGAGCTGCGGCGGCAGGAGGTGCACGCACATGTGCCGGCTAGATACTGCGTCGGCGTGGGCAGCCACCACGGGGTATTGGTAGGATTAGCGGGCGATGTGGATGAGTGATAGGGGACGAGGAGGTCCGGAAAGGGGGACGTAGCGACGTGGGAGAGGGTGTCAGGGCGGGAGATGTAGAAAGAGACGCCGTTGCAGTGGCAGTGGGCGTGGAGCTTTTCGGCTGGAGGAGGCGGGAATGTGGGTTTGTTTGGATTAGGAGTTGTGTGTTTCCATCCGCGAGCAAGTTCGGGACTTGTGAGGGCCTCCGAGGCCCAGCGTTTCAGGGGGGTCTCGTTGATTGAGGGAATGAGGTCACTCGCGCCGCCGTCATTGGTGTCTGAGATCCACATATGCCCTTTGAACTCAACCACGCCATCGGTTCGGTCAAGACTACCGGTTGAGACGGAAAGGTGGCCGTCGGAGTTGTATTTGAGGTATAAGTGCGTGCCACACGTCGGGCAGAAGTAGCGCGTTAGGATATCGGAAGACGCGTATGCGGTTAATGAGTCTAGGTCAGGCTTAGGGTCGCCCGGTTTGAGAGGAATATCGACGTAGGTGGTGCACAAGGCGCCAGAGATGCGGCGAGAGGTGTTGCAGTGACAGAGATAAGTAGGTAGGGGAAGTAGTTCGTTTGGTATAGAAAAGGAGAAGGTGGAGAGGCCGCAGCTGCAGGAAGACGTAATGCTCGTCTTTGCGATATTGGACATACTTCGTAGTGGAACAGGGAGTGTGGGATGCTCGCGGGGCTGATCTTGATTGGAGAGGCGATAGTCTAGCGTCACACAGATCCCATGAGACTGACTTCATGGTGTTTTATCAGGCGTTATCTACCCCGCATTTATTGACGATTGAGGTTGAGCTTGAGCCAGAGTTGGAACGCCATGCAGCGGCCCGCAAGGAGGGTCCAAGGGTCCCTTGGTCCTCGAGATATCTACCTTCTCCAAAGACATCGAAGGCACCGAGTGCTGGAGTTGGTAGGAGCAAACAAACCTCTCAATGTGCTCCACACCACTTCGCCCACAACGAGGTGCCGCAAGCAGTAAGACGATAGCATAAACAGCGCAGTCCCAGCCTCCAACGTTCCGAATGACCTTAGGGCTCCACCCGCACAAAGCCCGCAACCAGTCACTCCTCAGTATGGCGGCCAGGCCGTCCGTAGCCCCGCGACACGGGACGTACCAAGAACGTGCTCAGCATCACAAGCATAACGTTGACGGGCTGATTGGGCTGGGATAGTCGCGTCGAAGCCCGAAGGAGTCGCATGGCCCTGTTTCGAGAAAGCCAAGCGATGGGTTTTCCAAGGGTTCGAGGGACGAGTGGCAAAAGAAGTGGACCCTCAAGCCCCAGCCGCCGCACACTCAGTCCATCTCGCGCGGTCTGTGCGTTGGAGGGGCAATATAAAGACAGAGGGACCCCGCCTCAGTCTGTCTCGAACAACAAGCAACAGTGAACACATTCTCTTTACCACATCTACGAACACCAAACGCACACACTCCACCAACTCCTCTTTCCACCACTCGCAAACATGTCGGACCACGAATGCTCCTGCGGCGACAAGTGCGCGTGCGGCTCTAGCTGCACCTGCGGCGTAAGCCTCTCGATCTGATAATGCCACCTTTCAGCCACTGATATCCTGTATAGAAATAAGCGCCTCCACCATATGCCAACCTCCACTCTCTGTAGCTCTCTTTGCGTAGCAGAAGCCGTCTTTCGGCCCGCCTCTGAAAATGACAACTCGACGGGTCATGTTCCTCTCTCTTTCGACCTCGGCCTCACTCATTGCACGACTCGAGCGTGCCGCTTTCAATATACCCAGACGAAAAAACATGTCTTCGATGCTAGCACACAAGTAGGAGGTCCTCATACACTCAACGGCGCCTACAAACCAGATTTGGCTCAATAAAATTCACTTGACCAAGCCCGACTTCCCACCTCTGCTCGGCACGTGCTGTGATGTGACATGAACCCCAATAATACTCAACCTACAGCATTAGTCCCCTCTTCACGGCATACAGCTCCTCTTACAATCACGCACAAATCAGCAGCTTCACGCTCACTACCGCAAGCGACGAGAATGAGCCAACCACTAGTATTTCTTTCCTCAAGGCGGCCGTTTATCTGAACAAAACCGAAACTCCCTCCGCATGGATCAACGACCGTACAGGCTCCGTGGAGTCGACTATCCAACCCGTTGCCAACAAGCGCCCATGACGCCCATCCCTCCAACCCTCGCCACTCTCTCTTCTGTGACTGAAGAACGTACTGTCGGCTCAATGCTATCAACCTATTGTCAGTGGCAATTTCCATAGAAGCCGGACGGCAGCGTCGAGACTTACGCCGCAAGTGCTGCAGCTGCAAGTATTGCAGTCGCCGTTGCAAGCGCAGGTGGAGCAGTCACTACACAGCCCGATCAGCCAACAGCCCTTCCCGCCAGGGGTCAGGTCGTCTTACCAGGGAGACATGATTGCAGTACTCTTTACGTTCTCTTTCCCTTTGCGTAAGACTTTTAAAATAGACTTGCAATTGACGAATATTCGATGATGAATTGAAGTTCTCAATAGCTTATACCTCACCCAAAGAAGCGGGGAACCCACCCCTTTATACGTCACATCCTCGCTACGTCACATCCTCCCTAACAAACCGCACAAACCCCTCACCTCACGCAACACAACGCTCTTGGAACATATGCAAGCACCACGCCGGAAGCCCACCAACCCACCGCGCCCGAACCAATGTGTCGTGTCTGCTCGACAACCCTTCCCGCAGCCGCGGTTTTGCAGGCCGCGCGGTGGGGTTCTGTGCAACCCGCCAAGCGCGACTCAACACGAAGCACAAGCAAGCAGCACCAACGCCACAGCATTCGTCGTGCCGGATGCGGAGCCGGCACTGGATCCCATACGCTGGCTGGGCTTGCTGAGGGACGCGTACAGGCGCTGCAGCTGAAGTAGAATAGGGGGTCCTGCGAAAGGAGGGGGACGGGGCTTTCTTGTTCGATCTGCTTCACGGGAACAGGTAGGAGGAGGATAGGGAGAAAAATTGGGCCTACCAGGGAGACAGCTAGTGACGGATAGACGCGCTAGTTCATACATTAGCTAGATTATAGTAGCTATTCCTTATGTCGAGTATCCATCCGCTTCCCAACGTCTCCTACACATGCAACACGGGAAAAGGACCGCCGGCCGAAAGTTTCCGCCAACAGTGGTGATACAGCAGCTTTCGAGTATGAGTGCGTCAAATGAACGCTCGCAGCATGCAACACACCAACCCGTACGCCCACGACATGTCCTAGAGCTACCCTAGAGTCATTCGGATGTCATCGTTCAGCCCCCATTCGTTCTCTCGATCCTGGTTCAGCGGCGAGTGCACGTCTTCGTCCTCGTTCAGCTCCAGGCTGCTCGAGCTCGCCATCGTCGAGCTCTTATCGCTAGGAGGTTTCCCGGGAAATCTTCCATCGTCATGGCTCTTTTTGAACCAACGTCGTTTGCGGGATGTGCTGCTTGCCGTCTCGATGTCCCTACCGTCGGCGAGTGATGGCTCGCTCAGTTGGCTTGATTCGACGTCTGAAAGAGCTACGTCTCCAGCTGGGTTGACCTTGGGCGTTGGCGAGGGGGTTATCTCAGTGGATGGGGTGACCTCTACCAGTTCTGCGTCTCGGCACCACTTCCTGCGTCGCGTGTATCGACCCCAGCCGTCTAGGCCCCGCCGTCCGTCTCGCCACTGACGCATGTGTTAGCATTTTGGGGCATTGCTGGGCTTGGATTGGTCGCCTCACTTTATTATCATAGTAAATCCATCCAGCCGCTTCCTCCTTGGCAGCTCTTTTGCTCTCATTGTCACTCGAGTCGTCGTTGTACCCTTCAATTCGCCATTCACTGCCTTCCACCCAGCGCCATCGCGCATGCCCTCCTTCGACATCAGGTAGGTCGAAGGAGTCCTTAGCTGGGGCCGGATTGAGGTGCTCATCCGTCCAAGAGGCCCGTTCGTAAGCGAGCATAGAAGCGGTCCATCCAATGCCAAGCCATCTCCGTTGGTTCTCGAATAGCGTGAAAGTGAATCGAATCCCAGGGGAGTCTGGTCGTCGTTTTGCAACTAGAGATGCCGCGATCTCTTGTGCCGTCTTCGTTCGTTTAGGCAACGAAGGAGCCCCGTCGCTATTTTTCGGCGCCGGTTCCCCGAAATCGAGGCCAGTGATTGTTGTGCAAACTCTCCTAACGGTTTTTGACCGCCATAGTATCGTTCGTGAGACTCTTGCGGGTCTCGAATGCCAACTGAGGACTAATGTACCAAAGGTAACAATGACTCTCTTGGTGGTGATAATATACAGCGGTGGCAAGGTTAGGATGATCCAAACGGGCGTGACGAATGATATTCGGATGAACAGGGTCGTGAGGGCGGGTCTCGTGCTTGCCGAGGTGGCGGTTCTCTGCGTGGAGAGGAAGTCGGTCAAGCCCAACATTGGGTCCAGGAGTATGTTACACCGCGACGTGAATAGCTTTAGGGTATCCACGATCTCGTCTAGGCTCTTGTGGTGCCGCGTACTCCCTTCTGACTCGGCCCGTTTATGTCCCTTTTGCCCTTTCTCGCCCATCCAGCCGGTCGATGACAACGGGGAATACCGCCGCGTATACATCCCGAAGATGAGGCCGAATACCACCACTAAGGGTCCTGTCCAGCGTATGACAGCATCCCCGTATATAGTGATGGCCCAAAATGCTGCGACGAGCAGGAAACTCTCCCATGGATCCCCTGTTGTCCACGTGAGGAGGCCCACGACTTTGTTGAGAGGAACGAGGAAAGGATGCGAATAGGCCAACACGCGGGTGATTTGTGGAGGGGTTGCGACGAGCAGCGGCGACTTTTGGTGCACCAAAATGGTAGACCGGAGCTTTGAGTGAGGCGTGGATTGTCCTAGAGTCGTGGGCGCGAAGGCAGCGAAGGTAGGCGGATTGGGGTCCCCGTTTGGCTGCCGAGAGGCACCTCCATCGTCGACTGGGTGGGATGGAGTGGACATATGGTCTATCCAGGGAGTCTCTGCAAGGTGTTAGCGGACTGAGCTCTGCGCGCGCTGCTCCCGGTCTTCTTGCCAATTGCTGCCATGCAGTCTGCGATTTACTGCGTCATCGCCAGCGCCTGCCGTGAGAGGCGAAGAGGCGCAGCCGCGGAGAGATAGGGATCTTGGTTGGAAAGGTAGTAGATACTCGTCTGAGCATGTGTGTGCTTTTCAAAGGCGAGCGATGGAGGAAACACTGAGGCGTTGGCTGCGTCGGCGTCATGATAGGCCCCCGCGAGGTTCAGCGCAAGGCGGCCATCGAGGTCCCATGTGAAAGGCTGGTCACGTGCTAAAGCTTGAGAGGACGCCACCAACACTATTTTCACTTCAGACTGGTCACTGATTGAAACAAAACATTCCAACCCCTTAGTATATACCAGGTGCCAGTAAGACTTCGGCTCGATGTCAGAACACACAGGATTCAGCCTCTATGCAATACTTGAATTGCCAACGACAGCGTGGCCTCCACTATCTCGTGGTAGTTCATCTTCAGATCTCACTCGCGGTATGCCTGTGGCTTCAACTTGAAATCTTCAAAGCTCGATTCACGTTCTAGTCCTCGACGACACTGATTGGGAATTCCGCCGCGATGTGCAATCGGGAAGAAGACCGTCTCAAGCTCAACACTTGGAGGGCCCTGAAGTGGATCCGGTCACATTCCGGAGCACCTGGGATGCTAGTTTTGAGAGAAAGCATGAAGAAGACCGCCACGCTAGGCGGGAAAAAAAGTGACACATCGAACACGCCAGTCTCCGTTGAAAATACTATGTAAACCGCCAGTCAGATACCATTTGAGGTGGCCCAGGGAGCTATTCAGATTGCCAAAATTGATGTTTTACAATGTACTAAAGGACCTCAAGCAGTGACAGACAAGCCTGGAGAGTGCGTACCTGTAGACCGCCACTTATTTTCCCGCCCAGCGTGACCGCTAAGCGTTAACAAACAAGCTGGCGAGTCATGTAGATGGGAGGTAAATCGTAGAGTGGTGAAGGATCGGCATATTGGAAGAAGCGATTCGGCCTATGGCCTGCAGTTGACCCCGTTTCGATCCCCACATCATCAACACCCTGGAACCTTCAAATATGGAACCGTCCCCGCAGTTCGGGATATCAAAGACCGGCCATCTTCACCACCCTCCGTGATTCTCTTCTCACGTCCTTCTTTGACCACTCTCCTCAGACCAATCTGCCAATCACATTTAATAATGGCCGAGGTTGACGGTGACTCCAAAATTCGGGACCCTGCATACGTAGATGACGTTGAAGTCGGGAAAGAGGTAGCACACCGGCCATACAGCTTTAAACTGAATGTCTACTAACACAATTGACCACAGAGCTCCGACGGACCTACAACGGAATTGGATCCTTCAGTTAAGAAAGCCCTCGTTTGGAAGCAAGACTTGAGGATTGTTCCACTATGCGCCGCTATCTATCTACTCTGCTACCTTGATCGCTCCAACATTGGGTACGTGGAGCACTGCATGACTAAAATGTGAACTCAATTAATTAATATGGATGTTAGAAATGCGAAAGTCCTTAATGCGGCCACCAAAGATGACCTTCTCTCTCAAACGAACATGACCGACTTTGAATACACCATCGCTTTGATGGTGTTTCTTATCGCATATGCGTAGGTGCACATGTGCCAGCTTGCTAGATGTAGCATAGTCAATCACTAACCGATGCTCCGACAGCATTTTCGAAGTCCCCTCGAACATCCTCTTGAAGAGGCTCTCCCCTTCCAAGTGGATCGCTTTCTTAATGCTGTCATGGGGAGCCATCACCATGGGGCTTGGTGGAGCACATTCTTACGGCGCTGTTACCGGAATCAGATTCCTGCTTGGTGTATTTGAAGGTGAGAACGACCCCTCGACTGTGCACACTCGTCTGCCACTGCTAGGGGCCCCCGGGGGTCTTTTCAAAATCCAGGCGCGATGTCAACTACCATGCAGTGGAATTTGACCTCTTGTTTGGCCGGATCCCTGGCAAGAGGGCTGCTTCAGACAGTGCCGTCTAGATTCAAGAGACACTCAAGTAGTAGTATATTCGAGTGCCAGACTTATAGCCTAGCAATGAACAAATCGCTGACCACCATTCAGCCGGCCTCTTCCCTGGTCTAGTCTACTACCTCACGTTCTGGTACCGCACCGACGAACGCTCTATCCGCGTCGCCGTCATCCTCGCCTCCGCAACTCTCGCAGGTGCCTTCGGCGGCGCAATCGCCTACGGCGTTGGCCACATGAACGGTACCTCCGGCCTCTCTGCCTGGCGCTGGCTCTTCATCCTCGAAGGCATCCCCAGCTGCCTCTCCTCCATCTTCGTCTTCTTCTTCCTGCCCGACTACCCCGAAACCGCCCAGTGGCTCACCCCCATCGAGCGCGCCAACGCCATCTCGCGCCTCCGCCTCGAAGGCTCAAAAGGCTCCGCCAGGACCAGCTGGGCCGAAGCCTCGCAAACCCTCACCGACTGGCGCCTATACGCGCACTACGCCATCTACTTCGGCATCTCGACCCCCTTCAGCTCCCTCTCCCTCTTCACCCCCTCCATCACCGCCGGCCTGAACTACACAGGCCTCCAGGCCCAGCTCATGACGGTACCCCCCTACGCCGTCGCCTACGTTGTCACGCTGCTCGTCAGCTGGTCCGCCGACCACTTCAACGCGCGCGCCCTGCACTCCGCCCTCTTCGCCACCATCGGCGCCGCCGGCTTCCTCGCGTCCGCCGTGCTGCCCGCCCCCGCGTACACGCAGCGCTACGGGTGCCTCATCGTCGCCGCGTCGGGCGCCTTCTCGTGCATCCCGCCGCTGCTGGGCTGGCTGTCGTCGAATCTGCACAGCACGGGCGCTGCGGGGCTGGCTATTGCGCTGAATATCTCGTTCGGCGCGCCGGGGCAGATTGCCGGGGTGTGGATTTATAAGGCGGATGAGAAGGAGAAGGGGTATCCGACGGGCCACTGGACGAATGCTGGATTGCTGTTTTTTGTTGCTGCGGGGTGCGTGGGGTTGTGGGCGTATTATCGCGCGTTGAATCGGCGGAGCTTGCGGGACGAGGGGAGGGCTAAGTGGGCGTTGTGAGGGGTGGTGGAGAGATTGCGGTTGTGATTGTTTCCTGCGTTGAAGGACGATAGTAATGGATATATTCATATTTGTTGAATGCACCCCTATCTGAAGTACCGGCGAAGGTCAGGGTGAGACCTTAGAAGAAGCATGTATGGCCGCGGTAATTTCCTCTTTGAAGACCCGCATAAAGCGAGTGCATTCAATGAGAAAAGGGCCCACTGCCGAAGCGAGTGGGCAGGAGTGCACAATCGCATAGCGATCGAGACTTAATTAAGCAATCAGAAGTCTGTAGCCAGATGGCTTCATCATTCGTGAATGTAAGAACCTAAATCGAATGTCATGCAGTCAGCTAGCGACGCCATTCTGGCAGCGAAGGAGGCACGTCAAGGTAGTCCTGGAAAGGAGAAAAGAGGAGGAGGCGTAAAGAAGCCATGGAAAAAGTCCTAGTATACATATTGAAGTGGAGGGAAAAGAAAAGAAGACAAGTATCCGGTGTGGGATCTTTGGGTATAGGTAGGTCTGTTAATCAAGCAACGCCATATCCGTTCGTGGAGGAGGTGATCGCATGGACTAGGTCGCACAAAAGTGCATTAGAGTCCAGTACTCGCATACACTTTCGTGTGTGCCCTCCTTCGTAAGAAACATCCGTGAAAGCTATAGCCGTTCGTGGGGGAGACAAGCGCATAGACTAGGCCGCACAGTGGTGCGGTAGAGTCCAGTACTCATGCACACTTTCGTGTTTAGCCTCCTTCGCGAAAGCCGTTCTCCAAAATACTCGCTCCAGCCTGACCACTAGTGGGTCGATAATAGCACAAACGCCATCCTAGAAGACATGGTCATGTAGCATATCGTCTGCTCAACTCCACCTGACACAGAGGACCGCACTCACCTCGTCTCCTCGTCATAAGTATACAATCTCGGGCATTGGGAGCGGATCAGCGATTGCGACCGCGTGGTGGACCTGGACGTCCGCGACTAGCACCTTTCTTGGTCGAATGTCCCTGATTACGGTTTCCCTTGCTCTGGTTTCCTTGAGTTTGGTGTCCTGAGTTTTGCTGTCCTTGATTCTGGTGTCCTTGAAGCTGGTGTCCTTGGAGCTGGTGTCCTTGTTTTGAAGATCCTCCAGTGAAATACGCCTCGTGAATCGACTTCAAATGAGCACGCTGATCCAGGTAAATGTTGTAGTTGCCTTCGAAAACGACCTCCAGAATACTTCCAAATCTAGAACGCTCGCTTTGCAACTCTGCCATGCGCTTTTGCAATTTATCGTGAGCCTGGGCAAACAGACCGAAGATCACTTTGACATTATTAGATCCTCCAGAAATGTTGTTCGTGGGCTGATTAGGATCAATGATCGTCAGGTTATCGGGCTTTGATAGTCTTCCGTCAACGTTGTACAGACCCTAGGAGATGTTAGCTTTACCAGGTCCAGGACTCTGCGTCAACTTGCCTTCTTCAGATATATGGGCGGATTCATTGATATGATTGTGGTTGCGAGGTTGAACTTCTTTCCATACAACTCTAGGAACTCCATAAAGAGCTGACCCAGGTGTTCTTCCGGGACCATGTTCTCGCTTTGTATGCCTGGAACGAGGTAGAGCATGTGTACAACCAGACAGATAACGGAAAATCCGCCAAGATTGCCATCTCGCACCTCGCTCAAGCCACGCATGACGAGGAATTGCTTGACGAGTGTAACGAGAGCAGGCATGATCGGAAATTCCCTCTTCCATTGCTCGAAACAATCTTGAGTCGTGAGGCCGTCAACCTTTTCAAATGAGATGTCGACCTTGATGCCGGTCTCTCGGTCGACGAATTTGATGATAGGGACTTTGGCTTTTGGAATGACTTCGCAGTTATTCGCTAGCCCTGCATCTATCAACTCATTCCTAATTTTGGAAAGGAGCTTGCCGGCTTTTGCGTTGATCATGGGTGGTCCGCCTTCCAGATGGACGTCCGAGATATACACAAGATCCATATCAGCAGTAGGGAGGTAGAGTCCTGCAGCGTAGGACCCAAAGCAATGCAAGGTTCCTTTTGGCAGATGCCTCGATATCACGAGGCATGCTTGGACGCGCTGGTAGAGATCATTGCGAATCGTTCTCTCAAAATCATGAGGTTTGACGAACTGGTGGAAATCATGAATTTCTTTCGAGAGCCTAGCAATTTCGGTTAGCTAGAAGAGTTCATGACTTGACTCGTTGCGACTCACCAATGACCCATATCTTCTGTGCGGGAGTGATCCATGACAGTCCAAGGAGCGGTCGTTCCGTGTGGTGCGGTGGGTTGCCACTCTGAAGTGATATCCCCAAATCTGTGATGGTCATACTTGCGCTTGGTAGGCCTCTGCTCTTGCGCAGGTACGTAACGCGGGCCCTGTATTCTCTGAAGCTCTTGGTGCTGAAATCCTGTTTCAGTGTTCGACAGAGTGGGCTGCTCATGATGAGAAGTGCTGAGCTCTTGAGACCCGAATTGATTCAGTGATCCGACAACAGGTGGACGAGGTGGTGGCGGAAGCGTGGAAGGAGGTGGGGGCGGAGGTGACGATGGAGGTGGGGGTATCAACTTACTCGGCAACGAGGGTGGTGGGCCTAAAGATCGAGCATTGATCGGCTCGACAGCAGATCCTGGGGCATTCGAAGGGTAAACCGAGAGAAAGTGATTGCGGTGGCTGAAGCTAGAGGGCCCTGTTGGGATGACCTGAGAAGCTGGCTCGGCATCATCTAGCGAAATGAAGTCATCGTTATCAGCAACGGCGTTAGTTTGTGCAGCTGCTTCGGCTGCAGAGATCTTGGACTTTCGAATCAACTGAACGATGTCTTTCCTCTTCCTCTTGGTCACATCTTCACCTGGCACAACCGTGTAAGGGTCGGGGTTAGACCACTTGGGCATAGAGCTGCCGTCGTCCTGCTCTTTGGCAGCCGTCCGGCTCCGCTTGTGGGTGGGACCATCGCCCTCTTCGGAGGCTGACTGGGCACTGCCCTCCTGCTCCTCATCTTCGCTCGCAGAAAAGCTTCCTACAGTGAGGAACTTGGTGGGTCCTTCATTCATGCCGAGCATCTGTTCAGGTGTGCTTCCTCGAGGCTGGAACAGCGCTCGTTCATGCGGAGCCACGTTGTATTTTCCACCGTGGCCTTTCCAATTAGGGTTCACGCGGTTAAAGTTTTTGCGTCGTCGCTGAGGTCTCTCAGTATCGTTGTCGATGGGGTAGCTGTGAGCCGGAGCTTGGCCAGAACGGAAGGTGAAGTCATCACGCTGGTCGCGACGAGAACCACCACCATAGGAATTGTCGCGAGGAGGATAGTAGGAATCGCGCGAGCCCTCGCTAGGCCTGTAGCTATAGGCGTCGTCCGGCCTGTGCGGGTTGGAATCTCCAAAGCGGTACATGGACGAGTCCTGGCGGGGGCGATCGTCTCGAGGGGGGCCGCGGTCGCGGGCTCTAGGGGAACGTGGTTTATATGAGCTGCCGCCACGCGCGCTCGGGCGATAAGTATCAGCCATGGTGGGGCAGAGGCGATGAAGCGCAAGACGTTGGTTTGAGGCAAGCTCGTCGTCTAAAATGCTGGTGCGATGACTTGCGATGACACAGCAGAACGGTGCTCGGCGCGTGATCTAGCAGGAAGAGTCCATTGCAGAGCGGTGACACAAGAACGATAACGCGTACGAACGAGAGCGCGATCGGAAGTGTGTCGGTGGTGGAGTGGGAGAGGAAGAGTCGTCAAGGACGCCACGAAGAAAACTTCGGGTGCCGATCGGCGACCGTGCGCCGGCTTGGCAAGGCGCTTAGGTAGTGACCCGTTCACGGCTTCACGCATCTGCAGGGTTGGGCCAGCGGCTTGGAACTGTACGACATGTGTAGGAAGGCTCATCTGGAATACCATCGGCAGTCAATCTTATCCTCTTCACTGCTCAGAGGCTATCACAATCCTCGCGTGTTGATCATCCAGCCTTTCAGCAGCATTTCGAGGCATCCAATATCCAACGCTATCTATTACGCCCTATCTCCTACGCCCTATCTCCATCTCCAACAGTCATAAATCATCTTTTGTAGCCAGCTTCATCATGACCTTGCACTCCTCGCCCATCCTACAACACCTACCGCGAAACCTATAAGGCTCCCCAGCCTCTCTCTTTCTCGCTTAGCCTCTGCCTGCCACTCTCGCACTGCCGCCACTAATTCCGCGTCTCGTACTACGGTGTCTCCATGTAATCGCAGGAACACAGCCATCCAAGCTTGCACGAGCTCGTAATCCCGCCGCTCGCGAAGGCGAGATGTCAGCGCTTGCATGAATGTGAGAAGTTCGGGATAAGGTGGTGTGGCATCGAGTGTGCGAATCGCGACATCAGCAGCCGACGGAGAAAGAGCAGAGAGGTGGACGATGAGAGGAATTGAAACGCCTGTAGTAGCAGCGTTACGGAGGAGAGAAGTGAAGTCGTTTGTCGAGGAGTCGCCACGCGATAGTTTCGCCGGCATGATACGAGATGCATTCTCCGCGGATGCTGATACAAGCGCAGTCGACGAATCTATCCCGGTGATATGAGGGTCTTGGTTAAGAGCGGGAAGGAAAAAGGGAGCCTTTTCCGGTGCTTTGGGGGCTTCTTTCGGTTTGTTGCGAGCGCGAATAACGTCCAGATGAAGAAGGTTCTGCCAACGTGATTTAGGGACTAGACTGAGCGTCGTGATACGATCACTAAGCTGATCAATAGACGGAAGGACCGCCTCATCATCGCCGACTTCTTCTGTTATCTCCTCTTCATCAACAGCAGCTTCAAGCATGCCTTCGCCACCTTCGCCCGATGCGGTGGGAGCATCGATGAATGCAATCTCGTTCTCTGAGATATGTCGGGTAGGTACGTGGGTAAAGAGCGTCCGATTTGTCCAGATATGAACACCGACGCTATCCTCTTGGGTTGTCGCAAGATACTCGCCAGTGTTCGAGAAGGCAAGGGCAGTACATGGGCTACGAAGTTTCATCGCTTCGATCATATGACCCGTTGGAAGGTCCCATACGCGAATGGTGGAATCAGTAGAGGCAGAAATGACCCAACGGCCATCGTTGGAGAATGTGAAATCGACTGGTCGTACTTGTGTGTGAGTGGTGGATGTCCAGAGCTCTCGGACTAGTTTTCTGGTCTCTATGTCGACCACGCGGATGGAGCCGTCGTCGCAGCTTAGCGCAATGAGGTCGTTTGGTCTATGGTAGCGCATGCTGATGATGCTAGTCATTGGATACCAGTCGATCTCATGTAGGAGAAGGCCGGACTTGAAGTCCCAGAACTAGAAAGGTGTTAGCTACTGTAAACGCGTTACAGGAACATAACCTACTTTAACTTTACCGTCGGCGCCACAGCTAATGACGGTTCGGTTCAGACTGTCGACGATGATGCCAGTAACAGCTTTCGTGTGCTTGCCTTGTCCTCTGGCGAATTTCTTCGGGCCAGATTCCATAGCAAACAGGCCTTCCTCGGCTTCTAACTGTTCCATCCTAAGCCGTTTAGCTTGGATAGGAGTCAATCGCGCAGGGAATCTTTGTCTGTGAATGCCAGACTGAAGATTGAACATATCAATCCCGCCAGCCGCTGACCCAATAAGCGAAAATGTGCCGCATGGCGAGATCGTAACACTCTGTTCTCTAATTAGTCTTTTGATCATGAAACGGCTGGCCCGCCAGTGGGGAAAACGTACGGTAACCTCCGCGCCATCTCCAGTCTCGAAAGCCCATCGCCCAGCACGTTTTCGACCCCAAAACCATGTCCTCGCGGTCTTGTCGCCCTCATGACCAGTTACTACGCTCTCCCAGCCAGTATTCCCGGCTTCGGGTCCCTTGGTGCCTTTTCTATTCTTGCCTGCATTGTCCCAAATCTTACCGCTGTCCGGAACAGCACCCATGCCACCATCTCGATTAAGAGAGCAGGCCATACATGTTATCCGTGGAGCTTTGAGATCTTCCAAAGTGGTGCGTGGGTCTAGGCTTTGTAGGCCACTTCCTAGTATGCCCATCTTTTTTGCTTTCGACTTGATGTTTCCTTGGCTCAATTCCGTACTCTGTCCGTCTCGCCGTAGACTCCATCCCCAGAGACTCCGATCTCTGCTAGCGCTGAGCAGCCACTTCCCGCCAGCATCTGTGCCATCCGCATCGGAAGGCAAAAACTGTAACTGTGAGATTGGCGCCGCATGGCCACTGCGAGAATGCAAAATCCGAGGGACAGATGAGAAAGGAATTTCGTCGAATATCCAGCTCTTCAATGAGTTGTCTAGCCCGCTCGTGACAATTACTGACTGTCCGGCCAAGAATTCTATCTTGCTTATCCCACCACCAATCCCTCCGTTGGCTAGCGATGGGGGATTATGCGCTCCGCGAAGGATACCCATTTTGCGACCCTTTTTGTTAAGATCCCAAAAAGTCACATCGCCACTCTCATTACTTGCTGTGGCCATCACTCCGTCTTCACGACCATCTTCTCCGGCGCCCAGACCATCGCTTCGAAAGGATATTGACGTGATTGGAGACTTGACGGAGGCACCTGTGTTCAGACGAAGGAGCTGTTTGTCCATACGAATATCGTGGACGACGACGGGTCCGGAGGCGTACGCAATGGCAAGAAGAGAAATGGTCGGTGTCGGCTCCAGAGCAGTCACCGCTCCATACTTGGAAGTTTCGGGTAGGATAGTGTACAGCTGCTTGCCGGTGCTCAAATTCCATATTTCGACAGTGCCATCCTTTCTGCCTGCGAAGATTTTGTTGAGATAGGTGGGCATGTTGCATACTCCTCCGGAAATTAAGCTCGGTGATGCGCCCTGGAGTGTTGTGTAGTGCTCCAAGGTCGTTGACTTCCACACTTCAATCTTCGAGGTACAGCACCCCACGATCCATGAGCCAAATGCCAATAACTGCTTGACATTCTCCTTGGTCCCTTTCGGCAGCTCCAGCTCATCGACCTTCTTCCCCCGCTGGAAAATCCATATTCCTCTTGATGATTTAGATCCCTCTCCGCCCCATGCTGCCAGTACTCGATTGTTCCAAGCGGTTGTGGCCGTGATAATCTCCGGGGTCTGTGGTCGGGTAAGGAATACTAAATGCAGGCCTTTCTTCAGATCGTATGTTTGAAGACTGCGTCCGACTGATGTAGTAATTTGGAAAGTAGTCTTCCCGAGCGGTACGGTGGTAAAGGGAACATCCGTGGGCGAAACGAGTCCTACCGTCTGGAAAGATTAGCTAAAATCTGAAGGTAGATTGTGCTGCATGGCCATACTCTGAACGGAGCAAAAATCCTAGGTTTCTGAGCTCCCCGCTTAGGTGTGCTTGCAGAGCTCACGGTGAGCTTCTGGCGCTTGACAATTGGCCCTTGAGACAGCGTTTCCGTCGCTGTTAGGGATGGCATATCCGCTTTTTTATTCTCGAGGGTGAGTGCAGTGTGGCGGATTGGAGTCCTGCGGGCGCAAAATGGTGAAAGTATCGGCAAAAAAATATCGACAGGGATATGATGATGCGGGTAGTCGAAACTAATTCAACATGCATAACTCCCAGCACAACTTTGCAATTTCACAATCTTTTTGGCGAGCTCTCCTGTAATACAGAGATAGAAGACATTACATGATGTAAAATTAGGGCCACTGTTTCAAGAATCAGTCGTGGACTCCCAAAGAGCTCGAAGAGTTGCCAGACCACGCAATACACTCTTCCAACTGACAACTATGAAAGCAGCTGCAGGCCTTCGATTTTCCACCAAACTGGCCCACGCTACTGCTGCATAATCGATATCTGTGTGCCAGGGTTGCACCACTAACGTCATTCCAAGATTCTTGGAGGAACGTGCAGCGCCGCTTTTGTGGAGGACAAAAAGAAACCTCTCGCCCACGCAGCGAATGTCACTGCACGACATATGATGGAGCAACTCTCCCGCACCGTCAGCACGGAGAGCACCCGGTCACGCACTTCTCCTCATATTTTGTCCTCCGGAACTGCGAATGTTACGACCAGAAAGGCTCGATCCATTGACCCCGACACAACCAGCGGCAATGCTGAACGAGCAAGCATATCAATGCCCCCGCCGGCTTCGCTGGCCAGGCAATATCCCTCCCGCCGGCCCTCCAAGGCCTCCGACAGCGGCATCCTGACCACGGCCGGCCTCGTAGAGAACCTAGGAGCGCTCCGCAATGGCTCTGCTATCGACGAAACCGAAACCACGCCGACGTTGGAGGGGTCCCGTGGCGGGAGCATTTCAACCGCCCAGACTTTGACGCTACCAGACGCCGCCCGCCGGCAGTCTAGGTCTGAAGTCGACACAGAGTCCAATCGCATGTCCTTCTCCTCCCTATATTCGCTGGGCTCTGCAATATACAATGGCACCCGTGCCTTGAGCGGATCCAGCTCCGTCATATCTGAACCTGAAGGTATTTCAGCGAGTTTCCTACTTGCTTGCCACTGTTGCGAGTTGCGTCAGAGAGCCTGCCAATTGCATCTTCCACGGGCTATGAAATAGGCCCAAAAAATGATACTTGTCAGGAACATTGCGGAAAAACATCTGGCCATGTTGAACAGATGATGCCTTGAATATTTTCTCTCGTCTGGTGATCAATTCTGACTTCATCGTAGGTCCAGCCCAGGGAACCACGACTGCCACATCTTCTCTGTCTGTGACTACTTCAAGCCAGGGCGGTTCTCTCGGACCATCATCTTCACCATTCATACTCGGCAAAGAGCATTCCATTAATCCGAGCATACCTACACAGATCCCAATTGGTATACCGCACGTTTCTACCTCTCCTCAGTTAGGCCAACCTGCTCGCCAGCAGCAGCCGAGACGATCGAGAAGCAGAACCACAACACAGCGGAGGATCAGCGGAAGCACAGCTGCCAGCAGCAGCCCGGCAAGCAGAGAGATCAAAGAAGCGAGTACAAAGAAGATGTCGAAGGGAATAATTGGCATTTGTGCTCTTGAATCCAAGGCACGCAGCAAGCCAGCTAGGAATATTTTTGGAAAGCTCATTGAAGAGTTTGACGTCAATATATTCGGAGACAAGATCATATTGGATGAGGATGTGGAAAATTGGCCTGTTTGTGACTTTCTCATATCCTTCTTCTCGGACGGATTCCCGTTAGACAAAGCAATTGCTTATGCACGTTTACGAAAACCATTCTGCGTCAATGATTTGCCGATGCAACAAGTGTTGTGGGATCGACGTCTCTGCTTGCGGATTCTCGATAATTTAGATGTCCCTACTCCCAAAAGAGTCGAGGTCAACCGAGATGGAGGCCCCACTCTCCCCTCGCCTGAGTTTGCTAAATCGCTGTTCGAGAGGACGGGAGTCAAACTTCAGGGACCGGAGAGTGGAATAGGAGGCGGGATTCCGCCTCCTCAGAAAGTGGAGCTCCGTGATGGTGGAGACACAATCTGGGTCGACGGTCAACAGCTCACCAAGCCTTTCGTGGAGAAGCCCACGAGCGGCGAAGATCACAACATCAACATCTACTTTCCAAAGAAACATGGTGGCGGTGGAAGGAGACTTTTCAGAAAGATCAACAACAAAAGTTCCGAGAGGGACGATACACTGGATGTTCCAAGGTCCATCACAGACAGCACGAGCAGCTACATCTACGAGCAGTTTTTGCAGGTTGAGAACGCAGAAGACGTGAAAGCTTATACCGTTGGTCCTGACTTCTGTCACGCCGAAACAAGGAAATCGCCGGTAGTGGATGGGCTTGTGAAGCGAAATCCGAGCGGCAAAGAGGTTCGCTACGTTACTAGACTCAGCACCGAAGAAGCAGCAATAGCTTCAAGAATCTCTGAAGGATTCGGGCAACGTGTTTGCGGGTTCGATCTTCTCAGGGCTGGCGACAAGAGCTATGTTATCGACGTGAATGGTTGGAGTTTCGTTAAGGACAACGAAAGTTATTATGATAAGGCGGCTAGCATTTTAAAGGAGATGTTTTTGAAGGAGGTGCAAAGAAAAGAACGCAAGGAGGGCAAGGCTGCGTCGCCACAAGAGACGCAAGAAACGGCCGTGGATAAGAACGTCGCACAACCACCATCTCGAAAGAACACGACTAGCGGGCATCGGTCTGCATTGAAAGGCCTTTTCAAGTCGCCGAGTATGTCGAGATTGACCTCTCACCATCCTCACATACCCATTCGGCCTCACGGTACACATCCGACCTCATCGCCAGATACATCAGCCGCCACGACCCCCATGACAGCAACTTCAAGTGTTGGGAACCCCTATAGATCGACTCTCCCTAAAGCCCCAATGTCCCAGCCTGATCTGCTACCGGATGCCGCTGTCGCCGACGCGAAGCTGCCGCTAGATGCTCCTGCATCACAGTCAGAAGAGCAGATCATCAACGTACCTCCACCTGCTTCTAAAGCTCAATGGATACTGAAGGGGATGGTTTCCGTTATTCGGCACGCAGATCGAACGCCAAAGCAAAAACACAAGTTCACGTTTCACACCAAACCCTTCGTAGATTTGTTGAAAGGGCATCAGGAAGAAGTCTTGCTCATCGGGGAGGCGGCGCTGAACAGCGTTAATGATGCCGTCAAGCTAGCGGTCGAAGAGGGCGAAGAGGACTCAGACAAGCTACGAGAACTGAAGGTGTATTTGAACAAAAAGGGCGGATGGCCTGGAACAAAAGTGCAAATCAAGCCTATGTTCCGTAAGAGGAAGAAACATGAATTACTTCCAGGCACAGATTTCGACGCCTCCCCAGACCTGGAAAAAGACGTCAAAACACTAGATGGCGGAGCTCTAGAGGATCAGAGCGACTGGAAAAAGAATCGAAGTGATTCCATGTCGGGGGTCACACTCTCTCGGATTGCTGCTGTAGAGAATAACCTCGTTCTCGATAAGCTTCAACTAATCATCAAGTGGGGTGGCGAGCCAACTCATTCCGCTCGATATCAAGCACAAGATCTCGGAGCAAACTTCAGGAACGATCTACTCCTCCTCAACCGAGAAGTGTTAGACGACGTGTCTGTCTTTAGTAGCTCCGAGCGAAGAGTGACAACAAGCGCGCAGATTTTCGCAGCATCCTTTCTCAACCAAAAAGAGTTTCCAGAGGATCATATTGAGATTAGGAAGGATCTTCTCGATGACTCCAATGCTGCAAAAGACGAAATGGACAAGGTAAAGAAGAAGCTGAAGTCACTGTTGCGAGAGGGGAATAAGGCTCCACCGCAATTTGCCTGGCCAAAAGACAATATGCCCGAGCCCTATCTGGTCGTGCGACAGGTTGTGGATCTCATGAAATTCCACCAAAAGGTCATGAATCACAATTACAAGAAGATTGAGTCGGGAGCCGTCACGGCTCTGTCAGCAGTAGCAAGCCCATCTGGAGATAGCCCAACTACACCTCCAGTCCCTGGGAATTCGCTCTCCCAAGTCACAAACGTGAACTCGATTCAGTCCCGTTGGTGTTGTGGCGAAGGTCCAGAGCTTTTCAAGGAACGCTGGGAGAAGCTCTTCAGGGAATTTGGCGACGCAGACAAGGTGGACCCAAGTAAAATCTCCGAGCTCTACGATACCATGAAATTCGATGCACTTCATAACCGGCAGTTTCTCGAATGGATCTTTACCCCAGATTCTGCCTTCCTAGACGAGGATCCGGTTGGGCCAGTATCGTCTGGTGGTTCTGAGAAATCGGGTTCGAGTGATCCGAAAGACAAGCCTCCGTCAATTCCTCAAGAGTCGAAAGTCAAGAATGACCCTAAAGAGCAACAACCACCGCCTGCCGCAGAGAAAAGCAACATCGCGCAACGCATGGGCTTTCGCCGCAAATCCGAGGCAGCAGCAGCCACGCTGAAAAACAACGCTGCTGTCTACCCTCACGAGTCCTACTTCACGCTGTACACGGGTGTTGGCAACGCCGCATCAAAAGTGAAAACCGATGCTCGTTTAGTCAAACTTCGGGAGATGTACAAGTTGTGCAAAGTCCTATTCGACTACATCGGCCCTCAGGAGTACGGCATCGATAACAGCGAGAAGCTCGAAATCGGGCTTCTCACGTCCTTGCCTCTACTCAAGGAGATCGTTGAGGACTTAGAGGAACTGCAGGCTTCTGATGGCGCTAAGTCATTCTTCTATTTCACGAAGGAATCACACATCTACACGCTCCTGAACTGTATCTTGGAAGGCGGCATCAAAGCCAAGATCGAGCGCAACGCTATCCCGGAACTAGATTACCTGTCTCAAATCGGGTTTGAGCTTTATGAGTCGCAGAACCAGACTCCGGATGATCAGCCCAATACCTTCAACTACAGCATTCGCATCACACTGTCGCCTGGCTGTCATACATTCGCCCCGCTAGATGTGTAAGTGACCTTCTCCACGTATCCCAGTAGATGTTTTGCGCGCATACTGACTACTCAATCAGCCAACTCGACTCCAAACACATGATCGGATTCTCGCCGCGTCGAAGCTTGACTGCTCACCACGATTGGAAAGAAGTGCTCGAGACTCTACGTGCAAAGTTCCACACGTAAGCCCCACTCAACCTAAATTTCCATCGATAGCGTAGCTAACGTCCCCTCTCAGCGTCAAACTCCCCAAATCATTCGTCGCAATCAACCTCTCCGAAAAAGTACCCGACGCCTTCCGCACCTCATCCCACCCAACCAAAGACAACGAGGAAGAAAACGAGACAGACCAAGGCAAAGAAAAAGAGAAGAATAAAGAAAATGAGAAAGAGAAGGAGAAGGAGAAGGAAATCAGTGAGCCGGAGCCCCTGCCGCCGCCTGTTCTGGACGGGTAGATAGCGGTTGCATTATGTGGACGCTTTTGTCAGTTGATTCCGTTTATAGAGCTGCTACGACACGGTTAGATGGGTATAGAAACACGACGAGGCGGCGTTCCTGCTTTAAGAGCTTCTTCCGATCGATTCGTTAAGTGTAGAGGGTAGAGAGGTATAGGTGGGAGGTTACTCGTGATTCTTAGCATGCTGATCATCCGGGAGCGAGCATTAGAGTCTAATTCACAGTGTTTGAACCTTTATATTCACGCCTTTTGATAGTGCAACCTCCAGGGGCGTCGTGAGAGCGATCCACACCTTCAAACTGTACGCTCACATGGCCTAATGTAGCACGCGCGAGAAAACGGGTGTGATATCCTACGTCCAAATCACGTTGTTAGAACCTTTACATTCACGCTTTTCAACCCTCCACCCCCCATGAGCGTCTTAGATATTCATCTACACCCGCAAAACACACGCCTGGGTAGCCTAATTCAGCACAAGTAGTAGATACGTGCAGGTACATTTATCTTAGAGCTGGAGGCTCAAATTACAGTATCACAACCTTTACATTTCACGTTTTCACGTTTTCAAGCCTTCTAACCTCCAGGGGCGTCTTTGATAGGTATCTACAGCCGCAAAACGCACGCATAGATAGCCTAGTCTAGTAGGCGTAGTAGCTAGACCCAGGTATGAGTATGATATGGCAGAGGTCTCAAATACGGCCTTGTGATCTTTACATTCACCTTTTTCAATTCTCCACCCCCAAGGGGCGTCTTTGATAGCTATCTACAACCTCAAAACAAATACCCACATGGCCCGGTTTAGCAGGTACGAGAGAGAACGAGGCACGAACATGAGTGTGTATCACGATGCTTCCCTTTCTTCTCTTTTACTGCTTTTGCTTTACTACTTTTACTCATTATACTTCCTTTAGTCTTTCTATGACTCTTACTCCTCCTACTTCTCCTATTGTTATTAGTACAATTAGTGCTATTATTGCCATTACTTCCATAACAAACATCACATAGTGCACAGGAAGTGGGATAAGTCTGAAAAAAGTACAATTACAGTCTATATAGGCGCCGACGACCCCCATCCCCCCAGATTTCCTCCCCCACAGCGAGGCTTCCGGCCCACCTTCCACTAGCCGGAGGTGTGTATGTAGCCGCGTACTGAGCCCAGAATGGGGCTCTTACTTCCGCAGCTACAGGGACACACCTCCAAACTAGTGTGGGGACTACCATCAGACCTCGCTCCGAGTTCGGACCTCCGAGGGTTAAGAAGGGCCGCCGACGCCCCCCCGTCCCCAAAGTTCCGCCAGAAAAGAAACAACCCACCAACACCAGCATAGTATTATGAACAAAAGTCGCTAGAACCGCCCAAAAAGAAAAGGAAAAAGCACCCAGAGAACCCCACGCCCTCTCTACTGGGCAAGGGAAGTGAGTACAGAGAATTGACCGCCAGCGCCAGCCCAGGTCAGATGCTTGCCCTTGACTGCCGTGTTATCGATCAATGTGGCGACCTCGACGTCCTCGTCGGTGCCAAGTCCCGTCTGATAGTTTGCCGAAAAGCCCCATGAGTAGGCCTGTCCGCTGCCAGTAATGGCGATAGAGTGGTCGGAGCCGCACGTCGCTGCCACAATGTTGTGAAGATTAGGAACAGCAGTAGGGACGATGAGGATCTTTGGGTGTCCGGTGCTGTCGTTGAGGACGCTGGATTGAGGCACGTTTGCGACGGGCTGTCCGATCTGCTGTCCATCGAGGCGTCCCCACACGAGGCATTCGCCCTGATTAGTGACGGCGACATTGTGATGGGATCCACCGCTGAGAGAGATCACGTTGTTGCCGAGGCTCGTAACGAGCTGAGGGGTCTCGACGATAGCGTTGTTTTTGCCAGCGCTCTCCGGGATGCCACACTCGCCGAAGTTGTTTGCACCGAATGACCAGACACGTCCGTCGACACCGATGGCGAGGGAGTGGTACTGTCCGCAGGCTACATCACGAATTGCCTGGTTACGGCGACCGTCCTTGAAGCTGACGTTGGTGGGGGTGAGTCCTGTGATAAGGCCACGTTCGGTCATGCGGCGGCCAAGCTGGTTCTGCTGTCCACTGCCCCAGGCCTTGACCTTGCCAGTCTTGTCGATGGCCAATGAATGGTTGGCGCCGCAGGCGATTTGAGTGATCTTACTGAGTTCGGGGATCAGAACAGGGCGTTCCTGAACCTTGCTGGTCTCGCTGAAGCCCAGGATACCTTCGTTCCTCTGTAAGTTTGTTAGTGAAGATTCGAGTTGGAGAGTTGAAGAGAGCTTACCCGGAAAGTGCCCCAGCCATAGACCAAGCCGGTGTCAGTCAAGGCGAGAGAGACGCTGTCACCTGCAGCAATGTCGACGAAATTGGTGTTCTCGGGGAAGCATTCAGCCAGGATGGGCATCGGAGTCGATTCAAGAGGATTCAAGCCGTTGGTCTTGTTTCCATCGTCGGAATCTGAGTCGGAGTCCGCGTCGACGTCCCTCATGTTCGCGTCATCGTCCCAGGTGGTGTCGCGACCGAGAGCACCTTGATCATTCACGCCCCAGCTGTAGATTTGATTGTCGTAGGTGAGAGCAAGGCAATGCATGCCACCTGTAGCCACCCTCACAACACCGACAGTGTCTGCTGGGAGGAATGGATTGAGACGCGGGCGCTTGACATCAACGCAGTTCTTTGCGGTACCGAGACCAAGCTCAGCGTTGCTGCCTTCGCCGAAGACGTAGACATTCAGCTTCTCGGTGAACCGAGGACCATTGACGACGGCCTTGGGTTTCGGAGCGGCCTTCGGTTTCGGAGCAGCTTTGGGCTTGGGAGCAGCCTTCGGTTTGGCAGCCGCCTTCGGTTGGGCGGTAGTGGACTCTTCTGTCTTCTTTGTGCGCTTCGCGTCCGGAGAAGCATCGCTATCATCTTCCTGCTTGCGCTTCGCAGCAGTCTTCTTGGGGGCTTCGGTGTCTGTTGCCTTCGGACGACCCCGCTTCTTTGGGCCTTCTGGAGGGGGGATCAGCACAGAGTTCATGGTTGCGCGAGGCTCGGATATGGATGAAGGAGGTATGGAAGACAGTGGGAGTGGGAGTGGGAGTTGGAGTGGGATGGTGAATGAGGGGAACTTACCGCTGTCGCTGGCCTGAGCGGCCTTGGGCTTGGCTGCAGCGTTTGCCTTTGGAGCAGCCGTCGCGGCGGTGCGCTTGGCAGCGGTGTTTGCTTGAGGTCCGGCAGCAGCCTGCTTCGGAGCAGCCTTTTTGGTGGTCTTCGCTTTGGCGACTTTCGCGGGTTGAGCAGCCTGCTCGCGCGCTGGAGTCGGAGCAGGCGTACGCTGGGAGCGACGCACGGCAGGAGCCATTGCGACGAGGGTGGTGGTGATTGTGGTGATGGATGGAGGAGCAGCAGCGGGTGCAGAGCGAGCGCTATGGACTTGCGGTGGTGAAAGCGCGCGCTGGTGACAGTGCGGTGGTGTTGTTGTGGAGCGATCGAGAGGAACGCGCTCGAAGTCTTTTAAGGGCCCACGGGCTAAGCGATGTTTTGCCGGGATCAGCCCCCAATGCGGCTCTGCGCACGAGCCAGCCAAAGTGGGACGGTTTAATCCACACCCTGGCCGCTGTGGGCAGAATAGAGGGGGCGCCTAACACCGCCTGGAGCTATCAGGCTTCCTACACTGTAACTGAATAGTTTTCGATAAGGGAATAGAGCATCGCAAGCAGTGGTCAGTGAGTGTAATAGCGCAGCAACCTACCTCCTAGGATAAAAAGCTTGGCACAGGACTTCACACGTATTCATGCCTTTGTGCACTGTCACTTTTATACAATGAAGCCTGACAGGCACTTTCCGCTGCTGTACTGGCAGTCTGAGTATCGGCAGCTGCTGTATTACGAGACATAAAGCCTAACTACACTGTATAGCTGACATAAATAGCCTTGTTGTTCCAATGTTTAAGCTTCTCAACCTTCTTCTGTCTAGTGCTGTTGCGACCCCTACAAGTGCGTCATCTGCCAGCCACATCTGAAGCTCTACCTACAGTTCATACGCGCCGCCTGCTCTGCACTCCCTCGACATCAACACCATGATCTTGCGGCTCCTACCCCTGCTGGCTTTCTTGGGTGCTGCCCATGGCGCTCAACCTGATGCGCCGTCTCCTATTGCTGCTCAGCTGCGAGACCTGCAGTGGGGACAGCTCAACTTCATCCACACAACAGACATCCATGGGTGGCTGGGCGGCCATCTACAAGAGTATTATCCACTCATAGCTTGTACAGGCTCGTTCTGACCATCACAGGCCTTCGTACTCTGCTGACTGGGGCGACTATGTCTCGTTCACGAAACACCTCCACGACAGAGCCGACGCCGATGGCTCAGATCTCCTCCTCATCGACACTGGGGACCGGATAGAAGGGAATGGGCTCTATGACGCCTCAGATCCAAAGGGCCAATACTACTTCGACATCGTCAAACAGGCCGATATCGACCTCATCTGCTCCGGCAACCACGAGCTCTACAAGAAGAACTCCTCTGACGGCGAGTTCCGCTATACGGTGCCCAACTTCAAGGGAAACTACATTGCGTCCAATCTAGACATTTACAATCCGGATACTGGCAAGCTCGAACCGCTCGCACGGCGCTTCAAGACCTTCAAGACGAAGAACCAAGGCATTCGGATCCTCGCTTTCGGCTTCATCTTTGACTTTACTGGCAACGCAAATAATACCGTCGTTCAGACTGTTGAGGACACAGTCAAGACAGAATGGTTTCAGGAGGCTCTCCGGGAGAAGGATATCGACCTCATCGTGGTCTTTGGCCATGTTGCCATCCGTTCCAAGGAATACAGCTTGATCTACAAGACCATAAGATCCGTCCAATGGGATACCCCAATCCAGTTCTTCGGTGGACATACCCATATTCGTGACTACAAGGTGTATGACAGCAAGTCTGTTGCTTTGGAGAGTGGTCGATACATGGAGACGCTTGGATTCATGTCGATTAGCGGGCTAAGTTCTGGAGGGAGTAAGAAGAGGCTCTCAAGTCCCCAAAAACCCAGCCTAACGTTCTCACGTCGTTACATTGATAACAATCTGTTTTCTCTCTATCACCACAGCGGTAAAAGTAACGAAACTTTCCAGACCGAACATGGTCGCAATGTATCCGCCCAAATCAACAATGCAAGGAAGTCATTAAAGCTCGACGAGCGTCGTGGTTGCGCTCCACATGACCTTTGGGTCAACCGGGCCCCCTATCCGCACAAGCAAAGCATCTTCACTTGGCTTGAAAAAGAGGTCTTCCCGAACCATTTCAAGCATTCCTCTCGCGCAAAGGGAGGGAACAAAGCTCTCGTAATCTCGAACACTGGAGCGATGCGCTTCGACATCTTCAAAGGCCCATTCACGAAAGACACTGAATTCTTGGTGTCGCCGTTTACCAGTGGTTTCTCGTATGTCAAAGACGTGCCATTCAAGGTTGCTAAACAGCTCCTAAAGCTCCTCAACAACGAGGGCCCCATTATGGACGAGATCGCTCGTCAGAACCTGATGCTGGCGCCCCCGGAGCGAATTGCAGGCCGCGCAAATGTCGAAGCATCGGATGACTTCCATCATTGGAACGTGCCAGGGCCTGGCGCTCAAGTTCACCTTGGCGATGATAAGACTCTTACCCCTGGCTACACGACAGAGGACGATGCTGGTAGTGACGGGGATGACACTGTGCACTCTACTATCTCTTTCTACAATGTTCCGAATTGCATCCAAGCTGCCGTTGGCTTCGAACTGTCTCACGGCAATGCATCCGAAGTCGTTGTGTTCGATGACGAGGAGCCTGAGAAGGTTGATGTCGTTTACAATGAGTTCATTGAGTCGTGGGTTTTACTGGCGCTTCAGTATCTTGGGCAGAAGTACAACGAATCTGATACCGCGCCATACGTCGAGGGCCAGACCTTGACGACAGTTATCACGGACTGGGTGGAGGCAAATTGGGATGTTGCGGGCGAGGAATGTCCATAGCCCTAAGTTTAGCTTATGATCATTATGCTAAGCATATACATTTTGGGTTGGGCGTTCTTCTGGGCTTGAGATCTGTTTTGGTAACATGAATATGACGAGGCGCCCATGAAGCTGGCGGTTTACTACAGCTCATCCTCGCACTTGGTCTTCATTTAGTATAGCATAGTCGCACGGGATTTGTAGATATCACATATTTCTTCGCAGCACGAGTCTAACTTGCTCGTTGACACATGTATATGTTACACTGCCCTCCGTATTCGTAATTTCAGGAGTATCATTGAAAAGCTGCCTCTACGAGAGCTTCCGCAATCTTCCTTCCGTAAGATCCATGGACCCAAGCCCTTCTAAACACCGTCCGCAATGCTGCCCGCCAACTCCAGGATATATTCACAAATTTTATCGCCCATTAACGCCGTGATTTTCGTAGAATAGGTAAGCCTCCAGCACTTCCAGTTGCTTGAACTACGCCTTTCGCCGCTGCTCCTTTTGCACCTGTCGTTCCGAGGAATTGTACCTGCATATTGTCAGTCCCCACACCAACCACGTACTGCGCATGCAGCAAACACGTACTTCAGAAGCTTCTCAATCAGGTCGACGTGGGTCATGACCATGCGCCGGCAGCAGTATCGGCGGAGCTCGAGCTGGTCCATGGCGTTGCTGTCGGCGGGGTCAGTTCGGGGTTTAGAAAGGGGATCGGGAGGAATGTCTCGTACCCATCACCCACACCCTCCTCGATCAACACGAGATAGCGCTCCCAGAGGTCTCCAATGACCTAGAGTCGCTCTGTCAGGTCCTGAGGTGAAAGCGGCGACGCGCGAAACCACTCACCTTGCCACACGAGAAGCAGCGCACGGGAATAATCATCTTGTTCGCAGGGGAGGAGAGTCGCGCAGAGGGTGGATCCGGGTTTGAAGCTTTGCGAGGGGTTGTGTTGTGGTGGACAGAAACTGAAGAGGTGCTTCAAGGTCTTCGTCAAAGAAGATGCGAGGTCCCTGGTTTCTTGGCGCGCCGAGAAAAAAGGTGCTCCGAGAAAAAAGGCGCTAGCAGAATAGAATAATTTTTGGTGTCAAGGCGCTTCACCAAGCTACTCGACACCGCTTTCCACGTCCGATTTTTTGGATGAGACGATAGAAAGCTAATTTGAGCTTCACAATGTCGGCCGAACAGGAGCAGAATGAGCGGAAACGCAAGAGGGCTGCGAAGGAGCGACCCCGCGATCACCCAAAAAAACGCAGCAAGGTTCAAGATGGGGACAAGGAGGTGGACCAGAAGGCAGAATTGGCAGTGGTACCTGTTAATGACGCAGTCGGGAACACAGCCATAGTGCCTGTTATCAAAAAGAAAGAGAAGAAGGGAAAAAAGAAGGACAAGACGCTAAAAACGACGAAAATCGAAGTACCGTGGTCAATCTCAGAGGCTGTTGGAGGATGGTTTCTTCCTCATGACCCGGTGTTCTCACCAGACGAGAAGTGGGTTCTCTCTTTCAATTATCATACCAATGCAGAACTAACGCACATGTCAGATTCCTTATTTTGGCGACCAGAAGCTATCTGCAAATTTACTCCACCGCAACCTCGTTACTAGTCCGTAGCCTGAGAGTCATACGATCTGACATCACGTCTTATGCTCTATCCGAATCGAAGCCCACTCAGATATATGCTGCCACTGCGGCAGGTCTTATTACAACGTGGGATCTGGACACTGGAAAATGGCTCGGCCGCTGGGATATCAAATCGGAAATTCGAGGAATTGCCGCAGCCTTGCCTGCTAAAGGATCTCAAGACATTATCTTCACACAAGAGGCTGGTGGTCGCCATGTCATCAACGCGCAAACTCTTAAGACCGACACCGGGGCGTCAGAAAACGAGTTGAAGCAGATACTGAAAACTGAGGAGCCGATTCAATCCTTCCAAGTTCTCTCGACAGGAGCTATAATCGTCGTTGCGCTTCAAAATTCTATGATGATTGGCAAAGCTCTACCGCGGTCATCTACCGACTTGAAAGAGCTCGAGTACGTTTGGCGGACATTCAAAATTCAGCAGGACATTACAACCTTCCACGCTCGATTGGAAACCCAAACTGGACCAATCGCAATCCCACAAAAGGGATCATCCGGGATCAACCCTGACTCACTCGATCTTGCAATAGGTTGTGTCGACGGCGCCATATTATTGTATAATGACATTCTGAGGAAGCTTACAAAGATTGAGAGAAAGAACGAAAAGAAGAACGAGAAGAAGAACGAGAAACCCGAGAATATTATACCGCGTCGGCTACATTGGCACAGAGAGGGTGTTGCTTCTTTGAAGTGGTCTGTAGATGGTATGAAACATGATTTCGCAGTAGCTTCGATCGCTAATATATACAGGTAACTACCTCATCTCCGGTGGCAAAGAGACAGTCCTTGTGATATGGCAGTTGACCACGGGGAAGAAGGAACACCTACCCCATTTGACCTCAGAGATCGAGAGTGTGGTCGTGTCGCCTTCCGGCACCTCCTACGCGGTTCGCCTGGCGGACAATTCTTTGATCGTCTTATCAACAACAGAGTTGAAGCCAAAGACCAGTATTGCCGGTATTCAATCTAGAAGAGTCCTCCACCAAGGCTCGGAATCGTCGCAATCGGGCACACTTCCTTCTGTCCTGCAAAAGTCAAGTAACCCAGTTGCAGCCTATGGGAAAGTCCCAATGGCTGTAAACCCATTGAACTCCAACCAGATACTGTTGCCGATTCCCTCTTCTCAGCCACGAAGCGAGATGAGCGATCAAAGGCTTCCTGCGCCATATCTCCAGACTTTCGACATCTCTACCGCTCGCCACGTCTCTCGTCAGGCACTCACACGTAACAATGCGACCAACTTTAATCTAGGACCAGAGCGATTAAAGTTGCGAGAGCCGGATGTCAAGCTTATGCAGCTGAGTCATGACGGTAAATGGCTTGCAACCGTAGAAGACTGGGCTCCACCACCTACGGATGTCGAACATATCTCAGAAAATGACAAAGATGCTGCTAAAGAACAGTCTTTACGCCGTGAAATTTACCTGAAATTCTGGCTATGGAATCACCAGAAGGGAGTCTGGAGTTTGGAGGCGAGAATAAACACACCGCATCTCTTTCCAGACGACATGTCAACCTGCCAAGTCATTGACCTTGTTTCCCATCCTACAGAGGTTGGGTTCGCAACCATTGGTGAGGATAGCTTCGTCAGAGTCTGGAAACCAAAAGTCAGACGGCGAGATGGAGCTGTAGTTCGATCAGCTACTTCCGATGCCCTGTATACTTGGTCAAATTCTTGCTCTATCGAGTTGGAGACTTCAATTCAGCCCCCTGAGACGAAGAAAAGACCACTGTCCTCGTCTTTACCGCTCGCAGCATGTTTGGCATATTCCGCCGATGGTTCTGCACTGGCGGCCACTCAAGATTGGGGCTTCAACACTGCACCAGGCCTGGTCCATCTGATTAACACCAAAGCAGGCGTTGTACACCGGTCTCTCCCAAATCTCTACATCCAGAAGCTCGCTGCCTTGGCGTTTGTTGGACAGTACCTCGTTGTGGTATCGGAGTCTGTCACCGTCTGGAACCTAGTCGACGATGAGCTCAGCTACAGCCATTCCATCAACCTGAACCAATCCGATTATACCCATCAAAATTCACTAATTCACCTCGCGGTAAACGCACAAGATGGCACTTTCGCCGTCGCTTTCCCGAGCCTTCAGTTCGACCAACTTGCATCGAAAAAGTCCAAAGCCCCTGCCCCGAAGATCCGCAAGGCGTCGTCCACCATCATCATCTTCGACCCTTCGAGACCAAAGCCTCTTCACAGCTCTGGCCTCCCCGATGTTGTGATGGCGCTGCGCCCAACGCTCAACGGCAGCGGCTACATCACGCTCGACTCGGCGGCAGAGGTTCGCATCATCAACCCGAAGTCGAGCGCGTCGATTCCCCTTATCGGTCCCATCGCCAAACCTGATCAGTCTCTTGCTACAGCAGGAGAGGTGGAGGAAGAAGTGGAGGACATGGACGTCGATGATGAAGAAGAGGTTATCGTGCCTGCTGCGGTCAAGGACAGCGAGATGACGGATGATGAGATCGAAGATACCGAGAACGATAAGCCGGTTGTGCGGCCGGAGCATTTGGCGCAGATATTCGATGTTGGGCCATCTTTTGCCGGGCAGTCGATGAAGGAGCTGTTCAACGCGGTCGTGGGGTTGTATGCCAGGAAACCGAGGGTGCGGTGGGAGCAGGAGGTCACGGTTGGGATCTGAACTTGGGCTGTTGAGAGTTGTGTACAGCGCAGGGAAGCTTTTGGAACTGTTATAGTAGTAGGCTTTCACGAGTCGACTTGAGTCGGCCATTGTATAATCATGGCATAGTCAAGCGTTCGGAGCAACCAAATTCAGACGTCTTTCTTGGTCAATAACTTTTGCTTTACTTCAATCCTGCATCTTTTCAGCGCTATTCAAAAGCCTCAATGCATGAAGAACCAACAACCCATTAATCTCACCAACACCCGTGATGTCGTCTACCCACACGTCCCAAAATCATCCTGGCACCCGCTGCTCGCCAGGCAGTAATCCGCTGTCGATCCACTGTACGCAGTTGTCAGCCATCGAGCCCATACCAATCCCCACCATGCCCTCTCAGTGACGCGAAATAAGGGACTTACCACCACCCGTGCGCTGAACAACAGTTCCCAAACGCCGACCCCTCGCACGTCCGCCCTGTCACCCCTCCACAGCTCCCTTCGGTCGAAACAGCGGTTGATGAGGCTGCGGGCGCCGCAGACACGGTGCCGCAAAGCCCGAAGGCGGGCTGGCAGCCGGTGCTGCAGTAGTCGGGGGAGGAGCCGCTGTAGGAGAGAGCGTGTTGAACAGATGATGTATTGAAGTGTTAGGGACTTAGGGAGTGACGTACCACCAGCCGCTCGGGGAGCAGCAGTTTCCGTAGGTTGACTCTTCGCAGGTGAAGCCGTTTGTGCCACCGCAGGTACCATCTATCGATACTTTTACCGGGTCGATGGTGCTGGGCGTTGGAGGGGAGGAGGTCGTGGTTAGGGAGGTCGTGGGCTTGGGATGTCAGCGGGTTGTATCGAAAGAGAGTAGGGGCAAGGGTGAACATACCTTAGAGCTAGAAGAACTAGCTGTTACTAGCGATGATGATGTTGTGGTCTTGGTAGTGAAGCTCGTCGACGATACGGTGCTACTTTCAACAGCAGAGCCTGTGGATGTCTTGCTTACAGCGGATGAAGCAACATCCGCACTGCGGTACCAGTTCGCCACTGGATCACCCAGACACTCACCTACTGTCACGGCTTTGTATCCCAGAGAAGTAAGTGTAGAGATCATGTAGTCCGTCAAGTTATACGCAGTCTGGTAGTGGATATCGTGGCTTATAACAAGCCACTCGGAATCGGCCGCCGTCGCATCACTGGCAGTGATATTCCCCTTAAACCAATCCTTCGAGTTCTGGATCTTGTCCGGGGAGTCCTGCTCGTAGTCATCCGTGTCGACGTCAAAATAGATGATGTGATAACCAAGTGCCTTCATGTCTGCTTCGCATCTCGACTCTGGGGTGCAGCTTGAGTATGGCGGGCGCATGTAAGTTGGAATGAAGCCCAGAATGTTGCGCAACGCCATCTCGTTCTTGTACATCTGGTTCTTGCGGTCCACGGCAGAGATGGCGGATAGGTCTAGATGAGTCCAGGTATGGCTGGCGATCTGGTGGTTTTCGGCGTGCATGCGTTGAATGACGGGAACGTAGCCGTTGGCTGGGATGTCGATTTCGCCTTTTCCATTGTTGTTTCCGGTTATGAAGAAGGTGGCTTTAGCGCCGTAGCTGGCTAAGACGTCAAGGACTTTGCTAGTATAGATGTATGGGCCATCGTCGAATGTCAGGGCTACGGTGCCGGGTGTCTGGATTCATAGTCAGCACGCAACTATCCTCCCAACAACGTCACCACCTACAGTGCACTCATATATGCCAACTCCTCCATATGGTACTTTTCCAAGAGCCGGGCGAGGAATGGTCGATGTGCTGATACCCGCTGGGGTGATGTTCTCTGGGCAGGCTGGTCCGTACTGATACTGGCAACCGGGAGAATAGCAGTAGTCGATTCCTTGCCCACACCAGCCCTGTGGATATATTAGCGGATTTGTTTATCGTGTAATCCAGTTTGGAGAACATGTACAGCTTCCGAACAGCAATAGCCAGCCGCACAGTGGGGAAAGCCTTTGCCGCATTGATCATCAGTGTTATCGCGCTTAATATTTCTCTTGTCCTTCACTCCCTCAACATCGTTGTCATGAGCAGCCGCATGCGCACTTCCAAATATCGCTCGTGCTTTCAGGTCAGCCACATTTGCCTTTCCATATAGTCTCGGTTGCCCTGTTCCATGTGCACTGAGAAGCACGGGCATTACGGCTAAGGCCAAGACCATCGCAAGCAAAGAAGGGATCCGCATGGTAAATGAGCAAAAGAGGGTATATAAATTGATGAATTTGAAAGCGAAAGAGTTCAGAGGCAATGCCTCAAAGTGAATTCCAACGGAAATGAACGAGTGTAAGACCCTAGAAGCGAGTGAATAATACACATCGAAGAGAGAAGGTCTTTTGAACTCCGAGATAGGTGGTAGAAGCATTAGGTTGGACTCCACAACCTTCGAGAGATCCCGGTTCACGTGGCTCAAGCCGTCGGGATTGCCCTTGGTGGCGACGGGACTCCTGCATCCAATATTGCAGGGCAGGGCTATTGTGGTGCAGGAACGCTTGCAAGAGTCTAGGCGGACTTGGAAGTCGAAGGGGAAAGGTGCCAATGAATTGATACGAGATGATCGGGTTACCGATTGCCCGCATACTATCGTTTTCAACAACTCAACGTACTTAGTATTATCACAAGAAAAGAGCGTGCTTGAGCATGGCTCGAGGACACAGAACACGTCCCTGAGAGGCACGAGAGAAGCTCCGTAGGACATCGCATGTCGGGTGGTCCTTCCGGTGACATCTCAGCCGCCGTGAAACGTCAACTAAATGACACTTGAAGTAAACGAACCTTCGTGGCAGTCCTCATGAAAATGCAGACTGTGCGGCAAGAGAATGACAGCCAATTCTCCCAAGTGAAAAAGAGCGTTCTTCTATACCTCCATACAATATACATCATAACTATGCCGGTTTAGGCATTTATGTTCTCAGTAAGGATCAGAGAATGAAGAATTTAGCACGAATGCCGCCGCGGGCCGGAGATTGTGAGGCTAAAGCGGTGCCTGGCACGGATTGATGTTGAAAAACAATGGACGAGGAAGGCCACAACTCCCACCCTAGTCCCAATGAGGATACCCATATATAGAGGCGCAATGTTGGCCCGAAGCATTCAGGGCCTGACCGTACACAGTAGGTAAAGAAGTCACAAGCTATGAGTTAATTTGCAAAACTCTTTAAATGTTCACTTTTCATCGAATTGAATTTGTTCATCATACACTATGGTGCATCGAGCCTATGAACCGAGAAGACCACAGCATGATTTGTACTACCGGAATTATCTAGCTTGCTGCAGGTCGGAGCACCAATACGTAAGCTCAGCTCGCTGATATTTTTTAGCGAGACTTCACAAGAAGGGTTCAATATGCATTAGAAAGATTTACAATGCCATATCGTATCAAGTCACTAGCAGATGTTTGGCGGAATGATGTAAGCAGAGCCCAATGGCGCTTCTCTATACAAACAGAGCTGTAGTCTATCTTGTGATGTAACTATCCAACACTACGCCAGACTCCGGTTTCCGATGGAAGGAATGCATCATGAGTTTATCGCGGCCCTCAAAGCACCTGCTAGCCGTTGATATTCCTTCAGTAGCTCTTCAATTTCCCCAATCTTCAGTTCCTTAACATCCTTCAACTCCAGGAAACGTTTTACAGGTGGTGTTGTTTTCCTCAATACATCTAGCGCGGTAATGGCTCGAGCCTCCTTGGAAAGATCTTCCGAGGAGGATGAGAGCGGTGGAGTTGATAGCTGCTTCCCCTTATCCCCGGCGGCCGGCGGCACGACAGGAGGAGTATTGACGCGACCAAAGCGAGGGATCATGTTCATGTTTGGAAAGCGGCTGAGCGGGTTCAGTGTGTTACCCAGATTACGCATAGACTCCACGGCTGCATTGCCCGCGGGTGGGGTAGTTGTGCTGCCTTGATCTGGTTTCGGAGGGGTGGGACTAGCAGCCTTGCCTTCGGTGAAAGCGACACGCTTTCCGTTGTTGCTTCCTCCGCTTTTCGTGCTATCTACACTGCGGTCTCGGATGGGACGGCGGCCACCGAAGATATCGGCCATCTTGGAGTTGAGGTCTGGTTTCTCTTCGGGAGTTTCGTCGGCCTGTTCAGCGATGGAGCTAGTGGCACTCACGCTGGCGTTGTCGTCGTCTGGTAACGTAGGTGAGCTAACGAGCTTTCGGGCTTCCTCGAGTGTTTTTGGGAGCGAAGGCTCGGGCTGACCCGGTGCGGCCCCCTTCTCTTTCAAGCGGCCAAAAATAAAGCGGAAGCTGTTCTCAAGAGTACTGTTGATGCTGTCGAGGGCTTGATCGGCACTATCTATTATACTCTCACGAACAGCATCACTTGCTTGTTCGATTCGGGTTGTTTGTGATTGGATGAGATTGCTCAGCCGGCGTTGGGACTTCGTCGTTGTTGGGGAACCACTTAGGTCGCTGGACGATGCTGTAACACCAGATATACTAGGTCTAATAGGAGGGGATTCCACGGGCGAAAGACCCAATTTCATAGGCGTCATCTCGGTTCTAGGAGTTGTAGGCCGGCTATTTGATTTCCCTGGGCCCTCAGGGCCCTCGTTCGCCCGCAAAGAAGACAAGTCAACAGTTTCAAGGAATGATATAGCCGCCTCCAGATTGACGAGACAGTATGCAGCTTCACCATCCATCTTGCTCGAACCACGAAACCGCTGGATGAAATTGAGGTTGCTGATAACATTGATGGTGGCTGGAGGGGAGGTAATGAGCGAGTATATTAGCGTAGGTAGTATTTCATCAGCCGAGGACGTGGCCGGGAATATCTTTGAAAGCGCTTCGACTATGCTCTTATGAGCTGCAGTGAGATGCTGCAGCTTTCCCAGTGGATACTTCTCGTTATCCATCTTCTGGATATCGATCCTAGCCGCAGACAGCCATTCTTTGATCTCTAGCTCCTTTTCCGTGGTTCTTTCTTTTATATCTTCGGTGACTTCGTCTGTGTTTACGAGGAGCTCCTTGAGGCCTATGCCGACCAACGATAAGGCAGCGGTGCGGGACCTCAGCTTCTGGTCCCGTTCCTCGTCGTCGGTGCTCCGATGGCGCCATATCCGATCATACAGCTTTTCGCACACTGCTCGCTCCACAGCTTCTTCTAGGGCGCCGCGTTTAAGCTCCAATATCCGCCGGGCCTTCTTTCTGTCTGATATTTCCGAGGGAGTGAGCATCTGCTGCTCACCAGCCGATGGTTGGTCGGTCCCTTTCCGGGAACTTATAGATGCTGGTTTGCTCCCTTTGCCCGCACTGGGAGGCGTAGACTGCTCTCGTGACAAGCGGGAGATTAGGGTTGCGATGTGAGTTCCTATGTGGGACGAGGCGCGGGAGTAGAAGTCTTGGTATAGATCGGAGAGGGCATCGATAGACAGGGGCGCGGGATGGACTTTGGCGGATAGAGACTCTAGGAATCTGTTGACAATTAGATATGCAGAACAAACTGGTATCCAGAGTGAAGTTCCCACCTCTCCGTCAGACTCCGTATCTCGATGGGGAGCTCCTCGAAGGTGTCCGGCAACTTGATATGCGGGGCATCTTGCTCGTCCAGCTCTCCATCAACGGACTCATTGTCGTCCTTGGACGCAAATATGTCCTTCTTCTCCTCTCCGTCCTCAGCCTGTGGGGACATCACGACATCCTGGGGGAAGAGAATATCAGGCACCGGGGGCCCTTGGAGAGTGCTTGCGCGGCTGCGGGAGAGGGGGCTCTTGGAGGGCTCGAGACGGCTGAAGGACTTGGAGGGGTGGAGGACCTTGGGGTGCTGCTGGTCCACGCCCTTTTCAGGCGGGCGACTGGCCATCACTGGAGTGTATCTGAGGGCGCGGCGGTTCACGGGAACATGGTGGATGCCGTGGACATCAGACCAGCCCAGCCCTCCGCGTCGCCTATTCGCAGCTGCACGGCATGGGCCCAACGTCATGCGCGCAGGCGTCCTCTAGACCACTCACAGCCAGCCGACGCCACCGCGTGCATCACAACTCATCCCCATCACCATTCACCCTGCCACCACGACACCACCCTCGGCATGTCGTCCCTCCTGCTATGACGCCTGCGAATACCACTCTATGGTCGCGAACATGCAGCCTCCTCATCTCCGCTGCCATTCCGCCGGCAGGGTGACAGCCCGCCTTCTGCTATCCTTTCTCGCTATATCCTCATTTACCGTTCACCGTAGCGCCGCCTCACGCCCTGAGAATGAACCAGGGATACCTGTAATGCTTCCCGGGCCGGTCACAGGCGGAGGCGCCTCGCCAGAGCCCGGGAATGCTCCTAGAGAGCTTGATTTTGTAGGTCCAACCGCGCACTCGCTGTGATGATCCTACTAACGCCTGGCTGCCTGGCAGAGACTCAAACACATCTTCCACCATGGGACCTACCAGTACCCAGGCCTGCACAGGAAGCTCGACGTGCCGGAAGACGCTCCGTTGTGGATGACGGAGGATGACTCTCTAGACAGGGAGCCAGTCCCCCGCCTTCGCGCCCGGTCCGAAGCCATGAACATCGAGCGGCTGGTGGACAGAAGCCCAGAGAACATAAATTCCATCCTGGACCACGGGCGTATGACTGGCCAGGCGATATCGCTACCCGCCTCGGACTGGACTGTTGACGAAATCTACGGGCCGAATGTCACAGACAAGGAGACCGTATTGAGTTTCGCCAGGATGGCGGCAAACGCCTACGTAATGGAGCCCAATACGGGCGAGTGGGAGGATGTCGGAGGAGGTTACAACTATACCGAAGACTTTGGCTGGGAATCCGACGGCCTCCGTGGACACATTTTCGCGGATACAGAGAACTCGACTGTAGTCATCGGCCTAAAAGGCACCTCGCCGGCCGTGTTTGACGGATCTGAGACCACCACGAACGACAAGATCAACGACAACCTTTTCTTCAGCTGTTGCTGTGGTCAAGGTGGGCAATATCTCTGGAGAACGGTCTGCGAGTGCCAGACAAGCGCCTACACCTGCAACTCCACCTGTTTAGTCAAGGCCTTGCGGGACAAGAACCGGTATTATTACGCCGCGCAAGACCTGTACCACAATGTTACCGCCTTATACCCGGATGCCGACATATGGGTAGCGGGTCACTCGCTCGGTGGTGCTGTAAGCAGCTTCTTGGGTCTGACATTTGGTCTTCCAGTAGTCACTTTTGAAGCTGTTCCAGAAGCCATGCCAGCTGCTCGCCTTGGACTCCCAACCCCTCCGGGCCACCAAGTGGGCGCACTTCAACAACGGAAAATGACCGGTGGCTACCACTTCGGCCACACTGCCGATCCAGTCTTCATGGGTGAGTGCAACAAGGCAAGCTCATCTTGCACTTTCGGCGGATATGCCATGCAGAGCGTGTGTCATACGGGATTCAAGTGCACCTACAATACCGTTGATGATTTGGGGTGGCGAGTTGGAATCGGAACTCACAAGATCCACAGCGTCATCAACGACGTTATAATGAAGTACGACGAGCCGGCAAAGTGTGAGCAGTATATCAATTGCACCGACTGCTATCCCTGGGAATTCTTTGAGAGCAATGGGACGGAATCCTCAACGACAACTCGAAGCATGACTTCCACGGCAACGTCTACGAGGACTCGCACGGAAACGTGTAAGACGCCTGGATGGTGGGGCTGTCTGGATGAAAGTACGACTAGTGGGCCAACCACCTCAACCTCTTCGACAACGACCACGTCGACTTCTACTTGCAAGACGGTACGTACTCGTAATTGATCTGTTAGACCCAAAGACTAATTTCTACTAGCCTGGCTGGTTCGGTTGCAAAGATGAGGTCACTTCGACCGAGACACTCACGGTCCCGTCCGCTACTCCCACGCCCACAATGACACCACCCGCACCCACATCCTCATGCCGCCATCCTGGCTGGTTTGGTGGATGCAAAGACCCTATATCCACTTTCCCCCCTGGAAGGTCATCCACAGGACCTTTGTCAACCGCAAGCTCAACCACTTGCACGTCAAAGGAATGGTTCGGGCTCATCTGCGTCGACCCGTCACCAGATTCCAAAGCGTCGCCACATACGACAGCACCGGCTGTGATGGAGAGGATAGAGGTTTGAATTTGCTGTAGGAGCTCCCCATTAGGGGTTATTTTCATGGTCGTGGCACTTTTTTGCATGATGAGGGCATGGTAGGGTATTGGCGTTCTTTTTGGGTTCAATGGGTAGGAAGCTCAGTCAAACAATGTGCATACGAGTCAAGTATCAATCTATGTAAAAAATCAAATCAATATATGCCATCAGACAACCTCTCCGTGTATTAAACTAGGTTAGCACCCTCCCTCAAAGCCCTTCGCACGAATCGAAGCAAGAGCGGCAGAGGTAATGCGAAAGTCGGATAGCAAAGCTCGCGAGTAACAAAGTTCCTTCGTCAGTTGCACAAGTCGATTCACTTGTAACATACCCATCACGAGCTATGTCCCGTTACGGCTAGTCTTGGCGTTCAATGCTTGAAAAGCGTGGAGCACAGAACAACTTCCACCTTCTCACTTAGTGTCTTACTGAGTAGATGAGGGTGAACGTAGGCTAGCGAGAAGGGGAAAACTTCCCAAAGCCCAACGCTTCCCGCGCACTATAATGCCAAGAAATTCACAATGCAGCGGTAGGCCGGAGTAGTGTTCACTTGAAGATCATCAACCTCCTACGTAGATTACTTTCACTACCCTCTAGACCCGATACTTTTAGTGCAGTGGGGCGTAAGACGATTCTCAAGTGAAGAAGTATACATTTTTGCAAGTTAGATAACTTGCTGACTCGTTCTACTTTCATGCTCGTATGCCAAGCAAGTCTTCCACCTTCAACTACTCTCGGTCTTTCAACACTTCCCTTCCTCGAGTAGTGCCAAGACCGTCCGTGCACAGCAACGAGGTGTCAACTAGTCGAGAGGTGTAGACAGTTATCCAAGACGGCCCCAGGCAAGCAGACCCTCCTACCTTTAGTAAGGTGTTTGAGTAGTGCGCGTCCTGAGGCTTCGTAGACTTCGAATGCGTTCCAGCGAGTTCGCGCCTAGAACAGGAGACTAGTATTGGTGCCTAGGATGTTTTCGGTTTTGGTGTTACGTTGGTGCTTAGGGTGCTTTCGGTGTTGTGGGTACTTTGGTGCTTAGGGTGCTTTCGGAGCTTCGGTGCTTTGGTGCTTTCGAAACGTTTGCCCTCGGGTTTTTTCCATCAGGGTATCATAAGTATGACCTGACAGTGTTGCCGGACTAGCATTAGCAGGGTTGAAAGGAAACGGCCGTAAATCTTGAAACGATCGTAAATCTAACGAGGGTATCGATCCTGATGTACCATATATGCCGCTGTACGCCTAGAAGCGCTTCCTAGCTTGATAATCCAATCCAAGCCGCGGGTTTCGAAAATCACCATTGTCCCAGGACCCCGTAGATGAATCTAGTCTATGCAAACGCCGAAACCGGAGTTGCAACTACTCATGTGCGTGGCTCTGCTTCGTCTTCTTCGAGCGAGTGACGCTCTGCCAGATATCCGTCCAGAGTCCCAAGGGCGGGTCGATGCTCGCTTCGTACGCATCAATTGCTGGTCGTTCCCACACTAGATCGGCTTCGAGTGGCTTGACGAACTTCGACCTCTTAATGAGCTTGAAGCCTACCCACGCCACGATGCAAATGAAGCACATGGCGTAATAGGTCATGAAAGTTCCGACGTCGAAGGCATAGAACACCGCATATCCGTAGATGCACAGCGTAACAGTCATGGTGATAAGGCCGGCGATGGCGACGTAGGGCTGGCCCCAGCCCTTGTAGGGGAGGTTGTTGCGGTCGTAACCTTGAGCCTTCATGGCGCGGTAGAAGAAGAGGTAAATGGTGCACATGAAGATGTAGTCGAGGAGTTGAGCAGCCTGGGTGATGTTCGCCAGCCTTGAAGATGTCAGCGTAGGTATTCAAGAGAGGAGGCTGATAAAATACCATTTTACACCCTGTGAAGCACCACTGCTAACCGAGAGGAAGCCCAAAAATGGGAAAATCATGGTCACCAAGAAGCAGTAGATTGGGATACCCTTCTTAGTAGTCCTCCGCAGGAATCTAGGAGCATGGCCGTCGATGGCAAGGGAGTAGAGCGATCGTGTCGCGCAATAGACGTAGGAGTTGCCTGGAAAGGTGTCAGTTCATGACTTCTTGAGAATCGCGTCGAGGCACCCAAGTAGTGGCTTGTGATTGGACATAGACAGACGTCTTGGAACTGTAATCATTAGAATGTTCTGACTTACCGGCTGAGAAAATGGAGGTGACCATGAGGGCATTTGTAAGGTCAGGCAGCACCGAGATTCCCATATTCTTCATCGCGATCACGTAAGGCGAAGACGCTCCGGTGCCAGTTCCGACGTTATTCAGGAGGTTGTTCAGGGTTGGGTCGTCGTATGGCAGGATGATACCTACGCAAAGGGCTCCGAGAATGAAGAAGATTCCGAATCGCCAATACATGGTCTTGAAGGCTGCCTTGATGGTCACACGGGGATATATGGCTTCTCCAGCAACCATGGCGACATATTCGGGACCGACAATCGTGAAAGAAGCTTGGAAGTATGCGCCCAAGAATCCTTCGAATCGCCCAAGAGCTCCGGTATGAATATACTCCGCAAACGAGCCAGGTTTGTTCCAATTCCTAAATCCGTAGGCATCGTGTTTGGGGTTACCGCCGACCTGTAGGCCTGTCAGTGGTGCAAATAATATTTTATTAAATATGCTTACCATAGTGACGAAAGTGAAGCAAAACAGCATGATGATCAGGATGATCTTGCCGGAGGCCCTACGGAAGTTTAGTCTTGTGTATAATTAAATGATAGACACGGAGAGCTCACAGCCAGAACTCGCTCTCGCCATATGCTCGCACGGCGAGAAGATTGATGGCACTGGACGGAGTTAGATAGATGATTGGGGCTTGCGCTTATTGGTATGGTTTCGTACGCGTATAGGACGACGCAGGCGGAGACGACGGCAGCAACGGGAATATCATCTCTCCAAAATGTCAAGACTAGATTGAGCGCTGATATCTCGAACGGGATCAAGACAGCTTCATAGAGCTACAGGTGTTGTCAGCATCCTCATGTGCCTCGAGGCGAGGCCAAACCTGCGAATCGGACTCGACGAATCCGATCAACCGACGTCATGTCGATACATGGTTGCAAGAAATTCCTCAAGAACTTACAAAGAAGTTCCAACCCGCCATGAAGCCGTATGCCTCGTCCACCCACATCGAGCCCATGCGGACCCAGCCACCGACGACGGGCATGAAGACGGTCATCTCCGCCATGCAGCTGTTGACCAGGGCCAGGAACCCGCAGTATATGGCAAAGGCCAGGAACAAGCTCCCTGGACCACCCTCGATGAGGCCCCAGCCGATACTGACGAAGAGCGCAGTGCCAATTGAGCCTCCGATGGCAATCCATTGGATCTGGCGGTTGGATAGGCGGCGATGGAGGCCGCCGACATCTTCGACGACGGCCTCGCGAGTGTCTTCGTCGTCGCCGTTATACGTGGGCGCGGCTGTCTTTTCGTCTACTGCGGCTTCGTCCTTGGTAAAAAACTTCATGATGGGCAATTCGTGTGTTGGTTGCACAGAGCGGGCACCATGACGGCTAGAGAGGGCACCCAGACTTTTAAGCGTTGCACGCAGCTGCACGGCAGGCAGTCCCAGGAGCCGGACTCCTGGTGCGTAATCCTTCACTGCAGGGAAACGCAAATCGCGGCTGGAGTCGTTCTTCGACGTAGACGGCTTCGGGGTGAACTAGCAGCTAGCCTGGCGGCCGCGATAGCCCTAAGGCAATCTCGGCAGGGTCTCACAGGCAGGATAATCCTATCACAGAGGGTGTATTGAGATTATCTTACGCGTGGGGAGGCGGCGGATAAGCTAGAACAAACGAACTCTATGGGGAGTTCCAGTCCCTGCGACCTAACTCATTGGCCAAGGGGCCTTCGAGGGCCGAGATAGCGGTTGTGTAACCCCGATACAGCAGAAGAAAACGCACCAGTCAGAAGCATCGTGGTTTAGCGGAGTTTTATCCGTGGGTTTAGGTTACGTCGGGACGTGGTGTCGATCGCCCAAGCGCCCCAAGCCCCGTGCCGTCAGGTGAGATATCGATAAGTGAGGTGAAAGGCCAGTTTCCTGGTGTAATTCGATTGCGACACCTTCTCAACTCTGTACCTGGCCACGTGATGCGGTTCGAGATATCCGATCTTTTCTTGATTCGGCCCGACTTCACGTCACTGTCAGGTTGTAACCAGCAGACTGCTCGTTCGTTCCTCCACAACTCTCGTATCAGTAGTACTCTTGAGGTCATGGTGCGAGAAGAGACTCACGCACCGAATCCACTATGTGTCACTCTACATTGGGGGGCACTCATTTGTCGTAGGCATTTGCCTGCTCCATGTTGCCTCCACCGCCACCTACCGGCATTTTCCAGGCTCGGATGCGCGAAGAGATACTTGGGGGGCGTAAGTGAAATCTCTGGGAAGTGGGTTGGTGTCTGGTACGCGAGTCATGGGACGCTGGACGTCATGGAACGACACGATGGAACCAGAACAAAGTAGATACGAAATGTCACGATGAGTATAGGAGGGTACGCATTGCCTCGGGAATAAGAGGCTGATGCTTCAATACCCGGTGACAGAGAAGCATACACACATCGAAGATGATGTACTTTAATAGGTCTTTTTCGACGGTGACTTCGAGGGATAAGGCATTAGGAATGTGAAATGGGCACAGGTTTCACCATATGATTAAGAGCCCAGTGGTTACTTTTTTTAAGTTGGAATCTTTCAGGGGTCCTCACCATTGTCCATCTACTCGATTATCAAATAGTTATGAGCCAGGCCACCATAGAGATGAGGGTTTACTTCGAATTGGTCTTTTCTATAAGACCACGTGTAAGAACTCGTCTCAATACGCAGAAGATATACAATGCCTCATCATAGGAATCCGTACACCCGTTCACCGCTGCATGAGGAACTTCATAGTATTTTCAGCATTCCGAAGGAGAGAGAAGTTCGGCATTCTGGACAACTAGTAAACTCGCAAGGCTACCCCAGCATCTACACGGTCGTAGTTATATGATCTTTGACCATGTCCCCCGTTGACGTGACCCTCTCGATCTGGGAGATATCTGCCCATTCCCTGACTCTTCATGTCCGCTTTTTCTCGAGGCGGAGTGCCCGAGGGGACGACAGCGTCATGACCAAGCTCCTGATTGCCCATTTTCGTGACCAAAGGACCTGGGAATGCAAACAATATTGATACATTGATAGAGAGACTGTAGGAATACCTACCACGTATCCCGCATTATACTCTCCCCACATCTCATGCATTACCTTAACCTCGCTCCACTCCACCTACTGTAGTGCTCTCGGAGACAGATTCGCTAGGTTAGCATTGCATATCCATCAATTATCCATTCACAAACGAAGCTTTGGTTAGTGGCGTGCATTCGCTCTAGTCCCCGCAAATTGTTTAGCCAAGAAATAGTAGTAGGCGGGGAAGAGCTAGAGATAAGATGAGTGACTCGCGGGCCGGCTGTTTCGGCAGATCGGCCAAAAGGGGCCCGAGACAGCAACTTCTTGTGAAGTGCTCAAATGTTAATAAATACACTCACGTGTCAGTACCTATATCCGGATCTTTAGTGTTTAGATGCTTCAAGCATTACCGATAGAGTGAAGTTAGTGAAATTTGACTCGGTCCCGCTCTCTTTCATCCCATCCATCCCATCCATCTCCATCCATACCGAGAGAACCACACCATAGCAGAATCCATTTCAACCTCAAACTTTCCTTACCCATCTCTCACTTCGGCCCCTCCCCCCAAAAAAAAATAAAAATAAAAAAAGGAAAGAAGAAAAAAAATGTCCCTCCAACCCCCTCCCCCCTCCCCCACCACCATCCACTCCACAATCGCCCTCCTAACCCACAACCTCGTCCACCTCTCCGACCCCTCGGGCGCCTTCCTGCAGCACCTCGCGGACGGCCGCACCATCGACACAAAAGGCTGGCACGACTGGGAATGGACGCACGGCATCGGCCTCTACGGCCTGTGGCAGTACCACGCCCTGAGCGGCAGCCCCACCACCCTCGCCACCATCCAAGCCTGGTTCACCTCCCAGCTCGCCAAAGGCACCACCAAGAACATCAACACCATGGCCCCCATGCTCACGCTCGCGTACCTGTACGAGGACTGTAAGCAGCGTGAGTATGAGCCGTGGCTCGACGCGTGGGCTGCGTGGGCTATGGACGCGCTGCCGCGGACGCGCTTCGGCGGTATGCAGCACAGCACGTACGAGGCCGAGAACCGGAACGAGCTGTGGGGTGACACGCTCATGATGGCGGTGCTGCCGCTGGCGAAGATTGGGCTGGTGCTGAGGCGGCCGCGGTATGTGGAGGAGGCGCGACGGCAGTTTTTGCTGCATGTGCAGTACCTGTTTGACACGGAGACGGGGTTGTTCTTTCATGGGTGGAAGTTCGAGGACGGGGACCGGGGCGGTTTGAGGTTGGGGCATAATTTTGCGCGGGCGAGGTGGGCGAGGGGGAATAGTTGGTTGACGATTGCGATTCCGGATTTTATTGAGATGTTGGAGATGCAGGAGGGGGATCCGATGAGGGTGTGGTTAGTTGATGTGCTGACGGCGCAGTGTCAGGCGTTGAAGAGGCTGCAGGCAGATAGTGGCATGTGGCGGACGCTATTGGATGTCCCGGAGAGCGAGGGCAGCTATGAAGAGGCGTCGGCGACAGCGGGGTTTGTGTACGGGATGTTAAAGGCTGTAAGGAAGCGGTATATCGGGAAGGAATTTGAGGAGGTGGCAGTCAAAGCAGTGAAAGCGGTCCTGGGAAAGGTGAATAAAGATGGAGAGCTCTTGGATGTCAGCTTCGGTACGGCAATGGGGTCGACACTGCAGCATTATAAAGATATCAAGCTGACAAGTATGCCATACGGCCAAGCAATGGCGATAATGGCATTAGGAGAGTTCCTAAGGACGTTTATATAGCCAACCTAGGAATTGAAGAGAAGAGAAGAGAAGCGAAGCGAAGTGTGCGATCCCAAGGCATCAACGTTTAGGAAGCAATGGAGGCCTGAAAACCCCCTGAACTCCCACCCCTGGGTAAGAGCGGTAGGTTATAGTGTGAGAATGAACCACGGCGGCCCTCGAGATGGCAGACCCGCGCCATCAGAGCTCCAAGCATCAGTGCTATATCTTTCTGCCGCCTGCCACGCTTTCCGTTCTCGGAACCACATAATATCCCTCATCACTCTCATATCTTTCGTTCTGTCCTCCAGTCGGGATGAGTTTCTTAGGAGACAGAACTCCTTGAGTATGGTGCCGCGAGCATCGGGGGATACCTCGTGCGACTCCGAAGCAGATGCTTTCTCTGGTCTCCGCCGGGTTGTGAATTGCTTGAAGCCTTTGAGACTCGCAATCACTCTCCTTCCACGGTGATGGCGTTCTGAGAAGTCGTGGCTATGGATACTTGATGCGTCGCTGCTGTCAGAGCGACTGTGCGGCTGCAACCTCAACGGCCGTGATGACTCCCTGATGTCCGTTGGCGCCCGCGGAAACCTCTCTTGTGGACGGGTCACTCGATGAATTTCGTAGAACTGAAGAGGTCGGGCTGGTGGGACAGATTGTGGAATCGATACGGGCCGTATGACATATGCCCCAGAGCGCATCTCAAGCGGCATGCAAGGCAAGAGCTGGGTCGATTTTTGTGGCGAGAAGAGCGGGTTAATAACAAGCCGGGTCTGAGATAGGTGTTTCCAGTAGGCGTCCCATTGAGGCATGCGGAGGATGTGATTGCATGACAAGCCCATGCGCTCCATCATAACTCTGAGGTATTGATTCGCCGCTGCTGGGTCCTGGATGCTTAATTGTTTCAGCTTGCACAGTGTGTAGTGATCTCGGAGCTGGCCCGGATCAAGTTTGACCAGGCGGTGTATCCTTTCGCAGTGGTAACAGAATAGGCCGTCTACAGTGCCTCTCTCCATGGCCCGCCCAAAGTTACACCGCGCTGTTTTCTTGACATCTTCCTCGAGGCTCGACCATGACTCCGTACCGACAATGGTCGCAATTGAGTAGCACTGTGGTATTGTTAGCTCTTGTTCTTCGATAAATCGGACCTAAGAGCACGCGCAGTTAGGGCAAATGCAGCAGCTGAGGATGGTGCAAGATACGAGTGAATTTGTTGTAGTAGCTCAGTTGGCAGCTTCGTGATTCGGCAGTTGCCCTGAGGCGTAGATTGGATTCCCACGCGTTGTTTTTCATTGAGAAGACGAAGAACCTCGACTGTCTCGCGGTACGGCTTCAGTCTTGATATGGATTTGAACGCCTCTAGATGCTCCATCAATGCCCCCGTGAGTTCTTCCAGTCTTTCTCGATGGTGCGTAAGGGGTTTGGTGTCGACGCTTCGCCAGAGGGTGTTTCTCCTCAACGACTTGCTATCACGTCGCCTCTCACTGGAATAAAGGTGTAGGTCTAGACAGTGGGATACAGTACGAATAATCAGGGTTGCAAATAGGTGTCTTATGAGTAGATTCGTTTCATGTGGATTTGATAAGGTTTCTGGACGGGACAAGTTGGACATGACTGGCATTCCGCTTGATTGTGGAAGTAACGATGCAGCCAAAGTGGCCGGCGTATTGCTCCCACCTCCGGCTTAGAATATTATGAGGACGAGAGTTCCCTTACAGCTCTATGGCGCCGCTTCAAGGACTTCAACGAACTTTTGGAAATTCAAAGACGATTTGGTCGGACTTGCCACCTGCTGCTCCAGCTTTCTAGTTGGTATGTGGCACACCATAAGCAGTGTTACAAAGTCGGAAGGAGATTTTTGTCCCAGTGATACAGATGACGCTATCTCTATACCAGCTGCGATATATGGAGCCAAGAGAGGTGGGTCTGTGTGATTGAGGTGAGTCGGGCGTTCCGTGAAATCAGTCCTCTCACTAAGCCTACATATTGATTATAATCCCAAAGCCGCCAACTAACTCAAACAGCACACCATTTTACGCAGCCAGATAGTTTGCGTCCATTTTAGCCACTTAAAGATCCCTCCCCTAACAATGACCTACTGGGGCTGGATCCTTAGTCTAAAGAGTGGGAAAAATCGTACTCAATCGATATTCTCAACCCCGTTGAGGTTCCGCCAAAACAGAACCTAAAATGCCCTGTCTTTAATCTGTCTACATTTTTCTGCCACTGCTTGTAGGACTTCACCGCATTTCTAGAAATCCGGAGCAGATGCAAGACCAGTGTTTTGACTGGCTAAGACATGGTAGGGGCTGATATCTCGAATTCATGAGACTGAGACCGGTTATATGTATCAACAAAGGGTATGGGGATATACCACCAGAGAAGAGTCACGTCCAACCTGATTCCATCTCTCTGCCGCTGTCGAAGATGGCTTAAAGCTGTATCAGGCTATTCAAAACAGCTGACTTACATCTTGCCTAGATTCCTGAAAGCCGTTTGAAGGACCTCAGGCGGTGCCAGAACAGTGTACAGACTACAACCTGATCACAGCATAAATTCGGGAATTACCTCCGAGGGTGTTGTCAGTTTACGAATTCCCACGCGGATCGCTCAAGCTCTGTAGTCGCCCATCAAAGGCGGTGAGAGCCGCATGGGTTGAGCATCGGCAAGGTCGGCTACCAGTAAACAGGCATCGGGGATATGATGATGATGAAAAACGGCACCATCCCTGAGGCAATCCAGCGGCTAGAAGATAGATGACCGCTCCTTGATGCCGTTCTTGAGAGGCTCCGTGATTGAAGATTGGATGAGGTCTTTCATTGCGTACGAGGCTGATTGCGACGCTCTAGGAAATGAAACACACGAGTCAACGGGCTGGACCGGCACCGATGCTCTGAGACTGGCAAAGACGGGTGCTACCGGAGACGCGACAGGTACCGAGGCGAAGGTGCGCTCGCGGCACATCAGGTGGGCAGTCGGCTGTGATGCAGGCGGGCCTGTCTCTCAATTGCGGTTGGTGAGAACGAGGTCGGTTCGCGGTAGAGGTTCAGGTCGGTCTGACAAGGTGGCGGAGGGGAGTTCGGCGTGGGATTGTTTGGGCCTGTCAACCCTTGGACGCTGAGTGGTGGACAAGAGGGGACAACAGCAATCCTGGGCTTGATTCTGGACTCAATCCCGGAGGGCCTCGTGTGCGAGTGGAGGGACAGGCGCCCTTGACCAAGAAGTGGCATTCCACGATTCCGTGGTCCTGATTTCGAACGTCCTGTCCTTGAGGTACACACTATTTCTGTGCTTGTGCACACTTGCTTAGCATCGCCTGCGGTCCTCCGGTATGTTGTTGTTGTTTGTAGAGTGCCAGTTCTGGCAAGCCTGATAGCTCTCCGGGCCCCCTCAGGCGGTGTTGAACTGCCTGCCACTTTGTGCCCAGCGGACCCTGGGCTGCCTGGGTGGTGAAGGTGGCGAAGGTGGGCGGCGCTGAGCTGCAGCTGGGCAGGTCGGATACCCAACAAAGGCCCACCGCGGGCCGCCCACCTGGCAGAACGTGGCAGCCCGTGGCAGCCAGGAAGCCTGCGAATCACGCCGTGCCTGCTGGGCGCAGAGATATGTCGGCACAGACGGGGCGGGTGGAGCGTCCTGTCGTCGTCCAGTCAGCGGCAGGCGGCCGCTGTTTCAGAAAAACTCTGTCCAGGTGTGCCCCGCTCGCCCAGGAGAAAGCGCCGGAGCGAAGAGCAGGCGCAGTTCCAGAAGGGACGGAAGTGAAGGCCCACGTGGAGCGCACCGCCGTCCTCAACACCATCCCCAGCCAGGTCCCAGCTGTCTTGCACCCTTCAACCTGGCCGCGCCCTCTTCACGACGCTTGTCGCTCCAATCCGCTCACGCACGCCGGCACCTCCGCACCCTGCACCGCCAAAGCAGACAAGATCGGCCCCTTGCTGATCGAACCGCGAGCCGTCCTGTGAAACGCGAAACGCACGACGCCCCCGACCTGGCTGATCCTGACGCTGTCTCGCTGCCCTGAGGGAACCCACACTCCTCCACCCTCTGCATATACCCGCCGTCAACAGCGCATCTGCCGACATCACCACCTGCCACACCTCGTCTGCATATACCGCATCGCAGCACTACTCCACGCCGATCCTCTCAACCACAGCCTGCTGCACCCTTCAGCCGGCAGCATGACGAACTCTCTGGAATCCTCGAGGCCAATCCTCGCCAACGTGAGCTCCCCTCTGCACGCGCTCTGCGTGCCCGATGCAACCCCGCCGGACGCTGTTGAGGCTGTGTGGCCGTTTAATCCTTTGATGCTCTCGCCTCTTATGACACCCACCTAACAGTCCACAGTCCTCCAACTACCGCGCCAGCACCCGCCTATCCACCTACTCCGCTACTCCTACTCTCACACCTTCAATTGCGCCCTCGCATCTCTCAAACGCCTCGTCAACTGGCGGCGACCCCCGTGCACATGACATCAAGTCGTGGAACGCCGGCTTTGAGCGCCTCGAGGACAAGCGCCTCCAACAACAGCGCTACGTCGTGACCCCGAAGAAAAACGAGGACATGAGCAAGCTGGCTCTAGGTGCAAAATTAGAACGCGCCCTCGGTCGGCGCATGACCGGCCAGGATGCCGTCTTCGTGCAAAAGCACCGCAAGGCGGAGAGCTCCGATCTGATGGACGAGAAGAAGGTCAGCGCATAGGCCCCGTACCATGCTCATTCTTTCGCTTGATTCTATTCTGGCAAGATGGTGGGACACCATGTGGCTGCTGTTGGAGTTGTCTTTTGGAGAGCCGGACTATTGACGGGTCGGGAACTGGGAATTACCGGGCACATGATTTCAGCGCTGTGAGAGCATCATCATGCGAGAGATACCTTTTCATTACGTTACTATTCATCCTCCTCATATGACGATCCGGGAGGCGAGCTACGAAGAATCCGTTGTTGTGGCATGGATCGATAGACGGGTTGATGGTGGAACCTAATGTACTTGCCACCGGTCTTTGTTCTGCGTGTTTCTTTGATTTTCTTATTGTCACCGCTCTCATCATATACCTACTTTTCCCTTTTCAGGGTTGCCGTGTTTCATCCATGTATTTCTTGAGCAAATCGCTGGGGTTAAGGATTCTGATAATTTTGGGCTGATTGACTTGAGTAATGGCATTTCGGAGGATATCACAAAGACATTTCTACCTCTTACGCAGACACTGCCGGTGACGAGGCTATACAGAATTACCTCATAGGTGTATCAAAAGACGTCTCCCTTTATCGCCATTAATAAAGCAAGCATCATTCTCCACACCGGCCCGTTTCAAGAATCACCCCATCTGCTCTCATGAAACCCACAAACGGTCACTGTCAGCACTATCATGTACATCTTTCCGCTCTGCCAAGCCGTCGCTGTAATCTTCTCCTGTTCTCCGTCATGCCAAGCTCCACCACACCGCCGATCTGGTGGAGTTCTCCTGTCAACGCCCCGAATTCCTCCCGCTAAATACACCGACAGGCACGATCTCGCACCAGCCGATCTCGAAATCGCGTGACCCAAGCCACCCGTTAACGCCATTCGGACTAGAGGGACGCTGGCGCAAACCCCGAATTCATGCAATTCTGTCAAACGGCAATGTGTGCCTCAAATGCATTGGCCTTAACATTAAAAGTAGTGCTACTAGGTCTGGATTATTTTCCTAGTCTCAAAAAAGAACGTGGCACGTGGTACCAATTAAGCGCCACCCAACTCCCGATCCATGCCATGAGCCAGGGTATCGACGCGAGGGCGTATAAAAGCTTCGGTTGGTCATCTAACCATGTTCACTCAGCGCAAGCGACCTGCTTCGGTGTCGGTTATGCAGACGACCAGATCACGATGTCAGACACCCTTGAAATATTTCTTCTATCGATAGCAACTGTTGCCCAAAATTGCTCGCGCTCAGAAATATTGACTGTTTGGGGCGTTTGGCAGTGAATGACCATCCCGTTTTCGCTTTCAAGTGCGTGTAGGTCTGTAATTACGACGACGGCTAAAACGATTTGTACAGCTGTGACGCCCTCTGATACGTCACGCCTCGGCTGCATTTGTTCCTTCCTAGATTTGATATGCTCTCACGATCTCTACTTCTTCATGCTCAAAAAAACGCCCTTCAACCTCGAACCTCCAATTCTCTACTCCTCACTATCTACTCTACACTCAATCCGCCAGACAATCATGGCTCTCCTCTCCCTCCTCCTCTTCACCCTCTACCTGATCTCCCTCACCACCGCCCAAACCAACCTCCCCTCCGTCCCCCCAGGCGTCTTCTCCGCCAGCGCGCGCATCGAAATCGCCACCACCGTCCCCCTCCTCTGGACCGCCGTAGCCAACTTTTCCGCCTACCCGGAATGGAACCCCTTCGTTCGGTCCGCTCCACTCCCCCCCCCCCTCTTCCTCATAAAAAGACACCCCTACTAACCTCCCTCCCCCCCTCCAGCTCCGCAATCGTCACCAACGCTCTCGCCATCCCCCTCCCCGCACCCCAACAATGGCCCACCGAAAACGCCCGCCGTACGTACCATCCCAGAACAAAAAAAGATAACCCTCCCATTTCTTCAACTACACCAACTAACACCCCCCAACTCCCCAGTCTTCTTCCGCGTCCAGATCCCACCCCTCCCCCTCCCCGTCAACGCATCCACGCCGGACAACCCCGCGCACACGCAGACGTCGTTTGAGAACATCACGCACGTGCAGCCCACCCTTGGCCGCGTGGCGTGGAAGCTGCTCAGCCCGGACCTCGCGCTCGAGGCGGAGCGGTGGACGGCGGTGAGCGTGGCGGCGAGCGGGAACGCGCTGTACGAGAGCCGGGAAGTGTACCGCGGGGCGCTGGCGGGGGTGTTAGAGGGGCTGTATGGGGCGGGACTGCAGGCGGGGTTTGAGGCGCAGGCGGAGGCGTTGAGGGGGTTGTTGGAGAAGTGAGGTGAGGGCAGGGGGGTTCACGGCACGGCCATGGCTTTTTGAATCTCAGCGAAAGGCACGTCGGTAATGGAGGCTAAGAGCGATTCACAATATAAAAAAATAGAAATATTGGGTATAGACATCTTCAACGCCCCGCCCTCAACTCCCCCCACCCGTGATATACGGATTCCGCCCCGCAATCCCGTTGTTCACCGCCATCGCCAGCGCATACACGTCCGGGTACGCGCTCACCGTCGCCGGCTTGTCGTACGGCAGCACGACGCACTTGTCGCGGATCGCGTACGCGTCCATGTACAGCACGTTCGGGAACGACTCGGGCGTGAAGGCGTTGTACGCCTTGTCGAAGAGGTCGTCGTACACGCTCACGGCGAGGTTCATGATGGCCTTGTCGAAGTTCAGCACGTCCTCGGCCTGCTGTGTGAGGGTCCACGAGAGCAGGTGGAACGTGTCCTTGCGCGCGCCGTCGTCGGCGACGATGTTGCGGTTGTCCTTGACCTTCTGCAGCTGGTCGGCTTCCATGGTGGCGGCTGAGTTGGAGTCGGAGTACGAGTCGAACATGGGGAAGTTGGCGCTACTGAAGAAGCCCTGCGTGGCGTAGTTGCCGAGGGAGATGCCGTTGGGGAGCTGGTTGATGACGAATACGGACGGGCTGTTGCCGATGAAGTCGTTGAGGACTTTGGTGGTGTAGTCGGTGTTGCCGGGGTTGGGGTCGAGGACAAGGTTGTTGATTCCTTTCAGCTGGTCCCAGAGCCTGTTCCATTCGGCTTGGGTTAAGTCGGCGTAATTGGAGTCGGTGTTTAGAGTGTGAGAGAGGTTTATGATAATCATTTCATGATACTGAGCCGTGAATCTAGTTGAAAAGTCAGTGTGAAATCCCCAGTGGTGGACGTTCGTGACTTTACTTGTTCACAGCGCTGATTATATCCGCCAAAGACTGCCCATTTCCGCCGACCCAAACGCTTTCCACTTCCGAATAGTGCCCCGAGACAAAGTTTCCATCGGAAATTACAGGCCTTAGGTCGAAGAATCGGGATCCGTAGAGCAATTGGTTGTACATGTCCAAGTACTGGGCTTGGGTGTTCTCAAAGTTCGCGCCAACCGTTCCAGGGCTGTAGGAGCTCATACCCGCATCATGAGAGCCTGGCATGCAGATGTGTCTTAAGGTCCGATTGCCTATCGATCCTAAGCTCTGTTGCATCCAGTCGATCGGAGGTGCACCATTTGACCAAATCGCACCACTTTCGTCGGTGGACATAATCCAATTGACAGCAGAATTGTGTCTGAAGCCTTGATCGATTACGGACCCTTGCGGATTTGTTTTAGTCGACATCCCGTCTAAAGTGACGTAGAGATGGTAATCAGAAAGCTTTTTCGCTTGTATTTGGAAGGTGTTCGAGGTTCCAGCAAGCTTGTAATATGCCTCGCCAGCGTCGTCGCCAGTGGAGCCTTTTATGGCATACTCGACGTAGACTTTGCTTGACTTGCCTAGAGAGCGTTAAACGTGATGTTGGCAAGTCGTCTAGCTGCTGTAGAACACACCTGCGCTGATGGTAGGCCAATTCCAAGTGGACATTTGATATGAGTGCGATCCTGTCACAGTCCAGTCAAACGGCGAGCCGTTGACCAGCGTCATGTATCCTCCCCAGCCCATTCTGAAAGCAGAAAATTATATCACGCAGGGCCGTGCCCCGGAACAATGCGAGGAGTATGAAAAAGTGAGTGTGAGATTCTAACGACAGAAGACTAGGATTCAAGAAAGAGACACAGAGTGAGGGGCAGGGGATATATAAGAAGCTAGGTCTACCAAGCCACCGTGACTTCCAATTCAGCATGTGGAATGTAATCGTCTTTAAGTGCGAAGACCACGCGCGTAGCTTCATCAGGCCTCCCCTGCCGCGACACCACACGATTGGACCCCGGTTGATGAGACACTATGCCACAGCTAGTACCTGGATGGTGAGAAGGGCTTGGGGCGCAGCGGGGGTAATAATCCTTCATGGCGATCCACTGCGGTTGCAGTGCCGGCAGCATGAGGCTAAAAAGTGGAGGTTGCGATGTTTCATGTTTGGCAGAATGGCAGTTCCGGACTCCGAGAGGCTGTGGAAATCTTCCGTGTGTAGATAGAGCTGGCGGTGAGCGAAACGTCGCTCCAATAAGCCAGCATCGTTACCGCTGCCCAGCGCGGCGCATGAAGGCGGGCTGAAGGGGTTGTGTCGGCAGCGCTGGCTGGTATGAAGGGAGGCGATCAGATGCTCGGAGAGCCCGTTACAATAGTCGCTCAAGATTGCATAGATTAAACAGATAGATTAAGACAGGCCCAGCAACGAGTGAGGTGTCGTTGTGTCGTAAACACTCTAAGAGAGAAGGAGGAAGGTGGTGACGAGTGGACCCCTGAAAATCTCCCGGAGGTGTGGGCGAATTGCACAACGGCCGCTCCGCATCCACATCAACAACCTCTGCAGGGAGGGCTTCTGACCTTCCTCCCACGGCATTCAGCATCACACAACTAGCATCAGAGGCGCCATTTTACTCAGAGAGGGTATCGTGGATAAGAGCAGCCAGCCTTCTGCCACAACATGAAGAAAGAAGAGCTAAGTTGGAGGACAGGAGACAAGAAAAAGACATCAAAGTTCACGAAGAAAAGATATTAATAATGGTCTTCCTTCCCGTGTTCTCTCCCGAAGAGTCAAATCGACGATGTTCTACTTACTTATGTGCTATGGGCTTTGCCTAAGCCAGATCCTTATATCTATACTGCTTGCTAATAATCAAGGCAGAGGATCACGTAGATAGAAGTCTACATAGGAACTCAATTTCGTCACAACTTTTCCCCCGCACACCTGCTCATTTTCCTCCTGTTTAAACACTCTTAGCCGCATGATTGCCGGACTCTGTAGGTATACATTGAAATGCTTGATTACACATAGGCTTCTGGAGAAGAGAGAAGAATATTCATGCCTCGACGAGTTAGGCTGCAAGGCTCAGCCGCACGCATGGACGCCACAACGCGACAAGGCCCGGCCCGCTTCCCAAGGTCCACCTGCGTCTCCTCTCACCGCTCAGTTTTCATTCCAAGAGCCGCAGTGGCAGGCTTATTCAACAACTCCCATGTAGAATCTTGACCGACATGCAAGAGGATTACTACCATGTCCGGGATAATAGAGCGGGTTGCCTCTTCCGACATGGAAGAAGACCTGAGAGACTACCTTGACTCAGACTTCTATCCTCCAGGCAGCGATGCCCACATCTCCCAGCAATCCCTCAACAAAATTACCCAACTTCTCCAAGATGCCGTTCCCGGCTTTGCAACATCCCCTCGTCTCTACGTCGTTCTCTACAAAGCGGATATTCTTCACCAAGGGCACTTGTTCCTCTCACGCTCCTTGACGGACACCCACTTTCCCTTCACAAACAGCCTTCTCCCCAAAGAACTCGATCCCTCTGCACGCAGCAGATTCCTCCGCGCTCAATCTCTCGTCTTGACACCACGGTCTGAGCTCTCCAGTTGCGAAACCGGCCAACATGTTTACGCCGCCGCACAAAACCAGCTGCCCTTCCGAAAGTTGGAGACTCTCGGCACTGGAAATAGCAGGCAGGTTGAACTGGTAGAAAGCCACACTACAAAACGGCAGTATGCTCGAAAGTTAGTGCGGAGAGGCGTTTTTGGGCGTTTCCAATCCGATTTCTCCGCCTACTTGAACGAATTCAAGATTTTGCGACGGATACGGCATCGGCATATGGTTAGCATTGTAGGCTCGTATACGGACCCTACGAACGCAGCGCTTCTTATGAGTCCAGTCGCCGACTGCGACCTGTCACATTACCTGAAGCATCCTATATCGTCGAGGGGGTATCAAGGTACATTAAAGACATTCTTCGGTTGTCTGGCTACAGCTTTGGGCTATCTCCATGGATTTGATATCAGGCATAAGGACATCAAGCCAAGCAATATTCTCATCTACAACGGAGATGTATTGCTAACCGATTTTAGAATATCAAGAGATTGTGATAATACAAGGGGCACCACCGAAGGGCCTACCCCAATGACACCCAAGTATGCAGCTCCAGAAGCAGCGGACTATGCACCCAGGAACTCCTCTTCGGATATTTGGTCGTTGGGATGCGTGTTCTTAGAAATGATCACTGTCGTCAAGGGTTTCGCGATGGTTGAACTGTCTGCACATATGTACGACCTCAGTACCACAGGAATCAGCCGGCAGTCCAGGAATGGGCCGAGAAGCTTCGAAAACACACTACATCGGACCCTGATAACTGTGCGCTCGATTGGATCCAAGAGATGATGCACGACAATCGGCACCTCCGTCCAACTGCTCATGGGGTCGCCATGCAAATCATCGCTCATCGCTCAGAAAACGCTCGCGCGGGAGAGTTTTGCGGATTGTGTTGCCGACACAAGGATGACCATATGGACGGCATGGATATTGATGGTGTCTTCGCCTCTCAACTCGAGGTTATAGATATCGAAACTTCGATTGAGACTACACTGCAGAGGCCGGTGGTTGTGCCGGAAGAATCAGGACTTGGCCATGAGCAAGTTGCAATGATTGATGATACATCGGAGTTAGACATTAAGAATACCGCTGAGCTTCTTCGGACAACCCCAAACGGCAGCAACTCGGACAAAGAGCGCAACAAGCGCAACGCTGAGAAGCGCAGCCAGACCATGACCGCTTGGTGGGCAGAGCGCAAAGCGCGCGCCGCTTAGAGCAAGGCCGCCGAAGCGCGACCCAGCGGCCACCAGCTCACCACGAATCAAGAACCCATGGGTGATGTTTCTGTCTTCACTGGAACTTCAACTCGGCGACACAATCATGCGATGAGGGTTATCTCTCGGGTTCTTCCTCCTGTTCCATTCCTCCAGCCCTCTCCTTTCGCTACTGGAGAGATGCTGCCTTCGCCTGACCCGAGCCACAATAGCTACAGCTCGTACTAGTCCGAGGCCGAGACGGTGGTGTTGCCTGACTACGGTATCAGGAGCGAAAGCGATAACGACAGCGGTGTGGATGTAGGCGCCAAGCATGGCCGTGAGCCTGACAGCGAGCCACTTACTGACTTATCGCTAAGCAACACCTCTATAGCAACTATTCAAGATCCGTCCCAGCAACCTCCCATCCTGCGCACGTCACGCTTTTTCATTCTTCACAGCAGTAACGAAGTCAACGTCGAAACCTCGGTAGCCCGTTCGGTTTGGACCTGCCACCGAAACATAAAGTCGAGACTAGACAATGCCTTCCGCCTTGCTAAAAGCCGAAATAGCTCTCAACCCATCTTCCTTATCTTTAGCATGGTCAGTTCGCGTAAGCTCTACAGCGTGGCAGAAATGGTCTCGACCGTAGATAAAGACGCCCCAGGATCGAAACGTTGGGTAGGTGATAGCTAGGCAGGACAATTTAAGGTGAAATGGTGGAGCATTACGCAGATCGCTTACGACGATGTAAAACACTTACCTCTCAAAGATGGGGTTTCGCATAGTTTTACGAGGGTCAACAACGGTGTGGAGATTGGACAGATGACCGGATTAGAGTTGATGAGGAGGTTTGGCATTGCAGTTGAGGGAGGCGACGACAGCGATCACAATGATGAGGATGACGACGATGATGATAGGATGGATATCAGTGTCGAACAACCTAACGGGTCACACTTTCGACACCGACGCGTTATAAGCAACAGCGAGAGGGACGCTGATACGTTGCTTTTAGGAGAGGACGAGGCTGAAGTCGCAAGCGGCCAAATTATGGTCGCCGGGGCTAGGATGAAGAATCTATTCTCTGGAAAGGGCGACAACGTCACGGTTACTCCCCTGACAGAGAAGAGAAGGGAACCAGGGAGGTCGACAAGAAAGCGTCAAAGGGACTCGACACCACCAGTTTCTCCCCCATATTTGGGCAGGAATGATGGATAGCAGTAAGACTTGAACAGCTTGACCATCAAATACTAATCGAGTCGACTTCGCAACTAGTTTTATAGAGCTGTTACTGTAGCTTGTAGCTTAATCATGTCCGTATTCACCGAGAAGCGATTGTGCGCTCATGAATAGCTCTCAATTGGACAGCCGCTCGGCATCGCTGCTGGGCATTGCTGCCCTCGATTCTGGATACTGTTTTGAAAGCCCTCTTCCACGGCTTTGAATCACCACTGTCTCAACGGTAACTATACCAAGTTGCATCCGTATGTATTGTTGACTAACCTCTTCTGTAGCTTCGATTCTTTGCTATGAGATTAGATTGTATACACCATTTTGTCATAGATCCAGGCTCACTTTTCTACGAGTGCGTGTAGTGCTTCAACGTACCGAGAGAATGTAGGGTGAAGTTCCACACTTCCAATCTGTATGCGCCCCTCTACCATCGTGTGACTGTCCAGAGTAGTTTTGCAAGCCTACTAGCCGTTCAAACTGCAGAATTTCTCTCTAATCAAGAATGTTGAAACTACCATGAGGCACTAGAAGTAGTGGTAAGAAAGCTTACGGAAAATTACGGCAAGACGCTTTGATATCACGTGATATCTCACTCGCTGCTTCATCCTCCCACATCTACAACTGTTTTACACTCTCTTTTGTATCAGCTCAATAGTACCAAGAACTAACAAGAAAACGAGGTAATTCGGAGTTCATCCGACTCGAAGCTACGCGAGGTCTCGCGGATGACTTCCCGCAATACCGATTATATTACTTTTCATTAGCGATAGTGTGGAGAAAAGCTTCGCTACCCATACGAGCTCCCATACTTTTACCAAAGCCCTTACTAAAAGGGTTCCGGCAACTATTCCTAGAGCAGGTGACGTCCTAGCATCATGCACGATGTCCTCAACTGGAACGTGGAGAATCAAGCCTTTTCTTTCTCCCCTGCACCGATGCCTCCGAAATGAAGTGCAATATCGAATCTGGATGTACCGGTATGGCAAGGACCACATGGCGGCGGAGAGAGGACATAAGAAGTCCCTGAAGCTTCCGCGCTGATCTCTCCGATCTGGTTGAGATCTACCCTGCATTTCTTTCTCCATCATGAAATCTCTCGCTATATCCGTCATCGCTGTACTGACTACTGTCGACGATGTCGCGGCTCGTTCAACGATTCAGCAGGTGTGGGCCAATGGAGTTGATGAGATACATGTATCTTAGACCAACTCACCGTATCTGGCGGCGGCTCAGCCAGTCCCGCGACTGTCAATTTCCCCGGCGCCTACTCAGCTAGCTATCCAGTTACCCTCATCAACATCCACGCCGTGCTATCCACCTACGTCGTGTCTAGTCCCGCTGTCTACAGCGGCGGGAGCAAGACGGTCGCGGGTAGCGGATGCAATAGTGTTGTAGCGACTAGGATCCCGAACACGACGCTGAAGACGTCGGCGTCGCCTGTGAGCACGAGTGTGTCAGGAGGCGGTGGGAATAGCGCGGGATGTACGGCTGTGAAGTATGATCAATGTGGTGGGGAGACGTTCAGCGGCTGTGCTACATGTGCTGTAAGTTTCCTCGTGAGAGAAAGGGGTTACTTTGACGACGCTGATATTTCTATATTCTGGGTTTACATGCGATGGAGTTTCGGCTCCTTATTACTACCAGTGTCAGTGAGGTATTCCTCGTAGTTCGTATGATATACTTTTGGACAGGGTGTGTGGGACCCCGACAGTGGAGGATTGAGCGCAAAGTTGAACGGAACGGCATCGATATAGGACCATAATAGTGTTTTAAACTATGTAGACTTACTCATCTAAGGTGGAATCCAGGTCGCTATGGGACTTTCATGAGCACTACAGGGTCTGGTTCGTGATCGCTTGGATGTCATATCTCGTCGAACTGTCCACGCTGTTATGAAGCGCCTCAAGCAATGGCAAGGAGGCGTCCAAAGAGCTCATTAGCGGGCGTGTTAGTGCCCATATTACCATCTGTAAAGGCTGCACTACAAGAAGACTCATTTCGTAGTGCTCGAGCGCCAACTTAGTAAAGCTCACTTCGTTGACTTATTGAGCTTTTCGTCCACAAGCCTCGAGACCATCTTCTCCAGAATTGCAAACTCTCCGCTTCCAGCCTTGTCTTCAAAGTAGCCTGCCACGCTCTTCTCCACGTATTTACCGACCATATCAACCTCCACGTTGACCTCCTCGCCCGGTTTCTTAGCCGCCGTGACTACACGTTCTTGTGTGTAGGCAATCAGCATCACCTCCCACCACCCTTCTGGACCGTCTTGAACTTGTGTGACCGTCAGGCTTGCTCCGTCCAAAGTGACATATCCCTTCTCCACGATGTATCGTAACACGGAAGGGTCCCGGGGCTTGAAGCGGAACGTAAGCGCATTGCCGTCCGATGTCACGGAGACTACTGAAGCGACAGTGTCTACGTGTCCCTGCACAAAGTGTCCGCCCATACGCGTCGTCGAAGCTACTGCGCGCTCGAGATTGACCTTGGAGCCCTTCTTCAAAGAACCCAGGTTTGTACGGCGGAGAGTTTCGGGAGCGACGCCGACTTTGAAAGAGGATTTCTCGAACTCGGTGATCGTGAGGCAAGTGCCTGTGATATTGTCAGGACCCAATTAAGAATGAACAGTATGCCGCCCACCATTCACGCTTATGCTATCGCCTAGATTCGCATCTTCAAGAATGTCCTGCGCGTTCGCAATAGTCAACGAGGTCCCGCCGCCTCCGCTGGCTGTCTGGTCAAGCTCCTCGAGCGCCGAAACAGCTGTATGCAGTTAGCTAAGCCCAGGACCAAGCGTATGCGTTGCTCAAAAGCACTTACTTCCTAGAATTTCGACGATTCCAGTAAACATGGTGGTGAGCCGGCGATGTGCGGTAAAATTGGTGAGGGAGAGATGCGGGCCTCGGTGATCGTCATTGTTTGGAGGGGCTTTTAGCTCTGCTATTTCCGAGTCATAGTCGGGGACCCTCTGTCTTTCTTGCCAGTTCTCTCTTTTGCAACATTTTTTATCAAAGCAGATATGCTATTGAATACACTCTCTAGATCGTCAAGAAGCCAATTGAGGGCGCAATGGAGCCTCGCTTCTTTCAAGCGCCAGCGCAGTGCTCCCTGGAGAGGCATAGCTGCGGTAGCTGATGCGCCTGATACATCCACTCTTCCCCTGGCGGGCATAAAAGTTCTGGATATGACAAGAGTCTTGGCTGGTGTGAGTGGCAGAAGCTTGTAGCAAGAGCTTGTCCTGATTTTTGAATCTAGCCATATTGCACGCAGATTCTAGGAGACCTTGGGTATGCGACGGCGGACCCTGTATGAACCAACTCCTCCGAGGTTGGCAGACAAAAGAGGTGTTATTGACAGTTGTACTAGCGCAAACATTATCAAAATAGAGCATCCAACACGTGGAGACGATACTAGAGCTTGGGGGCCACCGTATGCGAAGCACATAAAGGGAGACCATGTGGATGGGCCTGGGGAGAGCGCCTACTTCCTGGCGGTATGAATCGCACAATTCTTGTGAAAATGAAAACTGACATTGCTTCTAGGTCAATCGAAACAAGAAGTCTTTGGGTCTCTCATTTGCGCATCCGTCTGGGGTAGAAATACTTCACAAATTGGCCAGGGAATGTGACGTCCTAGTCGAGAACTACATACCTGGCGCGCTGAAGAAATATGGCATGGATTTCGAGTCGTTGTCGAAAATCAACCCAGCATTGATCTACGCAAGCATAACGGGCTATGGGCAGACAGGCCCATACAGTAACCGTGCGGGATACGACGTTATGGTAGAAGCGTGAGTTGTCTCATATCAGCTAGAGCGGGCCCTTTACTAAAGACTGTATAGGGAAATGGGCTTGATGCATATCACTGGCGAACGAGATGGACCACCTGTGAAAGTTGGCGTTGCCGTCACAGACCTGACCACCGGATTGTACACTTCGAACTCGATCATGGCAGCGTTGCTGGGACGAGCAAAGACCGGGAAAGGACAGCATATTGACGTGGCGTTGAGTGATTGCCAGGTCGCCACGCTTGCCAACATTGCGAGTTCGGCACTGATTAGTGGCAAGAAGGATTCTGGTCGTTGGGGAACCGCACATCGTAAGTTAAGCTATTCATTGTCTTTGATCTCAATTCTAACAACACTCAGCGTCAATCGTTCCATACAAAGCATTCAAAACAGCCGATGGTGACATCCTCATCGGCGGCGGCAATGATCGACTGTATGGGGTTCTTTGCACCAAGATTGGCAAACCAGAGTGGACAACCGATGACCGCTTCATCACGAACGCTGTGAGAGTGAAGAATAGGGTTGTCTTAGAAGGTCTGATCGAAGAAGAGACCAAGAAGAGGACCACGCAAGAGTGGCTAGATGTTCTTGAGGGCTCTGGAATGCCGTACGCTGCTATTAACGACATTCAAGCAACCCTAAAACACGAGCATGGTAAGCTCTCACGCTTATTCTGCCAAAGCTGCCGTGGTACTAATGCGACCATAGTGCTTGCTCGAGATATGGTCAAAGAAGTGGACCATCCTACTTGCGGCCCGATGAAGCTGGTCAATACCCCAGTCAAATACTCGTTCTCGAAACCCAGCATAAGAAGTGCACCGCCCACACTTGGACAGCATACAGATGAGGTGCTGAAAGACCTAGTGGGTTTATCTGAGAGTGATATCGAGAGTTTGCGAAATGATGGAGTTGTTGCATGATGGGTAGTCAGAAAACATGCCTGTTATATATAGAACTTAGCCACATAAAGTATATCTCACGAAGTCTTGCGCTACGTTTCAATACTTTTTTACCACGCTTGAAACACACCAATTTATCTTTCGTGAAGAAGCAGAGGCAGGGGGTGTTCATGGCTTAGTCATCGCGCTGGGGCCGTTTCTGTAGAGCTGCTGCTCGCTGCGGAGATCCCCCAACCACGCCGGCCATCATTTGCAACACATCTTCTGGAACTCTCGTGAATACAGTGCACATGGTCGCCTGCGAAGGACAAATCTAAGCATGTCGGTTTCGCAACCCCCCGCACCACCAGTCGGTCCCAATCCCACCGCGGACTCGATTGCGGCCGTCCCCTCTGCGACGACAACGCAAGCTCCCGCGAAGCAGACAGACACCAATGTTGCTTCCATTCCAGCAAAGCCGTGGCAATCCTCAATGCAGCATGGTTCTCACAACAGCCCTACTGGCCCGGCTTTTCATCAGTTCTCTGCGTCGACGGAGGAGATTATCAAGCGCGTGAGCGCCAACGCCTCAGCCCGCGCTGGGACACCGGGATATCAAGCAGCGAGAGAACAGGTGCTGCAGAAGATAGTCACCAGCGACAAATTCCCAACGCCGTCGCCAATTTCAGGTGCCAGCAAGCGAGGAAGAGGAGGCGCAAAGAGTGGTACTCCTACTGGATTCAAGAGCGATGTTGGCGCAAGCAGCGCTACACCCCAACCAATGTCAACACCCGTATCGGGAAGAGGAAGGGGCGGCGGCAGAGGAAGAGGCAGAGGGGGTGGCAGAGGTGGAAAGCGAAAGCGGGCAGATAGTGACGACAGCGAGGTAAGCTATCCGGAATCGCTTTGTAGGCTTGAGGAGATCGCTAACATGCGGCACTGACGAAGAACGACTCCGATATCTCATCTTCATACACGCCACTACCTACGCAGACTAAGTCTGGGCGCAATGTGAATAAACCGACCCAGTTCGTGCCCACATTGCCATCCCCCTCAACTGGAACAAAACGGCGGCGCCCGAACAAGAAGAGCGCTGAAGCCGCACTTTGTAAAGTATGTCACCGTGGGACCAGTCCTACTAACAACATGATTGTGTTCTGTGATGGATGCAACACCGCCTATCATCAGTATTGTCACGACCCACCCATCGAGATGGAAGTTGTCCAAATAACCGAGAAGGAATGGCTCTGTAGCCCCTGCACTCGGTCAAAGCAGAGTGCCGTTGAGGGAATGGATGGCCTCGTCGCGGGAGAATATTTGACTTTAGAGGAGGTGAGTACACACGCTTTTTGCTCCTGTAATTTTGACCCCAATCTAACGTTCATCGACTTTGCAGAAACGTACGTACTTGAGAACGTTGACCCCATCAGCTTTGGTCTCTCTTCTGTTACATTCAAACATAATTCATCCCACTCTCCCAATATTTGCTCCGGACGCCCGATCTATTATCGAGAATTCGACTCAAGCTCAATCAAACGCGATTCACACTGGCCTGAGCCCACAAGGGGTCAATGGTCACCAGTCAACCATAGGCAAATCTCGCCCTACTGGTACTCCAGGCCTATCGACAACAAATGAAAATTCTGACCTGGACCCAGCAGAGGCCCAGCTACAAGCAGAGAGTCAGCCCCTCGTAAGGGTTCCTGTTGCCCAGGAAGTCGAACCAGAGCCATATGACGGCTATGACACAGACCCGCCAGCACACTATCCCAAGGCTGGTAACGGTCTAGCGCGTACCATGCGCCCAGAGAGCGAAGATCTTCAATGGCTCGTCGATGACAATTTCGAAGTCTTCAATCACAACTGGAAGGGGGAGAATGAGACTGGCGCTGCGAGTGGTGGTCTGCAGGCATCGAACGGGGTCGAGGGGACTGGTGTTGCGCCGAGCGTGGGAGCAGGGGCAAAAGTTGCAAACAATGGATCTCAATGAAGCTCTCGGAGCTCATACAAGCTTGGGCCATGGGACTTGGGAGCAGTCATGGGTTTCATATGCGGCCCTTCCGCTGGTGTTTGGGGTCGGTTTTGGGGTGGATCATAATGGTACTCACTTGGTGGTTTTTCCATGGTTGTCTCTAATTCAATGAACAAGACACCGACTACTACTGTTAATGGAGCAAGCTATCATATGTCGCTTTGTTGAAACTTTCGAATCTCCTGTGGGGTGTCTGTTGAGTTCAGCCGTCGGTTCCTACAGTCCCTTCCCATAGATATCCGTACATTTTCTTGCCACTGTCTATAGAAACCGAGGGCAGCGGATAGAATATCCCAATCTGCATACACCCTGATGACGCTGTCTGGTCCCTTTGCTCTAGCTATATCATTGGATGCAGCAGATTAAGGACTGGATTTGCAGATTGACCAAATTGTCACAACTATGCTTCGAACCAATACCTGAGCTATACACGTGATCCTATAGGGGTTTTAACACTGGCTGAGACTCTCGGCTCGTGATAGAATCCGTAGTGCGGAAGAGGTCTATTCTTGAAGCCGCCTCTGGCCAGCTCCGATCAAAAAGTTCGGCGTTCGAACTTTGAATAATCAGATATTCACGCCACAACATTAGCTGAACTTTCTCATATATTCTCTGCTCACCTCCACAAAGCTTTTCTTCGCAGTTCCTTCCGCGACTCCACTGGACTTCATCTTCTTGACGTCCCGCCCCTCTCAGTCCCACAACTCCCACAACTCCCACAACTCCCCCACCTCCGCGACATACGCACTATGGCGGAGGACGCGGCTGCTCCACGGAAGTGCCTGAGCAAAGACTGCGAGAACGATGCCAGCTCGCTACAATGCCCCACGTGCCAGAAACTGGGAAAGGAATCCTTCTTCTGCTCGCAAGACTGCTTCAAACGAAACTGGGTACATAGTAAGAACAGCCTAGTTAGAGGCCCGAGGAATACTAACTGAGTCCACAGGGCGATCATAAGACAGTTCACAAGTCACAAAGTAATCCTCTCCGTAACTTCATCCCACCAAAAGTTGTCTCTAAACCCGACCCAGCAACCGGCCAATACAATCCCTTCCCTACGTTCCCCTACACTGGAAGCCTGAGACCAGTATACCCTTTGTCGCCACGGCGGGAAGTCCCCAAGAAGATCCAGCACCCCGACTATGCAAAGGATGGAATACCGCGCTCTGAGCAGGTGTTTGTTGGGAGGAACAAGATCGCAATCCTGGACAAGAAGCAGCAAGAGGGCATGCGCAAGGTGTGCAGGCTAGCACGAGAGGTTCTCGACATCGCGGCGAAGGAAGCGAGGCCCGGCGTAAGCACCGACTATATAGACGAGATTGTTCACAAGGCGTGTTTGGAGAGAGACGTAAGTATTTGCTCGCCCAGAGCATTGCTCGAATGTCGTGAGCTAATGATGGGAATCACAGTCATATCCCTCGCCGCTAAACTACTGTCATTTCCCCAAATCTGTCTGCACGTCTGTAAACGAAATCATCTGCCATGGTATACCAGATCAAAGGATTCTGCGAGATGGCGATATACTCAACATAGACGTTACGCTATACCATGGCGGATTCCACGGCGACTTGAATGAGACATACTACATAGGTTCCAAAGCAGAGGCGAATCCGGATGCCGTGCGTGTCACAGAATGTGCCAGGGACACTCTGGACGCAGCGATTAAGATCGTGAAACCTGGCATGCTATTCCGGGACCCAGGAAACGTGATTGAAAAGCTTGCGAAAGAGCGGAAATGCAGTGTAATCAAGACTTATTGTGGACACGGAATCAACCAGCTATTTCACACCGCACCCAACGTGCCGCATTATGCAAAGAACAAGGCTGTTGGGCAAGCAAAACCGGGCATGTGCTTTACCATTGAGCCCATGATCTCGTTGGGTACGCACAAAGACAAGACATGGCCTGATGACTGGACGAGTGCTACTCAGGATGGTTCTCTGACTGCTCAATTCGGTGAGTTGAAACGCGTCAGATCCCCGCCATCACTGAAACGCAATGCTAATCGCGCGTCTAGAACATACGCTCTTGGTGACGGATGATGGAGTAGAGGTCTTGACTGCACGACTACCGGATTCGCCTGGGGGAGCCATCCAGACGCCAGCTGTTACGAATGGAGATGATGCAACGCCAGCGGGCACTGAATCATGATCTTTTCGATCTGGAGAGTAGGGAGGCATCATATTGTACTATGCCTCTTATGCAGGCGACGACCTACCGCGACGGGGAACCCAATTATCTGATAGGCCTGCCAGCTTTATGACTCCAGTCTTTAAGCACTAGAGATCTTCTACGTAGCCTCCCTTAACTAATCTAGTTCTCGGCATCGATCGTCCCAAGGTTCAAACTGCCTATCAGTTTGGACCCTACAACGGGAGCTGAACTCAATTGAGATACATCTACAATGCCTCGTCATTGAAATCCGTACACTTTACCGCTGTGTGAGGAGCTTTATAGTATTTCAGCATTCCGAATAAGAGAGGCGTCCGGCATTTTAAGCGACTACTCAACTTGCGAAGCTGCCTCAAGACAGTGCCAACAGGGTGTACGCAGATGGGAAGTGTATCCGCTGCTGCCGGTTTCTATTAGGATATTAGAGCCCCCCAGACAGTGGTAGGAAAGTGTACGGATATCTATGCCAAGGCACTGTAGGTTGGCCAGAGTCTTGATGAAGTAGTGAATTACAGTGCCTCCACATTCCTTATGTGTATACCTACCCACCACTATCTGAGGTCCTTCGGTGCATAGAGCTCTAGGTATGCAAATCTAGAGAGCGTGAATCGAAGAGATTTCAATTACTTCTAATCGAAGTGTGCTGTCGCTATCTAGCAATCCTAGATGTCTGGAAGAGAGGCCTAAACCGGCGGCAACAATGCCTCTGAGTTGGCTGCTGGCGGGGCGGAAACTCCTCCAGTACTAGCGAGAAAACGGGTCTGTGCAAGACCACTTCCCAACGAACGTCATCTCGAAACAATCTGCAGCCTGCCCTCCCGTGACAACAGGACAGCTTTCTCCACAAATCCTTACTCCATTATCCCGCCTTGTATCTTTCGCGCATCGAACCGCTCCCCTCTCAGCGCGCCAAAGTACATCGTGCTTCTACAGCCCGGACCAACAACACTCCCCCGTCTAGCCTGATAGCGCTCGCCGCCCGCACGACCTCCATCGTACTCGAATTCCGTCCCAAGCCTCACGAGCGCAGATTCCACTTCGACGCCAGCCTCAAATATACTAAGAACCTCGCCTTGTCCGAAATTGTGCTCTCACAGCACACGACACCTTCACAATGTCTGGAGAAGCATGGCTATATCTCTTGGCCGTCCTGATAAATGCCGTCAACCTGTTCCTCCAGGTGTTCTTCACCATAATGTACAGCGACTTGGAATGGTAAGCTTCTACTCCTTCCGCCTCAGCGCGCAAATGTCGCCGAAATTCGGCATTTCCGGCTTGTGCCTGGCCTTTGCTACCCTCTTGTAATGCCCCGCTCACCATTCGACAGTGACTACATCAACCCTATCGACCTTTGCAACCGCCTCAACACCTACATTGTCCCCGAAGCCGCCGTCCACGCTTTCCTCACGTTCCTGTTCCTCATCAACGGATACTGGCTTGCTATCTTGCTCAATCTTCCTCTTCTGGCCTTCAACGCAAAGAAGTACGCATATACAGGATGGGGAACTGGTCGTGACCGCTCGGAATTGAAGCTAATTTGGGCTAGGATATTCGAGAACCAGCACTTGCTGGACGCGACAGAAATCTTCAGGAAACTGAATGTGCATAAGAAGGTCAGTCTGCTTTCCAATTTACTGACGCTTGTTTGGAGTATTGGGTTTTCCCAGCCTCTCTCCCCTCGTCTTTTTCTGTCATTTTTTTTAAGCAAACTTGCACTTCATCGCCGAACTCTCGTCAGGTGTGTATTTTAGCCAAGGACGCTGCTAATCTTGATCCAGGAATCTTTCATTAAGCTGGGTTTCCACTTAGTCATGTTCTTCTTCTATCTCTACAGCATGATCGTCGCCCTCATCCGCGACGAATCCCAGTGACTGCGGAACGAAACTGCCAAGAACATGCACCATGGACGAAAGGGATCCTATTGAGATACCACAAGTCGGAGTAGCCATCGTTTATATGGGTCGAAATGTCAAGGAACGGGACTATGTGTACAGAGGTGACCCTTGTGGGTCGGGTATGGTAACTGGTTGGTCTGGGACGCACGGCCTTTACCGGCGTTGTGAGATGTCTGACAAGAGACGACAAGTCTTGGAGCGGGGTGGTGGAGTCGAGGTTTTATTATTCCATGATACCGTGCTTCTCGCTGTAGATTTGCATCAAGCCATGTCGTTAATGCAGCGTTTGGTTTCCAACATAATGATAAACTTATTTCATGTCTCGTGACATTTCACCCTGACTATCAATCTCGGCTTCAATCAAGAAGTCGAACTTCAAGCTTAACTGTATATGAACCAGGGACTCCGCAAGAGTAGAAAGCTTATCTTTGTACCGTCCAGTTTGACAAGAGGAATCCCAAACCCTCACCATGCCCGGATTAAAGTATGGCCGATACATAGAGTTTCACCGAGCTGTGTCATTTTTCTGACCTGCACTTCACAACTCTACCACCTAACGATCTTTCAACCTTACCAGAGGCTAGACTACCGGCAGCCGTCCCGCTTGTGTCTGAACAGGAACAGGGCGGTTTAACCACAGCCACTCCCCGCGTAACAGACCTCATCCTTCCAACCTTCCAGCATGAATACTTCAACGAAGGGACGCGTGCCAACTGGCTACGCCGAAGAAACATTCCTGAGCGAAGCTACCTTCCGTGCTGCCCACCGATCCATCGAAATCAACCCCTCTTCAAACCCTAAGAAGCGAAAGCGTGAAGGGAAAGGCGACCCGGGCTCGGTCTTTGGCGCGTCCGCATACAAGGGTCCATGGGCAAAATTTGAGCAGGAGAAGCCAGATGCGGCCTCGGACGAGGAATATGGAGAAGATGAAGAGGTGGAGGTCGTCTATGAGGAAGATGAGATCGAGGAGCAGCCCGAGGCGCCAGCATCGAAGCTGGGCACCGCGTACGGCGATGCTTTGGGCGAGAAGGAGACGAGCGAGTTTGTGGGGAGCCAGCAGTATGATTATCAAGGACGGACATATATGCATGTTCCCACGGGTATGTCGCTATTTTCTCCCGAATGCGCTTGCGACAGATATGCTAATCTTACTTGTTACAGACTTGGATATCAACTTGCGAGGCGACCGAGAAGGCATCAAGAACTTCATACCGAAGAAACTGCTACACAACTTCAAATACCACACCAAGTCTATCACACAGCTGCGGTTCTTCCCAGACAGCGGGCATCTCCTGTTGTCTGCCTCTGCGGATAACAAGATCGCTTTATGGGACGTCTACCACGATCGTGAGCTGTTAAGGACGTTCTCCGGCCATACGAAGTCTGTCAACGACATTGATTTCAACCCTTCTGGAACGCAATTCCTGTCGGCTAGTTATGATCGATACATGAAGCTTTGGGATACCGAGACGGGCAAATGTCTGAACAAGTTTACGTCTGGGAAGACACCACATGTTGTGCGATTCAACCCTAGTATGCCTAATGAGTTCCTGGCTGGTATGAGCGACAAGAAGATCCTTCAGTATGACGTTCGGAGTGGAGATCTGGTTCAGGAATATGATCATCACTTGGGTCCTGTCAATACTATTACCTTCTGCGACGAGGTACGCTCATTTAGAGTTCTTTATCTTTACTTTTGCTAACCTAATCAGGACCGTCGATTCATCACAACATCCGATGACAAGTCTCTGCGGGCTTGGGAATATGGTATTCCGGTTCCTATCAAGTTCATCGCCGAGCCATACATGTACAGTATGGTGCGAAGTGCCACGCATCCGTCTGGCAAATACGCTGCATTTCAAAGCTCCGATAACCAGATCGTGGTCTACGCCGCCTCAGACCGTTTTAGGCAGAACCGCAAGAAGAGCTTCCGGGGTCACAATGTTTCCGGCTATGCGCCTGATGTTGCAATCAGTCCCGATGGCCAATTCGTCGCTAGCGGTGACAGTGGAGGATACGTCTGCTTCTGGGACTGGAAGACGTGTAAGATGTGGCATAAAATCCAGGCGAGCGATGCGCCGCTTCTGGCAGTGCAATGGCATCCACGAGAGACGTCGAAGGTGATCACAGGTGATCTCAACGGGGCTATCAAGTACTGGGATTAAGCGATGACAAAGGTCTGGAGGTTAGATCAGTACCAGGACAATAGTCTGCGTATACCGATCTACCATTGCGGAGGTGCTTCAAATATCAAATAAAGAGAGGCACTACGCCTAATTAGGCATATTACAGAGGTCAGTGAATGTCTGGACTCGTGCTTCCCGAGGTGTCGCCTACCAGTTAAAAGTGTTCGCTCAAATGAGGCGACTAAATTCAAGGGTTCTAGTCATCTTTATCTGTTGACTGGAAAGACGTGGCGCAGCCTTAAGTTCAGCCCAAAGTGAGGCGGAGCAGGCGTCATTGTACCAAGTAGCATATACATATAAATATCTACGCTTCTTGCTCCTCATGACGAAATTCGCATTTCTATTGAACTTGGGAAGCATGCAAGTCCAACTTCTCGGCTTCTCGCTAAACGACTGTGTATCAATGTTGATGCCTGGAGGTTGTCGCGCTGTCTTCTGCTCTTGAGCGGCTGCGGCCAATCCCCAGCGCGTCCCCATTGAGCTCTTGGAACCTCTAAATGGGGGATAATTAGTCACTCATCAAGCGGTGTGGCATTCTACTCGCTAAGGAAAGCATCTAAGTACAACCCTTGAATCTCTTCGTCTATTCTCAGATCGTCCCATCCAATCAGTCTTGATCCCAATTTCCACTTCGAAGCATCATTCCAAAACATCACTCTCTCTTGACACGACATGTCTTTCTCTCAGTCTGCTTGTAGCTTGATGCTGCAAGCTATGTTCACATTAACCTGATGCATTCCATTGTTGTTATAATAGTTGCACCTGGGCCAGTGCCTGCCTTCTGAATCGACACCCGAGTCGCCAGCATACACGTTGGGGGCCAAAATGAACGCACGATGTGACTTTGATGGAGAAAATTGAAATGGAATGGCTACGGGCCTGCCGGGCTAGGGGGTTTTTGTGATGGCTGCATATGCACCAAGCACGACGCCCTACTGCCATTGGCCTTCCCTGTCGCCGCCTGGTGGAACACGTCAATCCTCCATCGACCAGAAGCCGCAAGGCCTACCGCCAGCCTGAATGACTGTAATCAAACAAGCCCTCTGAATACACGCGCGTCTCGCTCCTCCTGTTTTTCTCTGCCAGACCATGTGTGTGCACTCACTTCATTCTGCCTACTGAACGCTCAGAGTCACGCGACCCACGATGGACTGGAGGCTGCTCGATTATGCCAAAGACGCCGAGGACGTTGCGGCCGGCCTTCAAGTCTTCCTGGACGAGATTCCGCATTATGGCAAAGACATCACTGGAAACATTGCCGAGCTCTTTGCCATAAGCGCAGCCCTCCGTCACCTGGACGAAAGCCTGGATCTTTCTCGCTATGGGAAGTATGTGGGCAGTATTGTTGCCGAGCTCAATCTCGTGATTCCAAGTCTCAGATACACGCTCGATGACATTCGTAACATGTTTGGGAAGTCAAAGCGCGACAGCCGCCAGCATCCCGGAGCCTTTCCAGGCACTCCCCAGTACGCCATGATATGGGAAGACCTCAATGTAGATCTGAAGGAGCAAGGCATAGCTCTTCCTGCACGCCTTGAGATGTACCGCGTCTTTCTACAGGGTCTATTTGATATATTGAGAGGGTTAGCTTAATTCTCACCGTCAATCGGCCACAGAGATGCTGACCAACAAAAGCGACCCGATAGACCCAGACATTGAGCGTATACAGGCTCGGCTGAGTCGCCTTCTAGTGAGACAAGAGCCAGTAGACTCGTACTTCGACAGGTTATCCGTCGATCCTCGTGGTATGCATTCATTTACGTCTATTCGCTTCAACTTCAAAATTGTAGAGACCGACAATTGCTCGCGGAATCTGTACATTCCGGGAACTGACAACTACAGATTCTCGTCCCCATATGCCTCGAACCCAGTCGACTTCTAGGCCTCGAACCCCATCAACTACTAGACCTCAAATGGGTAGATTCTCAACATACCCAGCACCCGCTCCTTATCCATCGCATCCCCAGTCTCCAATATACGGCGAGAGGGTTCCCCACTCTCCAATATACGGCGAGAGGATTCCCCACTCTCCAATATATGGCGAGAGGATGCCATATATTCCCCCACCTGTACCGGAGTTACCGCACTCTCCAACGTACTCAAACGCCTCTTCAATGACGTTCTCTACTGATTCGAGCAGCGGCTCGGCACACTGGGCCAGCAAGATATTTGATGGCCAACACTCGTCTACACCATTCCGAATACTTGGACAATCGTAAGCTAACCCAGAGTCAATATGACAGAAGGCAGACTAACATGATCAGGACCAAATGCCTTGGAAGAGACGAGCCCGGTGCCATTCGCAGACTCCTTGAGGACGGCTTTATCAAAGTTCTTGAACTGTAAGTTCAGACTGGCATTTCCTATTTGTGTCGCTAATGCAATACAGTCCGTTCGAGGCGACAGACGTCTGGGTCAGATTGTATTGGAGATCATCGGACGAACGTGCCAGGATTCTATTCCTGACATTGGACCAGGCCCACAAGAAAGTCTCGTACTGCATTCCTTTGACGGCCTTGAAGCTTCTACGAACCGAGTCTTGTTTACAGCTTTGTCGCGTGAACCGCGCCGATGGTAAACTCGACCTCTGGGCCAATCTTAGATTCACCCTTTACGAGAGTAAGTGATATCCAAGGTACTAGTGAGCAAGTCTGACTCATTCGTAGGAATGGTGCTATTCTATTGTACAGCCATCGCAATGAAACGCCAAGATAGAGTTCAGACGCCACAGGGGCTGGAGGATTTCTTCCAGCCTGGCGAAAAGATAGAGTTCAGCGGGTAAGTCATTTAGAGCACGGAATATGGCCAGAGTCTGACAATGCATAGTGAGATCCAGGATGACAACTACCTTCACGCGTTCCGCGTCCTCCGAGATCGAGATTCCGGCTGCGTCAGGTTCGAGACGACTGCTCGACGTGGAGCGATGAAGACGATTCCGATCTGGACCGCCTTCGTCACGCAATACATTGGGTCGAAGTCTTGGATGCGGCGTGTGGGCTCGAGTACTGTGCAATTGCGAGAGCTTCATCCGTATGTGTTCTGCGACGGGTACAAGCCGCCAAGAGGAGCTTCGGGGAGGTTTGAGTTGACCTTCACCAACTCCGAGGGTATGTCTCCCTGTATTCCACTAATTAGGCTGTCTTGGTACTAATTGCGCCACTAGACGCGCAAGATTTTGTTGCCATGTTCCCCTTGATCAGGACGAGATAACGACTTACGATGATGATAATGACGGTGTACGACGCTCACGGCAGAATCTAACATTGACGCGAACACGATCTGAATCATGGAGGGTACCCTTTTTCTGCGAAGATACCCTCTTCTGTTTGATAAAAGCACTCTGCTTCTGCTTGTATCTGGGTTCTTCTTAGCCGCATCGTTCTTCTCCATGCAACAATTGGCAGCAGCAGTTATTTCCCGCGGGTGGCATAATCGCAGGATAGCTTGAAAGTGTGGCTATGCCTGTTCTCTTGTGATGAGATTGGATGCTTTCGTTGAGTGAAATGGCCATTTCAGCATGTATTTCCTTTCTTAGTAGGGACACTCTGCTCAATACATAGCCAGAATGATGCTCCGCCGGACTCTGCCATCTCGTGCGCCATGTGACTTGCAGCTATATAAGACGTAAATACGTGATATTGTTGGCTGGGCAGAGTTTCAACAGCTGAGGGGCACTTGAAAGTGTCGACTTGCAGCAAGCACAGGAACATTCATTCACAGATGTCAGCACCCTCCTCTCCCGCTGCTTGCTGTAAATCGTCCTGGCTAATCGATAAATGCTGCCAGCTGGACCCCTTCATTCGTCACCGCCGGCGATTCGTGGCGTACCACGCTGATTGGCTGGCGGGCGCTTTTCCGAGACGAGGTGGGATTTTTTCTACTTCAGGATTCCTCGCGCTTCAACACCAACCACGCCCCTCTCCCTCCATACCCCCCAGAATTCCATATTCTGCTTCTCCATATGGCGAACAACGCTGTATCCTCCCAGCCGCCGCTCAAGGGCCCGGACCGGATGGCCGGCCTCGAGCACTCGGAAGCGCATTACTTCAACAGGTGCGGCACCCTGCCCGAACTTGCCCGCTACGCAACTGCTAACCTCTGGTCTTTCTAGCTACAATCATCATGGTCGGTCGCGCGACTTCTACTGTTGAGAGTGTGTACTAATGCGCCCTCTCAGGTATTCACGAAGAAATGTTGGTGTGTACAACCCGCACGATGCTGTGTCCAGCCTGGCCAGCACACCACACTCGGCGAGAACCACTGCTAACAGTTTGTGCTTCTTGCTACTAGAAAGACGAAGTGCGAACCAGATCTTATAGGGACTCGATATACCAGAACAGGCACCTGTTCAAGGACAAGGTCGTCCTCGATGTCGGATGCGGTACCGCCATTCTCAGCATGTGAGCAATCCCTTCCCGCGCAGCTTGCCTACTATATGTAAGGCCCACGACTAACGTTCCTGCGACGCTAGGTTTGCTGTCAAAGCCGGTGCGAAGCATGTTATCGGCGTAGACATGTCGACCATAATCGAGAAGGCCAAGGAAATAGTTGAGCGCAACGGCATGACCAGCAAAATCACCTTGTTGCAGGGCAAGATGGAGGAGGTCGATCTTCCCTTCCCCAAGGTCGACATCATAATCTCTGAGTGGATGGGCTACTTCTTGCTGTACGAGAGCATGTTGGACACCGTGCTTTACGCACGAGACAAGTACCTAGTCAAGGATGGCCTGATCTTCCCGGACAAGGCCACCATATTCATGGCTGGCATTGAGGATGGCGAATATAAAGAGGAGAAGATTGGATGTAAGTGGATTTTATTCATGAATCTGGCTTTCACTAATTTCTGCAGTCTGGGACAACGTGTGGGGTTTCGACTACACACCACTCAAGGCGACTGCGATGACCGAGCCCCTTGTTGACACCGTCGACATCAAGGCCGTTGTTACAGACCCCGCTGCCATCATCACGCTGGATCTCTACACCGTCCAGCCCGCGGACCTCGCCTTCAGCCTCCCCTTCTCCCTGAATGTTCGCCGAAACGACTTCGTGCACGCCTTGATCGCCTGGTTCGATATCGAGTTCTCCGCTTGCCACAAACCTATCCGCTTCTCCACGGGCCCGCACACAAAATACACCCACTGGAAACAGACCGTCTTTTACCTCCCCGACATGCTCACCGTCGAGGCCGGCGAGACGATAACAGGAGTGCTCAGCAACAAGCCCAACGAAAAGAACAAGCGTGATCTGGACATCAAGATCGAGTACAAGCTGGATGCAAACGACATGCATCGGCAGGCGGCAGGAGAGGGCTCGTATAAGATGTGCTGAGATCTTCTCGCCTCTGTTGCCCCTTACCTTACTGATAGCTTCTTGATTTCTCTGCTAGCATTAGAGAGATGATTTGGTTAAAATTTGGCGTTGAACTGGGCTTGACTTTGGGTCACGGCCTGTGTGCAGGTCTACGAAGGGCATGGAATGATTCGGATTGATACGCCATGGCAGCAGAGCATGCGGCATGACGGACGAGGAGTTATGACTGAGACCAGGTGTAAAAATGCTCCAAGGTTGTCGAGATTTATGCTCTTACGGCCGTGGTGGACGATATCATCCGTTATGAGGCACATTTGCCTGTCCTGCAAATAGAGAATCACATCGTTCCGGTACTATCAAGGTTTTGTGGTGATGTTAATTTTGCCAGTACACATTGGGGCACTGGCTAAGACTACTCTCGAAGCCTGGAGGCTCTTTCTCGGCTCATGGTATTCAGAGTTTGCCATAATCCGACTTCCAAATATTCATGCTGCCAAGCTCTGGCTGTTACCTCGGGCAGAGGGATGTCGAAATGGCTAAACCCACCGGAACTTACCCCACCAGGGGTGTTTCGACAAGGTGAAGTTGAACACCAGGACACCATAATGCAGCCTACTTTTCCGTCCTTAGCTCGCTACTGCCCCTTCATGCCCTGTCTTTGCCTTCTTACGCCTCGTGTACTCCCATTACTCCCATTACTCCTAAATGTGCTTTACTCAAACAACTACCACAATGAGGGTATTGGTTCAGCTTTTCTGACTGTGTGGTCGAAAGGGGTGGCGGCTCGGGGCCGTTTTACGGGTACGTATGAATGAAGACGTCGTATCTCAACTTACCAGCCCCTTCCTCTCTCTGTTTTTATTACGAGCTCTCCTAATCGCACCATGTCTCCAAAGTCTAAAGGACAAATAGGAAGGACAAGAGCAAGACACAGAAGTCGAGTTGGGAGTCATAGCTCGCATCGATATCATTTCTTCTACATACTCGTACTCACAGTGTTCCACGACCCAGGCTCTAGACCATTACTGTTTCCAACCATCCTGAAAGAGCCTCTGACGATCCGACGCACTCTCCGGACTTACCGGCGACGCATAGGCCGTATCAAGCGACTGCCACGACCCCTCCGCCTCGCGGGCCAGATACCGCATCGGCACGTCCCCGCCACCTGGCATCCTCACAATCTCATAGTTCTCCCCTAGCCGCCTCTTCACCCGCTTCAGCAGGTACCCGTAATTCGGCAGCTCCGCACACTCGTCCAGCGGCGGACTCCTCATATCCGCCTTCGTATACCCCGGCAGCGGCAACACCTCCGCGCTCGCAAACCCTTCCCGCGGCCTACGACGAATATGATAGTCCGGCCCAAGCCGCCGCTTCACGCGCGCCTGGAGGTACTCCAGCACCGTCTGCAGCTCGGCCGCGTCCTCGCTGTTGTCGCTGTCGTACGGCTGATTGGACAACTCGCGGCGTTTGCGCGTCTCTGCTTTCTGATTCTCGCGCTTCTCCGCTCGACGGACGCACGAGAAGCACGCGCATTTCGGCTTCGGGCGCCGCGCCTTCTGCCATGCGCGGATCTCGCGGTCGTTGAGCGCGGACGCCTCCTCCGTGTTCTTCCACCACCAGGCGAACTCGGCGACCTTGACGCGCGCGTGCCATGTGAGTCGGATGCCGCGGTGCCACGCGTGCTGGAACGGGATGCTGATTTCCTGGTTGAACTTGGCGAAGCGGTGGCGGAGGGTCTCGCGGGTCTGGACGTTGGAGGCGAACTCGCGCCGCTCGAGGGCCGAGTAGCGCACCACGCTCCAGAGGGACTCGAGCGCGATGCGCATGGAGATGAGCAGCGGGCGGAAGTAGCGGTCCATGACGGCGGCGAAGAGCACGAGGCCGACGCTGACCCAGGGCGCCCAGGCGCCGACGGCGTCGTGGTGCTCGCTCACGGGGTACATGCCGAGCAGGAGCTCGTTCGAGACGACGGTGGTGACGAAAATTGCGGGGGAGAGCATGGCGCCGGCAACAGAGCCTAGGTAGATGCCCGCGGCGATGTATTTGGCGATGTGGTGGCGGAGGCGGCGCAGGCCGGTGGGGGGCGATGGTTTATGCGTTGTGAGGTGAAATTTGTCTAGGAGCTTTTCTTGTCGCCTGCCTTCGAAGAGGACTTGGATCCATTGGCGACGGCCGGAGCTGAGGAATTTGAAGAAGGCGTTTCGGACGGAGGCGGGGCTAGAGCGGCTCGCTATGATGCCAAAAATGCCGTAGAGAACTATGAATATCAGGACGATCCAGCTAAATGTCCAGAGCGACCAGACGCGGTCCCCCTCGCCGATTTGCCAACTGATTTTACGACCGATCCAGGCCACCATGTTGGAGCCGGACCTCATGGGAGCTGTCGGGCTTAGCGTCGCGCAGAAGTCAACGCAGTTACACCTCTTGAAGAGGGCGTAGGTGAAATCATGCTCAAAGCTCCAATCTGGACCAAAGTCGCACTGGGAATCCGAGGTTCGTGGACAGGCTGCGAATGACTCCAGGGTATCGAGATCGAATTTCTCACCCCAGCCGTACATGTAGATCCACGCTGGCACAAGGCCTACAAAGATCAAGATGCCCCACCAGATGATGATAGCTTGCGCTCGATGGCGACGGATTGTAGTAGACCAATTGCTGCAGATTTGTTAGCTCGGCTCGTTGGGATCGCTGATTATCGTGGCTTACAGGATGGGCGCCAGCATGATGCCAGCTGCGGCCAGAATTGGGAAGATGGCTAGCAGATCTACATCGCCGTATTCTTTGGCTGAGTTGGCGTCGCCTGGACCAGTGTTGAAGCGATACTGAGCCAGCAGTGCGAAAACATGGATCACGGCGGTTGCCGAATAGGTCATTGTTGTGGCCAGAGCAGCCGTCGAGAGCAAAGTGTGTCGACGGAAAACAAGAGATAGGATCAGGAGCAGGTAAAAGAGCGCCCGGGGTAAAACATCGTACTGGCTGGATATTGGATAGACACAAAAAACGGGGATGCGGAATGTGTCGTTGGAAAGCACGAAATCTGCCAGCTGGAAAGCGGTGGTTACCCATTGATCAGCCGCACCAAAGGTCAAAGAAGCCAGATCATTCGGGAGTATTGTCAGATTGACGTTGTGGTGGTTCCCGGTTTGTGGATATGCGTATATGTTGTCCGCGTCGAAGCTCTGCATGTATAGCGAGCCATTCACCCACCCAGTCGAACCAAGATACGTCTGGTTCGCAGTGACAAACGTTGAGCTGGGCATGGCCCTCGGCTGAGGCGGCGGAGTACTGCGGCTAAATGTCGTATTCGACAGTATACGAGCGAAGGGGGCTAGATTTTGACATTTCGCGTGACGGAAGGAGACACAGAAGGAAACCGAAAAGGATCACGAAGTAAAAAGCACGAACCATGGCCGCCCTCAGCCCTTTGTCAGAGCGTGGTGACTCCTAACGAATACGATGCGCTAGTGTACCAGAAACTCGGCGGAAAACACGTAAAACGTCGCGTCGTAAGCTCCTTCCTAGAAAATACGAAGCGCAGCGGCAAATGGTTCGTGCTGACATCTGGGAAGCTTAAAACCCACCCGCGCGATGTGAAAGGCTGTAAATGCTACAAGCGGAGGGGGCCAAAATAGTGTGCTTTCCGTGGTTAGTACTTACAATTAGGTATCGTTTGCTGTCATGTCGGACCGAAGTTCGAAAATTGGTAGTAACAAAAGGAATATGGTGACACCCCATGTGATCGGGATTCTATACTTCTCCTTCTCACCACTCCGATATCTCATCACTACTACTGCGGCCTCGTCTTGAGTAGTAATTCCGTTGGCATTGTATTTGGTACCTTTTCCCATGACACCCCCAAACGCCGGATCAACCTTACCGCTGTTCTAAAACTCCAAAGCCGATTCCGTCCAGTCCAGCCCGTTTACTCCTTATGATCGTGGATGAAGTTGTTCAGTGCCGTCAACGCTTCAATGACCTCGTCCTTGTTCACTTCAATGCCGTCGCCGCCGTCCTCCCCGACTCGTGCGAATCCCTCCGCACGACGCGATGGGCGCCACGTCTTTAGCACACGCCATTTGTTCTTGTTGGTGGTGGATTGTGTGGATTGTGTCCAGGAGGAGGTTGTGGCTTCGTCGTCCTCTTTCAGAGCGCGTAGCCATTCGACCACGCCGAGGAAGATTCTATGCACGTTAGAGCGCTGAACGAGGAGACACGGGGCTTGTTGTCCATACTTCTTGATGATGTCCTCGGGGTGACCCCAGGACTGCGCTGCTTCCTTGAAGCTCGTTCCTTGGCCAGCAATGTCCAGGAAAATAAACAGACACTCCTCGATACTGATATCCTCCGCCGCTGTCACCGGCGTCTTGTGCTCCATGCACCAGTCGGCGAGTTGAACAAAGGTGATCTGGTCCATGCGGGAGAAGTCGTAGAAACGATTGGGCACGCCATTGAGCAGGCTCAGCGAGCGGGACCTGCCAACTGGAATCGGCGACGCGGTTGAGCACTCCATTCCGCCAGCAGTGGACAAGCAAGGGCAGACAGGTCTCTCGCGAGAGCCTGCCCAGGTGTGGGGGGAGACTTATGGACGCCGTCTCACTCCAAAAAACGCCTACCCAAATCGGACGTGCGCCAGCGGGGCCGGGTGCTCTCTCACATGTGAAGCAAGCTACGGAATACTATACTTGGCTGACGGACAATAGGAGGATCGACCATCGGGGCGCGCAACGCGCATCGAGCAACACCAACATCAATGCACCACTACGCATTACTGCGGAGTGCTACAACAACAACGTGACTTGTAAGTATAGCTAGAGCTATAGCGCAGGTGTATAGAAATAATGTCCACTTGGAAGCATTGTTGTCCGTACAGTATCCCCCCCTGTACGGATTGGACACGATCGTGCGTAGAACAAGGGATTTTACATACAAAAACCCTTGTTTTGCGCACGGTCGTGTCCAGTCCGTACAGGGGGGATACTGTAAGCCAACTATAGTATTCCGTAACTAAGACGCAGGGTCCCGAATGACATCAGCGGAGCCACTCCCGTCTCACCCGCGACTCGCGTCACAGCGTCTCAGCTTTCAGCTTGCTGCACATGCGCTGTGCTGTCCTGGCGGCACCCCTCAGGTCCGTCTTTGGTTGGATCACCTTCACGATTCCCGAAAACATCCTGATCGGCATGGCCATCCCACGCCCAACTTCACCGCCATACGCTCGTTTAGTGGACTGGATATCGGGGATTCCCGGCCCTAGGATAGGATCGTGGTCATCTCTGCGTTTTGGATGCAGACTTTGGGCAGGTGATGGGACTTGTACCACCTACCACAGCCGCAGGTCGGGAGATATGAGTTGAAAATAGGCAGGTCGACGACATTATGCAATTTGGGCTGCACTAGAAACTTCATAGGTTGCGAGTATTGCTTTCGAGAGACTGCATGAAAACTCGCTAGTTAGATTCTTGTCTTTTATGAAGTCCATCGTCCAGGATAGAGTAGTCCTATATCGTAGGCCTGCACAGCGACAGGCCATAAGTTTGTGCACACGCATTTACCACTGTTTGGGGTACCCCATGGGACTTCAAAAACCCAGGAGCGACGTCAAGTTTCAAGTAGTGCAAATTAGCCTGCCCCTTGACTAACTGGCTGCTTACTACCGGGCTGCTCATCACAGTGGTGTCCAGTGAGCAGGATTGGAGCCCAGAGTGATTAATCCGCGTTTCGAGACTTATGACCTAGTACTGTACAACAGTATTACATTTGTTGATTCGTAAAGAACTATTAAGATGGGAGTTTTAGATAATAAATATACGCCGCCCCCATTCAGACAAATCCCTATTTTCCCATGTCTGCGCCAGACTCCCCCATATCCTTCATTAAGCTGTCCATTATCCCAAAACCATTACACCAATCCCGCTCTTACACCTAGTATCACACCAACCCCATCACCGGCACCTGCGAGTCCATCGCCGCCTCCCCTCGACAAGCCACCAGCAACATCCTCTCAAACACGCCCAGCGCGCCCTGATTCTCCGGATTAAAAGATAACGCATACTGCCCATAAGTCGACATGCTCTTCGCAGCTCTCGCGCTCAACTCGGCCTCCCAGTCACCCTCCGCAAGCTCCCATAGCTCCGGATCGATAGTGACGGGAAGCCGATTCAGCGTCGGGCACTGTTCGCATACGCCACCGTTGGTAACGCACGACCACGCGCCGCGGAGGAACACGGACATCAACACCGTCCGGCGGAGCGATTCGTAGAAGATCCACGACTGGTGCTCGGTCGGGAAGCTCAACGGCTCGGCGAAGGAGCGGCGCCAGAGCTCGGCCGCCCATTTCTCGAGCACGGCGTTGTGCTTTGCGGCGACGCGGCGCTGGTCCAGCTCGCCGTCGAAGAGGCGGATGATTTGGTAGATCAGAAGCGCTTGGACGGCGGCGAGGAGGTCTGAGAGACTCCAGAACGAGGAGGAGGATATTAGCGCTGAGATTTTGGCGCTGATGGAGCTGGAGATTGTGTTCTTGTTCCGTGGGGTTTTGAGGATGTAGAGCGCGGAGAGGGCGCAGGCGTCTTGGTATGCTGCAGGCTGCCACTTTTCGTAAAGAGTTGGATGGATGAAGGGGGTGCTGCCCGCGTATGCAAAGCCGCGGACATAGGTAGAGAGTTGGTCGATGATGAAGTTGATTTGCAGATTCGATAGTGAGCAGGGTTCCCAGATCTGTGGGGCTGGTGAGAGGAGGGTTGGTGTTTGGTAGTGGCCCAAAGATGGACTGTCTGCGTGTGAACCATGCCGCGGGGAGGGATAGTTGCTACTTTCAGAGCGTGGACATTGGGTTCCAGAAAACAGAGATTCGAAGTCGTTAGCTGAGAGCCGCCGGGGCTCACGTGGCGATGAAACGGATTCGGAATCTGAAGGTGTTATAAAGCGATGTCTTCGGTTGATTATTTCCGGAGATGTTTGGCGGACCACAACCTCTGGTTGAGTCAATGCATCACTGGCACTTGCTCCGCGCTGTATAGTATTAGATACTTGGAAGTGGAATTTCACTACCTTTGTAGGTCGGATCGGTTAAGACTTACATATTGACAAACTAGGCCCTTCGTGAAGCACCGATTACAACAAGGATAGCCTAAATCGCAACGTCGTTTTGCTTTTACGCATGCACTACATGCCTTCCGTCTTGTGGCCGATATGTAGCTAAGCATAGTGTCTTTTGGACACGACCTCTTTGAAGGCTTTCAAATCGAGAGTTGTGCTCTATCTCCCTTAATTCCGCGGTGGAGACGAACGAGAGGGCGGGTTCTCCGGCAGCAAGGCCTATCTGTGGAGACGAAGTGCATAAACTTAATACAAGGCAAAAGTACTTGCTGGATGGGATTGTCTTGCGGGATAGGGCGTGTGGAGCTCCGCGATGGCTGACTTCAGGCGGTGGGTGACAGGTATTTAAGGCTTATGAGTCGTAACTAGAATCCAACCATATGCATGCTAGCCGGGCTTGGGGTTACAGAAAGTCGCAGTCCGCGAGGCCATGCGCTTACATGTACGAAGTAAAGTATAACAAATCACGAAGCTTCCAACCCGATGATTTCCGACCCTTTTTAGGGATTTTTGGGACATTTTCGAAAAATTGGTCGAAACCAAGGCGATGGATGTGACCAGCTTTGAAACTTCTAGGCCACCCCAGACGGCGACTTGGTGTACTGCCACTTTTTGTGAGCCCAAGCTCGCCTGCTCAATCCTACACGACAAGGGCTCCATGCCGGACACCAATGTTGGTATGCGAAATCTAGCCAGACAACGTGCATCGAATTGCGGCGTTGTTCCTCGACCAAGCCGCCAACGACCCTTACACGCTAACACACCTCCCAAGCTCCCAGGCCTCCATCTCACCGTTGGAGGTGGGCCAGGCATTGTCCTAAAGGCATCGTATGTACATACAGGCCGGTTCCCGCTACCTAGTCATGCCGGGAACAGCCTCCCGTTAAGTCAGCGCTTATGCTGAAGCATATTGAACGCCCAAGCCTCAAGACAATACATGCCAGAGGATCGGATGTCCGAATACAGTGTCTTGTGTGTCTCACGTATTCTAGGACAGACTTATGACTAGGACCTCGTTATACGTACGGTAGCAGGGCTGGCACGCTAAGCGGAAAGAAGGTGGCACACTCAAGAAATTCCTCCTATATGGACATACATCTGTCTGCCATGCTTACACCGCTTCATCGATTTTCAAAACAACTTAAGTTGAAGAGCTTTCATCACGCTCAAATTTCTGATAATGTATTGAAGCACTCCAAGCATTGGCATACACCGGGAAACACCTGCCACTTCTTGTTCAAACCAAGAGTGCCGGTTCTTTCATGCCTCGCGTGGCTGGCTACGCATGGAGCATGCCGTAGCCATCGTACTTTAGATTTTAATTGCGACGCAGTAATCTTCTTGTTTCAATCCTTCCAATTGGGTCTTTACTGGACATGGGCTTTCGTCAAGTGTAGTAATGTTTGCCTGTGTATACGAAGGTCACACTTGTGTCAGCAGGAGAAGGAGGCTCAGCACCTATATATTTTCTAGATTCATTCGACACAACGCTAAGTATGTACAGGAATCTGTGCTACTTCCGTTGTCGAGCCAGCTAGCAATGTCCCGGTTAGCCAAAGCTGGGCCGTATCTATAAGTCTTATTCGTCGTATCCTCCTAGCACTGAGAAATCAGGATGCTGAACTGAGCGATATAGTCCTTGATCAGCTGCGTTTCAATGTACGCCGCAAGCTCGGGGAACTTGGCCGCGACCGCAAGCATACTCGCAGACATGAGTTCTGCAAAGACGTTCCCGTTGACGGCCAAGAACAGCTTCGTGATATTAGTCGGCAAACCTCCAATGGCGCCTCCAGCAATCTTCAGCTCAAGCGCGTATTCCTTGTGAGACTCGGCAGTCAATTCGGAAGCCAGTGCCCGCCCGAGTATCCGGCGATCATGTTCATGGCTGTTGGACTGACACCCGTGAAAGCGCCAGACTTTAGAACGGCACGGATAGAGTCCAAGACTGCCATTGCACTCTCTGGGCTATTTAGGCGGAGGCGAAGATTCGATCTTGCTGTTCCTGCGGCAAGTATTCCGAGACCTTACTAACTGCTCTCCCGCATTATTCGTAAGAAGAATAGAATAGCTTTACCTCACGATCCGGATAGAGTCGGCCAAAACGTGTACGATTCCTCAAACCTCAGAGCAAGAATGAGAGGACAGCTCCTATAAAAATTAGAAAAGCCTCAAAGCACCGCCAGGAGTAGGAAAAGAGTGTACGTGAACATATGGAAAGGTACTGTAATTGGGGTATGCTTTTGTATAAGATAACCTGGGATCGACCACCAGCCGTAGGAGCATTTTTTGATTGATAATATGATACAAGAATTGGAGGAGAGGTTGGACTGCACCCAGAGCAGCCAACGGTCCGTAATTTACAAAGTATGCTACTTCCTCTTCGTAACCTTTCGGATATTTTCCCTTCTAGTAGCTTCGCTCATCTCAACATACTTCACAGATCAGAGAATGCTAGTCGTTGCCTTGGTTTCGTCGCAAAACTCGACCCACCCATCAAGGTCTAACGTCTTCAGCGTAGTAGACAGTGTGACACCGTCATATGCTGCACAGAGCTTCTTTCTTTCGCTCGCAGTAACGTTTGGTGCGGAGTCCGGATACTCGACATTGAACACAGGCTTGCCCTGGTTGGTCAGATCAAAATAGACGTCGCATTCGTCGTATTGGTGGCATTGCTCGTTTACAGCAAACTGGATCGAATCGACTACGTCGGGGATGATTTCGAGAGCGTTCTTCAGACCGATGGCTAGGTTCTTGGACTTGGCGATGCCGGCGAGGTATTTGACGAACGTGGTCGCATCAGAGGCTTTGAGGCTGAACCCATTATCGTTGTCCTTGACGAGTAAAATTAGCCATGTTCGCAAGAGGAGATTGGAGAGAATGATTTGGAGGGACAAAACTGATGACTTACAAAGCCATCTACATTGTCGGGGTCGATTCCATCGCAACCTTTATCCGCGGCCAGCTGGATACGCTTCAACATGATGCTCTTGACATTCGCGGTCCGAATATCCAACCACTTTTCATCTGGCCAGCCATCCATAACCTTACCCAGATCGCTTGACTTGAAATCCTTAGAGTCGGATCGATTGGGCTCGTAGGAACCAGCGCTGAAGTAGCAGATGACCTTCTTGCTCTGCTTCTTGAGGGCGGCAATGGTAGTGTTGCTAGTGTCGAACAAATCGACGTCGAATATGCCCACGTCAGGCGTAAGCGATTTGGACGTGTCCACAGTTTTGGAAAGTATCACTCAGGTTGCAGCACTACAACCTAGGATCAACAACTCATATGCCAGAAAGCTACTCTCCGAACATCAGCTGTAGAGAACCCAGCTGAAATCTCAGCTGTAGAGAACCGAGCTGAAGCCTCAGCTGTGCAGGCCTCATCTGAACTTACTAGCGCGCCACCCTGGGGGTGGCCCCCTTCCCTCCCCTAGTATATATACAACTAGCTAGACGTCTATAGAAATCAGAGTTCACATCAATTTCAACCTGAGTGATTTGGTCCCTTTGTAGTATGCTAGATTGTGCAGCAGAGCTGATAGATGTTCGGTTCCGGGGTTGGCTGCAAATCTGCATAGGAAGCCTATGGC